TATTTAAATTCCAATTAAAAAGAACGGTCCACCTATATAATAAAGAGTTTATGATAGGTCATCATCGCATAATTGTATGTATGCGAATGTACATAGGTCAAAACGGCAAATATGAACGAACGTTTGAAGCCACCCCCCTTCCTCCATGGAACTTTTTGAAACTTAACCTGCATATCGGTTACGAAGAAAAGAATGTTCTCAAATTGTTTTGAATTTTGTTTTTTTGTTTTTATACTATCTTCAGCTTTCAAAAAAAAAAAAATTTTAATTCAGTTTCTTTTGTTAAATAATCTCACCATTAGTAACAGAAAGTCATTAAAATTGAGTTTACAATCTAAAAAATTGTTTTCGTGTTGCCCAAAATTTGAGAATTTTTCTAATATTTTTTTAGAAAGCTGAGATAATTTGTATAAAATATGTGAATTTCAAACTGGGTTCTCCATAAAAACGCTTAAAAACCAAAAAAAGAGGTGAAAATCTAACAGAAAATGTTTACAAATAATAGCTGCGTGACAAAGATTTTATTCATAAAAATGTTTATAGATGATAAAAATTGCATAGTATTGTAATTTACTGTTTTAGTTTATAGTCTTTAACTAAAATATTGAAGTATATTTTTGATCTGAGTCACGTACCTTATTTATTCTTATTTTAAAGTATAATACAAAAAAAAATGTTAACTATTATTATTTTTTAGTCAACATTCAGAATCCAATATCTTCATTTTAAAAATAAATATCTTTGTCCTTTTCATAGGAACGCAGGTCAAATTATAATTTTTAAGTTGTGTAATAGGTTATTACATTAAACCTCACTAGCAAGGTCATATTGGGAATGTGGTATGAGGTTTTTGTACCTCACAACTATGACAAAGATGACTAGTAAAAATATGCGTTTGTAAGACTATGTACTATGCGCTTTTGCAACTAAATATTTGTATAATTATATTTTTGGCTTATAACTATTATAATTATACAGTATTGTTCTCAGTATTTCGTGTTAAAGCCCAAGAAACCAACAGTTCATAAACTCAATAAATAACTTACACGATAGGAGCAACTGAAATGATCGATATTTAGTTGTTAATTTCAATGTAGCTTTTCCATTTAAAAAAAAAATGTATATTTTTCATTAAAATATTCACCAACTGACTAATACAGTAGCTGCACGTAGTTAAAACCGCTTAATACCAAATTATCCAATTACAAAAATCAGTGTTTTGTTGTTATTATTACTATGGATTCAATTGCGTTTTGACCTTAATAGACTATTGACATGTAAATGTAACATATTTCAATTGCAAATATTTTAACTGAATTGTAAAAAACAAATGACAATATTCACTAATTATAACTTAATAGTGATGTAGTTAGGAAGTAAACACATATACTTTTTTTTTATAAAGCTGGCTATATATTTTGATTGTAATATGCATTACACGAGTACCTGGTCACAACTTTATCTATTTCTATTTTTTATACAAAGACATATGAAATGCCGTATGATGTAATCGTCTCTTATGTAGAATAACTTAAGTAATTGTGTTTGTCTTGACGTGTTAGGCCAGAAATTATATTACGATTTGTACTCTGCACATACTGTTACGGCAAATATTAATTTTCGGAAATTAAGCTTTTCTACTGTTATGTAATACTAGTCTACAATAACCATATTACTAATATTATGATTTATGACGAGTTTTACTACGGTGCACTTCTCGAAAACTAATCAATCACAACGCAACAGCTCTAGGTCGTTTTTATATTAATTATTAATTCATTTTTTTTTTATAAAGCGAACTACATCACTACTCTACTTTTCACTAGTTGCAGTAAAATGAACTAATAGTTTTTTTATTTCTGTCTATATAGTTTTGAAGAAACTCGTCGTAAGTAACAATTACGGAGCCTAGAGCCAAGTAGTAAAAGTACACTGTACTTAACCATTTAAGGTTAAGGTTAAGGTTTTAAGGTTAAGTCTTTGGCTTTTGTTCACCTTAAGTAATTTGTAATTTACAAATGTAATTTTTTTTAAATGTTGTATAAGTTAAGTCTTTAAACAAGTTCAACTACTACAGTAGGGTGGTCCAATTCATATGCCTTTGACTATACAGATAACTTTTCGTGTGCAATACCAATAATTGGTTGGTAATTATAGTATAATTAGTAATATTTTTGTTCACTCCATTGTTATCAAAATTTAAATACTCGCATAAAAATGGTAAACCAGTCCTGGTAATTAGTGTACACTTGTTTGAACATCTCTGAAAGTTATCTTCCAAGAACTCTGATAGTCTTAAGTAATTTTTAGAAATCATTGGTAATCTAGTGAACAACTTTCTTATAGTGATTTGCCCGCTGTTCGCCAACTTCAAAAATTGTTTGACTTTAAAAAAAATGTATATTGAATTTAGAGCCTCTGATACAACCATCAACATTATGATGTAACATTAGTCGCATTATCGGTATTGATCCAGTAGAGTCATCCAAAAAATAATACTATTGTATAATATTATAATTTGGTGTTTAGTTATAGTAATTAGTGAGCAGTGTAAATGCGGGTGTTTCTTCAAAAAGATATGTCAAAGTAAGTTAGTTCGATGTTCGGTCGACCAGTACAGCGTTATCTCTAAGTAAACCCATTAGCTCGCGACGCATAACCATATATCATAAGTTGTATACTATAGTAATATGTGTTTGTACGAAATTGTTATTATGGTTTTCGAAATCGCGCGGGATATTATATTATATATTATTATTATTGTCGTGTGTGCGGAACTGGTGCTTAGTAGTAGTTTTGGGTTGCCGCAACCGCCCCTTGGGTACGGTATGTGTTTTTTGCTCGGTGTGTCCAAATAGCAACAATGCACCGTCGTTGGCGGCCACGATTGTAATTAGTGATAAAAGTCCTCTATGGATTAAAACGGGCACGATACCCGGCCAAGAGAGGGTGGTGGATGTGTGTTGTGCAGTATGAAGAAAAGGCAGGCACTAGCGCAAGAGTATGATGGATGCGCGGCGGTAGTAAGGGTGGAGAATACCGGCACCGTCGTTCGACGGTTTTTGTCTCGAACGCTCATTTGTCAAGGCACACGCCGAGGAAATGAAAAGGATGCTCGGGGATAGCGGGCAAGGGTGTATGCAGGGTTAACTCTTCTTTTGACCGACACCCTTAAGGTTCGAGGACAGATGCAAAAAAAACCTCGCATGCACAACCGGGAGTTTTCGACCAACCTCTGCCGTCCCTTCTTTCCCCGACACGATGAAACTAGATCCGCACGAAATTGCTTTCCCTCGTAATAATATATAATAATACATACAATTTAAAGCCCTTAAACGTTGAATTACGATTATGCTTATGCTATTTATACTTACGCTTATTTCTAAAATATCAATAAGCCCATTGCGTATAATATTCTAAATATATATCACTCAATACAGAGCGATTTGTATTTGGTTAGCTTTTCGTAAAACACCGTGTAATTAATTAAAACTATTATGTTGACTATAATAAAAAATCGCCAGCACGCAATAAGAATGGGAATTATTATAACTGAAGAAACCGATACAATCACTTTTAAAAATCGGTTCGATGCAAAACTGAATAAGTTAAAAAAATAAAAGCTATTATTTTAAGCAAAAATATTTTTTTGGGCAGTGAAATGTATGTTTATAATCGTGTTATTTGATTTATTGAGGTTTCTTCGTTACAAAAAAATACTTATTAGTTGTTGGTGCTATAAGTCCTAAGACTATCCCTAAAAAAGTAAAATCAAGGAAAAGTTTCAACGCCTTGTGGCTGAAAGGGTTAGTGTTATATTTTTCTATTGTATATCTGAAGCATCTAAGTAATTCCCTATTCAAGTTTCGAAGTCATTCTACTATTTTTTCAAGCAATAATGCTGTAGTTTTAAGATGAAATTATGTACAATTTTGTAGTACTTTTTCATTATTGTAAAAACTACACCATTCCCGGCTCCGCATCAAAGCTATAAACATTTTAGTTTCTACGAATCCTAACAATTATGATGGTTTACTTTTTAAAATTTGACAATGTACATGAATATTCTTCAACCTTATTATATAAGTACTAAGTAGAAACATAATAATTTGTTGTGGTTTATTGTATCACGTATTACGTAATTACCAGCGATTTGATATTGATTTCCGGAATTTCTGTAACGAATTATTATATTTATAGCGCAATTACGTGCAGTAATAGGTTGTATAATAAAAATTCAAATATTTCCCTTGCTTTTTATAATAATAAAGCATTTATTGTATTTACATAATTATCTTAAAATTAGCATTCAAAATAACCAAGTACAATTTGTTTCTTCAATTCATTTCTCTTAAGAATTCACTATAGAAAAAACCGTACGACACAGTTAATATATGAAATAAGTAATATTTTTTAACAAACGTAAGAGTGAGCCTTTTTAAAAATAGTCATTGGAAAATTGTTGTTTTTAAAATGCCGGACTTTCTGTTAAAAATGTATTAAAATATACTTCGTAATTTCGTCCAAAATCAATTACTAAAAGATACTTTTAGATTTATGATGTGATTACTATTTTATATTTTTTCTTGGCTTCTGTAATTAGGTATCGAGATGTAAAATAAACGTAATAACAATTTAAACGATCAATTAAAATAACTAGACACTGAACTGAGAAGGGTTACTTTTACTACGTGAACTAGCAAGTAGTATAGCATTTGTTCCCTACTATCTAAGTACATCTTATGTTCTATGTATTTCATTGTTATGCCTAGTCGGAACAAATGTTTAATATTATAAGCAATAGTTTTAGAGTAAATAAATATATTTACGACGATAATGTTGACATTTTTTTGATTTTGGTAAACTTTACAAAGTAAAACTGCTCAGAATTGGTGTGCTTTTAATAATTTGATGCGCATTATAATATTTGTTTAAACACCAAAATTATTTATAATTGAATTAAATGTGCATTAACTATAATCATTTGTTGATGTTTACAGCAAATTGGCAGTATTTGATGGGCAAAAATCTATTAGAGGCGGCATTCCAATAGTTTTTCGTAAGTATTTTTAATATAATACAATTAAAATAAGTCTATTAATCAAAATTACATAACTATAATTTATAATTTCTTCTTGTATGCCAATATATATATAGCTCATTTTGGACCTTGGGCATATGGACCACAACACGGTTTTGCTAGGACTTGTAGGTGGGAAGTCGAAAAACACCCGGAACCATTAGAAAATGGTGACATCGAAGCTATGTTTTCGTTAGTGGATTCTCCAGTTACTAAGCAGATATGGAATTATTGGTAATTTGTTCATAACATTTATTGGTTTAACACTAATAATCTTAAAAAAAAAAAATATATTTGTATTTTTTAGTTTCAAATTGGTGCTGCGGATCATATTAAGGGAGAAAGAATTACAAGTCAGTTTTAATTTGTATAATTCTTCTTCAGAACCATTTCAATTCAACATGCTATTTCACACGTATCTTAAAGTACCGGACGTTAGAAAATGCTCTATATCCGGTCTTCAAGGGTGCATGTTCGTGGATAAAGTATGAACTACTATATAACTAGAATAAATTAATTTTTTTACGTTACTTATGTATTAACAAAAATTAAAAATTAATTTAATTCAAGACCAAAGAAAACGCTATTTATCAAGAACCTAGAGAAATGGTTACTGTTAACCATTGGACCGACAGAATCTACCAAACCACACAACAAGAGCACATTATTTCCAACGTGGTTTCCGGTAGAAAAATGAAAATGGTCAAATACAATATGCCTGATACAGGTTGGTCTTACAGGGTTTTGTTTTTTTTATTTGTAACCACAATCATTTAAGATATATATATAACTTTAGTTGTTTGGAATCCATGGGATGTCACCTCAAACACAATGAGTGATTTTGGTGAAGATGAATACCCAAACATGGTGTGTGTTGAAGCCGGAATTGTTATAACTCCAATAACTCTAAATCCTAATAACACGTACGAAGGCACAATGGTGTTGCAAGTAAGTTATGTCAGATCAAGTTTTGCCAAAAATCATATTTATATATGTTTCATTTTAAAAATAACATCGTTACTACGGTCTAAGTGAATTCAAATAGGTCCTAGGCAATTTCATATTTAAGCTTTAACTGTCGAGTCTATAAAAAAATATGTCAATAGTTAACTAATTTCCATTTTTTTTATTGTCAATGACTAAAACTAATTTTTTTTTTATAAAATAATGATGAAAACAAAATAATTATTCTACAATATTTCATGCAAAACCCTCTTACAAACTGATATGTTTGTCACCTAAACTTTGGTTTATTATGATATCTGGATTAAAAACTCTTATTTGACATTTTTTCTAACCTAATCGTTTTTGTTTGGTATGTTTTGTATTTTATTCTATCATATACAATGATGTGAAATGTAAATGACAACTTAACTTTGATTATAATATTTTAAAAAAATAATTAGTATTATATAATATATAAAAAAAAGTATGCTACAACCATTTTTTTCAATATTTTTTACCTTTGAAAATTATAAGTTTCTATTTAAACTTTTTCAATAAACGTTTATCAAACAAAATATTACTAAAACACAATATATATTTTCGCTAATAAAAAATTTAATTAATTAAAAAAAGTACTTTTTTGTGAAATTATTTATTCTTACTCACAAATAATTGTAAAATATTAATACATTTTTTTTTTTTTAGGTCATGTGAGTAGAGTCGGGAGCTGCCGTTGGCGGGGCGAGATCGAAATCACGTGCTGTGAATGCACGCCAACGCTGCTCGCCTCTAGCCGCAGACATTACCAGAAACACCGGCAGCTCCTATTTTCCGTCACAGACTTCACACATGCCTACAGTATTTAACAGACAACCAACAGTAAACCATGGTTGGTTCTCATCCATGATGACAACTTCTGAATTTTTTGGACCGCAGCGTTATCCAAACGATAGTCCGGTAGCGCCCGTCCATCATAATTCTACATGCAGTCAGCATTCCTCGTGCACTATATGCTCACTTAACTTGTAATAATAAAAATTGGTATTATTATAATAATTTTATATATCAAAGTAATAAGTATTGTTAGAGCCAAAAAGTAACTTAAATCATTAGTAATACATTGTTTTGTACGAATAATGAAACAAAACCAATGTAACTTAATGTTAGTCATATTTATTACTTGTATTAAACATTTCAGTATTTCCTCAAATCGATAAACTGCTTATTTTAAATTTATAAATCAATGGAATGTGTGTATTATTGCAATAATTATCGGCAAACCCATTATTAAGTTAATTTTTTACAATGTTTATTCTATCAAATATGTAACACTTAATATTATAGTGTTTCACTTGTTAAAAACTGTGCATTTGTATTATTATCATTCATTTTATAGGTGTTTATAGTTAGTCTAATTGTAAGTGAAATAATGTTTTATACATTTCCTTTTTGTTAACTTGTATTATTTTTTTTTATTATTATTAAAATTGATAATTATAAAAATTAAAGTATTACTGTATTATATTCCAATGCTCAGCATGTCATCTAAGTAAAAATAATAAACTTATCTGTTTTGTCAATTGTAAATAGTCATATTCAGTATTGAGATAATTATATCTAATTAAATCCATTAAACGATCAATGTCTATTGACACATTTCAATTGTTTACTATTTTTATGTTGCATTCAATTTGGTAAAATGTATTTAAAAGTATTATTTCAATTTATACAATTTATCTGTATCTATTTATATAAAAATGAATGTTTGTTTGTTTGTCCTTTATACATTAGTACAACATTCATCCGATCGCCATGAAACTTTGGGAAGTTGTTGAGTACACTCCTGTGAACTCCTGTGAACTGGCATAGTAGTTTTCGAAAATTCCACCCCTAAGGATGACCTCAAACACGAACTTTGTACTTTAAATAAGAAATATTTTTCGTTGCTAACCCAAAATAAACACTTTGTTTGTAACCATGGTAACCACGGTACTCAAGCGAATGGTAGGTGATGATTAAAGGAACAGGTCGATTCTGGGGACGCTATTAAACATTGGAACTGAATCTGGAGCTGGAACCGGGACCCTTGAGTAAGGGGGGACATAATCAATACAATGTAATGTACGTGTGTAGATAAAAAAAACCGAGACGAGGTATGCTAAAGCTCTACATTATACAACCTGGAGTACTGAGTATCTTATAAGTAATTATTTTACTCAGCCCTGGCAAACTAAATCCCGCGCAACGTCAGGTCCGGACAGCTTGTTACTTAATATACCTTCTATTGTGTTTCAGCTCTAATATAAAACGCTGTCAACGGATCTTCGTGGGATTATTATCAATATAAATTTTAAACAAATAGTATATTTTCAACACATAACAAAGTACAAATTGTTTAAAATCGTGAACAAGTTAGAAAACTTTCGTCTTTATTTTTAATACTATACATTTTTCAAGAATGTTAAATTAATTATTTTCAATTTAAAAAGGTAATAAAATTCATATGTTTTCATTTTTAATAGAAATATTAAATGTAGTTATTCAAAGGCAAAATCAAACCAGAAAATTGTTTTCTTTAACACAATTAAAAAAAAAAAATGTTCTTTATGATAAAATTGACATCAATAATAATATATTATAGAATGTATAGGGACAAATCGATGGTTTTTAAATTTGTTGTAATAATTTAGTAAATAAAATAATATTTATATAGAAATATTATTTATTAACAAATATTATTATAGGAGACATATTAAATCTCACTTTTTTTATATAGTGGACATAATATCTTTTTTTTTTAATGAACACAATTTTTTTGACATGCATACTCGCATAGTTTATATTGGTTTTACAAAAACTATCATACTTTACACATAATAGTGCGTGACAGTACATACCTTATTGAAGGATGGTGTTTTTGACTTTTATTTTACCTGTCGTCATGTTTTCATTTTTGAACACATGATTATATTAAAATTAATTGACAGGTGTAAAAGTTTCAATAAAATAGTATTTAAGCACACGTGTAAGTTGTACATTTTGTAAATTAATTTAGCTCTATTTTTATTAATTGTTTGAAATATACTTTTTTATGTTTTTAATTACTTTCTAAAAACCGTATTTAATTATAATACCTAAAATAATCCGACGGAATACGTTGTATAGTCTATAGGTATTATTTTTTGTATGTCATGAACATTGTATGACTACATATTGTATACTTCTAGTCTCTAAAGATAAATAGGTGTGTGTGATAAATTATCAATAATTATAAAGACAAATTGAGAAAACCATTTAAAAAGACGTTATGATAATTCGATAAAAATTTAGCTACCCATAATGACTCCTCAGTCCTGTGTTAAAAGTACCTTTAAGTTTTTAAAAAATTATATTTTCATGAAAATTGCCCATACTAAACCTTTTAATGGTGGGTACAACGACCAGCCTTCTCTTAGTAACATTATTCATTAATTTAATTTGTGCTGTCAATTAATGATAGAACAATAAGGAGTTAGAATTGAAAGATTAGACACGTTCATACAGTGCACTGAGAAGCTCAGGGCAAGAGCATAATATAATCATTAATAATAGTAATTCTTTGAAGACAAAGGCATTTCCTTTACACTCTTTCAATCTCAGACAAGCGTCCACAGTTATAAAGTAGAAAAGGATACTTTGATTTTTCAAAATGGGATGTACAGTGCACAATGACAAGATTTGAGAAGGGGTGTGCTGATCAATATTTTTTAATTAACAATGAAATTGTTTAATCGATGCATTTTAACTAAAGTCTTGTAATCGGTTACAAAATACAAAATTGAATTAGGTAGCCATTAGTAATAATAAGGTACCTATTTTTCATTTATTTAAACAACTGGTCAACAATCATACTATAAAATATATAAGTTAGGAATACTTTCAAATGTTTTTCAATGTCTTTTCAATAAACTATTTAATCTATTAAATAACTTTTTATTACTTCACATTGAAGACACGAATTTAAAACAAAAACCAAAATATATTTATGTTGAGCTTTTTTTCACTAAATCGGATTTTGGTCTCAGAATATTCGATAGTGTTCAGAAAAACTTGCCAAATCTAAAAGTTTACGTCATACCTAGGTTCAGAAAAATTATAAGATTTTGTGTAAGATGTTTTAAGTTATACAACGGTGAACGGTTTTATCAGTTGTCACTTGTCATACCTTTGTGAATTTTTATTTTGACATTATTTGTACACATTTTTGAATTTTCTATTATGAATACTGAACATTTTAAATTTTAGACTTAGCACGTTTTTCCCGAGCACCATCGAATTGTTCTAACATGACTAGTTAATATTTTAACCGCCTCCAATATTGTAAACTTTTTCAGCGTGTTTATTGTACGTCAGAAAAATCCTTTAAAATATATTTCAAATAAAATTGTTTAGCCTTATTTCTTTGTTGAATTTATAACTAGTCTCAGAATTAATACTAAATGTTTAGTTTTTTTAACAAAACAAAAATGTTAAAAATGTATTTTTGTTTTGTATGCTGCTTACAACTTTAGTGGTGAATTAAAAAACAAATTGACTTGATAAAGAAAGTCTGATACCATGTCGGATTCAGCGAAAATAAACGATTACTTAACAGACGCAAACGGCTACAGGCGGAGGGGGCGGAAATGACTCTCCCTTCATTAGTATATAAAATAAAATAAATACAATATGTACTTGATAATACATTCATTGATTTTTTATTTCAATTGGTTTTAGTAATTAGTTAAACCTTAAAAGTATGACCATTAACATGGTAAGATCTAACCAGCATACCTATTTACTATGTTGGCGTAAAAATTTGCAATTAAAAAAATAGTTCTCAAGATATCCTTTGTATACATTTAATTTTTTGCTACTAACTTTATAATTATTATAATGTAAATATTTGGTTTCCCTTTAAAGCATAGCACACTAATTATGTATATTTTATGAGTATTTAGACTATATATATATACGTGTATGTACATACCAGGAAGTAGGTATAACAGTGGGTAACTGTATAATACATTGTTGTATGCTTAGGTACCTACTAGAAATAATCGTCACATCCTAATTTATGTATTGTATTCAAATTAGCTATAGCTTCATGCGAATTCTGAACGTATTTTTCTTTAACAATTCAAAGGCATCATATTAAATAGTGTCTACAATCATATTAGTTGCATTGAATTCTGGGAAAATTTATAATTTAATTAATTCGCAATTAATGTGAGTTTTTATTTTTAATTTTAACTTATGGTCAAATTATACATTTTTTAGACTAAAAAATACATTTTATTTTAGCTTCCATAATTTTATAGTATATTTTGTTTATAACCTCGGATGATAGAAATAAATAAAACCATGTCCATTCATTGTTATTCTCCAGCAACTGTATCAAAACACAAAAAACCGTGTGATGCATGGTTAAGCATTCATGGAAATGTATATGATGTCACAAATTTCATAACAGTGGTAAGTAACACCGAGAGTATCTCAATTTATGTCATTGTCCATACTTAATATCGAAATTGGAAACCTTAGCCCCATCATATGTTTTAATAGTCTCCCTAAAAGCATGTACAATTACACCCAGAGGCGTATCAACATTTTTAACGTCCCTGCATAAGCACAATTTGGGAGATTGAAGTAAGTTAGGTGAATGGGCATAAGCCATCGCCTTTCCTCCACGTATATAATCTAAATTGGCGGTCAACACTTAACAAAGTATTAATATTGCATTAGACATATTTTATGTATGTTTTGTAGCACCCGGGAGGAGAGGAAGTTCTTGTGGAAGCGGCTGGGACAGATGCAACTGCCTGTTTTGACAGCATAGGACACTCAAACGAAGCTTACAAACTGATGAATGATTTGAAATTAGGAAAGCTATCGGATCAAGACGAGGTAATATTAAATTTAATCACTTACTGTTAAATATTACAACCCGATATTTTCGGTAATAAGTATTCACTATTAAGTGCCTATGAGATTTTCATAAACCTCAGTATAGAAATTACCAACAGATATATCATTTTATTGTACTAAAAGTTCTACAATATACAAATTATATTTATATTTATATTATCATCAATGAATATAATCATTTTTCATAATAATTTGATCAATTATATGTACAAATTAAAACATGAACATCGAAACAATTTATGGATTGCAAAACTATATAGTATATACTAATGCCCTGTACAACCCAATTTTACAGCAAGGACCAAAATACATGTATTTTATTTACACATAAATTCCTATAATCAGTACAAATATTCGACAGCTTTAAATACTTACAAATATAAGTAATTCAGTATAATATATTGTTATCCTAACTATAACTTACTTTTTGTTCCCAATAATATTATATTTAATCGTATCATATAAACTAGTAAGTATATTATCAAACTGTCATACAATGTTTCGGATATCGATTTCCTTATAACTTTCGTTGTCAATTCGTATTATTGTGTTCTATATGTTTTAAATGTTCCTAACAAGGCTGAGGTTATAGTACTATACCTACCTACCTTAATAATATTAGATACTAACAACAAAGTATTACGCGTCGCAAATCGTTAATATAATAAATGTATTTGTAATTTAAATTTTTTGAATAACTCAACTCCGCAGTGAATGAACAACATACAGACGGTGTAGAAATGACTGTTTTAATTTATATTGATGTTCTACCGTATAGTATGGTATGGTCGTGGGTAATAAAAATAAAATAAATTATTTGGACGGAAATTATTATTATATAATGTCATGCGTAGCCATTGAAAAAATATTCAATTATACTTTGATAATCATACATACACGAGTGCAGATTACATACCTATACCTAACCATTATCATTTTTTTAATTGGTCATCTCAATAAACTCATCCAAGGTAAAATAACGTAAGTCGTAACTAAACTGTCTCTACTCCCTACAAATAACAATAAACTTATATTAGCTAATAACAGTATAGGTATAATTGAAGTTTTATGATGTATGTAATTTTTACATTTACATTGCCCATTTTCAGAACGTAGCTGTTCAATTGTTAATAAAGAAGTAGAACGCGAACGCTAGAAATTACTTTTAATTACAGTAAACAATTCTTATAAACATTTAATAACTCCAACCTAAAAGTTGAAATACTTTTTACATATAGGTATGCATTTTTATTTGAAAATGTAAGAAACAAACTACAAAATATGAACATTTTGCTATGGGTTTTTTAAAAATGTGTTTCCTAATATTTTTTAAACGCTTTAAATTTATTTAATGTGTTTTTTGAAAATATACAAAAAAGTATTAATTTTGTTAACTTTAATTATGCCGCATATGCCATATATTCGGTATAGATACCATATATTAATACAATAGGTTAAAAATACTATTTAATACTACAGTGATTAACAACTACGGTCTATGATTATAAATCAACACATCAACGAAAAATTACATTATTATTTATTATAATTATTATTTCATTTTTAACTGTGTTAAGCACGTGATCTATTATATCGGGAAATAGATGTAATTACGATTGCCGCGGTTATATTAGGCTTATTCACAAAACATTTTAATTTAACCATGTGAACACAATATATATCTCTAATTGGCAGAAAAAAATGGTAAGGTAAGGTTTAATTGCTACGAAAAATAATGATTAATTTGTTAGAATAAAAAGTAATTATACAGCCGATCCTAGTGCTGTCGTCTGTCGATAGACGTGTCATAGACAAAACTGCTGGTGAATTCAAACTATGACGGGTTACAAAACTAGGAGTCCTATGAATACAATCTAAATTAACAAAAATCATTATTATAATAGGATAGACTCTTTTTAAAGAACTCACTTCACTTGATTTATCAATTTTTTTTCGTATTAGATATGTTTTTTAAAGTATGAAGTTAATAAAACGAAATATTATTAAATTAGTAGTAATGAAGTACATGTTAAAAGTATTATAACAATTAATTATCCAAGTATACTATAGTAATCTACTTACAAGCATAACCAGCTATACAGCCTAGGTTTACATTAAACGTTTACATTTCTGTTTCATTAGTTAATAATTGTCTCGATGACCTCCGACTGATGCTATTAAATTTTAACCATCTAATGTCATCTGTATATTGCCTATACTTGGTCTACAAAATGATTATTGTCATGAACATTTTTTTACCATGCTTTAAAAAATAAATGTATACAACGTAGTGCAAATAAAATAACTATTTTTTAACTTTCGAAGACGAAATTGTTTTATTAATAACTTCTCAGCTTTTAGATATTGGAGTTTTCTTTTTTTGTCTGTAGACTAGATATCTATTTTTTTTATACGTAGACTAAGTTTTTTTTCTTAATTATTTTGAATATGTTTCAAAATAAAATGTAGTAGGGGAATAGCGTGGCTAAATACGCCAAGCTTAAACAGGAAATACTTAGAAATAAAAAATTTAGCAAAATCACATTGTTTTAATTCAAAATCGAATTAACAATTATTCATATACGGCATACCTACAACCTACGTCATAGTCAGCAGCATAATTATTAAACTTTGAAATTAATTTTAACTGACTTTCTCTGTTTGACCTCGTATGTTTGTATGATATAAATTATAATAAATATTAGAGTGCTCCTTATTTTGATCTTTTACGAATTTTCACGGTTTCCACCTCCCAGTTGTCTCCAAATGACATAAAAAAAATAATGGTATATCAACTGTGCTGTATGATGAGTCGTGCCAGTGAACGCATACAGACATATATATATATATATATAAAATTCATACATATTTTGCAAAAATTAATAATTATGGAAATAATATATTTATTTAAATATTATACTTAAATTAATGGTGAGCGAGCCTAGCCTGCGCTTTTATGAAGGGACGTCAAATATGTAAAAATACGTCTCTGTCATTCGTATTTTTTACAGAAGAAATAAAGACATAGTAAACAGCTAGTCGGTGGCGACCAACATCTGAATTATTGTTAAAGCACAAAAATATTGTCTTAGTCATAATATAATTAATAGTTAAATACATAGCTAATGGGGCATGAGCTAGACCTAATAGGTATTTTGACGTTTTTTTCTATAATAAAAACAAAGTATTTACAAATCGGCTCCGTTGGCTGTATTTTAAAGTTCTTAGATTCATATTATGATGATGACTTATGCTTGGATGTTTGCGAAATTACACTGTCATTAATAAAATACATTATCTAATCTCATCCGTGCGCCGTATATGATATTGAGCACATAAAAACAAACTATGTAGGTAGAGCTTATATAACTGTGCGCTCGTCAGAGGTTAACAACCAAAACAAACAAAATACAGATTACCAAGTGATTTATATAAGAAACAGTAAAGGATAACGTTTTGCGTCTTTTGCGTTTAACACAAATGCAGAATACTCGGCCGAATTAACTAATAATGACCGAATTGGTCGTTTTAAATGTGTACTATAGTGAGAAAAAAAATGTTTTATCGTTTTTTTTTTGTGACCGTATCCCAATAGTTTGTTCTTTAAGGTAAATAGTCCCTGGCTAATTTGTTATCACCTATCATTTTAAGCCTTAATAACTAGTGCCCCCCCCCCCCCAAAGAAATTCTGCCTACTGTACTGCTTCTTAGGATTAGGTTTATTTTTTAGTCTAATTTTACTTCATAAATTCATATATTCATATATTGATTATAAATACAATAGTAAATATAAGGTATTTAAAATTAATGGTTATAGGCTATGACATTATTCAATTGAAAGCTATACAAATCATGTTTGCCAAGATATTTTTTTTGTGCTTACACACAAATATAATATATAATATTTTACACTTTACCGTTTGTTTTTAATTAAACTATTCCAATTTTCATTCAAGGTTTTCACAACAAAATATTTACACGCATATTATGTGTGTTACTAATCAGATTACACGTTTGTTTCAAAATGACATCATGCTTCTAATTTTTATTTTGTGTACCAATATTGTGATGTACCTAGTTATTTTCTCTGTTATTACAACTGTTTGTATTTATACTTGTTTATATCATCATTTCTATTAGAAGTGTTGCCGTAATAAATAACCGTGTAACAGAATTCTGCTGCCTGCATAAGATTAACTAAAAACTACAATTTATGTATTACTGCTTACGTGAAACATTTTTTTTTAATAAAAATCATTTTTATAAAAACGATCGGATCAAGTCGACACTTTTATAAAATATTTATTAGATAGGTATGCCCTATAAATTGCCTCTTACCCAAATTTGATAACCCTCCACTCTCCCACGGTAGAGACGGTTAATATTTTTTTTTTTGTGCAATTTTAAGATTTAAGTGCTGAAAATTAGACGAAGATAGTCTAATATATAACACGAACAAAAATGTTTTTTATTATGAAAATACTATTTTTAAGACTATTTTAGGTCTACTGATTTGAAATTTTGTATACAGTCTATTAAATAAATACTAATTATTATATCTAAATAGACCTCTTTGTTTTAAATAATTCTTCTATTTTTTTTTTTGTATAGATAATAAATTATTATTATATTATGCTGCCATAATGTTGGATTATACTGTCATTAGTTAATAATGTACTTGGTTAGCTTAGACTTTAGATTTTAGACTATTCTGGTTTAGAATGAACTGGTTTATACTGAACTAGTTTTTTATCTGGCCCCTCGATGTCTTCTAAACCGTTATTTCTTCACGTAGCAAGTTTATAAAAACAACAGAAATTGTCCCTGGAAAATACTTTATATGACTTAGGTATAGATTTTGAAGTAGAAGAGGTGGCCCTTGAAAATCGAGTAAAACACCCATCAAATTTCATATTTTTTAACTAAAAATTACGGTGTGCTATTAATGTTTTGAAAATAATAGAATTTTTATTATTATTGTATGGAATATTCTTCAGACTTAGTATTGTAAATAAACGTTAATAAACCAAAAGTCAAAAATCACATTTAAAATATTTTTAAATATTTAAATAAAGCAAAATTTAACTTAAATTTACTGTAAATTGTAATCTTTAAACCACAGTTTAGTATACATAGTATAGGTAATTAAATAAAACCAAGTAATACATATTTATAGAAAAAGTACAAAATGTAAAATAATTCCAATAAGACCTTGTTGTTCATTTAATGATATAAATTAATAACCTAGAACAGCTTTTTTTAAGATTCCTAGATCTAGTTTTTAATGTTTGAATTTGTTTTTAATTATAAGCATTTTATAACATCTAAAATTAAATGTACATAACATTACCTGTTCAATTTAAATAATAAACACTAATACAATATATTATATTCTTTAATTCAATATACGTTTCTATATAAAAAAACATATAACTAATGCCTTTAAAAAGTGACTTAGTTTTAACCTTCGCCATTTTTTTTGATCTCATCAAATAAAATATTTCTTTAAGAATATTAACAATACATTTTAACTGACAAAAAAACAATTATAATTTTCTAAGTTGGTCATTAGAAAAAAAATCGTTTTTTTAAAAGCTTATTCATTAAGGCCAGAGACGGTGATGTAACCTGAACATTTTAAAATCTGAAGTCAATATTTAATACTAGTATGACAATAATTTTTGAATAAAGGTAGTTCCTTCTGACATTTTGGTATTTAATTGAAAACCGTTTAGAGACCGTTAGGCGTTTACCGGTTTACCAGCGGTTGTCGTTGTGCTTGTAGGTATGTAGTACCAAATAAATTGTGCTTTAACACAAATTACAGTCCGAGTAGGATAAAGAGCTAACTACACGAATCCCCACCCCTCAACAATTGGTTAAAAAAGTAAAAACTATAGATAGCCGCCGTCGCCGCTGCACCAAACAGCACGGCAAGCCGCAAGGTCAACGCGCCGGTGACCGACGCACGCGACGTTTTGCGGTACAACGCGCACTCACACCAAGTCTAGACTCTAGTCACCGCCGCCTGATAGTAGGTTTACCGTTCAACATTTTTCCACCGATCACCACGTCATCCACAACAGCTCACGAGTCTCATACTCACCCCTCCATCTGTTTGCTTGCCGCAGACCTCGACTGAGTTTGGCCTTGTCGCCGTATAAACCGCTCCGCTGATAATAGCTGCTGCGCTGTAGTCGGCATTCGGCAATCGTTGATCGTTGCTTGTTTCACCCTCGTAAAAGTTGTGACTGGTATCGCTTTTAAGTATAATTTAATGACAAAAAATCCTATTGTTAATATTACTAACAATTTGAGTTTCATTTATTATTAGTTATACGTGCGTCGTATATAATATTATCGTTGTAGTGTTTAGCTCGCGTTCTAGTGGGTTGTTCATTTTTTTAGTACTAAAATAATTACAAAAAAAATTTCTAATCATGACCGAACAAGAAGTGAAAAAGTACTCTATGGCCGAGGTCCGGCAACACACCGATGCCAAAAGTCCATGGCTCGTGATTAATGATAGCGTGTACGATGTAGCCGAATTTTTAGCCGATGTATGATTCTATGATCTCAATGTCAACAATCTAGTTTTTATGGTGTACCTGCATTTACTAATTTATAAAATACTCAATATTTTTGTTTATAGCACCCTGGTGGTGAGGAAGTCTTGTTGGAACAAGCCGGTAAAGATTCGACTGAAGAATTCGAAGATGTCGGTCACTCGAGTGATGCCCGAGAAGTAATGCAAAAATACAAGATTGGTGAACTCACTGATGTAAGTTTTGTTTATAGAACATACACCTTACTACAGAAAAAATATAAAACTATTATTTTTGGTTATTCTAACAGGCCAAATTAGTATACATATTGACCTATAAAAATTATCTAAAATAAAAAAAATTTGGTCAAATATATGACTAAAGGTTTTAACTTACAAACATTTCCTTCCCCAGACTTAACGATTTAAAAAAAAAAAAATAAGCCCTTCTAATTTTTTACTAATAGCCATTAAAATATAAATAGTTGAACCTAATTGTAAAAAAATACATCTATTTAAGGAAGTAAGTACTAATTTATGTATACATTTTATTTAGTATAATACCTTGTTATTATATTTAATAACAAGGTGTATGTTATTGACATTTTTTTAATAATGTTTTAAGTGTCATAACAATAGCAATTTTACTAATAGTTATTTTACCATGTAGAAATTGTTTTCTTGAATTAAGTCAAACTTCTATCTGTAGTTTCATTAAAAAGTTAATGACTGAAAATTGGAACCTTTAATATTGAACAGTTAAATACTGCTGGGCACGTGTTATAAAATCAATAGTTAAATTTCAAATTATTAACTGGTTAAGGGTGACCCCTAGAGGAATAAATATTTTATGTTTAAAAATTGTGTTACATAATAATGTTTAAATTGTAATTTATTTTAATCGAAAAGTTTATTCATATTGTAGTAATACTGCCCTACTAAGCAAAATCACCGAAACTAAAAAAAAAAAAAATAAGTTACAGAAAATGTGAACAATTGGTTTTTTAAAAAAAATTTTTTTTTTTTGAGTTTTCGGCAATTTTGCTTAGCAGGTAGTATAATAATTAGTTGATCTTAATTATATATTCTACATTGTTATTTTTACTTAGAAACTGCAGACTGCTGGCATCATCATAATTAATACTTTGTTTTTTCCTTAGGAGGATAAAGTAAAAAATAAGAAACCCGAGATCCAACCTAGATCAACATCTTCCGGCGAATCTCCAGATGACTTTAGGTTTGTTATTTAAGTATAAAAATGATTTAAAAAAATCATTGTTCATCGATAATTTATTATTTGTTTAGTTTAATAACTTCCATAAAGAGACTTGATCAAGTTATCTTAAATTATTTAGTTGCTATTTTTTAATCATACTAAACAATATCAAATATTAAATATTATGCACTGTACGTCATATAACTTGATTATACAAAGTTATCCGACCAGTTCTATGAAGGTTAAACTTCTATAATGAATGTAAATTCTGATTTTGTAGTTAACTGTGTATACTTAACAATCAACTATTAACTATAGCGTAAAGCTTAAAAACAGTTACAGGTTAGGTTTTTTTGTTTCACCTACAAAACTGGTTTATTAGTATCATTTACATGTTATCTTGAACTAAAAATTTTAAACTAGTTAGTAAATCAGTTAACATAATTTTCAGTAGGGGAGAACTACATATATTCTACTATTGGTGATAGATAAAAATTATAGTTATTTCATCAGATTCATTTAGTATGATTGATCACTAGGAGGTTTAATTAAATTAAGTTTGAAAAACAAAGTATTTAATTAAAATAAAAAAACACAATTTTTAGTTTGGGATTTTAGTATGATGTATTCTTATTTCAATTTAAGTCCAATTTCAAAAACTAATTTCATCTAATACATATTATATTTATAACCCAAATGTATCTATTTTTATAGATTCTTTTAAAGAGTGAGACATTTGTAACAGATAAAACATTAGTATTAATACTAAAATAGATGTAAAAAAAAGTTGTTTTATACTGTATGGAAATTAAAGTATATTTTCTTTTTTATTAACCCGACCAAACGACTTGCTTTAAATAATAATTCAAATTCAAAAAATTATTTAAAATATCTGGTTATTTAAAACAGTTAAATTAAAATGTAATTGAAGTAACTCATAATTTTCAAATTATTGTTTATTTAATTAAAAAATACCCAAGGACCAGGGTTGACTAAACAATTTATTTTTATAATATTTATAATAAGAATTTTTTTTTTCAGCATTTGGAAAACATGGTTGTTGCCATTGACACTTGGAATACTGGCCATCTTTGTTTATCGATACTTTATTGCGTCTTAAAAGTCCTACATTTTTTTTATACAGTTAATAAAGCAAATTATTGTAAGCCAAAGTTCTGGTACAACTCGATTCTATATACATATACAAAATTTATCTTTAATATATTTGTTTTTTATGAGTGGTGGTAAAATTGTACACACTGCATTCCATTATAATATATTTTTCATTTAATATAATTTTTTTTTTGAAAAAAATTACGAAATAAGAGATTTACCTACAAAAATATGTATTTTCAAACACATGCATTATAAAACTAAGGTTTATTTTAATTAGTGTAGAACTTATAGTTTATATTATGTGGTATTTAGTATAATAATAAATTATGTTGCATTTGTTAAAAAGAATTATTTTAATTAATTAATTATTAAAGAATTATTGGACCATTTAAATTAAACATATTTTTCCTAGTTATAATTTTAATTATTATTGAGCCAAAACAACAATGACATATTGATTTTACAATTTCATAGTCATTTGATATTATGTTGCATCTTGTAAAGAGTTCAATACTAATTTAATAAGAAACGAAAACTGTACAGTTTTATTTTCTTTTATTAAAGTTGTAGCACAAGTTGAAGTAGCCCCTCTAATCCAGTGAAGCGGTCTCTACTACTATTAGGAAGTGCATATCATGAGTCAAATGTCATGGCCAAGTGTCGTCAATGTAGGCCTGTCAACTGTGTCGTCTTGGAATTAGACTTAGTGTGTTCTTGATAGTCGCTCGCTTCAACAGAAAGTGCTTAGTGTACTGAACCTAGGAGTAGGTCACGACTATCCTCTACCAATGGTTAAAGTTGGATTGTACTATTTTCGTGGCTTTTGCCGATAGTCACACTGGGTTAAAGAAAATGTTTTATATATTTTATACGCTTATCTATTGATTATGTAGTAATTTATTGACAATTTTTTAATACAATTTATATTAAACTAAAAGTTTCCAAGTGATATCAAAAAGAAATCCATATTAATATATATATTGATTCTAAATCGTATAGTTTTCTGAGTAGGAATTTGAATTAAAAACACATGTAAACACTGTCATTATATCCCATTAATTTATGACACCCATATGAAAGATGGCAATCGTCCATGTAATATAATCAATTTATATTCAAAATTGAGTTTCCAAAAAAGCATACAGTGTGGTCTATCTACGTATGTTAAATCCATTTCTTAAAAATTGAATAGGTCCAGAATTCAAAATTAATATGATCTTTAATTAAGATAATTTTATATAATTTATCCTTAAACTAAAGACTGAAAATATTTCATTTTTTTTTTTAAATTAAAATAAAAAATACATACATTTTTAAAAAAAAGAAATTAATTATTCAAAATTTTAGACATCAATAACAAATTTTGAACAAATATATTCGCAGCAAAGCACTGGTGTAATAACTAATTGTTATTTCAAGTTTTCAAGAGTAGGTTATTAAATTTAGTTATTACACCCAACAGAATCCTATAAATATAGTTTTTATACATTCCCCCCATGATATTCATGATACATAAATCCATTTTCAAGTTACTTATTTTTGATGATGATTGGTTTTTTCTACATAAGTTTAAAGTTTAAATTGGTTATTTATGTTTTTAATTTTTTTTTTCTAAAAAGTGCTATCATAAGAAAAAAAATTGTAAAAACTAGATCTTTACAAGTTATTTTGAATATTATGTCTGTTATTTTTGATCAACCAAACATTTTTTGTTAAAAATTCGCATTTTTGAATTAAGTCTGTTTTTTTTTAAATAAATCTATTGTTAACACTTAACGAGGTTTCAATGTTTGATATGTCATTGCGTATTATACCATATTATTAAACTTGACTTATCCTCGAGTAAAAAATTGAATAATCAGTTTCCAGTGTTTGTACTTTGTAAATAATTTTTTTTTCTGAACTGAAGTAGTAGACTTTTATAAAGGAAAATTTAATTTTTTACACCTGCGCGTATAAATTTGTAATTGCGTACTGTGCAAGATAAATTATTAAAATTTGAAATATACAAGGTTATTGCACATATACCATTCTCTATCAAACATTCGATAATAAAAACAAATAAGTCAGTGTAAAGGACGCCAATTAATATCAAGTATATTAACTTTACAGTAAAAAAGTTCTAAAAATAAATATAGCTATAGTAAAGTATATAATATATATATAGTATATAGTAAGTATAGTATAATCAGGCCCCGAACACTGTAAAAAATTAACATAGGTAAGACACTTATCACACAAAATCACGGCGGCCATCTTCTTAAGCTACACCACTAAATGTTAGATCATTGTTACGTAATTATTATTTGGTGTGTATGGATCATAGACCTATAAATCATTTAGAATATAGGTATAACATAATATTAAATGGATTATGGACTTTACAAAATGGCTGTTACTATTTTGCCTACATTGAAACGACCTTTCTGCTTTCATCTATTCTGTGGTAAAATTGATAAACCCTTACGCTGCCATTTTGTTTCTGAAGATAACAATTCGAGACGATGTGCAATAAACTGTATATTTCATCCATGGTCTTGTGTAACCTACACTGCTACACTGGGTAGAAGTGTAAAATATTCAGGATTATCTACAAGCTTGATTCACGATAGCGTTAAAATATAAAGATTACGAATTTATTAGAAGAGCTAATAAATATTATTATTATAACATTAACTAATAATGATTAACGAATAGTAATTATTAGATTTCTAAATCCATTACAAGGGTTAATTGACAGAGCAATAATTATAGGAGGACGCGTTAGTCGGGGCCCCCATTTAGTGCGGTGTACGTGGCAACACTGTTTCCCGGTGTAAACAACAACACAGCAAGTTAACCATACATTTTCTGGGCCGCCTTTTCGCCAATTTTCTGGAGCCAAAACACAGTTATTATCAAATAAAGTTTTTCTAAAATTTTTGTTACAGATTTTTACTATAATTTTTTAGTAAAAACTCCCGTCCGATATTTAGTTTTGTATTTGGCAGTTAGCTTAGTCGTTCGAGTATACTTCAAGAAAACAACTGTGGTCACATATTAGTAATGGCGAACCATGAAATTCGAGTATCCAGCAGCAGCTCCTGTTTAGTCGACGACGTCAAACAAAGTATGTTTAACCGTTCTTTAACTCTACAACGTTTTTTGTTTTGTTATGTAAACAATTACATTACTATTGAATTGCTATTTGCAGGAAGTGCAATGCAAGACGAATCTTTCAGGAAGTTGCGTGAAACGTTTACTATCCAGGGTAAAATTGGTGCAGGAACATTTAGCAAGGTGTACTTGGCCTACGCAAGAGGTGATCCTGAAAAAAAGCAATACGCCATCAAGCATGTAAAACAAACAACACATCCTGAGAAATTACGTCGGGAATTATTTTGCTTACTGAGAATCGGGTTAGTAAGCCTTTAGCTTGTAGTCATAAATTGTCCTTGGCAAATGAATATATTTTTACATAATATGTATCCATTGATATATTTAAATATTTTTTTTAACTTCTAATTATTATAATAATAATTTATAAGAGAGTTTAGGCTAATTATTATAATCATACATTTATCAACATGTCTATTTATATTTACAGTGGTCAAGAAAATGTTATGGGATTGATAACATCGTTACGAATTGGTAGTTCGGTTTGTTTAGTCATGCCTTACTTCAAGCACGATCATCCTTTGGTGAGTAAACTTAATGTTTGAGTTATTTAACATTTGAATTACATTAAAATATATTTTGTTTGCTCAATTTTCATTGACAACTTTGTCACTTTCAGTCTTATCTTTGTTCAATGGATGTTGACGAGCTGAGGTTGTATATAAAAAACTTGTTGATTGCTCTTCGAAGAATTCATTCATTTAATATTATTCACCGAGATGTTAAACCCAGTAATTTTTTATATAATCGTGTTAGTTCAACGTAAGTATAGTTATAATGGTATTTAAAAATTAACTTGAGTGTTTAATTTGAAAACTATTTGTTATAGTTTTATGCTCACCGATTTTGGGCTTGCACACCCAATAATAAATCCTAGTAAACGGAAACCAATTAAAAGTTTATCTGATGATAAAACTACTGTACCCACACATAAACAAAGGAGTTTAAGTTGTGAATTTAAGGTAGTGTTTCAATATTCCTCAATGTAAAATATTCTTAATTCTTTAGTTTGATTATTTATATTTTTTATTTTAGGACGATCGTAAACGTTCTAGTTCAGTAGAATCTATTCGATTGAATCCATGTCAAAAACGTATTCTACAAAATATTGCTGACGGTAGTAACTCAATGTCAAATGGATGTAATCTGAGAAAAAGAACAAAGTTAATGATGCCCAAAAAACCGTTGCTAAAAGAAAATTCCCCTGTTAAAAAACAATTTAATGTTCCTAGGACAATCGTTCCTAGTAACTCGAGCGCCATAAATAGTTTATTCACTGTAAGTACATGGCTATAACACCATACTGACTGCTATATTTGTAGTTTTTTGAGTACTACAAAATATATATTTTTTGTTTTATTACCAGGACAACAATAATTTTGCTGTTCCTAAAGTGCCACGCATTACTTGTAATTGTGTAGGACAACTTAAGGTTTGCAATGTGTGCATTAATAGACCTGAAATGCGAGCACCTCGGGCGGGAACGCCTGGTTTTAGAGCTCCTGAAGTATTGTTAAAATATAAATACCAAAATACAGGTAATTAGTCCATCATACTATTTTATAGTATTGCTGTTTTATGTAAGAATTCTGTTAACTTGTTGTAAATATTTTTTTTTTTAGCACTTGATATTTGGTCTGTTGGAGTCATTATGTTAGAAGCAATGAGCCGTTGTTATCCATTTTTTAGTGCAGAAAATGACTCTACTTGTTTGGCAGAAATGATAACTGTTTTTGGAGATAGGGCCATTAAAAACGTGGCTAAAATGCTAGGTAAATATCAAAACCAGAGTTGTAAAAAATGTATTCCAATAATGAATAACATTATTCATGAATAGAGCGCGGGTCTCTTAAATATTTATATGAGTTTTAAAAACTTTAAATACACATTGTGCTTACATTAACAAAATATGTTTTAACTGAAACAAATCTGTGTTCTATTCATGAATAAATTTATTTTTATTTTTATTTAAAGCTATAAAATAAATAATGAAAATAACATAGAGTATAAATAATTTTATTTGTAAAAAAAAATATTAATTTTTTTTTTTCTGAATAAAACATTAAATATATTCAATAATGCATGTCTCTACAAAGCACGTTTAAAAAGTTTAAACTTTAAGTAATTTTTTTTTTTTTTTATTAGGTCGAAGTGTTATTTGTGAAGTCCAAAAACCACCTCTCGACTTGAGAGCGATTTGTCGCCTTCTTTCTCATAGATCTCGTGTACAGTCTATTAACCCGGCGGCAGTTTCCTCTAGTGATGGTTTGGAAGCTTGCACTTTTTGTTTAAAACCAATACAGTTGTCCGGCTGTGAAGTGTTTTCAGATAGTTGCAGCTGTTACTTAAACGCTGCTGATGATTTTCCTTATCCAGCATACGATCTCTTGAAAAAATTGTTGTGCTTAAATCCCGTAGCCCGAATAACAGCGGATACTGCTTTAAAACATCCATTTTTTAAAATGGATGCTAAGAAAATATAATTTACTTATTTTTTAATTGGCCTTAAATCCATATACTTTCCTTTACACTCATCATTTTTTCTGTTCAATCTGTTACTTGAATATTTTTCGCCATATGTTGTGCCTCGTTGTTTTGCATTGCATAATTATAACTTCCTTCGGTTTACTTATTGAAATTCATATTTATTTTTTAATTTAATTAATCTGTAAAAAAAAGTTTGAATGAAAAACATTTCTATTAGCTATATTATGTAGCAATAATACTAATCAACGTACTTTTTTTGGCATAACTTGTTTTTTTTTTGATTTGACAGAATAAAAAAAAATTTTGTAATAAATTTGTGTAATTGTATTAATTATTTGTAAATTAACTGTATTAATTATACATTTTGTATTTAAGTCAATATATATTAATAACTTATTATTAAAAAGTATTAAGTTTTTTTTTTATACTTTTTTAGTTTTAATGAGTTTACTACCTAGTCAAACTATTAGTTTCATGATTAGATATCACAATGTTATATAACAATTTCTTTTTGTACTGTACTTTTGAATACATAAATACTGTTATGTTTAACCTAGTTATACCAAAAAATGATAATGAAATTAGTTAATTAAGATTACCTAAAAACATTTTTTGGAGTTTTATTGTATTATTAAATTAATTGACAGATAGGATATAAAACTAATATTTTTTGTATTATTTTTTACACTTTTTACTAGTTAATTATAATATAAATTGATGTAAATGAATATTAAAAATTTAGACATAATTTTTTTTGATATTGAATATTTGAATGTCATTAATTATACATGTACAACTTTGAACTTAAAATGTTGGAAGTAATTCTTTAGCCATTTTTTTTTTGTTACTTCAGCTGTTTTATTACTTAAAATATTTTTTTTATGCCGACTGTTCTTTGAAATTGAACATGGAAATACTTAGCTTGTACATGCTATAATTATTGAAAATCTAAGTTAAATTCAACTCGAATGTTAAAAACGAAGTAACTTAATGTTTTTTTTATTAATGCTAAATGTATCGGGAAATTTTTATAAAACGGATACATTTGGTTATGTTTTTTTATATACTGTATTATTACTAATTTCCTCTTGTACTTAATGGATACAATACCTCACAGGCCTGTAAATTATGGTAACTATTGTGTGCGAAATGAAACTAAGATAAGGGTTAAATCAAAAGACTGTCCAATTTAAGTTAAGTGTAATTTCTTATGCTGTATAGTGGTGTGGTTATTTTTATTGTGTCGTCATAATTTATTTGTTAGTAATAGGTAAGAAATGTTAAAACGTATTTATTCCCTATCGTTTCCAGTGTTATGTATTTATACATTTTTGTTTGTAGTCAAAAAAATAATATACATTGTCCATTTAGTAATTTATTTAATTGTTGAAATCCATTATCACTTAGTAAAATTATTACAGCTCTGATACTTAAGTCTTGTTTTTTTTATAATATTATACTCCATTGTAATTTAAATGTGTAGCTATTAAATTAATGGTCAGTGAAAGTGTCCCCATTGTGTTATATTCAGTTGTTATTTTTTTACAAACGTATTACAATTATATTGTTAAATTATTCAAAATGTACCTGTACTATACATAATTCACGATTTAATATCGTTCATATACTGTTTGTAGTTGTTTACTTGATTTGTGTATTGAGACATTATATGATCTTACATGAATACAATAAAATATTGTGTTTTTTTTTGTTTTTATGAAAAATGAAATTCGTGTAAGTATAGCTACATTTTTATACCTACTTAGCAACAAAGGCGAGCTGAATAAAATTGTATCCGAATAATAATTGTTTAGAATAATAAACCATGAAAGTTTTATTCGTGAATAATTATTCTCTCAAATGATTAAAAAAAACTCGCACGATTTAGACTTATTTACAACTTATTATTCGGTAATGTTTAAGTAATTATTTTTAGTCGTTAATAAAAAATGAATAACTATTCACCGAATAATCAGTGTTTTGTGACCATTTTTACGTATAACCAATACTTATACAATAAAATAATACATCTGTATATATGTGCATGGATTTTTGTTCTAGTCACGCGTTAAAGCTGTTCAATTGGCTTGGGGCTTTTCCTATCACTTATGATCAAGACAAAGAACTGTTCCGACTGTCCAAACATGGAATATTGATTAGTTCAGTGTATATCTGTGTTATTATCGTGTACATCAATGGCGTCCTTGGTCGGGTCCTTAGGGGCGATACTATGAAATTATCGGCTGTGTCTGCGATTATCCACTGTTGTTACACCTTCGGTTTGTTGATCTTATTGTTAAGAAGATTATTTTGCATAAGAGACATGATCAAGAGCTATAATTATTTATCCGGACAGTTGCTGGCCAACGTTGTAGTTCCAAAAGAATTTGTAATTGTGGTCATTTTTAGTATAGCAGAAATATTTATAGAATTCATCGGATACGTTGTTGAACGGTAGGCAATACGAGAACCTTTTCAAGTTCTATAATTTATCTATCTAACTATTTATCTTACAGATTTTAGAAAATCCATTTTAGTATATACCCATAGTTGAAATATGCAGGTTATTACACATATCGTATCGTATTGTTATCTTAAGAAATAAAATGGCACCGTAACGGGATATCAATTATATACTAGGTATATACTTCACAATTACTAAATATTTGATCGTGACTTATATACTTGATTTTGATTAGCTGCCCATTACGCTGACATATTTGTTTTTATCATCGAATATTTGATGAAGAAGGGAAAATGTGTTATAACCTGGTATATTTCATTCATGTATACCAAGTGTATTAGTATACTTGTCTACATAGGTATATACGGTACACCTATTAATTTGTAATAGGCAATGTATAGCAATATTTACAATTAAACATAATACCTACTTATACAGACAAACCATGCCGTATACTTTTTTAGTAACCATTTCAAAAAATGCAATGCCGTGGTTTGCCTGTCTGTTGTTTAATCTATGCAATAGTCAAATCATTTCTTTTTTCATCTAATAGCGATTTTGAAGTAGTGTAGAATTTACAATAACGATTGACGTAGATATCACTTTGTTCGATGAATCTTATTGATGTAATTTCTTAGAGCAATTATTAAGTGCGCTTAAACACTATAGTATACTAATATTATTGTATACTGTGTATGTTTTAATCTAGGTAGGTAAACATTTTATTGTAAAATGTGTCTGAATATAATTTTGAATCCCTTAAAAATGTGGTTAATTATTCTAGTGTAGGAAATTGATATAAAGTAGCAACAGGCAACATTTATACACGAAATTACATCTAATGTTGATAATATCATAGTAGTAACCTATTATATTCAGAGAGATATATTAAAGACCAGATACGTGTTATTTATCTTCGAAAAATATAATATTCATATATTTGATTTTATAGCATATATTTTGTAGAAATTATTTTAAGATATTACATTACTCTATTTTAAAATTGAATTTTTATAACTTGATCAACTTATGAAGTTCACGAGGGAACTTTGGTATATATTTGATATTTCCAATTTTACCTGAACTTTTTAACATAAAATATAAAAGGTATAGAAGCCTATTTTATTTATAAGTAAGCAGTTTGACGTTTCAGATGTTTCAGAAAAAAATAGTGTACCTACTGTTTTAAATCCTGTATAGTCAAGAGAAAGATATTTTAATGTTATTCGACCACTGTAGAACTGAAAAAGTATACAATATTTATTTAGATATTTAGTAACAATTCTGTGTTAATGCCAAAGTATCGTGATTCGTGCAGTATGTGGAGTATTAAGTGCAGTATATTTTAAAGGTTTTTTTTACCTGTCTATTGCTGCTATCTTTGATTTATACGATTTCTGATTTGTATAACCCAAGAAAAGAATTTCAGATCAAAATTTTCGAGATGTTATATTAAGATAAACTGCGATTAATAGTTAAAAATAGATTAAAAATGTTTACACAGTATTATGTTTAAATTTCAATGGTAATAACTTTTAACTAATTAATACCATGTACCTACCAAAATATCATATTTGAAGGGAACTTGAAAGATTTTGCTTTGGCCTTACATTTTTAAGTGTTTTACATTTTAATTAATTATAAAATGTTAAATGTAACAGAAAATTAAATGGTATGGTCATCCGATCGACCAGAATGATGGAATTTCCGTTTTTGGCTATCGAGATGCAATTAATATTTGTGTTCCAAATGATGGGTCAGATGTACAGCCATTTAAATCAAAATGTACACATTGCTCTGGTTAACAATCTGATGGTGTTTCAAGATATCAGAAAACAGAATCTCGAGTTGTACAAGATTTTCCGGAACTTTAACGCACACTACAATATAGATATCATATTACACCTATCTTCCTGTCAGTTACGTATGCTCCTTGTAGTATACAAATGCATACAACAGTAAGTATATTATTCATCTCGATAACAGTAGAAAATGTATAATTCACAAAATCTACTAAAAATTGATTACTACCTAAATACCTACTGACCTACACTTAACAATTCAACATGTGTAAAAACGATAAATTCACCCCCCCCCCCTATTCTTATAATATAAACGTAATATAATTATTTTTTATGTTGATTATAATACTAGTGTTTATTCTGACGTTTATAGTGCCGGTTTTATTAATTTTGTTAGCAGTTTTACAAAGAACTATTTAACAGTATTCCCCGGGATAGTACGGATCATAAGAATCATAACAATTTTGATCTATATGATTGAATCCAGTACCTATTTACACCAATCGGTAATTTATCTAAATACTAAGTAAAAAATAAAAAATGTTTTCGTTATAAATATTATACTTCATGATGTGTACATTAATTGTTGTTTAATTTTCAGAGTACTTTAATATTCTACCACATTTTGCGGAGTAGAATTACCTTTTTGACAGACGAAGCTAGACATCAGGTATGGTATCCAACAATTACAATAAGTTTTATTAAATTTATTTGATTACACGTGTATTTTTTATCACTTTTACCTATCAATTATATTGTAAAAACAAGATTATGTTGAAACAATTAAAATATAATAAATAAAAAAAAAAAACCTATCAATTATTAATTTATTTCGGATATTTTTTTAGACCCAACTAAATGGTTTATGATTTGTTTTGTTTTTACTTAAATCGTAGTCTTTTATTATTATTTCTAATAACAATACTATAGCAGACTGTTTTTAAGAACTTTATTTTTTGTGAAATGAATAACACGGAGGGAACATGTATTGGCATCCTCGAATATTTCATTGAATAAGTGACAACGTAACATTGTGAAATTAACTTAACTAAAACCCTAAAACCCTAAAACCCTAGCTAAGAAACTAAGAACTATTAACAGAATTAATATCAAAACAGTATTTGTGTAATGTTAATGTTGATTTTTAGCTCTATTTATTATTGAACGAGTTGAATGCCACTGAAGCAATAATAACGGCGAATAATTGCTATGATCTCAACAGGAAATTTTTGTACTCGGTAAGTTTAAAATGATACTTACCGTTATTCCAGGAAAAATATTATTCCCATCCCAATAGCACCGGAAGGTTGGATAGATAATGGATAGAGTTCCCGGTATTAAATAGGAAGCAAATAAGACTATCCCACCGCCCACGTATGCCGAATGTCTATTAAATATATTTGTAACTTGCTTTACAACTTAAAATTGTATTTTTATACTCCTTAAGAATAATATTTTTTTTAAAATTTAATCTCATAGACTATTGCAAGTAATCGGTAATAGACTAGTAAAGATGTCAAACAATTATCAATTTATCGGACTTTGAATTTTCTGAAGTAAAGCCTATATTTAGTCTTGAGCATACTCTCATATAATTTTGTTTCCAGTGTTTTTTTCTTTTCTAATTTTTACGGTTTTAAAAATAAAACAAAAAGATTCAATTTCTCAGTATTTTTTTTTGAAAATTTTTCATTTTGTTAGAAATGTTTCTTCTTAATTTGTAGTTAAAATTTCATGAACATCAGTTTTTTGTTAGTTACTGGGACAAAGATTTTAAACGGGGCTCAAAATCAGATTTTTAGCTTAGCATTCCCCCCCCCCCTAAAAACACATATTATGTTAATTACCAATTAATTATCCGGTTATTAAGTAATTAAGACTTAGTGTTTACTTCTTGCAGGTTGCCGGTTCTATTGTTGCGTACTTCATATTCGTCTTAACATTTATGTATCAGCGGTATTAGTCATTAGAAAATATATCACAAATTACAACTATTACACTGGTCAACAATGATTTACTTTAAATTTGTTGCCATCGAAATTAAAGCTATTGTAATAAATTTTTGATGCACTGTTTTAAAAAAATGATGACAGTTTGTTTAGATTTGCTTTAGGTTCATCCGTCAAATTTCAGAATACCAAATAGTAGAAGGGAAACTTACATTCTGGGACAATACGATGATGGGTGATTGGGGCGATTACGGAAGATTGGCCGCCCAAGGTGATTCGCCGCCGTAGGTGATTTCTGTGGAAAAAATTCGCCGCCGTCTTGTTGCCCTAACCTAACCCAAGGATAATTCGCCGCCGTCTTTACCTAACATAGACCAGCGTGTCCGGTAAATTTATATCCATTATGGCCAAAGAAAAATAACAATTACAAGCAAATCTTTCGTTTTGATCGACCGTACCGAGCCCCAGTACAGGGCTATCGCTTTGTCCATTTTACTTTATTATTGTTAACGGCTATTTATTTCATAAAAATTTAATGTGGATAATACATACAAAATACTATAATATTTTTTAAATCGTTAGAATAGGTAAAATTATAACTATGAATTTTGTATGTATTATCCATATTAAAATATTATGAAATAAATAGCCGTTAACAATAATAACATAAAATGGACAAAGCGATTATTTGAGTTTTATTAGGGGTGAGGATTTTTTTCTTTGGCCATAATGAATATAAATTTACCTATTCTAACGATTTTAAAAATAATATAGTATTTTGTTGGTATTATCTATATTAAATTATTATGAAATAAATAGCCGTTAAAAATAATAATAACAAAATGATAAAAATGAAAGAAGTGTTTGTAAAGGTTTTTTTTCTTTGACCATATTGGATATAAATTTACCGGACGCGCTGGTTTATATTTATGTTAGGGCAACAAGACGGCGCGGCGGCGTATCACCTCGGGCGGCCAATCCTCTGTAATCATCTTATGTGGCGCGGCGGGTAGGTTAGGGCAACAAAACGGCGGCGAATCTCCCGTAATTATCCCAATCATCCATCATCCTATTGTCCCAGAATGTACGTTTCCCTTCTATTCCAAATTAAATTACTATTTGATTTTAATATAATATTAATGTATTCAAAATTGTAAATGCTATTAAAATTAATATATTATAATAATTTAAAATGGTTTGCCTATAAGTCAAAAGTATGTACTAAATACTAATTATATTACCCACTTTTAGTATTTTAAACATGAGAAACTTATGTGTATTTAAATATGTTTTAATTTTTTTAATAAGTAATGCAATTCTACAACAACTATTTTTATATTTTGTTTCCTATAAAAATAATAATTATAAAAGTTAGTAAAACATAATATTTTAAACTGAACTTATACTAAAGCATAAACATTGATAAAAAACAGAATTGCAAACAATTAATCATTGAATGCACGAAAGCGGAAGGCAATGAACTTAAAATTAACTCCCGCCGAAATATTTTTTCTAAAACTAAGGAGAATGAGCAATAAAAACAAATGGTCTGTACACGCTAGACCACGGTAGAACTCGTATGAATGATTATCAGTTTTTACTATAGTAATAAAGACGCATGGAATGATTTCGTTAATCAACTAATGCTAAATTTAAATTCACGAACGTAGTTGTTTGTTTTTATCAATATTTTCTGTGTAATTAATTGTAACTAAGACGTAAAGTAAGCTATAAGCATAGTCCATAGAAAATAAAATATCTAACATCTCTAATTAGATTACAGTTCTAGGATGGTAGGAATACTTATATATAATTTTAAGTTCATCTGCTTCCGCTCTCGTGTATTCAATGATTAATTGTTTGCAAACACCATAGATAACAAAAAAATGTTCAATAAATTGTCTTACACTTTAGAAATATACTCAAAACAGTTTTGTGTAGGGATTTAATGTTTTAAAAATGTTATATATCAAATGTTGTAAAAATATTTTTACTACGCGGCCATGTTTTAACAAAATTTTTTAGTTACATTTTTGAAACATTGAATCCCTAGACAAAAATGTTTTGGAAATACTTTTAAAGTATTAAACGATTCACTGAAAAAAACATTTAAACCCATTCTCCATTCATGCATTTTTCCACGAAAGCATAACTCATTTTTAGTACTACATATAATGTATTATATTTGATGTACCGACACATACACACCAACATTGAGACAGTATACATAAGTAGGCCGTAGCACACTATAACTTAACTAAAAAGTTGTATAATTTTGAAGGAACGGTCGATTTTGCGGTGTATTGTTATTTATTATAAGTGTCATGTCGTTTGTTTTTTTTTGTACATAATTGTTTTTCAGGTCGCTTCTGCTATATAGTAGCGTATGTATGCTAAGTATTTTACTGTGAAACTAAATGACCTTATAAACGATAGCTTTGTTATTTCTGCGCTGTACGCAACGTTCAATTAAGTTAAATTAGCTTAGGTTATTTCTTTAAGAGGACGTCCGTTTATTAAGTGTATAACTATTGCTTGGATTAATCTATTTGATTAGTAAAGGTGGCCACACACTTAAGTTTTATTTCTCGGCGAAGCGTGTTCGGTATTGTTTGTACACCATACACGTATAGTGTGTGGGTTTTAAAATGGAAAAAAAAATACCGTACACGGAAACGGAATGAAAACTGAGTTATTTGATTTTTCGTTCCGTGTTTGGTGATCAGTGTAAACGGAAGGTGATTGCTTATTTTTGGTGTTCGAGCTAAACCGAACAGTTTTAAACATTTTAAAATTAATATTTACCAAATTATTATTATAAATTAGATATACATACATAATATATAAATATATTTAATATTTTTAATTTGAATAAAATTATAAACAATATAATATAGATTTAAATAATTTATATGCACTCACATACATACACATGTTATTAATAATGAATAATGATCATTGATTATACAAGGTGATTTTTTTTTTGTTCTGTAGTGTTTTTATACAATTTAATCTCAATTTTTAATAACATAATTTTTTACCCCCTTTCAAGTTAATTATTTTTGTATACAATTTTGAAAGTTACATAGAAACATATATATTTTATTAACTTCTTAAATATACTGAAAATGTAGTCTGGTCGATAACCAGTTTTGAGTTATTACTTTTATAATGTTATTAGAATTTAAAAGTTAGAACGGTATAACCTTTACGATGAAAAATCATATCTGCATTGCCCGTTCCTATCGGAGGGCAGTGGTAGGCATTTCCTATATGCAGTGTTAAATGTTGGGTAAAATTACTTATTTATACATATATTTTCAATTTTTGTCAATTGGGTCTTGTTATTTAAATTGCACATGACATAATATTGGTGAACTAGTTAGAGGGGACACATATTTAATATGAGATTATAGTTTAAAATTGTAGGTAAATTAAATAAAACTCAACTAAAATATAAAATAATAATATATTTATAGAATCTATATCTAAAGGCGGACAGCAAGATTACACAGCCAATATATTGCCTGTTCGTCGCACTTGGGTAGCCATTTATGCCTCCCTCATAATATATTGTTCGGGGGCATTCCACTACAATGTGTCTGATAGTCTGAATATACCGACAATTGCAGCGTGGTGAGTCTTTTATTCTCCATTTATGTAGAAGATAATTGCATTTACCTTGTTCCGTTCTAAATGTAACAGGGAAAATGTAATTATTGGGTCTTAAAATGTATTGGAAAAAAAAGTAACGAGTATTTAAAAAAAAAAAAAAATACTTCAAACAGAAACTTGATAAACGCGTAGGTACGACATAAATCACTTATAATAAAATGTAGTTAATTATTTTTACTTTTTCTCTATGATTTAAGTCACTAGCCGTATTCGAGTTGGCCAATGGCTGTTGGCAAGACACGTGGTGCTCGGGATACGGTTTATATTATATCAGTCTGGTCGGCATATTAAAAAAAAAACATTGTGGAAGGACGGCGGCGCTATTCCCACATGTGTTTATCAACTGACTATGTAAAGTCTGACGATTTGGCAGGCGCTGTGGGCGGGGGTGGCGTGATGTGTGTAGTGTGTACTGTGCGAGTGCGCGCGTAGAGTGCCACTGGTCTTGTTGGGTCTGCCGTCTGTGTTCGCTGTGGCCGTTCGTCGCATTCAACTGGCGTCCGGCTTCACCGACGCTTATATGATTTATTTTATTGTTTCACGCCCTATTTTTAATTCTGTCTTAAATTTTAAAGTGAAGATTTCCGAGTATAAAATATTTTTCTGTTTCGACCGGCACACTGTTGATGGGAACAACGACTTACGGCGATAAACGCAAACGCGTGTCGAGGTAACAATAATTACTAGCTTTATTTGTACTATTATTATTTACTTTATTTTATGTCTTACAATATGCATCACTGTTGTACGAAATGGGGAGCGCATGCGTTAGTGTGATACTGCCGGCGAATCGATCGCCGGTGCCTGGCAACACACGACAGGCGTGCGATTTTCAAAAACCAACCCTTCGGCATGTTATAATTTTGACCGAATGGTTTTTGTTGTTGAAAACAATCACTATGGTCTGTAAAATTGCCGTTAACAAACTTCGTATTCACTTGAACCCATATTGATTTTTACTAACAAAATTTGTCGAAAAATATAGGCAAAATTTGACGTAGGTTTATTTAATATCATATTTTTATGTGTCCTTAGTTCGAGTGTCAGAAAATTAAAAAAAAAAAAATTAGTATTCAAATTTAAAATGTTAACTGACGAAATGGTGTTGATATGAAAAATACATATTATTGCAATTTTTTAAGGTGTCAGAGTAAAATTCGCATCATAAACAACAACGCACTCGATAAAGTGACACCATGATAGTAATTTTAGGTACCAGGTACACTATATTTATACAACAATTATCTGTTTTATTACAAATCAAAGTCTATTTAATTAAAATATTTCGTTAAAACACACATAGTTGAAGAATCATGATTTTTTATATGTGTAAAGTTGATCACAGGATTTTTAGTAGGCACATAGAAACTATGTTGGTATTGTGTTGTAAAAATATTTGGCCTTTTATGATGTTATAAACATTTTATCTAAAGTAAAAAAACGGATTAACGCGGAACATAAAAAAAAATTAACTCGGTCATGCTCATCACATTTTTACTTTTAATCTATTGCAGTATAGTTTGTATAATATATACCATGTAGTATTATTTCTTTTGTATTTATTCTTATTTTTAATTTTGATTGCCATAATTCTTTTCAAATACAATTTAACATAAATTAAGTTAATCTTTATTACATAGACTATTATCACATAGGGCATGTGCAGATGGACTACAGAATTAGGTACTTGTAGATAATAGGTATAGGCATAGCAATGGCATTGTTAAGTTCTCGGTATTTTCTATTTTTCAAGCCTACATAGTATGTTTTCGTTTTCTTCATATTATATACTTTATATTATTGATTTTTTTATTATTAATGTTTTTACTTATTGTTATTGTAAATAAATTGTTGTTTCTTTGAATATGATAAAAGGATTATTTAACTGAAATAGACAATATAAAATACAGTAGAATAGACGAAAAATAAGTACTGACGTCCGATAAGAACTTTTGTTTATAATACGTATATATCTAATTGATTGATATGTATGTGATTTTTTATGAATGAAAACAACTAATCGTCCAATAGTAAGACGACAAATAATATTATGATTTATAATAACATCATCTCATGTTTGCGCTACAGAAATATAGAATTAAAAATGTACTTACACGCTTGTAAAATCACTGGCTTTGATGATTTTATCTACCCACGCACAATGTATGACTGGTCTATTTTTGTAGTGTTGTTTGGACCCTAATCTACCTATAGACCATTGATCTCTTTTAACAAGCTGACAACATGACTATCGACGACCTCCTGCTTAAGGTTGGAAATTTTGGGACATATCAGAAACGAATCTATTTTTTTTTGTGCCTACCAGCCATTTCATGTGCTCTGCACAAACTGTCTGGCGTGTTCTTACTGGCCAGACCCAACCACAGGTTTGCAACACATTCAAATATAACATTGCATTATGGTAGTTTTTATTTCAATTACGAGTTTATTTACACAGATGTCAATTGCCCGACGAATTACCCAATGCGACCTACACACTGCCATCGGAAATCATGGATCGTTCCTACCCGCATGATGTTAAAACCGACACATGGTCTTCGTGTAAATTGTTCGTCCCCAATGTCACGGACGTTTATAATAATGGTCATGACCGATCAAATGCCAGTCAATATTGTAACAGATGGATATACGATAGAGATACGTTTAAAAATTCGGCAGTGATGGAGGTAATGTAAAAACGGTTAAATTGAAAGCATCGTTTGACCTTTAACATTCCTAACAATGATTAAAATTATATTACTATGATTATGTTTGTATAGTTTGATTTGGTGTGCGATAAAGCTTTTTATAAAAGTACCTCAGACTCTTTGTTAATGGTCGGTGTCATGCTGGGATCAATTATATTCGGCTACTTATCAGATAAGTAAGTATTTCGGTGATCATACAATTTTTCAAACAAAAAATGTGTTATTTTAGTGGCATATAACATTGCATGAGTACTAAACTACGTATTCAGTGGAATATATCTTGAACAATAAATGTAAGAGGCATAAAACAATCACGCCACGTGCAATAATAAATTAGCTACACTTAATATTTAACAAGAGGATATTATAAAATATTATGTAGGGATTACTACCGGCAATTAAAAAAGCGTTTGCAATAATAATATATTTTGCATTATGCAAACTAATGATTATAAGTAAAATATCATGAACGTAGAAAATTATAAAACTATTATTAGGTAATAAATTATAATAAATTGATCTAATTATTATAATTGCAAACGCATACCTAATACGAATATAATGAATATTGTAAGCAAGAATGAGCGTACATTGACGCCTAATTAAAATCAAACAATATAACCATATTTTGATTTAATGCAATTTACATTGACCTAATATGACAATACTATACAACCCAAATTCGGAACAACAACCGAAATATATCGATTTTTTAAATCGCTTCTAAAGTATTAAAAAAACATCATTTGGTGGTATGCTCATCGTTTTTTTTGTAAAATTGAGTAATTTTCTAAATTTTATTTAAAATTAAGTGCTATATTCTATTTACTTTCCTGAGTTTTGAACTGCGGTCTTAGAATTAATTAGCGACCAAAATTAAATAAAATGTATATATTTTTAGTCTTGTTCTAAAAGGAAGATTACGCACATAACTATGAACAATGGAAGCCCTATTTTCACGTAAACGCAGCTGTTTTTTTCGCACATTTTTAGTTAGACATAATAATAACATATTAAATTAAATAATCGGCTGTTTTAAAACTTTCAAACATTACACATATAAAAATCATAAACAAATTTCATTCGCCCTTTAAAACGCTTAAGACTTTCTGCTGGCATAATTATTATTATAATATCATGGACTGACAGGTTTAAAATTGGTGTACCTTTTTACAGTAACTATACAGTGAACTATCAATTAATACATTCAAATAAGGGTTCTTTAAAATACATTTAAACATCATAGTTCATCACTACATTAACTTTGCAACTTTATTTTACTTTAGCGTGCCATAAAAAAATTGTTTGACTAACATTCTTACAAAATAAAATAAAATTAGAAGCTTTTAAGAATATAGCTTGCTTGTAGCGTAAGATTTTATAGATTTAGGTTCAGGGGTTCTTAAAAAGTGTTAATTACTAAACTGTAATTTATTATGGCGGAAATCAAAGTAAAACTTTTGGCGGAAATCAGACTTGATAATAACGATCGTGGGTCACTTTGACAGAAAACTGAAACCTATTAGGGAAAAAAGCTAACCCGAAATAGTTATATAAGATAGCAATGTGCGCAAACGAGTTATCCTATAATCGGCAAAAATATTATTATATGGATATGCGCAAAAAAGTTTTCGCCAGAGATATCTTTTTTTACAAACATTTTGTTGTTATTAGGATTGGAAGAAAACATATTTTTACCATATCTATTTGGCTGCAGGGAATCACTGGCTTTGGTTTGGCATTTGCTCCAAACTATTGGACATTCGCTCTTCTTAGAGTGTTCCTAGGAGCATCAACGTCAGGAATGTACTTGGCCGCTTATGTTATAGGTAAATCATAGATGGACGTTTATTTTTTATTATTATAAACTATGAATTGATGAATTAATTGAGATAATTATTATTATTTTCCAAGCTTATCAACAAAATTTAAAAATATAACTGTTTCTTTCATAAAATTACTCATATATAATGCATAAGATTGTTATTTAATTATGTAAAATAATGACAGTCCAATGACCACAGCTGTCGCGGACTATATTTAATAAAAAAAAAAAATAATTATTATTTTTATTTATTGCATCAATAATTAGGCATATCTGTTTAAAAAGATTAACTACAGTTAGTAATAAATTATCATAAGGTATTATTTGATTTGATTGCTTGCCTGCTAATTGTTTTTATATTGTTAAATATTTTTTTTATTTCTTTTAAGTAAATCGATATCCTCGCGATACATTTTCAACCAATTTAGCTTTTACTTCTTACAGTTTTTCGGTTTGAATAGTAATGACTTGATAATATATTCAAAGAAAAGTTTTAAAAATATGTTAAGGTAATTTTGTTTAGTTGGTTTTATGCTTGATCTTTTATTAACCTTGAAATTTTTCTTTTTTAAGTTTTAAATAAAAATGTAACATAATATTTGTAATATGGTTACAAACTTAATACGTTACTGTAGCTCGTTTTTTATGGTTTCATAATACATTGGTACTCGGCTGTACTATTATGATTTTTGTAAACAACCAATTATGGCTTATAGTTTACTAATTTACTTTTTAGTATCTAAACAATAACATGACTGAAAATATCCTAAATGCTTAATGACAGAGTATTGAAAATCTGAGGTATGTGTTTATGAAGTTTTACTAAAAAGCAACACATACAAATATATCAGTTATAACGACGTGTTCATAAACGTGTAATACAATAATATTTAATGCTTTAATTTTTGCTTTACCTAAAAACATTAATATTAAAAAAACCATCTGCTATTTATTCATAACTGAGACTACTTGCTCAAATAGAGAGTCGTTCATAAGTGATTTCGGCTGTAAAAATAATTTATTTCACTTCAGATTTTTTAAAAATGTTTTCAGTGAAGATAATTCATGTTTTGGGTATTATATCTCGGTATTTGTTCCTCCATTACCGTTAAGCCATGAAGTTCTACCAATTGATGGCTTCTTCACTTAAGACTTCAGCCTCTATAAATTATTATTAACTAACTTAATTTTATTTCTTTAATTATTGTTTTATATTGCTTAATAAACATTAGTCACTTGTACTTCTTGCAAAAAAAAAAAAAACATTAACAGATCGTACAATTTCTAAAAAAAAAACATCTTGCCGTAATAAAAAATATTAGGAGTATCAAATAAATAGTATTAGTTCATGATTGACTCTTAAGTATAATATTTAAGAGTTTTTGTGACATTATACAAATCCCATTTTCAAATAAGTTGTCGTCGAGAATTTTTTGCCATGATTTGTAGTATAAAGTTAAATTTGAAAAAGTTTTTTAAATTCTACTATTTGTTAGTTCATGATATCCTTAACTTTTACATTAAATAATTGTGTTTATTTATTTGTGTTGAGTTTTAATTTATAATTAATATAAAGCAAACGTTTATCAATTTAACTTATTCCAGACACAGTATTTGGCCCTTGTAGAATTATGTGGTGCTCGGGTGAAAGGTTTTACATACAAAATTAATAGATATAAAACTTTTTGCGTTCTTTAAAAATACTAAATAAATTTGATTGGGTTAGGTTTAGTTAATGGGTACATTTTGAGTTTGATAAATTATTATTACACATATGCGGTATTCATTTATTAACTTGGCATAAATTATTTTTAACAATGTACTACGCACAATATCGCACATGGCACATTACAGATTTGTAAAATAACTGTAATTTATAATGTAGTTCAATAACGCTACAAATAACGTTCGTTTAATAATAAGTACAATTATTATCACGGAGTTCATAGTTGAATCCTAATAACAACAGTAATGATTCCGAAATTAACCATATCATTTGATTCGAGACATTGTAGTTTTTTCGTCAATGACAACCTTCGTTTAAATAATTAAACAATCGTCTATAGTCACAACTATATATTGTAAGCCTAAGCCTAAGTTATTAATATAATCTTATAAGCTTTTTTTATCGTCTCCCAAATATTTCCATTTATATTATGAAACATTTGTGTTGATATCTTTTATAATAGTTAAAACAATATATTTTTTTTAAGTACAGCTAATAAAATGCGTATTATACTTGCAGGTCTAGAATTTGTCGGTCCCAGCAAACGAATGTTTGTCGGAGTCGTTATGCAAATGTTTTTTTCCACTGGATTTATGTTAGAATCCGCATTTGCATATTTTTTCACCGACTGGAGATACTTTCAAATAGCCATTACTGTGCCAACTTTATTTTACACGTCATACATATTGTTAGTAGTAAATATACATGTATATTATATGATTTTTACATTTCAAGAAGGGTAATTGTCCATTAGTGTCAATTTTTCAAGAGAGCAAGAACAAAGTGAGTTAAGGCGTACAAATTGATGTGTCAATCATTTTTCAAGGCGCTAAGTTGGCTCCACTGTTACCTTTATTTTTACTAAATGGATCTCAATTCGTTAACTCAATATTGAAAAAAAAATGGATAAATACTCTTCTTCCCCTGTACCTTTCATTTGCATACACTTAACCTCACTAGGTTTTTTATATTTCCTAAGCTTCATACCTGAATCGGTTCGATGGTTGATCGCCAACGGAAAACAGGAAAGAGCCGTTAAAATAATGACAAAATTAGCACGCGTAAACGGCGTTGACATATCGAGCACAGACTTGGCCAATGTTATGAATACCGATGTCGAGGGGAATAAAACAACGGGACAATCCGAAGAAAAATCAAAGGCTTCGTTTTTTGATTTATTCAAATATCCAGTAATTAGAAACCGTTCATGCATTATTATGCTTTTGTGGTAATTAATAATATAACTACTATTCTTATTATCTAGTCGTTTAAGTTGTACCTCATTTGTAGTTTTATTACGATTATAAGTTACATCTTACATACCTATTACTCATACTAATAATGTTATTGTTTAAATATAAGGAAATATGATGTATTTTCGAAGAATTCCGTACCAAGTCTAAAATTGCTAATCGAGATTAAGAAAAATGAGATAAAAAATTTATAATTACTATACACATTGTTGTAGATTTCATGTTATCACTTATCTTTTTACTAAGTCTCTGGCGATGTAATGCTATTGTTTCTCATTTGCACTTTCCAAACAAATGAAACATTATAGTTGTTTTTCTAAATAATAAATTCTGACTAAGAAATACACGAATGCTACTGAAAGAATTTTGTACTTAAACCTAAGATAGTTTTAAAATTTAATCCTACATCAATATTTATAATGCTGTTGATCGTTTTTAATAACCCATTTATTGGGTCATATAACTTTTTATTCCATTTCGGCTCTTTAACCAAAAAAACTCCTAGCTATATTTGGTATTTTCGGACATCTTTGTGGACCTAATGTGGGTCAACAAATCAGGCGGTCAGGTCAATTTTAGATTCAAGTCCACCAAAAGTACCCTTAAAAGGAATATTCTAACTAACCCTACAAATGTCTTTTGTTTTATGGTATTTAAATCAAATGTAGGATGTACGAGAATGTTATCTATTTTAACATTAAGTCATATAACACTAGAATAGCATATATTTGTAAACCATTACTGTAATAGATAACAAAGGTGTATTTTACCATGACGTAATACTAGGTTCAGTGATAGATGTGATGTGTATACACTCAAGATTATATGACAAAAGTTAGTGTCAAAAAAAAGAAGACGTTTGAGGAATTTCTAATTGTTTTACTTAATTTTGAATGTATAGACTATATTATGTAGCCACTTCACTAGAATGATGACTCCGATCACGTGCTCTATTTATTATTATACATTTACATACCGAACATGATACTTATGTGTTTAAATTTCAAATCTTTGTGAACATTATTTATTAAGATTATTAGGTAGGTAGCTATAAAAAATCTTAACGGTGATAAGAAAAAAAAAGTTAAACCATATAATCTAACCACAGTTACAAATAACAATATTATATTAATTTTCCATAAAATCAGGTGAAAATGATGAAATATGGTTCAATTATATAGGTACATTTTTTTTTATTGTAAATATTTTGTAGGTTCGTTAATAGTTCTGCGTACTATGGTTTGTCGTGGAGTACTTCTAATCTTGGAGGAAATCAGTTGTTGGTATTTTCTCTGATGGGATTAGTCGAGTTCCCTGCCTACACGTTCCTGCTGTTGACGCTCAATCGTTGGGGCAGGAAGATAAACATATCTGGATTTTTAATTTTAGCAGGAATATCCCTTCTAGCAACTCTTGCCGTCCCAAAGTGTGAGTAAAACGTTCAGGCGAACGTATTGAAATCAACCTTATAAACCTACACTTAACTAATACCTAACTTATAATAATTAACTTTGTAAACTTCACGTTAATCGTGAACAACCAGTTGTTTAAAATCGTTAGAACCCTATGCATTTTACAGCTAACTCGTGGCTGCTGATATTCTGTGCCATGCTGGCTAAATTAGCCATAACTGCGTCGTATGGTGCTGTTTACGTTTATACCGCAGAACAGTTTCCCACAGTAGTACGGAATATGGGCTTGGGGGTCGGCTCATTTTTCGCTAGAATTGGTGGAATCGTCGCCCCTTACATTAACCACACGGTAAGATAATATTATTATGTTGTTTGATATGACGTGTCGACTTGACAATGTAATACGTTTAAGAGTTTGTTTTCAAATTTCCAGTCTGAAATTTGGGTAAACACGCCATTAGTTGTGTATGGTAGTTTGGCTCTGTTAGTAGGAGCTTGGTCGCTTGTACTGCCCGAAACGTTGAACAAGAAACTTCCGGATACAATCGAAGATCTCATTTTTATGTCAGACAAGTAAGTCAACACCCGTTAAATCGTTAAACTAGTATAAGTACGATTTTGGTGGATCTCTAGTCCTCTTGATTCTTTAATCGATTATTCTTTTACTACCTGTACATCAAATGATAATTTTATTTGGAGACTGGTTTGTGTGTAATATTTCAGTGTGGTAAACTATAGTAAACTATATAAACATAATAATTAACCAACTTGAAATTTTGATATTTTTTTGACCAAGAACTATAATACTAATGTTTTTTCTGAACCTAGCATCAATTTTTTTCTAGTACGTCTAGTTGTTTTTTAAACCCCCTTTCAAATTGTAAAAAAAACACTGTTTGGTGATATTTTCAGAATGATTAAATATATATATATCTTTAAAAAAATTTTTTTTCTGAATTAAGAAACAAAATCTTCGAAGTAATATAAAACTTGAATTTTTCTTTTTACTTGAATAATAATTAGAAAATTACTATTCTTCTTCTTCTTCGTAGTTGACGGCCTTTAAGACCAAACTGACAAACATATGCCATGCCATCTCTCTCTATCTTCCGCTAGGACTCGCCAATCAGCATCCGGTTCAACCCGCTCCACATCTTTTGACACCTGGTCTTCCCACCTCAACCTTGGTCTACCAAGTGGTCTTACGCCTTCTGGAGAGCCACATAGTACCTTGTGTATAAGGGCTCTTTCTTTTCGCCATGCGTGGCCAGCCCAAAAGAGCCGCCTCTTTCTTATATCGTCGATTATGTTTGGTTTCTGATAGAGCTCCCTGATCTCCACATTATGTCTGATTCTCCACTCTCCTGTATTCCTATTTATACAAGGGCCAAAAATCGACCTCAAAACTTTTCGTTCAAATACTAAGAGGTTATTCTGTTATATCTTATGAAGTGTCCAAGTTTCGCATCCATACATCACCACTGGTCGAATAAGTGTTCTATACAATTGTACCTTTAGGCTCTTAGACAGCATTCTTGATTTAAACAGCTTGTTCAATCCAAAATAGCATCTATTGCCTACATGTATTCTTGCTTTTATCTCCTCCTGTATTTTATTATTCTGTGTTATAAGTGTACCTAGGTACTTGAACTTCTGTACTCTGTTAAATTTATATGCCCCCACTTCCAGATGCGTGTGTACATCCTCCGGCAAAATCGCCCTCTGAGCTATCATGTACTTTGTTTTTTCTACGTTTATTTCTAACCCAACTCTTTTTGCTGCCTCAAGTAATTCTTGAGTTTGTTCAATGAGCTCTTCTTTATTTTCTGCTAACAGCACTAAATCATCCGCGTACGCCAGAAGACCTAATTTTGTCTCACCTATTTGTACTCCGCTTTGTTCAAAGCTAGTGCTTTGAACCACTTTTTCCAGTGCTAAGTTAAATAAAATGGGCGATAATGCATCCCCTTGTCTTAATCCTGTTCTTACTTGGGCTGCAGTTGATAAGGAGCTTCCTACCTGTACTTTTATTTCCGTATTCATGGCACTTGCCTTTATGAGATTGACTAATTTTAGCGGGAGACCATATTGCTCTAGTATAGACATTAAAGATTCACGATGAATGCAGTCGTAGGTCTTTTTAAAATCAATAAACAAGACACCAGATTCCGATTAAGAAAAGTAGTAAATGTTTCAATATCGTGGTGTACAGTGTAACTAACACTTTCATTTTGAAAAATAATATTATTATTGCTTTTTTTTAGGAAATATCAACCGGTGTGCCTTAAAGAACCAGTACTGACAAACGACAAAGAAAAAAAAGACAACGATACAAATTAGTATTATGTATAAAACATATGTTAAAAAAATTATAAAAAAATTCTTTGATTTTTTATGAATTATGATTATAATTCTGTCATTATGAAACCATTTGTATTGTACACTTATTTAAAAAAGTGTAAGATTTAAAACTGTAACTATTTTGTATTATTGTATTTTACAGATAAAAAAAGTAATTTTCATAATGCTTCTATTTTTTATACGATTTCTTTAGTTGGTCTTGGTGATTCGTGCCGGTATAGTCTGTGTCTGTGGCACACATCCTTGATAGCTCATTATGTGTCTAAACTTTAAATGTTTTGTTTGATTATGGTGGGTTGACTATTTTTGTCTATATAAAATTGTTTTAAGCCACCTCCCCTAAAAAAGTCCTGGGCCTACCTTTAGTGCTGAGTACATTAATAGGCTAGCTCGCCAGTAGATTATATAATTATTGCATAAACAAATTTAAGCAATAATTTGTATGGCAGTTCTTATATTAGAAGTCCATAATTTACGTGTACTTGTGAATGAACACGTGTCTCTACTCTCTAGTGTAGTATAAATATATTTATATTTTATTAACCAAATGTATTGCAACGAGATCATAATAAGGCAAACGTTTTTTTATTTAGGAAATGAGGACAATTACTCAATAAACGTTTAAATAAACGACAAGAGAAGTCTAGTTTTTTATTATTACCATCTAAAACGACTTTTAGTTTTTTTTTGCTAAGTCCTACATAAAATAAAAATCAATTGAAAGCATTACATATTATAATATTTTAAGCGTTACAATTAATAATAATTGTATAGTTGAGATAACTGTTTTAATTTATATTTACTAATTACCAGCAACAAAATTCAAAATATGTCCAAAGACAAAACAACAATACAATATACTAAACAAAAAAATCTTCGATAGGTAATAATCTACAATAACACTTTTATGAAATAAAAATATTCAACAATTTGATTAGTTAAATTATTAAGATTAGATACATTGATAAACCTTCATGATGGTATTTAAAGCATGTAAAACTGCAAATTTTTATAAATATAATTTTTAAATTACTAAATATGTAAGCAAAGGCGATTTTTGTGTTCTTATTCACATACGCAGTTTACATTCATTAGAGTTAGTGTGGCGATACAACAATTTAAGACTAAAAATGTACTTACATAAGTGTTCGATATTTAAACAAAACGTGTATTATTATTAAATAGATAGATGTTAACGAGACAGCTAGAGTTACTAGATATTTTAAAAAGGTTAATTAATTTCAATTTGTTTTTAATAGTCACTAATTTCTAAGAAATTCATAAGAGAGGAAAATGTCTTATGCCCTTAAGTCCTCCTAAAAAAAAGGATAATGGTTTAATTTTTACCTTTTTGGATGCAGCTCTACAAATAAAGTCTAAAAATTGTACAGGTAGATTTATATCATTTGTATTAAAAATTAAAACATTAAGAAACTGTATTCAATTTTTTTTTATTACAAAAACGTCACACAAATTCGTATTTACAACACTAATATTTTATTAAGTGAGCAATTTTGGCAGAGTGTTAATTTAAAACTTAAACTATGTGTGTTTATATTGGTAGTAAACATTTGAACAGCTTATCCTAACATCTATCATCATATTCATCTATTATATGAACCATTCTAATGTTTACAGAATCTTACAATTATTTTGGAAACGCCTAAAAATCAATGATATTCAACGTACATAGTGAGTTTATCATTTTATTTTTTGCTCCAGTGATTCAATATATTTTTAGCTTACGTGATTAAAAACAAATCAAAAAGCAGATTAAACTAATTTATCTAATTAAGCCGTCAGTTACATAAAATATATAAACATCAACACAAGCTCACAACATTACCGTGCTTATTAGAAATGTTCTATCTGCATATGTATCTGTATATGTAAGGACATTTCTTTTTAGCACGGCAGTACATATGGTACTATTTTTTAAATGCCTTTAAAATTTTAGAACTAAGCAACATGTAATACATAAACTAAAATTACAGGTAGCGACGTTCTATTTAGGGGAAACTAAAAATGACTAAACATTATTAAAAGCATTGTTATAATGCCGTTATTATTTTTAACGATATGTGATGTGTTTTCGTCAATTTCAGATTTATATCGAAAGTAATTTTAATGATGTCAGAAATTGTTTTGGAATAAACATACAAGGAAGTTCATACAAAACACCGGCGACCAATTTCATGGAAGTTTCCCCTCGTTTACAGTCGCCGTTTTATGTATAGAAGTACTTATTTGTATATTGTTTTTAGTTTTGTATTTTAAACTTTCATTTATTTAGTATACTAAGTTGGTAAGTATATTTTATAAATCTCTTTTATATCTTCTGAGCTCTGAAGTTAAATAATAAATAATGAGCCCATATATTGAAATCTTCCTTTCTTGTTGTCACTTTTTTAAACTTTAAATCTGGTGGGAAGAGGCGGTTAAGTCTATCTACACCCTCAGTGATTGATAAATATTATATTCTATAGACGTAACTAAATAAATAACAATTTAATAATCATAATAATAATCAACTACTTTTTTTACAACATAATTGGATTTATTATTCAATAAATACTAATATTATGTTGTAATTACCCTGTTTTTGATTTGTCTTTCGAGAATAAATAATTCATATTTAAGTACCAATAAACGAAAAGAACTAACATAACAAAGACATCCTTAGAATAAAAAATATTTGATCTACCTATTTATATCTAACAAGATTTTTTTTTAAATTTTAGTCCTATATACACAATTATTTTTTGTAAATAATGATAAATATGAACTTTCAATAAAAATTCAATTTATAATATATATATATACAATATATATCATCAAAATAGCGAGGAAAATAGTCTAATTTAGTCTGGTTTAATTGTTCGTTAGTAAAATAACGTTTTTATGTGCATTAAATTATAGTGTAAATCCTGAGTTGTCAGTGTAACTTTAATTTTTTATGTATTTTTAAATCTTGATCTTAGTTGAACAGCTGAGTGGAAATATTTCTTAGTACCCAATTTTTAGAAGATTGAAGAAATATTTTTATTTCTTATAAAATTTATATAGGAATTATATAACTTCTGATATTTATAAATTAAGTTTTAATGAAATATTATCCTTTATGCGCTCATAATATGAGTCTGCCTTTCAGCTACAAAATGGCTATCCCTGTTTATTTTTGAAATTTTATCTTTTTTCCACTCAGTTGTTCAATTTATAATTTGTTATTATTATTCAATATTATTATTATTTTTTTTTTTTTGTCTGTACTCTTTCCCTCTGGGGCGTTGTTTTTTTTATAAAAAAAAATATATCAACTTTTGAATTTTGCTCGTTCAGTAATAACTTTATAACAAAATTTGAAAAGTCGTGTCCATTAACACGACATTACCCGGTATAGAATAAAGGTGTACAAATGAAAAAAAAACTATCTGATGGTAAAGTAATAAAAATGATTCATTTTTTGCACTTACCACAAGCAAGTGTATGAACAATATAGTTGGTGATTCGCAGGAAGTTTTTTTTTTGAAAACGTGTACTATATAAATAAAATTGTAATTTTTATAGAATATTTACAAAGTGCATTTATATTTTAAAACAAAATACTAATAATTCATACATAACTAACAAAATAATAGTTCTTTACGAATGACAAATCATTTTTGTGTGAAAAGTTTGTGAATTTAAATTTTGCTTAGACGTACGCAAATAGACTGCGTATAATGCGCAAAGAAAATTCACCTATTACAAACTTAAAATAAAGGATATATATATATATATATATATCATAGCTTTTACATTAAAGTGCATTCAGTTAAACTATAACTATAATATAGTAAATAATGTGCTGCATTTTACTACAAAACACGGAGCACTTAAAATCATAATACAATTCCTATTCGAATATAAATCGTATATGATATAATATTTATTTTGTTTAATTCAAATGTGAGATCCTTTTATTCGTCTTTTTATGTAATCAGACCTACTTTGAAAATCATTAGCTTACATCAAATGTTAGAATCGTGCCTACATTTTTAATAGAATTACTTTTCAAAACTTTTTCAAGGGTTTCAAGAGCACATACTTTACAATCAAATATTATGCAATGTACAATACGTAGTAGATCGGAACTATTGAAAAATGTAATGGTGGCCTGAAAAATTGGCCTGCTTTAAGTGTTTCCTTTTATATTGTATTATTGAAATGACAACACAGGCGAGATCAAGCTAGTAAACTAGCATTTTAATCACAATTGTTATATTCGTCATCAGTTAACTCAGCAGAACAACGGCCGTTCGACTAATACCCAGCAAAGATTTTTAATTCATGTTGATGATTAAATCGGTCCATCGCGTGATCAATTATTACAATCTAAGTACTACCTAACTAATAATTTTTAAATATACCAACAAAGATATTAACAGAAATTAATTATTTATCTTAGAAAAACCTAAGATTCTGTAGTATTGGTTTTAACAGTTTAAGAACAATATGAAGGGCACAGGGGAAAAACGGTAGTAGTCACATTATGAACAATTTTTTTTTCAAATTGGTTTTTTCAATTTATGCCAATAATTTTTTTTATTTATGTCAATAAATTGTTTAAATAAATACATTTATTATTAGAGTAGCATTTAATGTGATTTTTTTTTGTTCTTATGTAAGAGGTAGAGGAATTCACGAACTTGGTTTTTGCTATACTCTAAAATGTTCATAATGTGACAACTACTGTTTTTCCTCTGTGCCCTTCATATGTTATTTTACATACTAATTGTACGAGTTCTTTACGAATATTTATATCTTTAAGTATTTTTTTTAGAGCTTATTAGTAGATCTAGTTTACCTATCTAGTTTTGTATCTAATTTTCAAAATAATTTGTTTTTAACCAGCATAGACAAATTTTGTTTCCATAATGGATGTTTACATGTTTCACGCTCATATTCCCCGCAACTAATATGTGTTTTGTTAATATTTGTTCATTAAAAACACCCAAGTATGATTAATTTGTTCACCTATCCTACATCACCGAGAGATGTAATCTGTTAAAGAATAACTAAAGCTGATAAGCAACGACTTGAACAACTCAAATGATCGGCGAAACTATCAATTATCATATTTTAGAAGTAGTAGATTTTACTTAATTTGTACCATTACTTATCTACGGAATTTAAATCTACCTTAAGACTACTTTTTGACTTGCTTCTAGGCAGTTTGTACCAGCTGGGAGGCATGTATTTCACACTCTCTTGTCTAGTCGGCGGAAATTTCATTTCTAACGCTTTTGTCTCCTCGGTTTTATGGCTAGATGTCGAACCCTGACGATGCATTTTATGATCAGGGTTTACCATGACGATGACCTCTTCCACTTCGTCTTCTTCGGTGCTCGACTGGTTTCTGAAACCTCTGGCGGAACATGAATTTTCTGCTCCTTTCTTCATACCGTAGTCTCTTTCTAACTTTCTGTTTTTCTTCTTGGAAAATAACTTTATCAATTCCTTTTTGAATTTCGGATGTGTAATGGCGTAAACCCAAGGGTCCACGCAAGCAGCTGTCTTGCAAAACAATGCCGGGATCATCGACGTGTCGGGTGTAATGTAGTCCTTTTGATCGAACACTCCCAAAAGCGCCATAAAAGCGTACGGGGTCCATGATAAAAACCACAACATTATCACTCCAACCACAACATATCCCAATCTTATCTCCGTCTTTCTCTTTTCGACCTCCTGGCCGTATCTGCTAGCTGCTAGTTCATTCGTCCTCCAGACGGCCGCCAGTATTTGAATGTAGCAAACCGATATCAGACCAAACGGCACAACCCAGGCTGCCGTAAAAAAAATTAACAGAAATCTTTTTTCGTTTATGTCTTCGCTTAAGTAGTCAAACCCGCAACTACTTAAATACCCTTCTGGCACAAAGTGATTTAAACCCAAATCCAGTGTAGGTATGATAGAAAATACGATTCCGTATGTCCATATTAATCCGATCAGAATCCTAGCTCTGGGTTTGGTGGTTTTCACGGCAGTATTCAGCGGGTGCACTATGACATAGTAACGGTCTAACGATATGGCTGCCAGCGTCATGATGGACCCGATTCCGGTTACACCAGCGAGAAAGCCGTAAATTTTACAACCTAAAACCAAAACGATTAAATCAATGAATAAGTAATTAATAATAATGCAAATAGTGGTTAACACGATTTACCATATTTTCCCAGAGCGGGTCCTTGATAAAAACTGTTGTATATGACTACTGGCGATTTGGCGAGCATGAAGAAATCACAAACAGCCAAGTTCATGATCAATATGTTTGCTGGAGTTTGTAGAGACTTGCATCTATCCAACCGAAAAAGACAATTTTAACTAGAAATTTGCAAATAACGTAACGGTATGATTGTGAACACCTTTAAATTGTTTTACCTGATGTACATTATAATCACTAGAGCGTTTCCAAAGCATCCGACGACCATGATGATCGTGTACATGATACCCATAATGTAATGTTTAAAAGCACTCGTAGGCTCATGTTTCAACCAGTTTTTGTTTATTAACTCAAAAAAATCATCTGTGTAAAAACCATGGTCCTTCCATAGATGTACAGGATATTTCCTATGGAATTGTTCTATTGTTATAGACTCATCGGATACATTAGGTTTACTAGTGGTGTTTTCGCCTAATCTTTTGTCAGTTTTAGGCCCAGCTGTTGTACTACTCTGGTAAGTTTTTGTAGTTTTCGAAAATGTCTTTATCGCCTTGCTGCTACTACGCGGGGTAGATTTAGTTGTGTTTTTTTGCCCTTTTGGTTTACCCGTTGTAACAACATTTCGTATTTTTCTTTTTGGTTTTGCATCAATACTCGAATTGTTGTATGTACTGTTGTGATGCACTTTATTATGGTTAATATCGTTTTCTACTGACTTTGCAATTACATTCTTATCAACTGGCAAATCTGCGTTTTTTTTGTAAAACGTAGGCCCCTCGTATATTAGAACGTTCGTACCATTTGGTGTGGCTTTCTTGCAACAAACCGATTTATTGAGAACGATAAGACTTAAGTATAGAACTATTTGTGGAAACAGCAAGACCATGGCTATGGTTCATACCTCATACCCACATGAACGAAAATAAACTGCAAACAAAAATAATATATTAGTAACGATATACTACATTATTAAACTATAACGGTACATTTTATCAGGCTTAAATATGGGCTATGGGTAAGGGTTAAGGATTACAAGAAAACATTTTTTGACTACATAGACTTGTTTCTATTTTAGCGTATTAATAAATAATGACGTGATATCAATAAAAAATAATCACAAAAATCCATATTATATCCTTGTGTAGGACCTATTAGAATTGTTCGCTAAAACTTCATTTGCGTCGACCAATCGCAGAAGTCCAAATAAGCAGTTTTCTGAAAATGGTATAGCACTATAACTAGACATAATATTTGTTTCACTACAAAAACCTTATTTATTATTTTAATCAAAATTGAAATGTAAAGTATTATTTTTGTTTTGAGTTTAAGTATGTACCCTACTCATTGGTGGTAATTTAGGGGAGCTTGGTATACTAAAAACCATAAAACTCGTAGGTCGTTCAGATTAAAGCACCTACATTTTTATATTTAATTTTTTTAATGAGAGAAATATGATTAATTATATAGTAATTACTATATTATACTACTATTATATAGTAATTATTTTGTATATGACAAATTTAGCAGTCCTAAATCCTTATTTAGCTTACAGTATTTTGAATGTACCTCCCGCTCCTTATTTTCCACTATTATTGTGAATATTATATTACATTTTTTATTTTTGTCATGTAATAAAGGTAAAAAATGTTATAGAAAGGAAAGTTATAAATCAGTGTTAAATTAGTACCACCGGACATTTTATTTGAAGTATATAATATATACACTATAATACACTAAACTATATATACTATTGACAAAATAATGTTGACCTTCAGAATAATACACTGTGTAGGTATAAAATATTTTTAAAGGGGTTTCAAGTATTAGCCCACCTCGGTAGTAAGAGCCCTTCTAAATGTATCTTCTTGAGAGTTAATATAATTGTATCGCCATTGGAAAGTAAAAAATAAATAAATACATTATAAAGGTATAATTTGTATTATATTCAATAATAGAAAGATATTATTTTTCTTACATATTATCTTAGTAGTTGATAAGACCTTAATTTTCATATTTTAAATTTCTTTTTTTCATAATACTTCTATTGATTCTGTAAAATATTGAGGTTATTTGCATATGATGTTTAACCTCAATGTATTACAGAATCAATAGGAATATTATGACGAAGTACAAAGAATTAACATATTTATTAGCTTATTTACTGATAATTTAAAACAAGGTAAATAACTACCAAAGTTTGGTTTTTCAAAGTTTTGATTAGTTTTTCATAATTAGCAACAAAATTTTAAAATATCTCAGTAGAAAAGTTTGTCATTTAAAAAGAACACGTTACGCAATAAAACACAAATTACAAATCGTAAGTACATTCTGTTTAAATATCCGGGTTGTCTTCAAAAAGTTTTTAACGGAGACATATGGTTAAATCGATAAAAAGGTTCAGGAAAAGTGAATACATTTTCACTTGGATAAAATCAAGTTAAAATAATCGTTCTTAAATCCCAAAGGGCTTCGAACTTGTTAACAACATTGTCTGTTTTGGTTAGGGGTATATTTTTATAATTTATACAATAAAGGCGAATCGCACCATACACTCTTATCATATAGAATATATATAAATAATTATTATTGTCGTAAAAGCCGAATACATTAGTGTATGAATAATTGGTAATGCCTAAAGGCTCGAAGTCTTTTAAAGCTGGAGAAAAACGTAAAACACTTTGTCGTCTGTTCTAGAAATTGTCGTACCTTACATCGACTTGATATTACTCGATGGAGTTATTAAATAGATGAACAATCGTGACACTACCTTGAAGATGGACTCTGCAAAGAGTCCGAAACGTCGGTTAACAACCGTTGACGCGGATATATCCGAAAATCATTCATGTGATACTTCAATCTGCGAAAGTTTCAACACATTCATATATTTTAATATGTTTGGGTGTAGGTGTATTAATATTTTGACTTATAGGATTATAGTTTATAAAACAACGCCAAATTTTTACACTTAAATTCAATTGAAAAACGGAAAATAGATGTTAAACTAGTGGAATGGAATTATTATTTCACTAATAATTGGTAACCAATTACATTACAATTACTGTACAAAACTATATCGTGCATTTCGCTTAGACAAAATTAATGGGATGGTTTTGAACGCTATTAGTAAATCATTCATTACAAGTAAATTTGTTTTTGGGTTAAAATAGCCGCTATAATTAAAGCCGCTTTTAGAAGCTTGAGTAGACAAAAACAAATAGTTTGTATCTTTTCTTTACCAATATTAAATATGTACTTTATGAGTATAAAAGTGTGATTTTATTTCTTTGCAAAAGTAAAAATATTTTTTTAGATATCTTGTTTCTGAGTTTCAACACAACAAACTATGTCATGTCCTAATTATTAGAAACAGTATTTCATAAGGGGTAGTGGGAAATCAATAAAGAAACATAGAATTTCTATTGGAAGCTTTGTCAAAATGATATTAACGGCTGGGTGCATCTAAATCCGATTGGGAACAAAATCAGTTTGAATTTTATTAAACCAAATGTTTTACGAATTATTGACAATATAATTTTAAGGTAAAAATGGCCAGTGTCGAATTACAACTTATCACTTGTCAACACGTTTCTTTTTGTGTTTGTATTTCAATAGTAGTGTGCTATTTGTAATACATTTTAATTGAAACTATTGTCTATACAAATTGATTTTCTTTATTTTTCATTTATATTTTATTATATTGTCATCTATTTACCGAAATAAAATCAGCATTTTAATGCTAATTAATATTACATAAATTAAATTAAAAAAAATATATATATATATTGTACTCGTTTTGAGAGTAATTAAAGGACCAAATTCCTTACATAAACAGGCTATAAATCAGAAATAATTTACAAAAGAACTTCAATAAACTAAAAGTTAAAGTAATTTACCATTTTCCTTTAAAATCGATAAAACACCAAAAATTACATATTTTATACTTCAAATTACATCATGCTACAACTTTCCAAAACTTTTTAGAATTTAGAATTGTTTGAGGTACTTTTTAAGTACTGAACTTCAGTTAAAAGCTAATAAAATATCATTAACAATTTTTCCTAGTAAGGTTGGAAACTTTTCGTTATTCGCTTTTTGGCCTTAATCTGTCAAAAGGTAACTTGTAAGAATTCTTGATGAATTCGGGTTCGTTAATATACCTACTCGTACATTAAAACACAAAAACATTACAATTATTGATAACCTATAACTCCCCTTTGATATAAAATATTGGCCGGCGGTTGCCATTAGTTTATTAGTATTTCAATACTACCAATATAAATGTTAAGCGTTCTATTTATAGATTGATGATGAAAAATTTAGCATTTAAAACGATAAGGTGAGGTATTATAAATAACGAGCAGAGACTGTTTACTGTACCATAAATACGGAAAATAATTATAAAAATTGTAAAAAAAATGTCATTGATTAAAAACTGTCCCGTAAAGAGTATAATGCTAATGTAATTCAAGGAACTTATTCTATGACCTTCAGCCAAATACTTAAACTGTAGTCCTTTGATCCTTTACCGGAAGTAAGATCTTACTCACTACTTACTTTCGCTCGTGTCGGTTATAAAATAGCGGATTTTTCGTGAACACTCTTAAATGCAATGTTATAGTGTTGACTATTTTTACGCAGGCCAAATGTGTCACTTTGGCTACAATTTTCATAAACTACATAGGTCTTGTGTTGAGAAAGAATTCTACCAAGGGCTTCACACCTGTCGTAAAAGGCGACTAAAGTGACGTAGAGCCCTCCGACAAGTGGCCTTCTGACTGCACACCTTTTCCGGCCCGCAATTAGCACCCAGTGCTACTAGTCGGTCCGCAGTCGAAGGGGATCCCTTCGGGGTGAACCACTAAAGCCAAGAAACATCAGGTCTTGTGTTGATCTCAATTATTATTTAATATGAGTATTTTAAATTAATTTTATATCAAAAATATTTAGAAGGGGTACAATTTTTCTCAAATTAGTGGGGAGGGGGTGCTTAAACTCTGGAAATATTAGAAAACCCCATTTCTTTAATAATTATGGTATAAAACACAAACAATTTTGATAGTATTAATTTAAAAACTAGGAATGATATTATGTAAGCACATCCAGGCTCCCCTTAAATTGCGCCTATGCTAGCTATGTTTCGGAATTAAAAAGTCTGACTTTTTCTCTCTCTCTAAGTCCATAAAATTGAAATATGTTATTAAAAAAGTTGTTAAATTCAAATAAACGTGTATTTAAATAACATCCTAAAAAACATTGTACACAGTTTCCATACTTCAAAAGCAAAACTACGTTATGTTCACATTCGCCTAGTCCCTAACAAAAAAAAACTTTTTTTATACGAATATGAAGTTATCGTGAGTATAAGGTCCATAAAATTAATTCATTAAAATTTTAAAAACTATTTGAAAAATATTATAGTTAATATCAATTAAATTGTGTAAAAATGATTCTATCTGAGATGTGGAATTATTATATGCTACAGAACCGATAATCAAAAATGTAATTTCAAAAGTAATAAGTGGATTAAAACTAAACTAATATGAGCAGAGAATGAATCGACGTTACGCAGGGTCTCAATAGTTTGCAACACATAAGATGTAGCAAGATATAAGATGTTTTGCTCTCGTCGAAATAATATTTTCTTTGAAAAATTGATTCCGTTATAACATTGATTGCTTTTGCTTTATGGCCTACTTATGAACGAACCTCTTGAAACAAAATTCCCAAGAGAGCTACAAACATGTCGTCTGGATAAGGGTAACATTGTTACAGATTGATTATTTTATTTGAAGTACATCATAATATATCAGTAAAAAATAATATCAAGAGGCCACGATCGTATCAATAAATAAACATTATAAAAATATAATTTTAAACCCTAACCCAAAAATAACACATTGCTGAAAAGTGAATACTAATAATGTTTTCATTTCACATATAATGACGTTTTTAATATTTTCAAAATATTACTATTTTGTGCTTCGATGAAAGGCTGCGAAAATCTTTTATTGGTAATTTATTGTCCCGTGATGGGTTAAAAGTTAAAAAATTACACTCTTTCTTTCGATATCGAAACAATTTTTACTTTTCAACTTTGGTTCAACACTTTGAAAAGATTTAATCCTTTTAATCGATTTTTTTTTTCACTCACTCGATATTTTTTTAGAACGCCTCAATTTTTTGAAATTTTAATTGTTTAGTTACAACTGAGAGAAAGATTTATTTTAATTTTATAATCGCAATATATTTCATAGAATTTATTTTAATATTTTGAATTGTCTCTTTACTCTTCTGTAAAAATAATGTAAAATATATTTTCGTCCTCACTAAAACATACTAACAATAACTTGTTTATTCCTAAATTAATTTGCATAGGCCATCCGCCATATTCATAAGTACTATTGAAAATCTTCTTTCCTCTGATATAAACTTGTCATCATTTCCACTGATTAGTTTTTACTTTAAAATGTTTTATCAAAATATTTAGTCGTACCGTCAGATGCAGTACATTTTGTATTTGGCGTTTCGACGAAACATTACAGTAAAGGAGCTTTGTTTTTATAAAAGTAAAATAAAAGAGCTCAGTCCTCTTTTGTTGTCTCTTAATGTTGTGTGCTCGAACACAACAGAAGTATACAAAACTGTACTAATTCTACATCAAAAAAGATTAGTTGACGACTTGAAAATAAAATTATTCATTCGAATACGCCAATCGCAATAAACTGTTAATTCCACAATGAGCTTACCGTTCAAAACTTATTTAAGTTAAAATTAAAAAAAACTTTCAGTTTCTTTAATTATAGATAATACAAATTGTATGCCATCAAGATCAGGCATTAAATTCTTATTAAAAAAATATTTTCTGTCAGCGGGTTATCATCAAATGTCAGGGAACCGTTGTCAGCGGTAATCTCTTTTAAATATACATATATATATATATATATAATATACCTATTATATTACATTCATCGCAGATTATTAACAATTACATTTTGACAATTTATGAAATTTCGGAAAATTATCATCGCGTAATTGCTTAACTGCTATAAACCTATAGTAAAGCCACGTTAAGTAATTGAAATAACGGAAAATGATTGATCATTAAATATTTTTAATACAGTAATAACATGAATAATCGTTTCGATTAATGTTCGTGAGCAAAAACCATTTAAACTTAAAACTATAGTTATTTCAACTGTTTTGAGTAGAACATCTTCTTTAATTTAATGCTAACCTATAAGCAGGCCACATAATATTATGGAACACAAGATTTCTTACGCGTGTATAATAAGGAGAAACTAGAAAGATAAACATACCTAAACACACTGAATCGATTGAACTTGGTAAAATATTTATTTAAAGTATTTGTTACTGTGCAATAAAGAGGGGAATTTGATAGTAATGTAAACAACACCAACCAAATGGTTAGTTAGTTTAGGTAAATAAGAAAATACACTTTTCGGAGAATATGAGACTTAATGTTATCAAAGAAAAGGTCCGAGGAGATCAGAGTACGCATGCTAGGAACTTTCATTAAAATTACTCTTGACTAACGGATGCGTGTATAGCACAAGTGGCCAAGTGTGTAATGCGGCAGTGTCAAGCACTGTCGTCGATTCGACAATAGGTCACGAGTAGTTCCGTCAGCTAAGTTTTTTCCAACAGATTTCTAACTTGTATAAATTAATTTTCCATAATGAATTTTCCGATCTCCACAAGCTCTTTATGTGCATCAGCAATCTACTAACAGTTGTTGGAGGATGCAAGTTTGAGGGTTTAATATAAACATTTATGTCAGATTTTTACAATTTAGTATGCAAATTAGCTTTTTAATTTTATTTTTTTTTAGTTGACAATTTTATAAATTACGATTACCGCAACTCCTACGTCTGGCAAATTAGCGAGTAGGTATTTATGTAAAGTACGCAGTAAAATTGATGACAAGTTTTTGTCAGAGGAGAAAAAGTAAATAACTACAAACATTACATAATATATATTTCATCATTCTGTGAAAAAATAGAAGCAGCAGTATTACAAAACAAGAATATGAGAGGGGTGTGTGACGGAGCTTCGCTTCTCACAAGCTTGTGATAAATAGCTTTAAGTTGGGAACTTCAATTTTTAACTATTATTTGCGTTCCCCTTAAATTGTTTTTTTTCAAATTCGAGCTCTAGTTAGGATTTTGTTTTGAGATATAATAGTTAGAAATTACAATGTTGTACTGAAAATTAAAAAATTATCTATAACCCCTCCATTTCGATTTGGATTTATACTACTGATAATGTAAAAGATACAATTAAATTATATAATTGTACTACGTTAGGAAACTGTTAGTATTAAATATCTATGATAATTGATAACTAATCTCTATTATTGAACATAAAAAATAACTGAATTACATTTTATCATAGTATTCAAATAAAATGTATTCAAAATAGTAAAAAATATATCATTATAAAAACAATACCTTTTTAGCTCCGCAATAAAGCTAAAATAATATCTATCGTATTTTGATTTTGCAAACATAATTTTTGCGTTAACATAATATTTATTTTATACTAGTTTTTTTCACACAAACTATTCCTTAAACTAATTTCTAAATCGACACAAGTATCTTTTATACCCATCATTACGGGTAATTTGTTTTTGTTAGCATTTTTATAGCTTCAATTAAAATCCCTTCTTTCTCTATCTCTCCTTCTTACTTTTATTAACTCTCAAATAAATAAATCACACTTACATGAGCTCTTCCTCCACAAGCACATTGTATTAAAGTCACGCAACGTCTCTTTGATCCGGCCTTTCAGAGAATCAAAAAATAGTTTTACAATAGAATAATTACACTGATGTGCTACAGTAATAACGTTAATTAGTTTGTCCTTGTTTTAATTCTTTTGGTAAACTGTAACATCAGTGTCGTTTATATAAAAGAGGGTTTATAGGGTGGATCTATTCCTAGAGAAAAACAAATAATAAAAACAATAAATTTACTGGTAAATCGAAAACTAACAAAATTATTCGCAAGGTGTTTTAATTGTATTTCAAAATAGTTAAATTATGTAATTTTTGTAATTTTATAAAATAATCTGACTTTAGAAAAACTAAGTATGATGTTCAAATTTATCTTGAATAAAACCGTACCACTACCCAGTAAAATACAAATATTTATTTTCATAAAAACGTGTCTAGCACTCAAACATAAAAACCTACGGTATGAATAATTCATAATAATGTAAGTTATTAAAATACATTTGTTTCAAAACGTAGGATAATAAGATTTGTCCTTTAACAAGAGTTAGACTAGACTGGGTACTAGGTATCAATGGAATAATTGATAATAAAGGCAAGTAGATATTTCAATTTATTATTATTATGAAAAGCTGAATACAGAATAGTAATAGTAATAAGAACTGTTAAATAAATACCCTCTATATCTTATACACTTATATTTTATTATGTATAAATGTAATTACAATTATTATAATTCTTCAGAATATAATTGTATTGGATTAGTTTTTAATTTAATCATTAACATTTAGAAAACGTTTAAATCGAATTTTGATACTTTTTGTAACATAATAATATGCATTTTTAATATTGTTTACTTTACTTTCATACTCATAATAAAATGCAACTAAACTAAATATTATGTTGTTCTATCTTTACTTGAAAATTTACTCTGAATTCCAATTTTCTCCGCCGGAAAAAGATGGAATTTCATCACTATTGTATTTACACATAAATTACAAATGTTGAAAATGTTACTGTTTTTATATTTCAGTTAGGTCACTATTATACTTTTAACTCAGTGGCATTTTAAACGAAGTAGAAATACCTTTGAATAATATAATATTATTTTTATTACATTTTTGTAGTGCATAAAAAAATAAGTACCAAGCAAATTGTGCGCTTAATTAAGTTAAATCAAACACAACTTTTGATTTACTTCCCTTTATAGGTTATATATATATTTTTTAATAATCGAATTTTAAAACGAAATATAATTTAATAAAAGAAGTAATTTGTTAGTAGTATTATTCATTTGACTTTAAAAATTAATTTTATGAATCATATATTTAGTTTTTTGAAGTGCGCGAATCTTTTACATACAATTTTTGTTGTCTTAGTCCGCTCACATTTAACTAAAAAAAAAACAATATATGTACATATAAAACCTTGATAAATTAGGCCTTTTATGCACTCAGTCTCATTTCACTTCATTACCGGTGACAGTTAATGATTCCTATGGTAAAAAATCAATTTTAATTTTTAATTAATACTTGTGATAATGCTCGAGTTTAATAAATATTTTTCAATCGTAAAAATAGCGTTGGTAGAACCCATATTTTTTTATCTCCTTGATCTAGCTTCAATAATGTTTTAATTAGTTATACAAAAATTATTATTTACTTTACTTCTTTGTAATTTTCCATAAGACTTTTCAAATAGATTGTGATTATTTCCTAACGCACTCATATTATGATAACATCATAATATTATTATGTAGTACACTTAATTGTCCTGCCATAGCTGACAAACGTAATAATAATTTCCTTATATTATACTTACTTCTACACCCGTTTCGTATGATTTCGTATCCCTCTTGTTGTCGCTTTATGATTTGTGCGCAACAAAAACACATGCACTTTCTACGTGATCAACAACAATAGTCAATAGGTGCGAAAACGGTCGACGGTCAGATGTTGTATGTTTCACGTGTACAATATGCACAATAGGCATCGGTGCCTCAAAAAACGAAAGAACGGAACTACAGACCTCTGCGGATGATGTGGTTGACAGCAAACGGAAACGGGTCGACGACGGTGGCACACGCGGTCCTCTTTAGAGTAAAACCCGCGCACGCTCTTCGTGCCCATATCCTCCGCCTTCGGAGCGGTGCAATATAATAACGTGTATCATAACTGATAATACTTATGTGTACATATATGTATATAATGTACACTCGTAACAACCCCGTGATATGTATAATGATATTATGTATTATTACAAATTATTCGCAAAGCCCGCACACAAGGCCAATGAAACCGTCGATAATCGCTTTCAATCACGACCGCGTATTGTCCTCATCAGATCGTTTTGTTTTTGTAATTGTGCAACGGCAACAAGTAACGAGATACAGCGTTTTGCCGTTCTACTCACAAGTCGACAATTTTTTATAATAGGCATAGGCTGTCTAGGTGTCGGATATCTTGTACACGGTTGTTAAAGCTCATATACAACGTTAAAAAAAAAAAATTAAGACATTGTGCTCCGTTTTCCTCGCACTCTTGTTAATTGTATTTATTGTAAACATCTGTCTTTTCCCCCAAGCAACCTGAGTGCAATAGTGATGATAGATGCAGTGCTACGATTTGCGTGGCTTTGAACAAATTATGAATGTCAGACCCTTTTTCCGTAAAATTCAATGCAATCGCCGTTTTTTTTTTTGCTGTTTAATTTTAATTTTTGGTCTCATTTCGATTACTTTACGCAAATTTCAACATGGTAACATACATTTATGTATCCTTGTGTTAGTGTTTTTTCACTTTTTTATCAATTATTAATATCTTTAAATATTCACAAACATACTGCTATTTAGACAGAAGTCAGAATAATACTTTATTATAATCGAGTAGTTATAAATTTACAATTGAGTTGTTTTTTTTTATCATCTATCGCGTTTAATGTAATATTGAGTTATTTCAATGTTTAAATTTAACGAGGGTTGGAATAAAAAAAATTCTTGATTTTTTGAATGATAGCAAACTTTTACAACTTGCTTTTCATAAGGTTGGCGAGCTAATGATATTTTGTGAAGTTAGAAGATTATAGTGTAACTAAAGTTAATTCTGTCAATTCAATTAAGTTTAAAGTTAAAGTTTAAAAAAATTGTTCAATACAAGTTAAGTTAACACAAAACGTGTTGCCCGCAGAGTCAGAGTATTATACATATCGAAATTGTAAAATAAATCCAAAATATTCACAGTGGCAGAATTTGAAAACAAATCGAATGGGATTATTCAAATCACATTCAGTCTCTGAATATATTATAAGTCTACTTATAACACTTTCGAAACAAAAAAGAAAATCAATAATTTAACTAAATGTTTTTATGTATAATATATATTAAAAGTATGCAAAGACTTGATTTTAAACTTACAGAATACCCATCATATAAGTATTCTATAACGTCGATTCTATGATCTTTAAGAATTAAATAATTACCCATTTAAAATTAACATTGTTAACTCCATATCAAACTATATATTTCCATTGTTATTACCATAAGCAATTTAAATGACTTGGTTATTTTTTCTCCAATGTTTAATAACTGAAATGCTAGGGAGGATCACTCGAGTGCTGTTATTATAAATTATGTTTTGTTTAAAATGGTGGAGAACATTTCAAAAATATGGTTTAATGCAAGGCTATAAAATAGAAACTGAAATCGATAACTGTCTTAAAATTTGTTATGGAGTAGTATTTTTAGACCTGGATAATTTTTCCGATTTTTTTTGCATTCGAATTATTGTCAACCAAACCAAAGAGTAAAATGTCACGAAATTTGACCACTATTTACTTGACACGTCGTATATATCAGAAGAAGCATCATTTTCACCATACATAATACATAATATGAGCCCAATGTAGTCTCGCCCTAAATAAAGTTACAAACGCATGCGAGTCTAGCCATTCTAACCTATCTGATATCTCAATCAATTTGTAATACACATTCGAACATCCTCATTATTTTCGAAAGGCTTGCTGGAATTTTAATCATAGCATATATGTTGTATTCACAACGTTCAAAATAGAAATGAATTATAAATTTAATAATTTAAGGGGCCAAATTCCCTATGAATTGGTTTGGGCCAGATATTATGAAAACACTAAAATATTAGCCAGATACTACTAGCCACTTTAGATACATAAAAATGTATCCCGTGGTTTTGCGGACTTGTACGCAAGCTGTTAAAATATAATATGAAATACCATTATTAGAAAAATAACTTTAAGCCAATTTAAAATAAAATAGGTTATTATAATAATTTATGTACATTTATGATGTAAAATGGATCAAGACAGACGAACGAAAAGAGTACCGATTTTCAAATAAATGCTTTAATGCGAAACTTTACATGGTAAAACTAAAAACCTTATATAATATAATTATGTTTAATTTTTTTCAATTATTCGAGTATTCGAATAATTATTGGAATATTCGAATATTCGGTATTTGAATCTTCGAAGATTCGAATCCAATTACAATACTACTAAAATAAAAATAAAATAATTCTTAACGGTATAAAAAAAAGTGTTAACCGTTAAGCAGTAACAAAAAAACAATGTTTTGGAAAACAAATTGAACCGCCTCTTCGAGGTGTCTTCTGAACATAATAGTAAATGGTTCACATAATATTATTGAAACATTTAACTAGTGTAGTTAACATTTTTTTCTGTAATTTAAATTCAACAGTGGAATTGACATATAAAAAGGGACGTAACCCGTTTTCTAAACGGCTCCCGTTTTACAAACAGGTAAATTCCCAAACGGCTCCGGTTTTTTACAACACAAATTCCTTCTCGTCAGCGAGTTTTTTATGGTATAAAAACGAAAAATTTTCTATCATTTTTAAAAAATTTTAATAGATTTAATAGGGGTTTCTACCACTTTTACCAACTTCGGAAGTCGTATTGATAACTGCTAAAAACGGCAGGTCTCCGAGTGTTTTGGCACTCGCTCGCTACGCATGCTCGGCGCCGTCATTCGCTCCGCTAACTAAAAATATCCTAGGTTTGTAGGCTACATTCTAGGAGGAGCTTACAGGTTTAAATTTAAGTTTAAGTTTTTTTGAAAAGTTAAAGAGGCTTGATAATATACGCATAGTACCGAATACCGGAGCCGTTTGGGAATTTACCTACTCGTGAAACCTTTTTCAACGAGAGCCGTTTGGGAAAAAACAAACAATGGATGGTAGCCGTTTGGGTTGCACCGATAAAAGGTCACTTGCGTTTTCATGCGCTCCACACCAGAATTACTGCGCTACCGTTAGTTGGGTAGAGCGACCAATATTTTATGGCCACGCATTCAGTAAGTGACGCGATTTTGAAAGCGAAAAAATATAAAGCAACGGCAGCGCGTGCACACGGTTATTATTTTTCCGAAAATATTATTACATTTCTGAGAATATTATTTTCCAGCTATTTGCTACCACTTAGGATTTTAACGTTCTTCCTGACTTCTAAGCGCGAGGTCCTGGCCGTTGCACTCACTCAATTCATTTACAGCTACCCCACCTCGCCTTGCACTACATGAAACATATTTAGTTGAATTTCAAGCAAGGCCATTATTAGATTAATGTTTAAGTGCATATAAACTCACTCTTTTGATATCCAAAATGCTATAGTAAATAGATCAAAAACCCGAGCAAAGTGGCAGCTGCTTACTGAAAGTGCATGATTTTTATTAATGATAATTAAATCATTAATCTACAAGCCGTAAAGAGGTGTGTGTAATATAATTTGTGCAAAGTATAAATTTAAGCACGCAAATCGATTTACTAAATAAGTTAAGACCCGCGTAGAGTCTCGTTTAACATAAACCTATTGGTTCAAATGCGTAGAGACATATGAATTGTAGTGTATTTATGTACTTTAAGTTAAACATAGTGTTACCATACGAATATTAAAATACATAGCTGGTATTGAGAATAGGAGTACCAACAAAATATTGAATAAACAGGTCATGTTTTATTTGATTAAAAATAATCTCGGTGGACAAGACTTAAGTTTAAAACTGGGAGTAAGAATGTCAAGATGTTACCTGGTTTACTTTATATTATATGAAGTTAATAAGTGATCCTCCGGACATATGTATACTCAGAATATAATTTCATCAGAGAAAACACAAAACGTAATTGAACTTAATTATTACACGATAAAGATACGTAAGCTGAAATATTTCGGACACGTGTTGAGACACTCAGAGAAATAAAATTGTATACTTTACCTTGTCATATAGTCAAGGACAAATAAAAGAAACTGTAGAGTGTCACTACTGGACTATAGCGTTTTAATTTTCTACCCCTTTATACATTCCGTTCCTAATAATCCTTCTAATTGAAGCACTAAACCAGCTCATACCTTCGAGGGCAAAATCCGCTTTAATTTGAGCACTTAATTTTATCGATTCTTTAAAAGTATTAACTTTTACCCCACCAATCATGTTTTAGAGTTGATGTGCAAGGCATGTTATTTTACCTTACCTACCGTTGAAATTATAAGGAATGTGAAATTAATCACTCCTGAATTTCCATGGTGAATAAATTTAACATCCGCTCTTGGAAGCCTTGAAAGTCAGTCTATTATAAATTTGTTTACGGCAATTTCAGAGGTTGATTGTCGCTTTTGAAAAGTTACTGTCCTAATTGACTGGATTTGTCAAAAAAAAAAAGTACTCAGCTAAAACAATATTCCGTGCTTAGATCGCTGATTTTTTCGAAATGTAAAGTTTTAAGAAACATGTCGAATTCAGTACCTACGTCATTACTTCGTACATTTCTTTAACAACTTTGGTATTTTAACAAACCGGCAATGACCACACGTCAAAGAATGAAATCTTATGTATTAATTGATATATTGACATAATATTCTCTTGAAAGCACCAACTCAATAAGCTTATAATCAAAAGTGACAAAAGTCAGAAATTAAACAAAATTTTAAAATATGATTACTATAAGATAATTTCTTATCCAGTTATCTCAATAGTAATCTCATGGATATTTCAAAAACATAATTATTTAAACTTGTGCGAAAGGTTGTAAACAAAAATAATTGAATGTTTCGTGTTGAATGATGTGTTTAGAACGTCAAAAAATGTCTACCAATCTATAGAAAACAATAAGTATCAAGGAGAGGAGCTACTTTAAACAAAATTACCAAAATGTTGTCCAATCTGTGTAAGTAATTTCGTTAAATAAAGTATTGAAGTGTTATTTTAATTCCATAGTGGATTATGAGACTTTAAAACTGACTTTTAATTTGTAGGCTTATTACTAATTATGCATTCCAATGTCCCTGTGCTAATTTATAACACTTTTAGTTTTAAATATACATAATATTATAATGTGTTGCCTTTTATATATGTTATAGTTGTATATTTAACTTTCTATATATCTCCATACAGTATAAAAGTAAAGACCTTCATTAGGCCAAGAAATTACACATTATCAAGGTCAATTAAAAATATTAAATCAACTTAATCTCATTAAAAGTATTAAGATACTTATAAACGTTAAAAAAAATCATATTTTTTTAGTAAGAAGCACTTAAGTTTATTTTTTATTTTAAAATATTATACAAAAATATTTATGTTGTCACCCGGTCAAAGCCTATTTATATTTTATACACAGTATATTTTGCAATATTAATATTGCAGAATCCTTATACAGTTATTCTTGATTTTAACACAGTTACAGTCAAATTAATAATATTAAAAAAAATGAACACAAAAAGTAATATGAAAAAATTACTAAAACGTTTTGTAATAATATCTGAAGTTTAAAATTTACACAAATATAACATTATTAAAACGCATTAAAGAACATATGTATTATACAGAGTGTAATATAAAGTTCTACTGAGCTTCAAATAAGACATTCAGGATGCTTAATGGGTACAATAAATGGTATTCATTTACAAGTTACAATCCTTATAAATGGCATAACGTAAAAGGACTGTCACAGCAGTAACTATTAATTCGTTGTACATAAATTGCTTAATAAGTAATAATAATAAGCAGCATCGCCTATCATACTAAATTTATAGAATCGCGTAATATAAATTGGAATTCAGTTTTGTCAAGGTCATTTCATACACTGTATACTTTGTTCCGTGTAAACTGTATATAATGAATGAAATCGACTGGTAGTTCATTGATCATCGTGTTCAAACATAACATTGTTTAACATTTAATGTAAAACCAATACGCTATTCCCAGCTTTACGTCAAAGTTAAACGTAATAACAGTTTAGCTCAGCTAATAATACAATAATAAAAAAAATGTGTACATTTTTTTTTCGATAAAGGCTAAAGCATATTATGGGGCGTCATTATATCATTCATTTTAATTATCCCTCGGTTTATATGTAAACAAACGATGGCTAACGAGGGAGAAGTCATGTGATCAACAATTCCCACTTATTGGTTCTGTATAGTAATTATTATAATACAAATATCTATATATATATATATATATCCTTTGAGGAATCAACACGCAATATATAATTTAAAAAAATAATTTATAGAAACACACTTGAACGAAAAAAACGAATGCAGTTAGTGTTGGACACGTAGAGCACGTTGAGTACGGCAAATACGTTTATACACACTTCTAGCATTGCAAAAAAACAAAATGTCTAAAACTAGTTGGCGCAGAAAGTATTTTGAAGAATCAACTGTGCATTGTTTACAGTATCTGGTTCAAAAGAACAGATCACTGATAGAAAAGTAAGTTAAAGTTTTTACGCTAAATTTAATTATTTGGTAAAATATATCGACTGTAAGTTATTTTACGTGAGGTGATGAATAAAACATTTTTTTTTTATTTCAATTAAAATGTTTCAGCATATTATATGCTCATACAAATTAAATAAAACATAAAAATATATACTTTATTGAGTAATTCACAGTGCATGTTTTAAGTTAAAACCGTCTTACTGTATTTAATATTTTTTAAATGCGTTTATTATAATTTACAAAAATATTGTGTTACAAAACACTAGATTACAATATTTATAATATAGCATTATGATATGAAAATGTATTTGTCTATATGTTTAGATTATTTTGGATATTTACAATAATATCTACTTATTTTATTGCAAATTGGATAGTGTTTTTATTGATTGGTCTTTGGCTTCAAAGCCCTTCGGTTATATATGTCGATAATACAGAATCGTCGATAAAAGAAATACCATTTCCGACAATCACAATTTGCTCCTCAAATCAAATAAGAAAACAGTTGTGGACAGCTTCGCAAAGAAATGATTCTTCCTTTATGTAAGTTTTACTCGTACATTGTGTCAAATTTAAGAAATCGATTATAAAACTATAATTCATATTGTAAATAACTATTTTAAAACTTGCTGTTTAATCTAGGAAAAATATAAAACAATATGAACAATTGTTATGTTTTTACTTAAGTGACCCAATACCGAAGCCGTATGACAACTTAGAACAAGATATTGTAAGGGATATGATGAGTGTGAGTATTTTGTTAAGTAAATTAAGTTGGTTTTTTAAGCTAAAAATTATGAAAAAATATCTAGATAAGATATAATAAACCAAAAAAAAAAAATCCGAGAAACTATTTTTATGGGTACCAAACGAAAAAAAAATATAGCTGTCTTTGAGACAATGGGGCTTTATTCTCAGCAATTTTAAAGTTTTGAATTCAGGTTTACTGACATTTTTATAACTGAAAGTGATAAAATCACTATTAAACAAACAATTTTATGTGAATCTATGGATAGTAAGTTCAGTACTAAGCACAGTTTAAACCAACATAGTATGAACGTAAATATTTAATTGACGTCCAGTGGCTACAAATACGTATCGAAACGTTTTTTTGGTGTTAAAGTGTTTTTGAAACTTTCAGTCATAATAATTCCTGTAGACTAGTAACCTCCCCGTTCCCACTACGCTCTGTCACCATTATGCCCCGACTCCACTTTACTGGCTTTTTAATTATAATTTGTATAATACAAATTATTCTACCACTTAAAAATTGTGCTGTGATTAGTGATTACTAGTACAAAGTGGAAAATGGACAGTTATAACTAGAATAGCTTCTCAGGTTCTTTATGTATTAAAGGCTAACTTCACCACAATTAACATATAATACCAGAAAGCTCAGATTCACCACGATTAGTTTAACAATGATTAAAATGCCACTCCATTCTTCAACTATGCTGAATTTCTTACTACGTTGACTTGCAACCCATAATATTAACTGGTACTTTTACAACCTAATATCCTCAAAATTACTCATGTTTTTAAATTACAGAATTAATATTAAAAAATAATTAAGAAAATGTTTAATAGGTATGCCCAGTTCGTTGTTCAGAAATGTTGAAAACTTCTACTGTATGGTTAAATGCAACATTGCCTAACATTTGTGATTTTGCTCAGCAAGTACCGTCTTTGTTAGGTGTATGCTATTCGTTAAACATGTTGCCAGCATATCAAATGTTTAATGATGATCATTATAATTTGTGAGTACAGTAGTATGTTATTTAGTAGTGACAGTAGTGGATAGTCAATTTATATAAAATAATTTCAAATATATTCATTTTTACTAGTGCCTGCGATTTTAAACGTGTTATTTAATTACACGTGTACACGTATATTTAAACTTTATAACTTGGGGGTTATAACTTCCACAGTGCGCGAACACATAAAACGGAACGCGCTTCGCCATTCTAAAAAATTATGCACATTGGACGAAGGTCAGCCACCCACCCCAGTACTGGTGTATACATAATACACACTTAAGAAAAAACTAAACATTTCGTTCATTTAATTTTTTTTTCTTAGTATCACATTCATTTACACGAACTCAAGCATTTTTATTTTCTTTTAGGTATAAGGATTTTTTCTTCAAAAATGTAACGTATAAATCTAAAAATACTTCAATAGAATGGAATACAGACGATGGATACCCTCCTGATTACAATGATGATATCAATGATGATTTACCAGTTAGAACGATAGGCGTTGGATATTACCATAGACTAAGAATGATGGTACACTCGTATCCCCATGACTTTTTGAATTGTCCGCTTATGAACTATAATTTTTTTCTAGTAAGTCGTTATAATAGAATCTATAAATAAATGTTGTAAGCTAAAAATTTTAATCTGAACGTAATAGATTCACATACATATATAATACATTGTATGTAGTTTGGACCTATTCAAATTATTTACATTGTATTTTTTATCTTTTGAGATAATGTTAAACCTTTTAAAATAAATGTAGGTTTTATTTAGCAACCCAGCGGAGTATCCAATAATAAATACGAGAGCATTCTTTAGATTTGGGACGTACACCAAAGTTCAGATTATTCCATCTGTAAAAAAAATACACCCAAATTTGCGATGGCGCTCACCCGAAGTTAGAAATTGTTACTTAAACAACGAAAGAAAACTATCTGTATTCAAGCATTACACAGAAAGCAATTGTTTGGTTGAATGTCTTATGAATGAGACTATATCTTTATGCGGATGTGGAAATTTGTATTTAGTTCGTCAGTAAACTTTTGTTTGAGGAAAAACTAAAGATAATAATAACTATGTGAATTTGATCGTTTCAGCTTTACCTAAAGATATTCCGGTGTGTGGGCCGTCTAAGGTGAAATGTATGGATAGAGCTAGAGGTGAGTTCTACCATCAGGTTAGATAATTAGGTATCCTAATAAATACCTTTATCAAATAATGGTTAACTATAACTCTAAAATAGAGTATAAAGTATTAATGGCTTAAAACTTCAATCTTCACCTAATATTTGGAACTTTATAAAAAATAATTAATATTTGACGTTATGTTGGTTCTTTTATAGAACGAATACGAAGCTTAGGTCTTTCTAAATCATGCAACTGTTTGCCTGCTTGTACCAAAATCGATTACGACGTGGAATTGTCAACCTATGACGAAAATACAGAGTATTTCAAAATAACAAATTTGGAAAATAACAAGTTAGTTTCAAAGTAAACTCCCTGTTATCTGTATCCACATATTTTGTTATAAAAACATTTTTAAATGTAGTTCTAGCATAGCAACAGTAGACATTGCATTCAAAGACCTTCATTTTACTGCTATTACAACAACATCGATTTTTAGTTGGTTATCTCTTGTTAGTAAGTGTCAATGCAATATTACATCCAACACACTTTTTTTTTATATTGTTAGGGACGATGTCCTACACTACACACACGCCTACACAAATACACGTATACCATATACATGATAATGATATCACACAGATAATGAGTATAAAATAATAATAAAAACCAAATATATTTGATACAAAACATCTGACAAATAACTCATTTTAACAGCTAACGATATTATTTTAAACTATAAAAAACATTTTTTGAAAATATAAAAAGAAATTAAAAATCTAGGCAAGCTTCATCAATTAAATAGTTTTACTATTTTCTTACAGGTAATATTGGAGGAATTCTAAGTTTATTTTTAGGATTTAGTTTGATAAACGTTTTTGAACTTGTATTTGTCTTCATTCAAATATTGTTTCAATCCATCAAGTCATACTTCACATATTAGGTAGGTAATGTTACTTGAATAACCAATTGATAGACATAATTTGATTGCAACACGTATTTCTTAATAATATACATACATTTGTTAACAATTATTATACTTGTCAAGCACTTATATTTATTTAATAATGATGCTAACATTTAAAAAAATATAGGAAATATGTTTGTAGCATAACGCACATTGTATATTTCAATACAAATTATTAACATAAAAAATACTACAGTTTTGTTATTTATACTAATTTATACCATTTTGCTTTTTGCCTGTGTGTAATTCCATATTATTATACATCACTTAATAACGTTTTTTTTTAACTTACAAATAAAGTAAAAACTATTTATAAAAGTAAGTGTATTATATTATAGTTAATTAACTTAAATAATAATTAACTAACTAAAGCAAACAATCTAGCAAAAAAATAATTAAAAATTGATACAAAAATTGGCTATATTTTATAACAAAAAATGATTATATTAAGTTTTAATTCAAAATAACTATTTGACGATAAAAATACTCTTACATAATGTGTTACATAAATGCTTTTATGTATGCCACGTTTCGGTGGTTACATCTTATATTATGAATTTTGGACGGGGTGTACTCGATAAGGGCCACCGTGTACGCACGAACAATTTTTAGCTACTGGCGGTTTCAATATATTGATGGACAACCATCGAGAAAAAAATAATATCTTATTTTCAGACTTCAGAATTTGTTTAATCAAGACAGAATAACAGCAAGCTGCTAAGTCGTAAGCCCGGCTTAAGTTCAAGCACACCTGTCATTTTTCACATTTTATGTACTTATGACACGCATAGGGACTGTAGATTTGTATAGACAGTGATTAGGCCATAGAAAAGCCGCTCAAATTATTTCCAGTCGAATCAGCCCGTAATAACATTGCTGCTACATCCTATTCGGTCACCTGACTGACTTTAATAAATAGTAGTAAATTAATGATTCTCGATTTTGAAACGTTTAGTCAAAGAAAAATTGACCTACTAATCGTTGCTGCAAATTATATTTTTTGTGGTATAAATTATTTATTTAATATGTATAGGACTAATATTTATATAATATAATATAAATATGTAATATTTTTACTATAGGGGTTGCATATCATATACATATATGTTGAATATTCAGTTTATATATATATATATATTTCACTATCAAATTATACAATCAATTCCCTAAGGGTTTCGGGTTTACCATTAAAATAACCGCTATACAAAATTATATATTACGTTACAGCATTGGAATTATTATATTCCTAAATAGTTCCCATGAGTATATTACCTACTAGCATATATTATGATAGTCTGCTACTATACGACCTTGTAAAAAACATTCAATTACAATATTTGTCGTTATCAAATTAAATTAGTATCAAAAATTAAATCGTTTTGTTTAAATCTCAATAATCGTATTGTCGGCAATATTTATTACCAAGTTAATTTAAAAAAAAATAACTTGGTAATAACATAGGATTTTTGGTTTTAATATTACAATTTTAATTTTAAATAAATATGCTTAAGAACACAATACTAATCACTTTGAACACAAAGTTAAACTATGGATGGAAATTGTATATTTTCTTCTAAAAATTAGTCGTATTTTTATTTTAAATTAGTGTCCTTGAGTTAAACTTGTATCTCTCTGTTAATTTGTAAAATCAATAGGGGAGACTGACGCAAATTAGGTACATATGTAAGTTGATTACATAAAAATAGGGAATTTATGCTGGAAAAACTACAACGCCATCGACAAGTCCATTAATATACCTCACTCTCAAATGTAGTTATCGATTTTCGAAAACTGTAACACCATTTTTTAAATTATACGCAGGTACTCTTTTCATAATATTAAAAGGCTTAGTTATGTACAAGTATATTATGATGCAAATTTAACCAAATATTTTACCTTATAATTAGTTAATCAATGTGACTACCCTATATTACACAACAATTATTGAGTAATCGATATACCTTATTTTCTAATGCACCAGTTATATTTTATTGGATAACTTATAAATTAACTCGCTCTAATTTTTTTGTCCCTAGACACAATTTTTAATATTATGTTATATAATAAAATTAGGACAGCTTTTATCTAAAATTCGTTTATGGCATTAGAAAAAGTACTTTTTTACGTTATTCGAGGCCACGAGCAAGAGATTGATCAATAATTATCAAATATATTTCGACGAGGGTTGAGGGCATATTACATAATACCATGCATTAGGTACTTGTTAATGTTATTATATTTTTTTTGTTATTTACTAAACATGCAAACCATTTTAAAATAATATATATTGTACTTGCAATATTAATTAATTATTAAATAGAACAATTTTATCTCCTTCTTCATACTATCATTGTCTACGATGTATACACTATTTTTCTAAGTATATGTAAATTAATTAAAACATCATGTCTTATATTTTATCAACTTAATACTTAATAATTATACCTTAATTACGGTTATATTATACGATGATAATAATTTTGTTCTTTTAACGGAAAATTTGTTAAAATATACCTTCTTATCTGATATTTAGTAACTTTTGGCAAACGAACGTTAGGTATTTATTTTTCATTTAAGCGCGTGTACTGAAGTTTGATTGTGATAGTATAACAGCGGAGACATTATGATTTTTTTATGTAAGGTAAAATTAACAACAGTATAATATATACAATAAGTAGTCTACTCGTTGGGCCGAAAATTGAGGTTGAATCTTTAAAATCCAAATTGTAGAAACAAGTTGTCTCTGGCATAAATAGCCCATAAGCCCATATTTTATAAAAAAAAAACTGAACTTAAAACGACCGATACAAAACTATTTTAAGAGCAAACCTGTATTTTTAAAAAGTAAATATTGACAGTAATAAAGTTAGTTGCTCTACGAGGAAATTTAGGAAATAATTGCAAAAACGAATTGTGTACGTCGCTTTGTACAAAGAACTATTGTTTGGTGAAAATAACGAAATCGAATTAAATAAATTAAAGCGCCAAAAAAAGAAAACCCTAAAGGAATAAAACCAGCAATCCTATTTTAATTTTGATCGAATAAATAGTATAGTATACCTACCTTTTAGTTCTAACATATTTTGATGATGGATGTTGAAGTAAAAAAAATGTGTATGATGCTGTGTGCATTTGTTTGCTTAAGTAATTATTTTTTTACTGATCAAAATTGTTCCAAAAGAGCCGCCATCCCTTCTCTGGAGACGTCCCGGATAGCGAATTCGTCTAGAAACCATGTCATGATAACAGCTTTGGACTTTTAAAGTCCCTTAAGTTACATGATATGGTATGCTAAATATTACAGACATTATTGAAGTTTAGTTAAGGTATAATGCGTAATAATGTAAAGAATATATCATCAAAAAATTGATTTTAGAAAAAAAGCCTCCTAAAATAGTAAAGTGTTATTTAGTATAGTATTATACTGTTTATTTTTACCCTCCTGTGCTTTGGCTTTAAAATTATTTTTGTATATTTTGTTATAATTTATAACTACTTATAATAATTCATTTAAAGCCAATTATCAAGGCCGAATTGTTTTAGATCTATAAATCTTGCTAGCAGTATTAAATAAAATTATATTAAGCGTTTAAATATTATACATAATATAGTTTATTTACAATTGTAAGGTTACAGTTTGATCCACATTGTTATTTATTTTTAAATTCGTCATCATTTTAATTTGCAATTTTTTTTTATTGTGGTCTACTATAATATAATAAATAAGTACAAATTTTAATAGCAATTTACAGAACATCAAAATTTGTATATATATTTTCTAAAAAATTGAATTACGAAATAGTTGTTGGCAGTGGTGTTGTAGAAGAGATAATAGTGGATGGAGTTCTGTAGGAAAAACCATTATCAGTTGACGCACCGATCCCACTATGTCCGTTATAATGAATAGGAGTGGATTCGGAAGGTTTTTGATTAGAACCCGATTGTAATATATCTCCGTCTGGCCTTCTTTGCAAATATTCTCTTGGAGGATCGTTCCATCCATTTTGTGGTCCCCTAAAACGAAAATATAACGCATTATTAACTTAAGTGTCATAGCAAAAGTTAATGCGAGAGATGCCATATTTATTAATTTATTAAGATAATAAAATTATCGTAATTATGCAAAACCTTATACGGTTATCAAGTCTAGCCGATTAAATGATTATAAAATTTGAGTTATCAAAGTTCTAAGTATGGGTATTGAAAACATCTACCAACACTTCATAATTACTTTATTAAATATTTGTATTTTACAAAAATCTAAAACCAAAAACTATGTAAGCTTCTGTAGATTATTTAATATAAATTTTATTTAAATCAAATTTTGTATGACCGTTTAGTCAAATGAAAACCCCTCCATATTTTATAAGAATGATTATGATAATATTTAAAATATTAGTAAAACATTGGACAAATTTCTTTATTACTTAAATAAAATTTTGTAAATAATATTTTTGAATCATTTAATCTTCTGCTTAAACACGATTCTAATATATTTGAAAAATATTGTTTGTTGAAACTTTTTGACAAGATTTTGAAACTATTGAGTTTTAGCTGTAAGTATGGGACATAATATATTGTCTAGCAAATCTAGACTACAATTGGTCCATACTTACATAGGAACCCTTCAACTAGAAGTATAACGAATATGCATTTATAATTTATAAACTATAGTCCTTGACGATAAAAAGTTTGTTCTTATAACCGTAGTCTTACATAACAGTAAACCTTAAAAAGTCGAAACAAATATCTTTATTATACTAAACAGTTGAGTACTACCTCGAACTACTATCATTTTAAAATAATAATGTATTTAAATTAAAAATTCTTGTAGGAGCAAATAATACGGTTGTGAATATTAATTGAAGGGCTGCAGGGAAAAAAGATCAATGTCAATTTTTTAACATTCTGAGAAAATCATGTTTTTAATTTTAAAACGTAATACATTTTGCCTGTATGCCTAAACTTACGGCGGTCGTTACTCTCGACTAATTTGTTTTTTCCCTGGTTCGAGCGCATAAAAGATACAATACATCAATACAAATAATTTGATACCTAAATATCATTATCAAAAAAAATTGACATTGTTATTTTTTCCCCGCAGCCCTTCAATTGTATAAAAAGTATGTATTGAGATTGAAATGAACAAATTACATTTTTAGCATATGAAAATGATGGAATTCCGGCATAAAAATAATCTCTCTACAATTTATAGGTTACAATGATTTTATTAGGTTTTTAATCTTCTAAAACGTAAAGTTATACAGAAAATTTGTTGAGTTTGGTTGAACAAAAATATGAAATAAAATTACAGCAAAAATTATATTATAGCTAATAGCTTATAATTTTTTTTTTTATTATTAGCTTTCACCAAAAAGGTATTACAGCTCGCGATTATTAATACTATTACAATTGATATTCTTAATCAAATAAAAAGAGAAAATACAATAATTTAACTGAATAAAAACTGTATAACAGCTATTAATAATAGCAAAAGAAAAATCGTATAGTTTATGTTTACCGAAACTAGAATACCTAAGTAGAAAATGTTACAAATATTTATCGTAGATCAGTAGTAATTATTCTAGATCTTTTAAGAATGCAGATAACAACTAATAGACTTAGTTGTCGCAAATAAGTTTCGTATGCTTACTGTTCTGTATGTATTATAGAATATTTGGTTGTTATCATTATTATTTTAACTTACTATTTATTTTAGAAGAATTAGTCATCAGAAACATAGGGTTTTTCTTTCAAGGTTTGATGATTTAAATTATTTTCATTATTACTTGAATAATATTTGCACTGTGTAGCATAAATTTAATGGTCCGGTGAGTCGAAGATGCTCGAATGTCTTCAGTTGACCTTTCGGGTTGGTGACCTAACGTGTTGGTTATTCAACCTTTATTATTATGCTGTATAATCAAAACAATGAGAGAAGAAAAGATTGCTTGATGAAAAACAGTAACCTCGCAAAACGAGAATTAAGTCAAGGGTAATAATCAAATGTACGATAATATACTGTTATCGAATCAGACATCTAGTCGAACTATAATTTTCTTAAAAAATATTACACCAAAGTGGGAGGCGTACTAATAGTTACCTAATTGTTGTTTTTGTTAATATGGAATCTGTAATTACCCACAAGATCATTATTATCTTACCTCATTGAATTAGAATAATAATCCCAATTTGATGCATATCCTTTTCCATATCCTGATCCCATTTGAGAGGATCCGTAATTATCATTTGTGTAAGGCCGATCATTATCATTGCCGGGTCTATTGTTCATCATATTTTGAGGTCTACCATAGTCATAAGAACCATACTTATTGGTCTCTGGTCTATAGGATACATACTCTGGTCTAGACCCCAAAGATCCATAATCTGGTCGAGGTCCCGATGATCCATAATCTGGTCGAGGTCCCGATGATCCGTAATCTGGTCTAAAGCCCTGAGATCCATAATCTGGCCGAGGTCCCGAAGATCCATGATCTGGTCTGTTGTTAAGTGGTCTTGAATTTCCATACTGATCATATCCTAGTCCAGTAGATGGCATATTATTAAAAGAGTTATCGCCCCAATTTTGACTAGGTCTCGAAGACGTTCCTGAATAATTAGGTCTTTGAGAATTCCAACTGGGTCTTGATGTGACATCGAATGATATTGGTCGCGAAGTGCTCCAATCTGTGGGTTTTAAACTGTATGTTGGTTTATTATTTATACTCACGTCGTAATTTTGCGTAGGTCTATCTGTAGTTGATGGTCTGTAGCCATAATCGTAAGGTCTATCAGGTTTTGAGTTGAATCCCGTAACTGGCTTATTATTATAATTTACGCCGCCATAGCCGTAGTTATTTCCATATGACTGTACTCCATAATCGCCATTTCCATTTCTGTCTACGTATTTGTAACCGTTGTTCATTTTAATGACTTCGTAAGACCCAGAACCTCCCCACCCCATAAAAGGTCTTTTTTTATCAGAATTTTCATAACCTGTCCCTTTGTTGAAATAATCGTCGTCTTTATCGTTCGTTGGATAGTTATTATAGAGTTGCGCTGGTTTTCCGGATTCATATTTGTTAGGACCCCCCATCCATCCAGCTATAACGCCTACTTTTTTGCTATCTTCATCCCATCCAATATCTTTGGGCGGTTGACTATGCCAATAACCTGAATTGGTTTGAGCTGGATAAACGCCCTTCATATCCCATCGGTCGTTAGATCCATAGCCGCCTTGAATAGGCCCCCCTTGTTGTACAGTTACCGGATAAGCCATTCCCTGGTTATAACCAGGTTTTCTGTTCCCGTACTTTTTTTCCCATTCTGGACTCATGTTATCGTAACCGTTACCTCGGTAATCGGGGTTCTTATTAAAAGTGTTCGTCATATAATTACTACCATGACTATTCATGTTGTAGTTACTTGTATGAGCACTGTAACTGTTCCCAGACGATCCCATATTATAACCGGTGCCATGGCCGCTTGGACTGTAGCTGTCGACATAATTATTATTTGTGTTATAACCGTTATATCTATTATCCATGTGGGATGGATAACCACTGTTACCAGTGTTATAACTACTGCCCCGAGTATCAGTGTTATACACATTATCCCGGTTGTCTGGAACGACATTACTAACGCGGTCATTTGAATTATAACCACTGCCATGCAATCCTGTTGTGTATTGAGATCCTGGTAATGGATGAGGTCGGCTAGAGCAACGACTACAAGGATCAATTGGCTGTTGACTGTCCCAGCCGTACGATGATATTCCACCACGTGTTGTCCAAGTTCCACTGGCCGTGGTCGTTGGATAGTTCATTCCACTGCCATGGCCATCCACTGAACATTCTGCGCCAGTTCTTCTAGAGATTAGATGTAACAAAAATATACACTTGGCCACGTAGCATGGGCTCTGAAAAATTACAAAAATGTCAAATATATTATATTTAATTTATTTGTTAACAGATAATTTTAGTAAGACATAGTTATAACTATTATATAATGTTCATGTCAAAGTATTAAGATGACAAAATTCTACAGTCTTCGAGATCTAAACCCAAAAAACAAAATCCTGCGATTCACGCCAATTGAGCAACAGTAGTACATGCCACAAATAAGTTCTCACGACAGATACACAAATCTAGACTAAAATCCAAATTGATTAAATATAAAACAATGGAAACATAATTATTGTTATTATTGCTCAATGAATTACAACAACCTGTGGAGTAAATAGCTATGTTATTATTGTCCACGTCGTAATCACAAGGCTCGTGTCATATTGTTCACATACATCTTGTGTGACAACGACCTGATGCGGTTCGAAGATTACAACGAATATGCCTTATTGTTCGACTTAAATTATTGAGCAATTTCCGCTTTTTATTAAGTCAATTTGTAAAATTACGATGTTATTGTCCTTGAACTGTCTTTTTTATACTTTTTTGTTAACAGGATTAGTTATGAAAAAAATAGTACTAAATTATACACACGACTGTACTAGTTAATCCACCGTTCGAAATCGAAATTCCAATTGTACTTTTTTGACATACCGGGCCATTGTTCAAATGTTAGTTGTTACACATCTTTAATTAGCACAAATTAAATTATTACTCTACAGACACGACGGTCTGAAATATTAAAGATTTTGAAAATAACCAAAACAAAAAAATTACTACAAAATTACAAAAAGTTTATTCTTATTGATAGAAATGTAATCAAGAAGTACTTCGCTTGGCATGGAACACCATTGGGCGTTTTACAGACTTTTTTTTATAAAACACCTCTATACCTATATATATATAGTGACACACCATAATCTATGAAAAACAATGTACTAACAGTTGTAGCCGTTTCTCTATATCCCTTGATTTCCCCGGTACTAGAGCGATATATCAATATAGTATATTATACATGTGTCACTTCAAAAATCAAGATCAATGTATTGAAGCAACATTTATCAAAATCGATCCAGTACTTGGGGAGGTTACGCCAAACAAAGATAACAAAGCAAACTCTTATCCCGACCAGATAAATATAATTACTTTAGCAGTCCGATCCCAAACCGAAGGTCTAGTAGTGTAGCTTTGCATAAACACATACATGCCACTAGAGTGGCACTAATTTAAAAAAAAAGTGTTTGCGACACCCCCCCCCCTGATTTTTCCTATAACTAAAAAATAATTTATGCACAATTTTAGGCCAATTCATCAATGTTAACCTGTGTCCCCAGGCGTCTGGAATCGAATATAACTGTAATTTTCAAAAAATTATTAAACATTACGCCATTACTTTTTGACTATTAAATTGAAAGTTATGGGACTTACATTATACTTAGGAAATATTGTAAGCATTGCAAAAATGTCCTTTGTCAATTACGTAAATTAATGACTACGAAATGTCTGTTTATAAGTCCAATATATTGTTAAAGTCTAAAAAATTCATTATAACTACTATTTTAACAATATTATCAAGTCCCATAATTTTCAATTCAATAGCCAAAAAATAATGGCGTATTGTTTAATTATTTTTTGAAAATTACAGTTTCATTCGATTCCAGACGCCTGGGAGCACAGGTTAACATTGATGGATTGACCTAAACATTTTCATGAATTCTTTTTTTTTTTTGATATTATAGGGAAAAAATGGGTGGGTGCCGCAAAAAATAATTTAAAATTAAATTAAATTAACAATTCGATGGTCACCATAGTTTTATAGCAACCGGCCATTGAATACCATTCAATTTGTATGTAATACCTGTTGTAATGTACCTAGTGAAATAACAAAAATAATAATTAGGGAACATTTTTCGTCAGACACCTGAACGCGACGAAAGCTTTCACCACGTTATAGCCAAGTGCAAGTCTTGTAGTATTAGGTCAAAAGACAAAAGGTGTGTGTTTTTATAATTAATAAGAACATTTTTTTTTTTGTATTTTCCAAACATTAGTACAACACGAGTGTTGTAAGTATGTTAATGGTCTTGGTTATTTTTTGGTCATCGCCTTTATATATTATATTATAGTAATAAAATAGTAGTTGCAAATAAATATTTTTTTAAGCCGAAAGAAGTTGATAGCTTATATTATAGTAAGTTTAAATTATTTAGTATACTGTGTTCAACACCAAAAATTGTATTTAAAATACTTTATTGAATACATAAAAATAAAAGTACTTGAAACCCTGTACTCGATTACTAAATATTTAACACACTGACCACGTGTAAATTTGCTGCTAGGTACATGTCTGTGCAATTTGTCGGTAGTAATTGTCTGTCACACCGGCGTCCGGCGATCACAAACTTCTAGACACTGCGCTCAGTTGGGCCAACTAAATTTTTAGTTAAAGCAACTATACATTTAATATTTAGTTGGGCCTACTATTAGCTTCGATGCAATAGCAGAGAAGGGGTTGGTTTTTATTTAGTTATTCCAACTAGAAATTTATTATGTCCCTATGTATACAACCATAATTTTAGTTGGACCAACTATGTGTTTTTTAACGTGTGTATATTGCCCAAACGTTGTGTTATATGTACTTTTTATTTTTAAAAAAACCTAAGGAGCATATTAGGCACATTTCCAATTTCAGCCGTAACTTATACATATATTATTCACATCTTTCCTACGCTTCTACTCGATTAAGATGTTACTGAACAGTGACAGCCCTGACAGCTATAATATGAGCAGAAGGAATTGAATTCGTTTTTCTTGCTTACTATCACCCACATCGTTGCTGTGGAAGGCATAATATTATACACATATGTCATAATATATGTGTATTAAAACAAAGAAATACAACACCTTCAGTCTTGACAAAATAAAAAGTCACGTGGATACCCACGTGATATTTCAACCCTTGAAAGCTTCAACTCATTCATAAAAATAAAAAGTATTATTATAATCTCTAAAATTATTTATACGTAGTTGAATTGGCGTCATTTTTAACAAGGACAATACATATTACAGAAGAACTTCATTGGAAAGAATAAGATGATTTTTTTAGCTGATTTTTAAAAATAAAAAGGCTATTATTTTCGGTAAAAATGTTACTAAGTTACTGAATACTCGTAATATAATCATTCTGAGACAACCTTTATTATCAAAAATAGATCTACAGGTATAGTTGATTTCTATTACAATGGTATAAAGCTACCATACTAGACTGACCTATGGATTTATTATGGCCAATTGTGTGGATTTGTGTGTAATCTAATTCGACGGTCTAAACTCTAAAGGAAGCGTGGCGAAATACGTGAAACTCCAAAGATGTCTCAATATGCTTTCAACTTATTACAACCCCTCAAATTAAAATGGTTTAAATGGTTGATGATTAAATTATTTCAACTAATTAAATAACGATAAATTTATTAATGAATATATTTTTAGATAGACGATTTATGATTAAATATTTAGTCGATTACATTTAATAAAAATGTGATGAGTGATAAAGTATTGTCAATTTTTACTACCTCATTAGCTACTAAGTAGTAAACACTGAATAATTAATTTTCCATTTCAATAACGAATTTATTGAAAATGTTGACACTGCTTGTTTAACATATCAACGTGACTACACATTTTTATATTGGTAGGTACATGTACCTGTATCTTGTAACTGTATCAATACCCATATCCACCTCTGTCAACAATTTAGGTGGATAACACTTCTATGACCACAATAAAAACTTATTTTTCTCCATCTATAGTCACCAAGTTTTATAATCAATATAATAATTAGTGTTTATTATGATTGGTTAAAACCATAACCATATATCTCATAAAATGATAAAATATACATTACTTAAAAATTAATACATTTAGTTAGATGGGTACTCTCCAATCACACCATACAATCGAACTAGTAATAAGTAGTTTTTCGGATTGTTAAAACATGTTAATATCATGTTCGATAAATTTGTACCAGAAATAATATTTAAAAAAATGTTCTGTATAAATAGTTTTCGCTAAACATTGTGTATTGTAGCGTGTACAATATAAACATATTTTATGGTTAGCGTGTATAATTAAAATTCAATATCGGTAAATGAATTTAAACGTGTTCGTACACGTGATGAATCATGTGATGCCTACCGGATAAACGCATCCGTACTTAGGTATAAAACTTAGTTATTCGTAATGACTAATGACGATAAATAAAAATGTAGACTTACGCTTCTCAGCCACTCGACGCACATGGTGAATAATTGAGGACCGACGACGTACTAAGATTGGCAAGAGTACCAAGCAATGTCTGTGCAAACACTTGCCATGAGAAAAACTTTAAAACCAACGACCACCACGGTAATTTGTATGTGTGTGTACATTAAATGGACAGAGCAAACATTCATACACGTTGTAACGGTTCAGGGGGTACGGTGGCCTCGGTGGCACGATCGTTTCTTCGCCGTTTCCTCCTACAATCATATTCTGCGTACACTGCCGGATGATAATTACCGGTCTAGTCTATTCTTATTTACGGTACGACGTACAGCCGTGGAGGCGACCGAAAAACACTAAGTTTTATTTGCTCCAATCGCCAATGTACGCGCGCAAGAACAAAAGAGTACATATTATTATTATTGTGAAATATCCGTTCCTCGGACGAGACGTCAGAATAAAATAATTGTCTCTAATGGTTCGTCCTGTTGAACATCAAACTGACTAATCATACTAAGCTACACTAGACCATATAAATTATATATTTTTTTATTGTGTTCTAATGTTAAAAAAATGACCATTAAAAAGACCAAGGACTCGATGGATAAATGTAGTTGCCCAAAATGAAAAAGACGTAGAGGAAAACGCGACTTTTGACGAGGCATTCGGCAAAGTTAGACAGAGAGGATTATTTGTGATGGCAGCGCTGGTTCTCAATGGATCGACAAGCTTAAAAAGAAGAAGTTTATTTTAAAATACTTTTAAATTATGATTTTTTTTTTTGCTTTTATCCAGATTAAATATTCACTCCAAAGTTTTTGGCGAAGTAAAATGTAACTTAAAATTTGTGTTTTTCAATTTATGAGCCAGACAAAAAATATTTATATATTTTTCAGGAATTAGTTGTACTTAAGTACTGGGAACGGTTATGTGACGTTTTTTTAACTATAAAATGTTTAAGTATATTTTCATACCTACAAGTTTTTAGAAAAAGTCAATTAGAAATGAAAATGAATACGTATAATTTGTAATATACTAAGAACACCTATTCAAACAGATCAACAAAAGGATTTAAATACAATTTTTAAAAAAATGTTTACTTATTTAGAACTTATTTCACTGCCAGTATGAAGTCAAAAATGACGACTATCTTAAATTGTGCAATGTACATAATGACGGTTTTACAAGAGAGCGTTTTAAAGTTTTCCCTTTTAATTTGTTTGCAGTAACCAATACTTTTACGCTTAAAATATAGACTATTTTATTTACTCGTACCTCGTTATTGCAAAAACAGAAATAATTGATTAAATTATACAATAAACCCCATTTTCCTAACAAAATTACTTTGAGATTATTCGATACCGTCAAGCCCGCCAATACTTAAGTCTTTGTTGTCTTCGTTGGTTCTTCAATTTAGAGTTGAATAAACTGTCCTGAATGACCACAATATAACACCTTATTAGATACATTTTGAACCCATAAGGTAATAACTTCTTCTTCTTAACAGCTTAGCGGACCATGTAGATCCATCGCTGCCACCACTATTTCATTCCATCGGTCCCTATCATTCGCATCCTCTATTTTTTTCCTCTGTTATAAGGTAATAACAGTGCCTATAAATTACAATTATATGGTCTTAAAAAGGACATTTATACTCTGGGACGTAACGTTTCATTACACTCTTTTTTCTAAAGGGTTTAAATTTAAATTTACTTTACTTTAGAGAACTAGGTATCAGACAACAGTTAATAGTTAACAATAATTACTACAGCCATTACTAATTATTGATTATTGACAAACTATTTTTATTCAATTTTTGTCTACTAAAAATAATAATACTGAACTCTGTATAAAATATACAAGGCCCATTAGAGTTGGTTGAAAAAATGTTAATATTTTTTTATAATAAGTATTGCAAAAAATATTATTAATACTTGACAATGTATTCAAATAGTCATATATTAGTATTACAAAGATGTAAATTGTGAAACTATTCTAATAATCATTATACAATTATTATTCACTATTCAGTATAGAACATATAAATTCGGGTCATACAAATTCCCTAGTCTTAAATTGAAAATTTGTTTCAATGATCACAAGCCACAGCAATCGATACAACATAAATAGTAATTTTTGTTTGTCTATAATATTGTTGTTGGGGTAATTAAATATAAGTGACCCAAGGAAATGCTTTCATTGACATATTTTAATAATTATAACCATTGGAAATTATTGAAAATTAAATACCTAAACAGGAATAGCCTTCTCGCAACGATAGGTAGTTCCATACATACTTTTAACTTTACGCAATTTATTGCAACATTGGTCATCAAATTAAAAAAATACGCATATAATATTATATGGACACGCTTAGAAGGTATCAATTTGGAATTGCAACTAAACTCGTTTGTCTCCCATGTGAAAAATGTCAAAGAACACAGACACACACACACACACACACACACACAAAATATATATATATATATATGTATTTAAATTGTAACTGTTTTACAAAATAATTTTACGCAACACAAAAAAGAACTGGAATAATTAATAACTTAATTTTTTCTGTTGCCCCCAATAAAAAAAAATGTAAAATTAACAACAATACTATCCGCTAAAAATCCCTTAATAATCTATTGCTGTTAAAACAAATATAGCTTTATGATTTTTTTTTATACCGGTATAAAAATATTTATAATAATATTATTATAAATAGGTACATAATTAAGTAGTATAAGGAAGTAAAACAATTGTTTGTAATATCAACTTAGGTATTTTAACAAGAGCACAGCTTTGTTAAATTGAATGTAAGTAAGTACCTATCTTTTCTTTCGATAATACTAAATGCATTAGGATAGGATTGAAATCCGGATTTAAATGTACAAGTCCGGATTATAAATAAATACAAATCTAGATTTAACGGACCTAACCTACCCGGTTTATACAAACTTGAATAATCGAATAGTTGAAAAATTAAACGTTTAATTTTAGCAAGTCGAAAAATATTCATACACTATCTTACCTTTAAGTTATAGCTTATAAGTTTAATACACATAATATACTAAAATGTGGATTGTACATGGGTTATAGACAATGAGCATATAATATATAAATTACAAGGGCACTGAGTACACAGTTGAAAAAAAAGAAGACAGTGTTTTTCTAAAAAAATAAAAAAATAAAGATATACATTTTTATATAATTCAAATATCTATAGTTATTAATCAACTGGTTTCGAGGGCACGTTGCAATAACAAAACAAATTATCATGCAAATATGCGCATCCTACCTTGTAAAAAAAAAACATTATGTTTCATTAAGCACATTTTAAGAAATAATACGATAACTTTGTTCCAGTTATAATTATTGTAATCTTATAGGTCCTTGGGCTCACATTAATAAAGTCAATAAGTCATCATAATAATTTTTATCAAACAAAATATAATGTTCGATCAATTTGTTTTTTTTTTCAAATTAGTTAAATAAAGAGTAATAATTTATTTCTGAAATGCATTACTGTTAAAATACGTAATAGGTGTTTTATGTGTTTTTGTGCAACCTTACTTTTTTACATCCATTTCTTATTTTTTTTAAATAATTCATAATGATTATAGTAACCTTCGTATTTGATTGTTTTACCAATGACGCTTATACATTAATATTTTTTTTTCATAAATATTCTTATTACTGCTATAAAATTAAAAATATATTATCCATCGATCTTTATATTGTGGTGGCATTAAGACAACTACGAAATAATTGCCCAAATAGACTGCATGCTTGTAAATATAAATATTAGTAGGTATGCAGTTTTTGAATTCATTCATTATAATAACGCAGTCATCAATGGGAACTTTTTTTTTACTCGTAATACATTATGTGAGCATTCTAGTTTTTTATAATTTCTCTAGCTATCGGTCAGTCAAACACCAAAACGGTCCTAGTTTGACTTACAATTATATACATCAAATGTTAACTCTAAAAATGTTGTTTCTTAAAAGCTAATTTTTTTTATAAATAGTATTAATAAAAAATGGTGTGATCAAGAAAAATTTGCCATCGAGCTGCTTTTTGCTGGTATTCAATTTTTTCATTAATTTACAGACTAGGTATGCACAAGTACCAATGGTTTCATAATTAATAATATTTTTTAATTTTACAATTTACATAACTATATAAGATAAATCAAACTAAAGTAAACACAGCAATATTGTTATGGCTCATGTGTAGGTAATTATTTACAAAAGGGGGGGATTTAATTCCCCCTTCCGAAATACATGCTGTCCTAGGAATTACCTTTATATATTTGTGGGAATGGTGGTTCCCACGAGCGGTTTTATCTTCTATCGACATCTTCAGCTTTGAACAATGGTAATTAGATCTTGTAGCCATACGTCGTTGTAATGACAGGACTAACGTTTACTATAATGGATGCGAGAGCATAATAAGTTCAACGAACAAGGAGGAGACACGGATGTTCGTGATAATTAAGTTTTTATGTTAAACTAATAACTGACCTTCTATATTGGCACAAAATAGAATAGAATGGGACTTAACACAGTACACAGAATTTTACTTTTTTTTTGACAAGACGATTTTTAAGTCTTTCAGACCTCAAATCTTCTTAGGTTTGTCTATTTTTTAAATTGGCTCTAAAGTAGTAAATAAAACATAGCTGGTGTTTTCCATGTGTTATGTACGTTTTAATAGTTTTCAAACATATATTGGAAATAGTTTTTGTTTTAATTTTGCTGAATTCAGAAGTGCCAAATGGCCTAAAAATTAATGCAGTTTTTAGTTTTTTTTCAAACACAACAGAAAATGATAAATTTCTTATTCTTGTTTTTTAAGTTTTACAACTTTGAATGTTATAAAAAAAAAAAATAATTGAGGTTGCTTGGGTATATCCGTAAATCTGGTGAAACATATATATATATAAATATTTATTTCATATTATTTCCTATATTTATGGTTTTTGTTCCAAAAAAAAATCAAAATACTGTTATAGTACAAGCAATTGAGTACAAACAATATTATTTGATATTTTTTTATTTTTAGAACAAAAACCAATATATATCGACTTTTTGAGACATCACTGAATCCTAATCTGGTATCATGCCACTTTCCTTAGCATATCAATTTATACCATTCATTTTTTTTAATGCATTAAAAGTTTTAAGACAAGTAGAAGCTTGAAGACTGTAGAAGTTTTAAGATTTGTTTAAAAATTTGTAGCCTATTCTTAAGACCACATAGCTAGGAAAAAAAACAATATCTAAAAATTAATGTATAATAAAAATTTTACAAATTACATACTAAAGTACATTTTTTTACAAAGTGTGACAATTCAAAAATATAATAAATTATTTATTCTAAATATTTAACTTAACATATTTTTCTTAAAAAATATTAATTATTAGTCAATTAGGAAAAAAATCTAATAAATAATACTTCTTTGGTAAATACATTTTTTAGCTAATAACTAAACAAACGAATCAGGTTTTAAGAAAATACAATTCGGTAGCTCAACATTTTTCCTTAGGTATTATCATAAAGATGTACTTGTTAAATAATAATTACATTTTTGGTTTTATAATAGCTTCAATTGTATTAAAATAAGATATTAAGCAATTCAAACATTTTTCACTCAAAATAAATGATTTTATATATACTATGTTAAACAAGAATTTTAAATTCCTTTCTTTTAAATAAACTACTGGATAATACTAAACAATGCTGGAATGAACAAAATAATTTGATAAATTTAAGAATTATTAAATTGTCCTTCCAAACAATTATAGAAATGGTAAGCTAATTGTAATTTGCATTAATAAAATATATTTAATGTTGATCAAAATTTTAACATACAAATCCATCTTAAAGTAAAACACAAATGACCCTCATTTTGCACCGAATAAATGTATATGCAAAAATAATTTAACAGCATTAATCAAAAATGTTGTCGATGTTAACAAGTTACAATCAATACTAAATAGAAAATTTAGCAATGGTACGATTTCAATAATTGTTATATCGTACAAGTAATATATTATATTAAAATTGTGTTTTGTTGTTTATTGTAACTGATGGCAGTAATGTAATATTATAGTTAGAATACCGATTTTCAATCACTACAAGTGCAAAATCAGAACATTTTGTGCATTCAATTGAAATATACATATTTATAAATATGAAATATAAATATCAAAACAAATTTAATTCGTTTGCAATCATAAATGTTAATGATTTATTTGATAACACAATAAGTAACTATGACTTGAGCAAATAATTTGACCAATACAAAAAAAAGTAGATCTTTTACAATGTGTACAAATACACCTATTATAATTAAAAAAAGTTATAATTAAAAAAATCAAAATAAGTACAATAGCTATAGAAATCTCTCTTTAAGTAGACAATTTTGTCAATGAGATTCATCAGTTAGTTGTTATATGGAGATTTCCAAGGCAATAGCATTTAATTAGCAAAAGATCAAAACTTAATATAATAATTTAAAAAAAAATAATAGCACTTGATTGAAAACTTTGCTGCTGTAATATAAGTAGAATGCAGACTTGCGCCATTGAACTTGTGCTTTAATTAATTTAAAAAAAAAAACTTACGAGTACAAATATGAAGTTTTGTTCTTGTAAAATAAACTTATTACGCTAGGGAATGTTAAGTAAAGTTAATTTATAAGAAACATTATTTAAGACAAAGATTCAGTCGTTTCTTTCAAATTTGACTAATCTAGTCAACATAGATGTAATACAAGGAATTTGTTTTTGTTGGTGCATTGTCGAATTGCCGGGGACATTGGATTCATAATCAGTAGAAACTTGCCGATTTACAAATGTTAATAGAGTCAGAAGGTCTAGTGAAAAACCATATCTGTCCAAAGCTTCACAAAGAGCTTGCATAAACCAAGAGCCTTTTTGAGTATTACGCCATGAATAATAACCTATTAACAAACATAATATTAGTGTATGTGTATTAATGTATAATAAAAAAAAAATAATAATAAAATACCAAGTGACATAAGAGTTGTATAAGGTGTTTTGCTGAGTGGTAATTCATTAAGCTAAATTATGCAATTGAAATCATACTAAATGGGAGACAAGGACAGCTCGTTTAGAGGATTAGGTGGCAGGACTTTCCTATTGCTAGTCTGACGCTCGGTCATGGGAAGATTTGTTTACCTGACGATAATTGGAAAAAAAGAGCCGCCTTTCACTCTACAACGACAGACTACTAACCCGGCTATGAAATCAAATCGATGAGAAACAAACCATTTCTATGGTTGTGACCATAACTTAGAACTTCTAAGATAAAAAATGGTATAGATTTGTTTCTAAATTAAAATCGTTGTTAATTTTGGAAAAATTTGATAACACACTTTTAGAGATGTTCATGTATAATACTACAGGTTTGTTTGAATGTAATTCTGTTGGATTTATTTTTATGAACAGACTACTTAAATCTTATTCCATTTAATTTTAATTTTAATTACCTTAGATAACCACCAAACGGCTAGTAGCTGTTCTCACTAGTTTAGTCTATAATTTTAATACTGTACTTAATTTTTAAGTTAAAGTGGTAAGAACTACCATAAAAAAAAGAAATTTAAATAGCTTAATATAAATTTTATTACCCAAAATATAAATAAAACCCTATCTTACCGGGTATTGTCGAGTAAGCGATTAAAAAATCAGCATACACTGGTATCTTGTACGTTGTACAACCATCGACTTGAGTTCTTAACATGACACCTCCATCTAATCGATCACCTTGGCAAGCCTGAATGAAAAAAAGCTTTGGCTTACTCGCTAATGTAAGACATTTATCACCCGTAAATCTTCCCCAAAGTTTATCTTCTGGCTTATATGGAGCATCTTTGGCATATATAATGCCTTGTTCACCATGAGAAAGTACAGCCATTAAAAAACAATCATAATCGGAGTAATTTACATTAGCCCCTGAAAAAGAAAATGCGTTCAATTATATATTAAAAATGTATATACAATAAATCAATACTAAAAACACACAAATATACTATGACATGACCAATTATCGCACATATATAATGTTACTCCACAAATTTCTTTAATTAAATATTAGTGTTAATATTAACACAAATAATAAAATATCATAAGTTTATTTATCAAAAATATTTCTAATCATTATTTACCAGTATATTGTTGAATGTTTTAATAAAACTTTAATAGAAACTATAAGACATTTTTACAATATTAAGATAGTTGTTAGTGGACTTTTCTTTTAATATCATTTTTCGACAATGGGTTTTGTAGCTCATTAATATTAAATGCAAGTTCTTATACCAGTCTACATTACAAATGGTATGTACTGCAACCACATACAACACAGTAATGCAGACATTTTAAGACAAGATAATGTGTTTGATAACAATGTTCATAGTTAACTGGTTCTTTGGATTTATCGATACAAATCATAAAAAACCTAAGTAATCAAATAATCAATGTAATTTGACAAGGTTCAAAAATAAAAATCCACTATTTTAAAATAATATCTTATTGGAAATAAACAAATATAGTGTGCCCAACATAATCGGAATATAATTGTGCACAACACTTTTAGTGGGACAAGATATATGATAAAATTTAAAATAAACTTACAATGATCAACTGTTTTGTCGAGTTCGTCCAACGTCAAATCTACATAAGGTGTAACGTCAAATCCTAGCTTCTTCAATGATGCTTCTAAGTTGTAACAATCAAGTCCAGTACCAGATCTAGATTTGAGGCCTCCGACTTGGAAATTTTCATGGTTAAAGATAATAGCTTTTCCACGGTACTTATGGTTCATATTATAATACCATGCTTCTTTATCTGTTGAACTAATGCCAACTCCTTGACGAGGTGTGCTTTTAAATCTAAAAACCATACAAATGCATCAATAAAATAATAAAATAAACATAAATAGGTAATGACTATTACAGTATAATATGAGAACGCATATAAGTCCATAACACTAAATAAAACTAAAAATTAAATACTATACTAATTACAAGATGACAACACACACTTAATAGACAAAATAAAGTTTATCATGCCAATAATTATATTTATTATTTTAAGTTATTTATTATCTGAACTATAATGTTAATAAAATATCCTAATAATCTCAACAAATATATTTTTTTACTGCTGTATGTTAAGATATCATTATTATGTTATATTACTCTTTTTTTTTTTAAGTTAAAATTTGTTTTTCTACAATAATAAAACATTTATAAATACTTACATTGAACCAAAAGCGTCTCCAGCGTCATAAGCCAGGTTTAATCCATCTATTTGCGTAGTCTGCGTACTACAATGAGATGTAGATACATCACAAGAACCATTTTCATGTCTAAAATAGTAAAATCACACAAAAGAATATTAGGTATTATAATATGTTTTTTTTTTGTTTGTGAAACAATTACAACATTATTGAGTTATAATATGTTATTAAGTAGTTCATTAGTCCTTACAAATATTCCATAGCTCCATTTTTATCCATTTTTAAGGGAGTCTGAGAATACAATATATCCTTAAGCGTTATCGGTACCAGAATTCTATTGTACTAAATTTATAATATTACTATTGTGTATTTATCATTATAATCAATGACTAAGTACTAACCACTAACCTCGGAGTAATAACAATACTAAAGCAGTTACGCAGATGATAATGGACAACAAAAGTCAAAACGAGATTGGGGCAGTTCTTCCATAAAAAATCACCATCTGCCCCGATAAGAGTTTCTCTAAACCAGTGTGACCACTTTTCCAATATTTATTAGCTTTGTCTAAAACAGATTCTATATGACATAAAATGGACTTCGTACTACATAGAAATAGGTATAATGTCATATATCATATTCTATCATAGAATTTCTATAAGCTGCGCTCTGGCAAATAATTTTTGTATCATACATCATAGATATTTTTACTCTATGGACTATAACATGATAAAAGTAATAACTTCATATAATTGTATTACGGAATTATTGCTATGCATTAACAGACATAAATGTATAAACCCCTATTTTGTTGTCTTACAACAAAATAGACTAAAACTACATTATTTAATATTTTAATCTATTTTGTGGAGTAATCACGTATGTTTTCTAATGTTCCTGGAAAATTAAAACTTTGTAGATTCGAGATATTGTCGTTTGTGTAAAAATATTTTAATATGTAAAAAAAAAACAACATGTATACAACGTGTATAAATTACACGTTGTATAATTTAGGTACTAAATTAGTACTTACCTTCTTACAGTTAAGAAATACAATATTAAAAAAAAACTTTATAAACATATAAAATCACATTCATGATGAACTTGAAGATAAACTAATTATTTTTTAAGGAACTTTTAAAGCACATATATCAACATATTAAGAAGTCTAGTCTAGTATATTACAAAAATATTAATTTGTTAACAATACAATTATTCATGAAACAAAATTACACATAATACTAAGAAATACTGAATATCTAAAAAAAATACATAATAAAAACAATATGACAGTATAATATACTTTTGGGTTTAACATTTTAAGTATAATGTATAACATTTAGGTTTTTTGAACATGGTCTTTTAGTCTAGGTATATTAAATAATAATACATTTTGTTTCATCTTTTGATATAATTTCTACATCAGCTATTTACTCAAAATATAACTTAATGGGAATTACAATGTTAGCCAAGACATTAGTTACCTCAGTCCATATGAGTTACTTATTGGACAAATTTAGTTGTGTTTATGAATATAGCGTAATCATTTTTCAATGACAATATACTAGTATGTCTATACTAATTAAATATGATAATAGAAGTTAAAAAAATTAGTATTAATGTGGTCTTAGAAAATACGTTAATGAATAAATTCTTAGTTGTTTAGTATTGACAATAATAACTTAAATAAAAAATATATTTCAATGAAACAATGTGTTGATTTTTAATATATTACCATCTTTACAAATTATAAGAAATCCGTTTTCAATATTGGTGGCTATTTTAACACCTTATTATGTGTATATTTTTTTAATTCTTGATATCACTTTTTTGTTATTTTGGGGAAATTAAGAGTATAGGTAGATATGTAAATGGAAAGATGGAGGTTTACCCTGAATACACATTTCAGTAACTGAAATGTGTTGTTGTTAAATATTAAACATTACATTAATTTTAATGATCGTCATGATATAAATATAAATTAATATTTTTTAGTTAATCCTGTTTGGAAGGTGTGCACACAATATTTATAAATCATCAGGACTAAAACCCTCTTTTCCCTTAAATATTTATTTCACTAATAATAATTGTGTCAACTAAAACTATAGGTTTCAAAAACCCTTGTTTTCAAATTTGATCAGTCTAGTTAATGTACTTATAATGCAAGAGGATTGTTTTTTTTTGTATAATTCTTCGTCCATTTTATTTGTTTCGTATTTTGTAGCTACTTGACACATAACATATGTGAGTATGCCATAAATGTCTTTTTCGAAACGAAACTTTTTTAATGCATTACACAGCTCATTTATAAACCAGCTTCCAGTTTTTTCATTTCGCCAAGATAAATATCCTAAAAAATGTTAGTATGTTCAATATACATAGTTTAAATTTCTTAATGTAGCTAATAATTGTTCATGGCTGTTTTTATCAGTTAAGTTTTAAAATTATAAGCTGAGCTCTAGTTAAATATTAAACAAAACTGGTGAGAGCAGTCATCAATAAAATAAATCAAAGATTTACTTTAAATATAAGTGTGATTAATATTTAAGTTTTAATTATTTAAATATTAAAAAAAAAACTGACCATAAATAGAAGAATACGCAATTAAAAAATCTGGACTTAAATATTCTGGAGTCATACAGTTTGCACCATCTACTTGTGTTGTTACAGATACTCCATCGTCCAACAATTTCCCTTGGCAAGCTTGTATAAAAAATATTTTTGGTTTTCCTGATAGACTTATACACTTATTTTCTGCAAATTTATCCAAAAACACAGTTTTTAGATTATATGCTTGATCTTTAGCATAAATATGTTCTTCAAAACCATGACTAAGAATTGCAACAATTAAACAATCACAATCTGTAAAGTCATATTGACTCCCTAAAAAATACACACATTTAAATAAATATACAAACAAAAAAATACATACATTTATTTTACTCATGTCATACTAAATAAACACATTTTTAATGTAATTATGTCTAATGATTGTAAAAATGATATCTACAAGTCATTAATATGTGAATAAGTCTATAAAATTGCTATGCATGTAGTTGTTATAATCTAATTTTATAAATTCAAAAAAGTGATGGGAACCAAGACAGACGGTATATGAGATCTTTTTTTAAATATGGTTATGATTTTTACGTTACGTTTTTTTTTCCTACTCGTACTTATTTTACTAAAGTTTTGAAAGAGATAACCATAGCATGGGGTTACTTCGCAGAAAATAATCAATATCACCCATAGAAACATTAAAATTATGAATTCAAATTGTAAAATTTTATAAAAATCACGTATACTCTTCCAGTTTACATCACTTCAAATATCTATGTTACTTACACTGATCTACAATTTTACATATCTTTTTTAATTTCTTATCATGATATGGTATAGGGTTGAACCCGAGATCTTTAAATGTGCTCTCCAAATTTAAACAGTCAACATCTGTACCATATCTACTATCTTTTCCACAAGTGAAATTTGCATGATTAAAAATTAGGGCTACATTTCGGTTTTTGTGCTTCATATTATACCAAATTTCTTCTTCATCATTTGCACGTACAAAACTAGATTTACTATGCGATTCATCAAAATTCCTGCAAATAGGAGAAATAATTTCTTGAATATTATATCACTTATACTAATGGCTAAAAGTAACACATTGTAATATAATACGAAAAAAACAAAATGATTATTAGTTACATAATTTGCATTAAATTCTATCATAATATTTGACTCACACATATTTGAATGAACCATCAGTAATTTCTTTATTAGTTTTTATATTATTTCCTTTACCAAGCCAATTTCCATCAGTTGTATCGTCCTTTAAATTGTTTTTAGAATATGACCTAAATGTAAACCATAAATGTGTTATAAAAACATTAAACAAAACAACAAAACATTTTCAAATTAATATAAAATCAAACAAATGTTTGACATTGATATTAAATACTATAATACTAGAGTTCTTAACAATACAAATTAACCACTATAGTCTTTATGTCCTAGTTACTAAAATACTTACATGGTAGTATGTTTAGTATAGTCATATTTTATTAATACATTGAACGATAAATAAATTATAAAATTGAAATTTCTTTATAAGATAATATATACACTTGTGGCTACTTTGAAAAAAAGTAATTTAAATAATAATAATAATAATAATGTATAATTAAGATTTCCAATGATGAATTTTGGGCTCAAAAAATAATTATAGAATGCAATTTACTGAGCACAAATTAAAACACGAGACAATCAAAAAGAATAAGTTTTAAGATATAACACAGTTTCTATGAATAAGAATCATTAATTAAGATTCTTTTCGTGAACTTTTAATAAATAAAAGTTGATACATTTTAATTAAAATATGTACAAAATGAAAATATAATTTATATATTATTGTTTTATATTCTTATTTCTTGTGACTTGTCTAAAGTTTTGTTTTGTTATCATAATTAATTAGTTTCCATATGATAACCGAATGATAAGAATACATGACCGTCATTGTATGGAATCTTCTTTAGATACCAATTCCAATACACTTTAATTATCTAACCAATTGATTTTTAGGCGTAGTTTTTGGAAGGTTTGAAAAATAGACTGTAAGGTGTAGATAAATCTAGGCCTAAGTAATTTTTTTTTAAATAACTGTAAAAACCTTTATTTATTAAGAATAGCATCTTAAAAAAACGATTAACTACAATACAGTAGTTTTTTTTAAATATAATACTGATTTGCTACCTGTTGATACATTATAAATTGTGATTTTTGTTGATACCTACTAATTTTTTTGACTGTTATACAGAATGATAATTAAACGTCGATCGACGGTCATGTTATTTTATAAAAAAAGTTAACATTTAGCTTAACAGACCTTGAAGGTCCAACGCTGCCATCATGAGCAGCATACAAATCTTGTATTAAATTATCGAAAATAATTTATTACGTTCAATTAAAAACGTGTACTTAAACGCTTCGTTAAAGGGTGGTCTATAGTTGTAAACCAGTCACACTTAGTTACATTGTGACTCAAGTATGAAATGTACGCCAGTCACACTTCATTTAAATAAGACCGAAAATCAGGTGAATAACGAAGGGTTAAGGGTGGTTTTAGAGACTAATTTAATAGTCAAATAGGTATAGCAACATATTATGTACTAAATTTACCTATGAAAAGCAGATTTGTAATGAAAATAATGGTTACCTAGCAATAAGTAATTATTGATAAATACCTACTTTTTAAAGATAATGGTGAGGGGTGCAATGCAGTTGAGTAGTTATTTTTTATCCGCAAACGTTACTTACTATTCATTCGCTTACCTCTTATTAGCGCACTGAATGGTTAAAAATTGAATGTCTATTTAAATTAACGTTTATTAAATTTATTGGTGCCTACTGGTTAGGTACTAGTTTATTAAATTATAGATTCGAATTATGCTCATTAAGTCGATTAATTGCCTAATAAGCAGTGCGCTTTATCTGAGGAATTAACTAATAATTACCCAGACAACAAGCAAATTATAAATCTTTTAAAAATTATTAAAATATTTTTAAAGAGATTTATAATATTCAATAAATATTCTGTAGGCAAGAACTTAACAAAATAATTATAAAATATTCAAATACATTTAAAAAATATTTTAAAGACATTTGAACTTTTGTGCTGAGCTCTGGGTATTGGTTTATTTTAATAAATATTATTTTAGCACGATGTTTATTGTTTTAAGAAGTCATTGGAAGTTTTTCTGATCAACTAATATTAGTTGACATATTTTTAAGATTTGTTTTAAACTATTAAACTAAAATCTCGTACACGTGTTTATTTGTTTGCCTGAAAATTAATTCCTATATAATTCATTCAAATCTGCGATTCACTGATGTGACATCTTCTTATTAAGCCATCGACTATTATATTAAATTTTTTTATTTAACGGAAAAGGAATGGAGCATTATGTCTCGTTTGGCAGTAAAGGGAAAGGTAATAGGTTTTGGCGGAAATGGATCCCGCTCATTAATTTAATATAATTTAAAATTACGCCTAGTCTTTGTAAGCTATAATACATATATATATATATATATATGAAGTATTTTACATAGGTAAATACTTTGCATTGAGTAAGAATGTCAGATTACTTTGAAGGATATTTTTTATTTGACTCTAGCGAATAGGCTGTTTCGAAGAATATTTCGAGATTGATAGATAAAATTCATTAGAGCAAAATGACGATTTTAATTTGAATTGCCTCTTTAGATAAATGTATTATATAATTTTATAGTAGTTTGTTATAATATGTAAATTAGTTTGTTAAATATTTAAAGATTTTTAAGACACATTTGCATATTTACTATTTAGTAAATATATCGGAGTGTTCGTCACGGTAATTTTAGGAGCAAAGAAATTTCTCTAGAAGTGAAAATTTTGGTCACATTACGTTATTTTTCAACTGGAGCGTTTCAAGTTTTTTTAAAAAATGCACATAGGTATACAATATACATATATTAATATATTACCTATGTACCTATGCACCGGGAAGTGAAGAAGGTAATGCTATGTTTTCGTTTTCTTTCCGGCATCGTGTAAGAAGCCAATAAGACTTCACCACGTATGCCAAATGTCCATACTTGGATACATGGGTACTACTCTGGTACTTCCTAACTAACGAACATACGGCATAAAAGGGTAGGGTAGTCCTCGTTAGCTTTTAAGATTATGCCAGGGAAATAACGAGAACAGGAAGTTGGCTTCACTTCCCAGTGCTATTAAAATAAATTTTACCTAAAAGTTCAAAGGTATATGTAAATGAATTGTAATAGTATAGAAAAACACGTCATGTTTACAAAAATTTAATTGATATTTACTATAAGATAACGAGAATATCATTGCTAGGTGATTTTAAGATTAATCACTGAAAATTAGTATACTTCAAATCAATATAACATTATAATTTTGATAAATCTAGTTTTTTTTTGTAATGTTAGGTATGCCGTATACATTTGTCCTCAAAAAAAAAAAAAAATTATTGTTATTTTTAATTTTATAGTCATTCTAAATATTAAGTTTTTCAATAATTATATTTTGCTAATAATAACAATAATAATAATTAATAGTTATTTTTTTAATGTAATGTCCATAATTAAATTTGTAGTCTTATCTAATCTTGTTTTCAATAATTTGTCATTTCCTCAAATTTAATAATATTTTCTTATTAGTTATTATATTATTTGTAATAAATGTGTTTAAATTGTTTTTCTTGGGGAAAAAATTAGCAAGAGTGTTAGCGGCGTTGGTGTTGGTATCGCTATGTCAGCCATTACCACGTCTTGGTCTTGTTGCAAGACCAAGACCAATTTTGCTCATCACTATTCTAAAACATATTTTTGCCTTTAAAATGTTTTTAACCATAATTAACTTTTCTACCATCTACAGATTCGCATCGAAGCGTTTAATTGGGTTATTTTATCTCTTTCGGTTTAAATAACTCCAGTAAACCGACGAACTCTTCGATCGCTCCTGTGCTGGCTTTTTTTTTTATATAAAAAAATGATTTTGTTTAAGAGACTCGAACTCGATATTATAGTATATTACTACGTACCTACTATTAGTAAACTTGGCGTACACGGTACTAGGTGCACGAGTTCAATGAGCATGGCATTGAAAGTAAAAGTGAATAATAAATAATTATTCTGCGGTGAAAAATATCGTAATACCTCTCTTTGAGTATCTACATCGTAAATATACACACACACTCTTCATTTCATTTCGTTGGCTACTACTTCTACCTCTACTTCTACTATTGCTACTACTGCTATTACTAGGTACAGCTATACGCTATTACTATACGGTATTGCGCCAGTAGTCCAGCAAGACTGTTGACCCAGTTAATGAAATCATAATAGTATATTATATTATTATCATCTACACCATTCTACGCATAACCAGTCACCGGCATAACATTTGCACGCGGGATCAGCTTCTCAACATGGACCGACAAGCGACAGCCCCGCGGTCAGGTAATCGTTTTCGTTAATTCTTCATAAAACGCATGCGAAACACAAAAGGGAAACAAATTACAAATGATTTTCTTTGAACAGCATATTTTGTCATCGTGGTCTTACAGCTGATGTCTGCGGCTTATTCGGCCGAACGCGAGAACAACTCGACGGATGTCAATCGAGTAGTGCAATTTAGTAATAGCTTAGTGCCACCTTTGTTCGCCGTAAGTCCTTTCGAAATAACTGTTCTATTTTACTTGGGTGCGTGTGCCTGAGAAGTGTAACTATTTTATTGTGCAGCACTATTCGAGTAGCCGTGAAAATCTCATTCTGGCTCCTTTCGGGGTAGCTACCAACATTGCCATGATGCTGGAGGGCCTACAAGGTCGAGCCGCGGACGAAGTCACCGCATTGTTCCGGCTACAAGCCAAGGGTACAAGACCGCAACTCCGCAGAGGATTTAGAATCATCTTAAACGCTTTTGGGGTAAGTCGTATGCGTAATGCTAAGATAGTTTTAAAATTGATGAGTCATTTTTCCGGCCAATTACAATCGTTATGTCGTTATGTTAACTTTTATTATACGCGTGTTAAATTACAAAATATAAAACGTAATCGCAGAATGAGTCGGAAGGTGATTTTGCTGGTTTCTACAATAAGGCTTCTGTGACGAGCTCCCGGATTATGCCATCTTCCTATATAAACAAACTTTCCAAATATTACCAAGCAAATGTGACTACCACGCAGGGCCGGAATTCTAATCAAACCTCTGGTAAGTACACAACAGTAAAATACACTGTGTTACGATAATGTTCGTAAAAAAAAAAAAATACACCACGGAATGGTTGATGAGTAGGTTTCCCTTATGATGACATTGTGATTCATGTGCGAGGGTAATATACGGGATATTCCCAGTAGGTATTATCTAATTATAAATTATTCTGTAAAGAATAGAAATATTAAAAAATATATAAAAGAATTTAGTACAAAATTAGTAAGTTGTATAAAAGTTTATGAATAGTCCAGATAAGCTAAAGATATTATTTATGACTTGACTTCGAATATTTCGAACTTCACCGATTTAGTCATTCAGTATTGTTTTTAAACGAATTATTTTTTTGTAATATATTTCTATATTTGTTTATTAATGATCAATTTTTTCAAAACTTTAAAATATAGTAGCAACCTTAGTTTTTTTTTGTATATCTGGGAATTTGAGTGTCCTACCCTTATTATTTAACAATTTACTATGATTAACATTTTCAAGCGTTTTATTGTTCTTAAAAACAAGAATTATATTTGAGATTATAATTTTCAGCTGATATATTGGAATTGCGTAGCGATACGGGACTCATTAGCCACTGGAAAGATTATCAAAAACTAGCTACATATACGTACGTATCTTACTTATCATCAGCTCCTTTTACCACAGCCAATGGTTCGACTATTCACGTACCTATGATTCCGCAAGTTGGACGTTACAAAATTGGCTACGTCCCCCAACTAAAATGTTTAGCTGCTGAACTCATGTTCGAGGTACTATACTTTGAAATAAATATACTAATGATAACTGTATACATTTATTAATTAATAGAAGCGATAAACATTTTTTTTGGTATATTTGTAAGAAATCCATAACCAGTGCCCTGCTAACCAATATTGGTACTCTAGATACCTCCTCACCTTCTCCACAATTACTATAGAATTATCGCTCCCCGCCTATTTATGCCTTCTTTACTGCTTTAATTTATATGACCCACTCGCCCCCCATCTAAAAATGACCTTATCAATAATCCTTTCTACCAAAATACACTAATAATTAATAATATAAATGAAACATTTGTTAGTAATTTTTATCGTAGAATAAATAAATAATTTACAAATAGCATGTATAATAATAAATCTTTTGAAACTATGTTCATAAAACTGGCTATCAGTAGAAGGCTTTGAATCATGCGTATAATTACAACTATAAATATAAACGATTTTATTATGTAACGGTTAAAAATACTAGTTGAACCAGAAAGCCTTAATTTTTGTAAGAGTACTTTCGTAATATTTGTTTATATTATAAGTAATAAACAGCAATCATAATTATTAGAATAAAAACTGGTAAAAAATAAGACAGGTATTTAGCTAACCTACATTAATAATTGCTATATTTAATATTTATTCAATATTTATTGTTCTCTACAGAACTATCACTACTACATGTAATTATTAAAATCAGTAATAATATGTTTATAAAATATGTATAAAAGTAGATACTCAGTAGGCAGTTCCTTTAAATTGTAGTTATATTAAATGGAGATACATTCACTAATGAGCGGAGATTTGAGGGGGAGCTTGGGATATTAAAAACCTTAAAACTTCAAAATTAGAGCTTTTAAAAATACCTACATTTGTTTTTAGTAAGAGATTTGTTGAAATAAAAATAATTTAGCACTAATTTTAAGTTTTAATGGTTTTTTTAAGGTTTTCAGAATCCCAAGCTCCTCTAAATCTCCGCCCATGCATCCATTTTTTTTAACTAGTTTATCTTTTATAGCTAATTTATATTAATAGTAAAATAAAAATACTTATTTGATTATAACTTTTTATAATCGTCCACCATACTTAGTTGTTTTTAATAATAATCCGCAGAATTATATGTAAATCATATTATTTGAATTGAAATTAATACCTGTTATAAGAGTTAGTATAACTTATTTAAGCTAAACTCAGCAAATTGACCAATTAAAGACTCGAAAAAATAAAATTAAGGTAATATAATCTAGGCAAACAAAATAAAAATCAGAAAATAGAACTGATTTTTGCTTTTATGATTTTTGATGTACCTACTTGACGATATATTATTATGTGGTACTCGTCCTAACAGATCACGTCTTGGCCACATTTTATGATCACGCGTGACCTTCAGGTTGAATCGGAATATAACTGAAATATTGTTATTGAAACGTACGGCCTTTAAAGAGTATAATTGTGTTCACTTGATTGTAATTCTCAAGATCAAGTCATATATTAAAATGTGATTGTTATTAGTAATAGATGAATTATTGTATTTCAGACGACCAAGGTGAGTATGCTGATTATGATGCCTGATGATCTTAACGGTTCTGAGTTACTAATGGAACGGTTAGCAAAAGACAATTTCCTAGATATCTTGAGCTCGTTGGACTATCAAGAAACACAGGTATTAGTACCACAACTTGCAGTGTTTACTAATGCTATGGACTTGGAACCGTTCTTTAAAAAATTAGGTGTCAAAATGGCATTTAATCAGACAGCATTTGATACACTTACAACAAATAGCAGTATCAACAACCAATCTGCAGCAAGTGCACCCAAAGTCAACAATCCTAAGTTACCTACAACCACGTTGGTTTCGATGAAACAAAATGCGTATTTTTCAATGTCATTCATCACAATAAACTCAGTTGGTTCTGTGGGCACTAAAATGGGTCAGTACTCAATAATATTATCTAAGTTGGTGTACCTTTAGATTATTTATTTATTTATAATCTACGGGTGTACCTCCCGTCTCTATATTATGTACAACATTATGATTCTACTCTTTTAATTCGTTTTGTTTCTGGTGTACAATAAAACTTTCTTTCAGGTGTTCGGTCCAATGTCAATAGACAAACACGTGATGTAACTTCTAGAGTGATGTTCGACAGGCCATTTGTATTTTTCATTTTTAATAAGGAAACAGGATTGATTCTTTTGGCTGGTAAAATCACTAATCCTACACAAGTACCATCTTAATTCCTAAATCAAACATAATATAATTGTTTGAGTATTCTCATACTTATAGATATAGTGATAATATTTTGTACATATATTTTTTAATACATAAAATAAACGAACGTATTTTTTTTTTATATATTCAGATCACATGTGAATTTCGAAAATCTACCGTATTGCTAAATTATAAAAACAAGAAATAATGTTTTTATATATTTTGTGTTTGGTCTAGGGGGGTGGGGGAGGGTGGCAGTGTTCGAGCTACATTATCCTTGATAAAACATGAGGGTTATGAAAACATTAGAACACTTTTTTATTGACAATCTCATAACTGGTAACTAGTAACACACAGATGCCCATCAGGGGGACATATGTATAAATTAGAAATTTGAGAGTGTATACGTTACATAAGTAAAAATACTATTGTACTTTTAGATAACTCAATCCTCAGATTACTTTTCACAGCCAGTAGTGAATATGTCGGTAGGATAGTAATATGTCATCCGGTGGGTTGTAAATACTTAGGTTGAACGATTTTAGGAAGTTGATAAATTAAAGGCTGATTTTAAGAGTAAAATATACATTACATTTTGCCCATAATTATTTCTAGACTATTGGCTAAAAACTTTAATTAATGATTTGATAACTTAATCAAAGTTTGATGTTTGTGTGGGAAATTATTCTTTAAATAAAATCAGCTGTAAATTGTTATAAACTAGCGTACTCTATAAACCCAAAACACACAATCAGGTAAATCAGTTTGAAATTGATCAAATCAAAAACGTTTCGTTAAGAATTTATGGATTATATTATTTTAGTAAACAGGTACTACAATTTTTTTGGCGCAAAATTAAAGTACTGGAATTATGAAGTACACTTTACCTAGCTCGTCTATTGATAATAAGTTCTTTATTTGAGTAGGCTAGAGTCACATGTCCTAAAAATGAGGTACGAGTTAGCAATACTGACTTATATAGGATTTTTGACGCCGAATCAGAATGTGTTATCAGATATTTTGAAAATATATTAGAAAATAGGTAAATATATGATTGAATGTAGTGGTTAGAATCAAAAATTCAAAACTAAAAGTTCCACTGAAACATGTGAGTTATAATACTGAATTATTATTAACCCGAATAATTAAAAATATTTATAATTATTAGATTTGAAAAAAACTATTATGATTTTAATTTTGAATATTGTTAAGTTGTTTTAAATAATAAAATATTGTTTAATTTTGTGAACGTACTAACAATTTTTTTGTTTTTTCTGATTTTTAGTTTTTACCTTTTGGTGTCAAAACTCACTTGTTCCAAATTTCATTCTAAAAAAAAAAAAAACTTTATCGACTAAACTTGTACATTTTGATGACATATTTAAGTTTTTCGGTCCAAACTACTTTAAAATAATGCAGTATAGGTTTTTTATTGTTAAGGAAAAACGCACTCCTAGTTTTTTCCGTTTTCTGAAAAATTTGATTTTTGAATTTGTGAGTTTTGTTTCTAGCCTACTCACTCATTTAATAACATTGATTCTAAACAGTAAATTGCAAACGAATCTATTTTGTACATATTGGAGCACAATACATATTGCCTCTCGGTAGCTTAGTAATAAACGGTAAGTCTAAATATTACAGCGCTGTTCTAAACCGCAATATCTTAGAACTGCTTCGAAAGATTGACCAGAGAATGGTTGAAGGCCACTGTCAATCTACTATCAATGGCCAGATTACTTCGGTGAAAGGCCAGGAATTTACCCGGAATCAAAAAATATATATTTTTTTTTTCAAATACCAAACTTATTTTGTATTAACATTATCGATCGTCATGATGGCCGATAGGTATTGGCTTCTTAATTCACACAACGTTTGTCGACAGGAATGAGCAAAATACAGTATTTTATTGACTAAATACAATATACAAGTATTTAAAGTAGTGCTATTCTGAACGTCGAGGAAAACTTAAAATTATGCTGAATTAGTAAAAAAGTAGTAAAAAATAAAATAATTGTCTATAGTAAGGTATACATATATTGTAAAAATAATTGATTTTGTCGATATTAAAATTTGAACGGAAAATACTAATTATTAGACTTTTTTACGAGTATGCTACTTTTTTAGCAAAGAGATTTTGCTCAAACTTTTAAATTAGACCAACTTACAAGTTACAATTTGCATAGGATTCCATACAAATATACAACGCAGTCAGTGTCTACTACTATTGACCTAACAAGAGTGATATAATATTATAATTATAGGTACATGCAGATTGCAGTGTTACTGGACATATTGTTATTTGTTATGTCCATTAGCAAGATATTTTAAAACATTCCAGAGTTGTGACTTGTGATAGATTGCACCATTAACTTCAGTAACAAAATGAAATGTAAAGTAAATATTTAAGCTTCAAGTCGTTATTAACACAAAATTCTAAAAAAATATTAACGTCGTCCAAGAGGAGTTCAGCCTCTTTTAAAGAGGCTATTGCCTACTAATACTTTTATACATATATATTTATAAAGATACATATATATATATATACCCCTAGGTACAATAATAATATTGTCAAACCTAAATTATAATTTTTCGTCTCTATTAACTAAATATATTAATGACCGAACAAATAAGTCAAGAAGTAATCATTTATTGGTTAGCTGTAGATAACATAATTTAATTGTATACAAAAGAAAATGAATGAAAAAGGAATCTATTTGAATTGTATTAATGTAGTAAACTACCTTTAAAGCATTAAAAACTCCATGAACAACCATGGCCTCGGTAGCGCAGTAGGCAGCGCGTAAGTCTCATAATCTTAAGGTCGTGAGTTCGATCCTCACCCGGGGCAGTAACTTTTGCTTTTTTTTTGTCAACTGTCTGTCAATTGCAAGACATCTATTATTTTTTAATTCCTTATAATATGTATAAGGATATATACTATTGTAATATGTAATACAATTGTGTTTAAGCCTAACGGGTCATGGTAATACACAAACATAAAAAAAAAAGCGTGAGACCTCATACGATTATACAAGTATTTGACCTATGTAGTTCAAATCACCATTCAAAAATGTATATTTTGTTATAAAATAATTTATTTAACACGTAATAAGCAAAGACACAAACGCTCATACATTTTAAACGTATTTGATACTTTTATGAAGTAAATAGTAACAATATAAATAATGCCACCATATTGGGGACGGGTATAGGGAGATTGGTATAGTCACTGGACTGTGCAAAAAAATACAACAGTAACGAAAACATTCTTAAAAAACGGACTCGGTGCGAATACTGTAGTTTGTATAAGTACTAAATATCAATAAAAATATCTTTTTACTGATACCTCTTAATATTTTATTTATTCGCACATTGCAGCCTAGAAATGTAATAGAATCAAAATGTAATTTGCCCTCTTTTTTTGGCTTTTTCTTATTTCTTTAACTTTCTTAAAAGTTGTATTACAAATTGTTGAAAAAATTGTATAATATTAAGTCATAGCACTCAATTCTAATTTTTTTCTCCGCTTTAGAAGTACAATATTACTATACAAAGGTTTCAACCCCCGAAACTCCATTAATTACATTCTACATATTTTAATACGCTGACCGTTATTTTCGCTAATTCTCAAAAACGATATACAACGTCAATGACTTCTTTAAATTATAATAATATTGAATACATAGATATTACAAGTTAAAAGCAAACAAAAATGTATTAAATATTAATATAATCCGACATTTAATAATAAGATGTTTTTTTAATTTTTTTTTAGTTTTTCCGGATAATCCGTCGAAGCCTAATTTGACTATAGCATCACTCTACATACATGTTGTAATTTACAGAAGTATCCATAATGCACACGTTCAGTATTACACTGTATTTTAGGATACTAAAATTCTAGTTTTAGAGCATGTTACGGTTGACATGCAGCATGCTAAGTATTGTTCAAGTCATACTTATTTTTTTTAAAGAGTAGTTTTTGAGGGTACCTTTGACTCTAAAATTCAAACAGCAACCTCTACGTATTGGTGATCGACGGGACTTTATTGAATCCTAATGAGAAGTCCACTGCCTCCTCAAAATAACAACAATCATTACACTTTTCGAACTTCAACTTTGACAAGCTTCAAGTCTCGAAAGTTATTGGGATCGATTAATATGGATTTTTCCTATTACCCAATAAATATTTTAAAAAATAACTATGGTACATCTACAAAGTGTTTCATGGGGTTTACTACTTAAAAAACACCTTATTTGTTTTCTTTTTTAAATTATGTTTTATATAAATAGATTATAGACTTCAATTTTTGTTAAAAGAAAAGTGGATGGCAGGAGCGAACTAACATAGCCTCGGGGCCCAGCGAAACATTCTTAAATAGTATTACGATGGCCCTTCCCGGTTTTGAAACTAAAATAAGATTATTGTAACAATGATTTCTCTGTGGAAAAACGTTTTACTTTTTTGTAATCATATTTAAACTCTTATTCGCATAGTATAAAAAAAACGACACTACTTACAAAATTATACAAAATCCAAAAAACAATGTCTTGGTATATTTTATTAAAAACAAATTTTAGGTTAAATGTTGCGTCTATTGTAGGGTAATTTATTTTAAAAAAATGCAATACAATATGGTGTCTTTATTTTTAACATAGAAATACGATTTACTTTTATACATTTAAAAAAATACATTATGAACATAATTTTTACATAATAAATATTTTCTATAATTTTTTATAACGTATAATATATCTTATTATATCTAATATATAAACTCTATAAGTTTCAAATATAGCAAACTGCGGTTTTATTATTTTATTTTTGTCAAATTATAAAAATTCTACATTTGATGTTTTAACAAAAGAAATAATAAAATAACATTTTTTTACAAGTATAGGAGCTACTTTTATATTTTAAATATTATAATGTACACATTTTAATAAAACATTTCTAACTACATCAAATTTTGAACCCTGAATACGATCCGTAAAATTTTAGTTACCAAAATACTAAATCCTTAAACATTTGTATTACCTACATTTAAGGTTTATTTTAAATAAACGTATGTACAAGTACAACGATTATATTATGCTGTGTTAAGCTTGGCAATAGGCATTAACTATGTTTAATCCATCTGATTTCTATGGACATATAAATATAACGGGGAAAGAACTTGGTAATACATAGCAGATAGCATAACGTTAATATCGAAAAAGCAGAGATTTTATTTAAAGTTTCTGCGACCGTGCATTGTATTTTTGTGCTGCATCGCGTCGCTTTGCCTTATTAATTTAAATTATTATTTTATTGTGAACTTCTAGGTTTAAAAATTTAAACAAAATTACATTTTTTTAAACAAAATCTATACAAATTAACAGATATATTCATTATAATATATACATTTGTACCTACTTAATATTGTCTACACTGGTAATGAGATATGCTATTTGATACTTGTTATTTATGGGAGATTTTAAAATGATTTTTAATCTAATCTGGTAACACTAATTTAGTTGGCGCTACTTGCAACAGCAACTGAACAAACACAGTCCATCTATCTAAAAACAAAAAAATATTTGAAGAATCTGTTTTTCTGTAATTTTATTCTATTTAAAAAAAAATTGGGTTTTCTTATAAAATAACCATAATGTCACTTAACATTTTTGGTTTTATAAAATAATTTTGAAATGTTTCAATAATGTTGCGTTCTTATTTCAAGTACAGAATTTTTTTTTCGCATGTCAAAATTATTTTTTATGTTATTTGAAAACCCAACTTAAAACCACGGCCTCGGTAGCGCAGTAGGCAGCGCGTAAGTCTCATAATCTTAAGGTCGTGAGTTCGATCCTCACCCGGGGCAGTAACTTTTGCTTTTTTTTGTCAACTGACTGTCAATTGCAAGACATCTATTATTTTTTAATTCTTTATAATATGTGTAAGGATATGTACTTATATTTAATTATAATTGCGTGAAAAATTATTTTTTATGTTAATTAATAAGAAAAAAGTATTATTTGACAAACATTTTTTCTTTTCCAATAGCATTTTTTTTTGTTTAAGAAAATGAATGTTTGACGATAAACCCATTATTCTCCGTTAGGTTCTTAGTGGCAATGAATATATTTTTCGATTGACATATCCATTTGTAAGAGGATTTTTCAGCCAATATCGTGGGGTAATACCTATAAGTTTGTTTACACAATTTGTTTTTTAAGTTAAAACGTTTTAACAATATTTTTAAAAAATATTTAAAAAAACCGACATTAATTGGTTAAAATAATATTATACACTTACCAACAACGTTGAACTTATATCCCATGTGTACAAAAGGTACGTAAAATATCATTCCAGCTAACATAAATAATACTGAATATAAGTATTCGATCTGAGGTTTATCGATTATCGGAGCCACTACCAAGTAAATTGAAATGATGAATATTATTATCGGAATGATTATGGGAACCTAAAAAAGAAATGGTTAATTAAAAATAGTGGCAGTAGCAGAAGATATTATATGCCTTATATTGGCGCAACTAGAAGGAGGTTAGGGAAGTCGAAGCCATTTAATAACCTTTTAAGTTCCCGCATAATTTCAATAAATATTTAAAACGTAACTTGGGTGCTATTCCTGATTGATTTCTGACAAATTTTAAAAGCCCAAAGGAGTTTGGAAGGATTTTAACTTCTCTAGCCTCCTCTTCAGTTGCGCCAATGTACCTTGTACGGCCTAGGAACATCAGGTCTCGTGCGACGCATCACGAGTAACGCTAGCATTGCACTACCGTAAAAAATCCAAGCCGTGAAGCTAAAAAAGTCAATTAGCGAATTTATCGTACCGGAAACCACCATCATAATTGTTATAATAGCCTGAAAATGAAAACTTCAATTTTAAATTAGGTAACAATAGATTTAAATATTAATTCTACATTTAGAGAACTGAATAAGTTAGTAACTGATTAGGTGTTAAGTAATAAGTACTTACACTAAGAGCTTGTAATAATTAATAACTGAAAAATTAGACACTTACGTGAAATATAATGCTCGGCATTGGCGTAAGCTTCTTTATGTGAATATACGACAACACATTCATTAAGTGACCTTCTCTGCTAGCTGCAAAGCACAGTCTTCCGGCGGCGAACAATGTACCATTAGCTGAACCGAACGTTGATATCATAATAGACAAAGGGATCACCCAAGCTATAGACCCAAGTGCTCTGATACCAAATGTCTATAAAAACAACGTTTAATTAAATACCTTTCAAGCATGTTAGGCTAACATAATTGTGTAGGTATAGGTACAGACCACTGCAACAGCTTCATTACGCACTATTTCGTCTGGTGACATAATAGTAAGATATGCCACATTAACCAATAAGTAACATATAGTTACCAGTGGTATACTAATGTATATTGCTCTTGGAATGTTTCTGAAAAATAATATTTTTTCAAGGAATTTTATTTAAGTTTGTTATTAATATTCTTAATGTGCATTATTACTTCGAAGGGTTTTTTATTTCCTCGGTAACATAGTTAAGGTTATTCCAACCGTCGTATGCCCATAAACCTGAGTAGAAAGCCGTTGCCACATCGCCTAAGCTTGAGGTAGTGTTTTCAAAATAGTTTTTGAAGTGTTCTGTATGCCCTTGGAATATTTTTTGTACTCCTCCAGCGACAACTACTAAAACGGCAACCAATTTGGCAGCGGTAAAAGCGTTTTGAACACCAGTCGCGAGATTAACACTATAGCAGTTGATGTAAGTAATCACCACTATAACAACAAGTTTTTAATTATTTTAATAATTAAATTAATATGGTAAATTATAATTAAATCATTCATCGCCATAAATAGAATTAATTACTTTCAAAAATAACTTAAGTATTTAATCGACCATTTTTTGTATAGGTTCTTCTCATTTCTTAATGTTTCTGTTCACAACAATAATTAAATAAATTGGATATTTCTAAATTTAATGTACTGTTAAGAGTATTGTACTTAAAAGATAAAATAATAATCATAAATCCTCAAACCATATATAATACTAACTGAGAAAATTTTAAATGTGAAAAATTGTTAAATAAAGTGGTTAAAAAAATCCTACTATTTTCTTTTACTAATAATAGATTTAATTTAACAATTGTATTGTTATCATAATAGTAGTTTTATAACCTTGTCCTACCCAAATAAAAGAAGCTAAATATTTTCTCACGGAAAAATATGAACCTTTAGAGTAAATATGCGACTAATATATATATATATGCTATATTATACAAATATACACTCCCTCCCTCTCAATCTCCGGAAAAATTTAGTCAACTTAACTACCCAAGTACATACAAACTCTCATTATAGTACATAGTAATCATCAAAAATCATATAGAATGTGTATGTAAATACTTAACAAAGTACGAGATAACTCGTGGATGGCGTCTTTGGCAATAACGCAAACCACGAGTTGTCTCGTAGTTGGCAGTCAACGTGTTAAAAAATAGTTTTTCTTTCGGCAACATGTTTTTCTAACACAAATTTTAGTTACGTACGGTAAAAGTAGCAAAAAATATTTTCTTTGTTATTCGATAAAAAAAAATATCACAATTTATCCGTTTACTCACATATTGATAGAATAGCAACAATTTTTACTACCAAATCAGAAGAACCGCATTCATCAGCGAATGCTTCAACTGCATATTTGGCGAAGCTTAAACAAATGATAGCTACTTGCGATGGTTTGAGTATCAATGTGGATATCCAAGAAAACAAAAATGCAGGCATCGGCCCAAATGCGTCCATTAGATAAGCATATTCAGCTCCGGAACTCGGGTTCATTGTTCCCAATTCAGCATATGCCAATGCTCCTAAAGAAATACAATTATTTGTCTTTCATATTTTTTTAGTAATTTTTTTTTTTAAGTCGTATATTTTCTGGCATCGACCACTTCCGTCGGTATTTGTTGGTCCAATTCTATTATAGTTCATACCTAAAATTCGTACATTTGTTTGACAAATGACGAACTCGCACTCAGGTAAAAATATAACGAGAAAGATATATTATAAAAATAGAAATTGCTTCGGCCGTTAGTTTTTAACAACTAAATAACTTAATTTAGATTTGTACCTACCCAAAAGTGACATTGCGCCGCACGCTGCCCATATAACGAAACTTAAGCCTATTGACCCGGTCCTTATTAACAATCCAGTCGGAGAAACGAATATACCAGAACCTATAAAGTACAATATATTTAAATATCTTATTTCATTATTTTTATAAAAAGCCATATTAAAATAGTTGTTAAATATATTTTATATTTTTAGTCGACAACTAAAGCTATAGTTACATACAAATTTAAGTTGTCATTAACTACATAGAATAAGGAACAAAACATTTTAAATACTAATAAATATTATCTAATTAATTACCTAATTGTATGCTTAATACATTCAATTAACCCAAATAAATATAGTTTTAAAATATTTAAAAAATATCAAACTATAGAATATCAAAAGATAGAATGATCAAAAATCGATTTACAATCGTTAATAATATTTTAAAACGTTTTTGGTCTAGATTATTTAATAATTAATTTTTAATTTACCAATCATAGTGCCAACTATTAGAGCAACCCCACTGAGGAGTCCCACCCGTCTCTCGAGGTAAAGAGTGTCACCCTTAGTTGAGAACTTCCTCGCCAACATGTTTTTGCCATTGCTAACAATTTCGCATCCATCGCCATCGTCTTCGACAGTCGATTCGTTGTTGTGTCCTTTACAAAGGTTATGGTTAATATTTTATTGGAGGTAAATATATATATAAATGGGACATTCTGAGTCAAACAACGCGGTCATCAGCCCGACCTCCTCAATATTTGTCGAAGATTTTTTTTTGAACTTCTTTTGGTCTAGTTTAAGACTATACATGTTTTGAAATTTTTATTACTCATATTTATCACATAAAATAGAGGTTTTTTAAGTTATTTTTCACGAAAAAAACGATTTCGACTAGTTTTAAAATTCTGAAATTTGTATCATAAAATCAGAGACTCAAATCAAATCTATTCGTCTAATAACGGGAATAGGCCTAGATTTATTAATTTTTTTTCTCCAAATCTGATAGCAAAAATGTATAATTTTAGTTTTTTATTTTAAAAAATATAACATGTTGGTAAAATTTGATTTTTTTTACATAATTTGGGAGTTAAAAATGAAAAATGTGTCTTACGAATATAATTAAAAATTAAATTATACATTTTTTTCCGACTTTGAAAAAAAAATGTTATTACTAAAAAAAATAGAAATAAATCTCGACCCACTCCCGTTATTAGACGAAAAGATTTGATTAAGTCTCTGATTTTATGATAAAAATTTCAGAAATTTAAAACTGGTCAATATCGATTTTTTTTGTTGAAAAATAACTTTAAAACCTCTATTTTTGGAGCAAAAATTGGTGATAAAAATTTCAAAAAAATAAATCTTATATTAGCCCAAAAGAAGTTAAAAAAAAAAATTCAAACAAATTTGAGGTCAGGCTGATGACAGCGTGGTTTGACTCAGAATGACCCATCTATTATATATATATTTCATACACTTAACTTAATTAATAATGAAATATTTCAATTTATTATGAGTTAAAATTATGACAGGTTTATAATAAAACCTAACATTGAGCTATTAACGCAATTGATTTTACGTCTAAGTTAAACCCCTGTTAACTTCCGCTTTTTCGACAATTAATCAAAAATATATAAAAAAAACTATAACACAGCGAGTACAATATACTTGTACATAAAAACTAAGAATAAGTATATTTTACTATGGTTATAAATTGCAGCCCCTGTGTACGGATATCGCTATTTGTTTAAGGTAATAACGTATTATACAATTGTCATGTTTATGTAAAAATAATGAACTAAAAATGCGAGTACAGTCGAGATCGAATATGATTAATACTTTAATTTATTCAACAAAAAATAAAATAATAAATAAAATGTATAACGAAGTAATTTTTTTTTTATCGTATTGACAGTATTTTTTTTCGTATGTATAAAGTAGTTTTATTAAGGGTCGATGAATAATGTTTATTCAAATTGATTGTTTTTTTTTGTTGAGTGTGCCTGTGTATGAACATATTGTTAAAGAAGCACTGACCTTTATATTATCGTCTTATATATTAAATGCCACAGTAAAAAACTTTATAAATAACATTTATTACATTACATCTAAGGATAATCCTGTACGTTTAGTATATATAGTCTATGTAATTATTTCTTTTTAGGTCTAACATACAAATATACAAACGTTTGTCTTTTAATGTCCAACCGTTTATTAGTTTGTTTTTTTAATTTTAAACTTAATACAAAAAAATAAAATGGAATTTTTACATTGAGAAAATAGTATACAAATTATACTGTATTATTGATTGGTAAGGTAAGGTTGGTCTATCAATAGCTACATATTCATATTATTAACAAACGCCTGAATTTATTGTCTGTCAATCAAATACTTCTGTAATCAATAGTTATTATTCTAGATTTGTTCTATTGAGGAACAAAAGAAACGGTTTCAAACACATTCAAACATTTTTAGTAGTAATGTATGAACTGTTAATTTAAAAATAATACGTTTGTTAAACTTATTACGCAATAAACTATTCACAAAATAGAACTATTTTAATTTCAAAAGATATTGTAAAATTTATAAATCATAATATCCAATAGGCTAAAAAATTGGTTGACATGAAATTTTAATATTACAATTGTGTATTGCCCAATGCTCACAGTACAGTACATTTCCTATGCACGTAATTATAATATTTTGTATTATCATTCGACCACAAATTGCAAAACAACGATAGGCGATTCTATTTGGTGCAAAACTACTTCTCAGAATGAAAACGTTCTTATAAAAATGATGTTTAATACTTTTGGAATGAAAATGTTTTAATTATGTAAACTGAGTTTTTATGTTGATTTATATATTTTACGAATTTGGAATTATATACATGTTATAGTTTCTGTGTATGTAGAAAGCACTAATAAAAAACTGCTGACTAGGTCAAACTTTCAATTGATTTTCCGAATTTTTGAAAAAAATGAGATTTAACTATTTTTGTTCTGATGCGTCAATTTACTACACACCCTCCCTCTAGATCAAGCCCTAATTACGCCGCTATACCCGCGCACATTAGGCGTTTAACGGATTAAGACATTTTTTTTAGATTAATCGTTAGTAGTTAAAAAAAAAGACTAAAAATTATATATCCGCTCGAGGTGAACTGCAGCTATTTTGCCAGAGGTAAGCATGTATCAATGATACTTTGATACAAAAAAATGTATCAGGTTACAATAAAACAAGTTGATGCATATTAATTATACTAATGTAATTAGTTAGGTACTACATAATGATAATGTATGTTATGTTTATTAATATTATATTACAGATTACTTATAATAAAGTGTATAAATGTAAAATATCAGGAAAATTTGATGTTGTTGACAAAATTACAGTTAGTGTTTATTATAATTCTTTAACAGTATATGTATCATTTATTTTAAGTGCGACCGCAATATTGATACTTGATAAATTCATTAAAGTATTATACAATTGATATTGGATGCACTTATCATTATACATATTAACACGTTGATGGACACTCATAATTTTTGAAATTTCCAATACTGAATAGTTCGCCCAATAGTCGAGTTTCCTTTATCATCTGATACCATTGAAAAGATTACTGCTATAGCTGTAATACCATAACATGAATTTTTCATATTACTACTATAGCACTAATGCCACCAAAATATAATATTACTGCTATAGCAGTAATGACCATCAATGTGAAATTTTGATATTGATATATTTATTAAGTAATTTAACTTGTATCGTTGTATCAAAAATATCAGTGCTCACCTCTGACTACTTATTAAATTATATTAATTTCTTAGATATTATAGTTATACTGACCATGTGATGATGGATTTCGTAGCATTTCAAGTTGGTTGCAAAAGCGACAGTGGCCGATTCGGCGTTACCCGTGCGACCAGACATGACACACTGGCAACCACAGACGGATCGACGGTGGCAGAAGGTCACACGCGCGCGTTCTGTTCGGGCGGCAAATTTCTCCGTTATCGACACATGCGCCATGCTCAGCCTCCTTTGGCGTCGCCGTACAAGATCCCAACATCGTTCAGGAAAAGCTAAAGTAGGTATAGTACACGGGATTTTTTTAACAGTAAAGTATAGAAGTACACTTACACAGCCCTTAGAAAACGACAAGCTAATCGCATTAATTAATTGCGTATTATATGCTACTTGAACGCACGAATAAATTTTAAACGAGTGTCCCCTGTCATTGTTATCCCGAAGTAGTATGCCAAAGTAAGTTGTAGCCAAAGATTATTGACCGGTTTAAAAAAGCTTTGGCGGGGGAAGGTGGCTATAGGGGCGAATGGAAAACGGTTTAATAAAAACAAAGCGTTAACGGTATTCTATATACAGCAATAGCATATTGCTCTAAAGATTATTATATAAATAAAAAAATATCCCCCATCCCCAAGAGAGAAACAACAGGCTATTAAAAAAAACAAATTATCTTTAATAGAATTGTATAAAGCATGTAATGTAAAGCGGACTTCGCAAATTAAGTTGTAATGCAGTGTTTTTTGAAGCACAATTTATCTTTGTTAATTATTTTACAAGATACAATTTAAAATATAGTATCCATATGCAATTACTTTTTAAAAAGACACCATTATCATATTAATTTTTAATAATATTAAAGCATCCTTAGTGTTAAGCACTTTTAGTAAGCATGAATTTTAACTTAGATGTGAAAACTATGAGGTATTGATTTTAAAATAATTTATATTTTTATTTACTTATCCACGAATTGATCAGTGGCGTATTTCAAATATTGTGTCTAATTACAAGTCGCAATAGAAATAGAATGACGATTTTAATTCCATAACCATTAATGAATGGAATAAGTGTAGAGCACATTGCAACAAGTTGCAAGATCATGATCACATTAAAGAGTGGTTACGGTATGAAATCTTACAACCGATAAATAATAAGTCATTACAATCAAGCCTATAGGATCCAGCACCAGCCAAGCTTTTAGTTATTAACCTTCCTCCAGCTATGTTCATTTTTAATCTGTAAAGCTATGATGTCAACTTTATTAGCAGTATAAACTATATAGTATAAATTGTTTTTTGGTAAACGATGTTTGGACCAATCACAGTACTTTAATCTTCTTCTTCTCGTGTCCAGTTAAAATTGCCAAAAATCACAGTTAGTTATAAAATAGGTAACATATATATAAATCAATAAACAAATAAGTAGGGGGCATGGTAAGAGCCTGCTCGTGGCGCCCCTGCATAGTTGTCTGACCTAACCTCTAGATCAGATTAACGAACTAATCTTACCAACACCGGTGCGAATTATGCCAATACCACAGTACTTTAATAAGGTTTATGGACTAATAAAGTTTTGTACAGCCTAGGAAGAATACTTTAACGAAATAATTTTCTATATTACTTCTAATTTGCAATATAATTATTAATTTAAAATATAATATAACTTAGTATAAAACAAAAAATACAAAAATTCTTTACCTAATACATTGGTTGCAGGTATAGAAATTGGGTAGTATGTTTAAATGTAAAAATGAATTATAATATGATAAAAATATATTATGGAGAAATTATGAAGGCGGCTACGAAATAAGGTCAAACATAGAACTTATTATTCTATTTAACGATTCCAATATAGTGGCCATACTCAAGAGCCAGAGATTAAGGTGGGTCGGAGGCGTATGGAGAGCAGAGGGCCAACTTATACGGACTGTCACTAGATGGAAACCTAATTAAAGTCGACAAAGGGGAAGACCAATGACAATGGTGGGAAGATCGAGTCAAAGATCTTAGAATATTGAGAGTGCTGAATGGAGAAGAGACAGGCAGACTGGCAGCACATAGAGAAACGTGGAGATAGATTGTAAAAGCGACAATGGGTCTAAATGCCTAAAATAAATAAAAATATATATAATATATTTTTTTATACAAATATTATGTATTTATTGTTTTGTGATGATTTGGATTGTTTACTATTCATTTTTTATACAGTTTTGTTATATATACCCTGTTTGTTTTGTAGTACATTATTTTTATTTGTGTTTCCTATCGTTTTCGTCATAATGTTTGTTTAAACGACCTACAGCTGTATGCCGTACTCTGTAAGTATAGTCACATTAATACATACATATTTTAGTATCAATATTTAGATTTAATGGTTTAAGCAGTTATTATTACAATCAACTTTAAATGCTTTTTCGTCGTGGGAGGGTCAATCGAGTAATATTTTATGACCATTCACCACGCATGATTACTATTCTGTCACACAATGGTGTACGTTATTACATTGTAGTGTGTTACTGCTGTAATAGATACACGTGAATGTCGAAGCTCTTCTTTATGTGCACCTACAATAAATAAAATAAATAATTTCTTTTCGAGAGTTCTTTGCGCCATGAAGCTATATAAGCCTCTGCAAATATCTGGCTATTTCTTGGGTGTATTCCCGTGCATTGAAAACAATCGGTTTCGGGTCCATTGGATAGGAGTCATTTTGAAAGTAGTGTTTAAATTCCTATATTGGAACATAACATTTAATATATTTGAGAGGTCGCTTAAAGTAATATCAATCAGACCGACAATTAAGAGCCAAAAGTTTACACCGCGAGTATTAAATATCGACACACTTTACGCGTACATGCTTTTTAGCGAAATATTGGCTGCATTAGTGTGTCAGTTGCAATTTTTTAGGCCATCGGTGTATCGCGTTGTCAATGATTGTTTCTTCCAACTTTGCCGTTTAGACGACATTTTGGTTTTCGAACAGTATTTTGCGGCATTTTCCGTGGTCATATTGTGCCTCTACGAATTAGCCATGTACTTTGTATTGATCAACAAGTTAGTATCTTTAATACATATTTACATGTACTCGTGTGCGGTTCTCGCTATAATAACTGTTATTCTTTTCGATTTTTAAATTACAGCAGAAGCTATCGCCCTTATAAATACTTTTGGTTACACGTGCCGTTGTCGAATTTCACTTGCATTGTGCTGGAACAGTTGTTCTATTTGATGTGCATTTCGCTGTACCTCCGCCTTGGGAAACTGCACAAGGAGATCAAAAATCTGGTACACAAAGCCAAGTACCCGCGATGGAAATGCTGGATGACCTCGACCGCAGGTGGACCCACACGGCTTGGCATACCCACGTTTAGCGCATCCGACATTCGAGATCTACGGACGATTCATCGATCCTGCATGGAAATGTTCAAACGCATTAATCACATATTTCAGTTTCCGGTTTTGCTATGCTTGGTCGACAGTACTTTCCGGATAGTCGTCTTCCTCTACGGTATAGCTTTCGACGTGACTATTGTGGTTTGGGGGAAAAAAGGTCAAATTGATTACGAAAACATGGTGATATACGGAGGATATATTTCCACTCGGGTAATCAGAGTAATCTACTTGCACGTCTGCGAATACTACGTAACGAAAAATGTAAGATTTTATGTGACGTCATTATTTTATTATAAACAGTAAATCGATTTCAGGATCTAGAAGATTAAAAGAACATCGCCGTGCCATTTTTCGCAATTATTTTTTGGTTTTCACTAAATTAAAAAAAATACAAAAATAGTTAATTTTTTTAAATTAAAGTAATGACTATAATTTTAAAGTTTTCGAAAAAAACCACTTCTAGGGGACACAATTCCCGTAATTTCAAAAAGCTAAGAAAATATTTTTTATTTAAATTTTTGGAAAAGTACCGAGAAAACGAAAGATTATTTTCTTAGAAAATGATTATTAACGAAGGCTGTGATATTGTGATCAAATAGTTAACTATCAATAAAGCACATACCCCCAATACTAAAAAATATACATAATAATTTGAGCTCTATAATGAGTTCTGCAAACAATTTTCTAAAAGCAACTCAAGTAACTAGTATACGTGACTTAATTCTTAAATTAGGTCCCATAATCTATTATATATATTGTATATACAATATCTAATATACATATATTATATATTGTTAAAATAATGTCATCAAACTCGGTTTAGGAAATCAATAAAGTTTTGTGCAACCTATCACATACGTTTTTTTAAAGGATAGTATACCTAACAAAGGTTATAAAGGATAATTTTTTTATACATAAAGCATTAAATTATTTGGTATTTTCGACAATTATTTTGTTTTTATTACTATTTTTATTACTATTTTTATGTTTCTTTTTTTTGTTATGGCATCCTCGGATTTTAGAGAAAAAAATTAAGACACTCGTAATGGCTTATTATTAACGACATTGGTCGAGTCCGAGGCCTTGGATCCGTGCTCCCTCCCTAAATCTAGCTCTGACTGAACTCATTAATTAAGCATATATAGATTGAAAACCCCAGGTACTTTATCACTTCATAATCTATGGGGTTCAAAGTAAATGAGAATCCCTTAATGGTATCTTTGTATTGTAAATTGTGTGGTTAAAACCGAATACTACATGAAAGCGTTGTAATGTTTATATAATTAGTACTATAAATACGTTAATATCAATATGTTTGTACATTGCAGATACTACCTATTAGTTTATCTCTAAGTAATCTGGCTTTGGTTTTGAATCCTATTACTCGACGAAGAATAATGCCTGAGGTAACAGTATAAGATACATAGTGCAAATAATGTGGTACATAAAGCATTTTTTTAAGGGGGGTGGGTTTGTATGATAAAATTGTTATACACCTATATAGTGACATCAATACAACTTTATTTGTGAAAGTGGTTTCTGTTTTTAGGCGGGGAAAGGCGTAAACTTTAAAGTACCTTAATTATACTAATTAATTGGCCTGATCTCATCGAAATGTCTAGTTTCATTCGTGTTAACAGTTTACCGGTAAAACCATTTGAGTCGGGAGACCTACTATACTGCAGTTTTATTACAGCATAAATGTTAAAATATTTGTTACACAAATTATGTATTAAGTTAGTTTTTTATGTAGCCAGATAATAAGGAATGGCTAATCGATTTAATAAAACACCTATTAAACAAAATTTGACTATGAAATTTTACATTAGATTTCATTTAGGCAAATGCATAAAAAATATGCACTTTTTAGTATGTATCAATATTTTAAAAAAATGAAACTTTTTTCTTTTTCAGATAATTATTTTTCAAAAACAACTAAAAGCAATAAAATCGCAATTCAACATATATAGCTTAGTGAATGTGAATATAGCGTTATTATATGCCGTATGTATTTATTGTGTACAACAATTATTTAATAGGCACGGTATACATAATGGTACTTTGTTATGTACAGGAATTCGGAACCGTTATAGCTTATACGGCATTTATGCTCCAATTTTTTGCACTTGAAACAGTTCCTATTCCAAGTAATTCAACAATTACAAACCTAAATGAATGATGTTTACTTCATATATTATATTTGTTTCTTGTTATAATATTAAACATTTATACTTTTATATTTTTAATTATACTATTTATTAAAATTTATACCTAATATACTCGTTATAATATTTAACATTTATTAATCTAGTTTTTAACTACATAAAACTATTCATACAAACTACAAAGCATCTCGTCGGGTACACACACGTCTTGTCTAAACGAATAGCCGAAATCTGACTTATATACTATACTAGCTGTTCCCGGCGTTGAATTTCGAAAAATATGTGTTTTACACTAATATCGGTAATTTGTTATTATTTTTACACGTTATTTATACATACATATAGTTATTTTATTCTTGTGCCAATAAAATAAATGGTTATACATCAACATGGATATTACAGGAAATATCCAGTGCCGTAACTACAGCTTAAACCACCCAGATTCCTACTGCAGTACTACAGGTTCACCAGACATATTTGGCTACCCTAGACCTTGGAGATGTCCCAGAACCGGAACTCGCCCCAGTTTAGTGTTTACAAATATTTGTTACTGTTTTCTCGATTTTTAGGTCTTGCCGTGTATACCAGGTGGTGGTTAGTTTAGGCAATATTAGCCTATACGGTATACCACAACATAAATGTTTTTATATGAAGTTATGTCAGTATTGGGCTAGGCCCTGAGACCACAGCGGCTCATATAAGTAATAAATTATGTATAGCTAAAAAAATCATAACTCACCTTATACATTTATATTATTTTATTTTTATAATAACATGAATGTTATTTCAAACATATTAATTACTAAATAATTTAACATGGGTAGGACCTATAACCATACTTGAAAACACATATTATTATTTTTATTAATTATTGTATAACAAAAAAGTAATTATGACAAATTATTTTTTCTTGAAATTTGTTCGTCGAATATCTGATTGAAGATATTAGATAAAGAAGAGATTCAAAATTCATTGAGTGAGCACGTACAACTTTGATACTTAATATGGCTAAGCATGTGAGGCGTCCTTCAGTAATCTACTGAATAATTTTTTTTAATTAACAATTTTTAATTCTGAAAAAAATCCTTCGAAAGTGGCCGTTGTATCTGGTAGTATAAGAAAAATGATAAATGCCGTATACACATCTGGAAAAGATGTGACAAGTGTACTATAGTCGTATTTTAATAATTTCGCAAGTCTTTTATACTGGAACATAATTTACTTCATTTCGTAATATTGAACGAAAACTAGTATTTGAGTAACAAAATCATTATTTAAGCCCTTAGAATACTGATCTATTAATGTTTTTGATTCTTCACGTACAAAATTATCTGCTAAGGTACGTAATTACAAATTTAAGATCAAGAATACGAAATTTCCTAAAGCTATTTCATCTCTTGCTAAACTATAGTAGGTAGTAACTAAAACTAGAACAGACGAAATTTTTCTTCTGTGTTTTGAAATCATGGATCTAAAGATTATTCGTCACCATTTACTACTTTCTGTCTTTTGGTGGTGAATTATACTTTAACACCCAATTTTTCGTTTAGTCATAACTTCACTCCGAACATCATTATAATAATTGCACGAAGTACCTAATCTTCTTTTGTAGTGTTTTCGAGAAACTATTCTGTTTCCATCATATTGCATATTATAATATCTACCTGTAATAACCTAGATTCATGATTTATACTTTTCAATAACTTTAGAAAGATTATAATAAATAAAACAAATTCAACATTTTCCCTTCTGCCTCCGAACGCTCCTCTGAATTTTTGCTTTTCAGCCTATTTTAAAAATTAAACTCAGTTTAGTTTTAGATACAAAATATTTTTATTTTGTTTTTTTTGTTACTAAAAATAACGTTTAACATTATTTTTATTAGTTTGCGTATGTGGTTTATGTAAATTATAATATATGTGATAACCTTTTAAATTTTAATACATATATAAATTATGTTGTTTTTCTACTTATTATATACTTGTGCAAATTAGGCAGAATCCTAACCTAAGCCATGTATTTTAGATGGCGGAGTCTGGTCTACAAGACCCATTTAAAATACTAAAGTTACAGACAATTGTTTTATATATTATACCTTTAACAAATATACAAATATCCGGAGTATAAAAAAATAAATAAAAACACATTACAACTGTGTAAACAATAACATGAATAAAAAATAACTTCTTTACTCTTATGCCTTTTTGGCAATAAAAAATGGTTTGGAGTTTTAAACTAAATAGTAATATTTAACACCCTTAATACCAAAAGGAAAGCGCTTTATTTGTCATTGTGTGTTACAACTACTAAAAATCATGAATAATTTCAAAAGTTTAGATACAATTATTTTTATTATTTTATTGTTTTTTTATGATATCAATAGGAACCTTGCTAGCTAACGATGATATTATTGTGATGGATTTACCAAAGTAAGTATTAACTATAAATATTAAAGTATATTATTACTCATTTAAATTGTAATAGTTTTAGGATAATTTTCAATTAAGGTGATTTGGATGCGGTATGTTTTGTTGACGTTTTAGACCAAAAAGCTAGACAAAATTTCGACAACTTAGGATGGTCCGATCTCAATTCTGTAAAGATTACCGATAGGCCATATTTAACAAAATCAAGCTATACCCATGTTTACTCAATAATGATAAAATCTATTAACAATGTTTGCTAAGTGAATCGCTGAGATTAAGTGACATTCTGCAGAGAGTCGATTGACATATTTAGTTCAAACTTGTTTATGTTCTAGAACGATTCTAAAATAACCTAGTTGCTTTTTTAACTTGATCATAAATCAACTATTTTATTCTACCTGGTCGAAGAAGTGCAAATATTTTTACTCACTAACACAAAAAAAACTTTCGTCAAACAAAGTGAGAATATGCAATAAGTAATACACAAGTATAATTATAATTATTTTGAAGTATAAAACAATAATTTATTCACGATAACGATTAAAAGAAATGTTAAAAGAGTAAGTTAAGACAACAAAGTTATATACAGTGTAATATACAGAAAAATATTCTGGCTCGATAGTTACGGAAAGCGCTATTTATTAAGGGACATATGATAGGCAATATTTGACAAAAATTGGTCTTGTAGCCATTTTTAATAAGCCGACTAATAAATTTTAAGGTGAAAAAATATTAGGTTTTTCTAGTTATAATACTTTTCTCAGAGTTATGGCAAAAGTTTGATAAAAAATAACTTCTGTTGAAGTATTTTTCCGACGTACCTATTGTACGGATTCAATTTTTTTTTATGTGAAGCTTAGGTACTAATTTTTCTTTGTGGGCTAAAAGGCCAATTTTTGTTTTAGCAATTAGAAAATTAGTTAGATTTATTTTAAAAAACTATAAAATAGTAAAAATATAAAATGCTTATAATTTTTTTTTTAACAAAAATAAAAAAACAGTCTTTTAGCCCCCTAGAGGAGATGTTAAACTACATATATAACAAACAAAAATTGTTGAAATCAGTTCGGTAGACACTTCAAAAAGTGACTTCGCGTTTTAGTCTTTATTTGTAATTTTCAATTATATAAATACTATATATATATATATATATATATATATATAATAGATGTATGACAGGGGCGTATTTAGATATTTTTTTTGGGGGGGGGGGCTGAGGCATTGAGTAAAAGAGCTGTGTAAAGAGTTATTTCTAAATTCTGATCCAGAAATAAACCTTAAAAATTTGGCCAAACTTACCCATTTCTCAACCTATTAAAAACAAGACTTCGAAATTAAGTGTAAAATTTTAATATTATAATTCTGATATAATTATTATTAGTTACAAAACCTCAAGTCTTATAAAATATTATATAATAAAATAGAAATTATAATTCTTATTAATACTTATTAATACTAATTATAATAATAGTAAAACAAATTATATTAAATTCAAATTTCTCTCTTTACCACTGTTGGCAAATTTGTCTAATACCATATCATCATTTACATCAATGTCTCGGCGAATGGATAAAAGTGCTAGTCCTAGTCTGGACTCAGAAGTTGTATTTCTTAAATATGTTTTAAGTCTTTTAATAGTCGAAAAGCTGCGTTCAGCCGTAGCGGTGGATACTAAAATTATAGCTAGTAGATCACACGACTCTTAGAGCTTCTATAGCAGTTGCAGGTCTTAAGTTTTCTTCAATATTTTTCCATTTAGCCTGCCAAATTTCATACTCTGCTTCTATAATGAATATAAAAACTATAAAAACTATAAAAAACTATATAAAGACTATAAAAAATTGCTAATGTTTTCTATTCAGTAATCTCCCTCCCTAAAAAATTATACTTAACGGTATAATATAACGTAACATATTATACTATATGTCCAGCAGATTAGCGCATTTCAGTAGTTCAGTCAATATGTCCCTGGATATAGGCAACCCAATATACAGTTCAGCAGTTCGGTAAATTAGACATTTTAGCCTTTTGGTGCCAAAAGTAATTGTACCTAATCGCTAATTGTATTTAAAATTGATTATCTTGTGTACTTAAATAAAATTTAAAATGTGTACAGCTATAATAGTAGTCAGTAAATAACTTACCACCAATTATGCATTTGCCGTGTAACGTGTTAATACTTACTGTACGTATTAAATGTAGATTTACATTTACTATGACCAAACAAGTTTGGCTATGGGGAAGAAATATCTATTAGAAAACATGTACATAGCCACAACTAACAAAGACAATAGTAATACTAGTTTGTCAATTCGTACAATATGTAAGGTCCTTGGAATAAAACATATTTTCTGAGGGCAAAGATAAGTGGTGCAAAAGGTGTGACCCTGAAAATTTGCCGAATGATAAGAAATCGAGGAAATATGATTTCAAGAGTCGTTGAAAACGTTTTACGGCACTCCGTGGCCAATTCCAAGAAATTTTCTGCACGCTCAAGTCTTTGGTTAGTTCGCCACACTCAGTTAACCGTTGTGCCTAAATATTGTTTCAGTAACATGACGTACCAAATCGAAGAAAAGGGGTCACCGAATACATTAGACTACAAAGTGTACTTAAGTAAGTAAATAACATTGTGAGTTACGCAAGTACCTATCTAATATTTTATTACATATGTATATATCTAACCTAACCTACGCAAGTGTTTTTACATCCGGTATTTTTAATTGTTATTGCCTATTATGTTGTAATTACTAGAAAATCAGTTGATTAAAAAAAATATAGTTTAATAGAATGTTTTTCAAAATATGGAAAGTTTTATTAAGTGCTATAAATAAAAATAACAATTATAATCACTGTAAAATCCACTAATTTAATATAATACATTTTCTTTGAGGCTTATGTTGCATTATTATTATAGTCCTTTTAACTTAAAATTGGTTTAAATGTTTATTAAATATTACAAAATTTTGTAGTTACTCATTTTTTCTAATGAAAACCCAAATCAAGAGAAACATAATGCTATGATTAACAACATACATTTAGGACATTTATATTATGTTCATTTCAATGCGTATCTGCATCCATGGATCATATAGTGGATACTCCAAAATTAAAAACATTTAGTAATGTATCATCCATATTAGAAAGCCGAATCCAGATCTACAATTCAAATATGGTAAAGATAAATGTTGTAGAGCTTTGTCAAAATACCACACATAAGATGCATTGATGTGCAACATTTTGCAATTTGGAGTTCGGTTCCCTGACGTGAACTAGACTTAACATGCTCTACCTTTTCATTATTTTTTTCATATTACATAATTATTATGTATAAATAAATTTGTTTCTTTTAGAAAATGAATCTTCAGAAGTTATTTCTCCGTTTCATGACATTCCGTTGTTAGCTGATAGCACTGGAAAAGTTTTTAATATGGTTGTTGAAATTCCAAGATGGACTAATGCCAAAATGGAGGTTTGGTTTATATTTAAAAAATTATCTTTTGCTTATTAAAGAAAATTACTAGATTTCAAGTATCCTGTCCAATAAAACTATGCCAAAGCTTTCTAATTTTATATTAAACAATATACATAATTTATTTCCCAATTAATAAATAATAATAATTAAAAATATTTTATAGATTGACACAAAGGCACCTTTAAATCCAATCAAACAAGATACAAAGAAAGGTAAATTACGTTTTGTAGCCAATGTGTTTCCACACAAGGGTTATATATGGAATTACGGTGCATTTCCCCAGACTTGGGAAAATCCTGAAGTTCTTGACGAACACACAGGCTGTAAGGGTGATAATGATCCCCTCGATGTACTTGAAATTGGTTATAAAGTAAATATAAACGATATACATTTTTGTTAGTCTTAATATATGTATATATATATAAATATGTTCATTTTCACAGGTAGCCAAACAAGGAGAGGTACTTCGAGTAAAAGTATTGGGTACAGTGGCATTAATTGATGAAGGCGAGTATAATTTAATTAATATTCCGAACAATTTTGGTTGTAGATTTGAACTTAATTTATAATATTATTACATTATATGACAATTTTATCACGTTTTTTTTTAGTAATTTGAAATACCATAGACTTTTTAACAATACATTTTAGAAATATAATTTTTGTACATAATTTTTAACCCATACATTTTTCTGTCAAAGTTATTTTAAACTATATTAATAAGTAAATATTTTATTGTAAATTTTTAAATGTGCTCACGTTATGTTATGTAATTGTATTAACAATTTTATAAATTTAATTCTAATAAAGTTAATTTCACTTTTGTAGTTATTGGAAAAATAAGATTTAAGTTTAAATTTTCCATTTGGGCATTAACGCTTATTAGAAAATGTATTGATTTTAGGTGAAACTGACTGGAAAGTACTTGTTATTAATGTTGAAGATCCGATGGCTGATAAAGTAAATGGTAAATATTTTTGCAAAAAGTGTACAAAATTTAAAATAATTTTTTTAAATATAATTGGTTGTGAAAAATTCTAGGCATAAAAGATGTGGAAACACACTTTCCTGGTTATTTAAAAGCTACAGTCGAATGGTTAAAGCTTTATAAAATTCCTGATAATAAACCAGAAAATAAATTTGCATTCAACGGCGAGCCTAAAGATTCCGAATTTGCACTAAAAATTATCCATGATGCCCATGAATATTGGAAGAGTCTTTTTCAAAAGGAGAATACTGATGGCCTATCTTGGTAATTATTTATTTGATTTTTACTGTTAGACATGCATTATATAATTTTTTTTTTTTTTGTAGTGTCAATACAACATTGAATAACAAGTCCAGTGTTGATAGCGAGAAAGTTAAAACTATACTATCAGAAAGCCTGCCATTATCTGAAGCAAGCCCAATTGATCCAGAAGGTAATTTCTTTAATTTTTCTAATGTTGATATGGATTATCAATTTTTATTTTAAGTAAAATAACAAAAAAAATATTGAAAAATTAAAATAACTCATTTCTATATTTCTTTAATTTATTTTATTCTTATGCCAAAGTTAACATAAACATATTTCTTATTACTGAATTAATCACTTTCTTTGGCTATTGACCAGCCATTTCGATTTATTTCAAATTTGGCAAATTGCACTTTTTAAAAACTGTTAAGAAAATTAAAAATAGAAAATAATAATCAATTAAAAATATAAACATTCAAATTATATTCTAATTTTCTCTAATTACACGCGTTGTGCTTTTACAAATTAATATGTGTATAAAATAACATATTAGTAATACTATTTCTTTAATATTTTCAGTTGACAACTGGTTTTACGTAAAAATGAAGGCTATTAATTCTAAATTGTAGTTAACATTAAATTTGATAAGTAATTAATTGAAAATAATTATTATTTGATGTAATTGGCTTTAATTTGTATTGTTCTTTTTTTTTTGTTCCAGTGAATAAATGGCATTTTATAAAATTATAAGTTGGTGTATCATTAAAAGATGCCGTCAACTTGGTAATATTTTATATTGAAAAATTCAAATCAAAATATTACTGAATAATTGTGATTAAAAAAATGTTGTAATTTCATCATATTAATAATAATTATCAATAGTACATAAATATATATATGTTATATTGAAAAATCAACAATATACGGTGATGTTTAGTATGAAATTATAAACTGTTTTTAAATGTTTTATTTTAAATAATATTATCTCGTTTGAGATCACCATCAATACTGTCATGATGATGTACAAAATGTATTATAAAAAACATCAATTCATTGTCATCTTAATGAATTTTTTTTAAGTCAAAAATAGCAGTAACATGTTTAAAATAATCTATAAGAATACATACAGATTCTAATTTCAGATAAAAAAAAATTACAAAGACTCAAAAAGTTTAACAATAAAAATGTACAATATTAATAAACCACATTGTATTTATAACATAAAACAAAAAAGAATTGAACGATAAACGTTAATTAAAATTAGGAAGAAATTGTATTTATCATACTATCGACCAATATCTGTAGTGCAAATTGTCTCTACTACTATCACTTATGTTAACAACACAATCAATTACAAATAAAATAAACCAAAACTATGTTTTGTAACTTCGCCGTATTTAAGAATAATGTATAATGTTAAATTCTCTTAAGTATCATATTAGTGTACAAGTGCTGTTATTATTAAATTTACAGATGCAAAATTATAAATATTGAAAACAGTTTTGCCATTAATAATAATATTAATAATATATAAATCAGTATTAATACTATTCATTCTTGACTAGTATGTTATTTGAACTATTAATGGCAAATCAATTAGTTACTTTTCAAGCATGCAAAATAAGATTTAAAAAAAAAACACTTGAGTTGGAACATTTTAAGATAATAAACGAGACTAACACATACAACATTGAGATAAGATAGAGTAGTATTAGTGAATAATAACATTAATAATATACTAAAATTAATTAGTCTACACTTTATTATAGTTATGTTACAGCAAAAACATAATATAAATTTAAAATTAAATATAATAAAAGGGTAATGGTGATTTTGGTTGTCACAGGAGGCACTATTACATGTAGACATACAATTGCTCTAATATGTCACTGTCGACCCTAGAAATGAGTACGTGTTGAAACTGCTGTTCTCCAATTTGATTTTGTAAAGCAAGCAACTGTAAAAATAAAATATACTTATAATTCTCCTTATAGTAGACACTAATGTAACAACAAGAATGTTTACATACTTGAGACTGCAAGTATTTATGGAATGGAATACAGTGTACGGGATCTTTGAGTGAGAGACATCTTTGCCTTTCATTATGTTCAGTCTCGTACTGATATTCACATTCTGAGTTGGCTCGAGAACTAACATTGGAACAATCGTCAGTCATCAACATGGAACTATTAAAAACAAATGTTTAATTATATACAGATTACTGATTAATAAAAACAATTAAAATATACATTAACTTTACACAGCCCTGGGCTTTTATTAATATTATTTTGTATCAAATATTTTTTTAATTTACATTACTATTTTAAATAGTACATATTAATTATTTAAAACTTCAAATAATACTTGATTAAAATGTATTTTTATTTCTTATTAAATACATTATTTTTTATTTGAATTTGTTCTAAGAAAAATAAAATTTTATTTGTTAATTAAGTTTTTATTTGACTATATTATTAATTCAACAGAAATAAATAAGGTCCAGACTAGATTTGACAAGGGGGAACACAAAAAGATATAAAGGGGAATATCAATTTTTTTTTTTTTTTTGTGAAGCGTTTGTAAAAAACATCATTGATGCCATTTTCAACAATTTTTTTTCATTAAAAAAATTGTGTACAATCAATATAATTTTGGTTCTGGTAGCACGCCATTATCGAGAAAATGTAATATAAAAATTAACCAGAAAAAATGAAATTAACATTTGTTTTTTACAAAAAGGATATCAGAATAAATTATTACTTAATAGTCGAGTGCCGCCTTCTTAATAGGTATTTTTCACTTGCTTAATTTCTAATCCAAGCAATTTTTTATAATCTTAACAAAATGTAAAAATTTAAGGGCAATCATCAATAATATAATTTGTTATACCATACAAATTGAAACTAATTTTATTTGTATTTTTTACACAAATCATCACCGCTGATAAACGTAAGACTGTTACGAAAATACATGTATGTGCTTAAGTAAACTCATATACTTTAGTATATGAATTTGAAGTTTTTTTTTCTGAATGTTTTGTTTAACAATATATTTTACAAGTTATTTGGGGTTATTTTTAATTATATATTATATATAATTCGTTAAATTGTTGTAAATCATACATACTCTGTGTATATCCCATCATCAGTCTTTCTCATAATATCGTTTAAAGTCTCGACACAAATGGTGATTATTTCTTTGAACAATTCTAAAATAGGTCTAGAGCAAAAAAAAAAAGAAAATACAATTTTTATAATTTTTATAGTTTTTAAATGTTACTAACTTTTTTTGACTTGTTAAAAGAGATGCAAGTGCAAGACCTAACAGTTTTCTTCTATCGTTTTGCACTATTTGATTCATTCGTTCTAACCATACCTCAATTATACGTTTAAGTACCTTGTCAAATTGTAATAAATTACCATTTTCATGTACACACAGATGCTCTACAACCTAAAAATGCACATTTATTAAACATGATAATACATTATAGGGGGAAAAACATTAAAATGAATTGGTCTACTTGTATAAAAATGGCTGGATCATTTAATATTACTCTAGAAATTAATGATAATCGACAACTATTGACCGTGAGACCAATTTCACCGGAACACAAAGATCTGAAATATATTAAAATATTTAAATACACAATACATGAATAATATATTAATAATAATAAATTACACATTAATACACAATACATTAACTAACACAATAAAGAAGGCTTTTATATGCTATGAATTATTAAAAAAAAACAAGTTCAACTGTTACTTTAAATTTTGTCCAAGTACAACCATCATCAGCTCAGTTGTTTGTGGCAGATTGACTTTTACAATTGTTTCATATAGCGATAAAATACATACGGTGCCTTCATCTTTTAAATCGTTCATTAAAGTAGTAGTTAAGCTGAATATTTGAGCTCCGTACTCCTAAAAAATATTAGTTTAAATTTTTTAGTTTCATACATTATGTGCCGTCATCCAATCACACTACACCCTCCCCCCCCCCACTCCACTGAGAATGAGTCCACACTCGAGGCGCCTAACCTAACTCAGATTAGATATGGACTTGATGACTTAACCTGAGGCTAGTAGCATTTAACCTAACGAGTCCCACAACCACCAATAGTCTAACCCAGAGACCTCAGTCCCGGGGCGCGGACCAATACTTCCAGGGCTCCCCGGTCCAGCAGTATAGGCTTTGCCATGCTAACGCATTTACCGACACTAGCCAACCCGCGCCCAGTGGGTGGTGGATTCACCAACAGCACACAGTGAATAGATCAAAGGATTATTGCAAAGAAACTAGATTTCGGAGTAGAGTAATAAAAAAAAAAATATATATATATAATACATACCGTCATGACTCTTTCTGGTGCAATTAATACGTATGCTTCGAGAATCATCAAACCGGTCTTTAAATGTTCGGTAGAGTAATCTAAATTTAATATTAAATAGATGGTTAAGTACACAAATGTATTAAAGATTTTGTAAAAATGTATAGACGTATCAGCAATATACAGAAATGGCAATAAATCCACGCTCATTTTTTAAAAAAGCTCGACCCTGTTAAATTTATTTAGGTTTGCAAATCCGTCAAGTATTTTTCGCTGACTAAATACTAAACTCACCTAATAGCGGAAGAAGATAATTAATTAAACTAAGCATTTCATCGTTATACGTAGTACACGATTCTATATAAGAAAGAAGAAGTTCAAGACCATCCTCTTGTAAATAGATGTACGCCTTTTCTTTGATATCTACACTGTATCGAATGATAGGAACTAAAAAAGGAGTAAGCTCAGCACTTTTAGTTCGAATTGCCTATAAAAAAACATATAATATCTATGATGATTGAACAATATTATATATATATTAAACATACTCGAACAATTTGCGTCAAAGTAGATATAATTGCACAGCGAAGCATGTGATGGTCATCAGAATCAGTCCATAGTTTAGGCAAATACTGAAGTAAAGAATCAAAGTATGGCTCTACCATTGGACCTAAACGTTCCACCATAAACGACATAACGTGCAACACGTTCAACTGTACAAAAAAAAAAAAAAATTAAAGTAATAAACAATAAAAGTACTAGTTAAATGCATAATACAATATAATATTAATTTTTTATGGATACACAGTAATAAGCAAAAATATATTTTCGCAAAACAAATTACAAAATATTCATTTTAAGCTGAAATATGAATTTTTAAAAATATTGTTTGTTTTAAAAAGTTGTGTCGCTGTTTTTTTTTTCTGCTATACATTTTTGAATATCTTTGTATAAAACCTGTGTGTAAGTATTTGGCAAAGACTAGCAAGATGGTGTTTTTTTTTCATTATTAAAAATAATTCTGTAATTTTTTGATTTATTAAAAATAATTCTAAAATTAAAAAAAATTATACTTAATAAATAAAAACATTATTTGATGCCCCAAACAGCGCAACGGCAAAATAAACAAGTTAAAATACTTTTTAATTAAATTAAATTAAACTCACGACCTTAAAGGCCATTGGTGTTAAATAAAAATGTATTTAAAATAATTATTTATTTAAATGAAAAATACTCAAATTTCATATTTATGTTGATTAAATAAAATATTTACTTTTGTATCACATTCTCGTACACTGACTAACAGCTTGTAAAGAGAAAAGGCCATTGGTTCTAAATATTCTATAAAATGTTCAGAACTAAAATCAAAGTCATCAATGGCGCAACGTAGTGTAGACGTAGCTGCTAAGCGAACAGCCATATCTTGCTCAGGATTCAACAATCCAATGAGTATATTGTAAAGTTCTGGCCTGTACTCAGGGTTTAATCTAACAGTAAGCCATTGTCCAATCAGCCAAGCAACACGTCTTTTGAGGACACGTGAATGACCTCGAGTTTCCATTAATTCTTGACGTAATGTCGTATTAAACCAATCATCAAAATTTATCTAAAATAATTTAACGAAACACGACATAGTTAGAATATACCCAATAATTAAAAAACGAAAATAGGAGCATATTTTTACAATATCAAACATTTCAAATGCTGTTAATCCAAATGCATTATAAATAGCATCCTTTTTTAACACAGCTTCTAAATTAGTTGGATCAACCAACTCTCTATTTGATTCTATGGTTGCTGCCAGTCGAGGTGTCAATAGTTCTCTAAACTCATGGAATAGTGACATAAAAAGTGATTCAGTACACGCCTACACAGTACATAAAAAATGTATAAAATAAACAATTTCTAAAATAATAAAAATAAATTTATCAAAATTTAACATACTTTAAGATTGTATTTCCAATACTCTCCGACTTCATCTGTCGCTAAATAACATAACAATTTAAAAAAATTATGTTTTTCTTATTTCATGTACATAAAATAAAATATTTACCAAACATTTCTGGATCACTATCCCAGATTTCTAATTCTGACGGAGTAAGTAAAAAATATTTGTAAATCAGTTGTTGGCACATAATCATTAATCTATCTGATTTGAATACTAATGATTTTTGCTGTACAGCTGCTGTTGATACTCTTCTTGAAGTTTCTATAGTAAAATCATGAATTGCGGTTTGTTAGCCTTACAAATAAACATTATTTGATTCTCAAAATAATTATATCAACTTAAGTATTTGCCAACCCTAGCTGTTATTTAAATAAAAATATAATAAAAAAATTGTATTTTTATTTGAACCAATTTAAATAACAAATAAAAAAATTATTAAAATACATTTTCTATTTCTAGTACTACATACTTTTTTACTCATAAAACAAATTATTTAAATAAAAGTTTAAATAATTTAATCAGATAAATTGTCATTTAAAAAATTATTTGAAATAACGGGTTATTACAATAAGTCAAAAATGTATTTATACTCTGTTCCAAATAAGTAAGGCATAAATAAGAAATTTGGTCCGTCTCGCGCATTCCTATGCCACAATTCGCCTAGTTCTTCTTCCACGTGCAACACAGCAGACCATCGTCATCAGTATTCATTTATAACCAGTCGTATAGAGGGGGTTTGACGAGTTCGGCAGAGCTAGAAAAGCCTCAGTTGAGATCGCAAATCTCTGCCTTTCTTATTTGGGACAGAGTAAAAAAAGTGTTATTCAAATTAATTAATTAAATAATTAATTAATTAAGTTAATTAATTATTTTCAAATAACTATGTTGTAATAATTTAAATATAATTTCGTGTTTCTTGATCCTATTAGTAAATTCTAATTATTATAACTGTTCTGAACAAGGCTATGCATGGAGCGGGTTGTTCATATTGGTTGTAACTGAAAAGTATCACTACAAAATTTTTTTGATGTTATTTCAAAATCATAACTTACCATCAATTTGACAAACTGGACCATTAGTACGAGGTAGTTTATACTGAGGACAAATGAGTATCAGTTTTGTCAGATTAAATAATTGTATTAAGAATCTTTCAAACACTACAGCATTCCCATCCACAGTGAATCCATAGAAGTAAGCAAGTTCTACAGTGGGTTGAATAAAATCTAAATAATCAGCTGGGTGGTCTTCGATAATTGTCATCAGCATTTTAAACATTCGACATACAAATTTTTCAACTAAATCAGGATAATAAGGACCTGAAAAAAAAACAAATTGAAAATAAAATGAAAATTACTGATATGTGATTATTTTAAAAATAACTTACGACAAGCAACAATTGGTCGCACTTTATTAAATACGCTTATAATAAATTGTTTGACTTCGTCCGGATAAGGTGATTTAAATCCATACAAAACAAAATTTGACAGTATTTTTTGGGTATAAAATGCATCTTCTAAAAGTTTTGCAACTTCCGGTGTTGCATTTCCTTGTTCCATCTTAAAAATAATACTGTATTTAATCATTCATGCTTTCAGTTAAGTTACTTTTAATGTTTTTAGTGGTATTCATGATAATATTATCTTATAGATTATTAATAGAAGATACACAAAATAACTTTGACGATTTGAAACGTGCATTGCATTAAGTTCTTAACAAAACTAAAATTATTGTCACCAAAAACAGCCATGGTATTATTATTTTTATGTATATATAAATAAATATAATTAGAAATTTTTACTTCTTTTATAAAAGCATCAGTTCGTTGTTCCCAATGGTTGTAAAAATTTGGAAAGAGTTGACTGGAAGCATCTTGAAATAATCGTATACTATCGTAAAGCCTTTTCCCTGACAGAGACTTTACAACATGGTGCATGGATAATAATGCACGATTTTGAGGATCGTATTTAATACGCTCCATTAATTCTGGCATTAAATTGTTCCAATCATATGGCCAATCTAATCTAAACATTCAAAACAATAACTGATAACTTTATATGTGATAAATTATAAGCAAACCTTTGAAAAATATACAAATTAATAGACATTGATATGAATAAGTGTCTCAGTTCTAAAATAACTCTATTATAAGTTACCTAGCAACTCTGCCGATGATTACGCTAACTTGAGTTGCCAATCGTGGAACAGGTTCAGATAAATTTGAAAGTAACATTTTTCTCAAAGTCACTTTTTCATCTTCTGAAATACCACTATAAAAAAGCAAAGAAAATTGCTTTAAAGTTAAATTAAAAAAAAAATTCATATTAAGTATATTTACCTAGAGACGTTTTTCCTCCAATATTTTTCAACACCTTGCTTAAAACACAGAATGGACATCCAACGAACATTTATATCTAATGATTGATTTGAAAATATCCTCTATAAATATAAAATAAATATAATTTACAAGCAGTTTTCTTATTTTAATGTTTAGTTTTGTTAAGCTTACAAATAATACTGAGTAAAATCCAGGTTCTACTTCCCATTCTTTGAGTTTCTGTTCAGCTGGTTTTAACATATCAGGATGCTGACTACTGGCTTGCAATAGTGTTTCATATACTAACTGTTCGATGTCCATTTTGATAGAATTAAGTACTTTACTTTATCTTAATCTAAAATTTAAAAAATTTGTTACTAACTATTCTAAATTTTATCTAAAATAGTCCTAAATACAATTTCTATTATTATAAAATAGTAATATGGTATAATTAAAATTTCCCAAGTAACGCGCTTTGGATTGTGTCATCTTGTTTCAAAAGAGAAATAGTGAGAATCGTGTAAGATTGATTTTTCAAAACATTAGTGCCCAAGTCGCAGAACATTTTTATTACTCAATTTACTGGGTTTTTTTTTTTTTGGTGTCATGATAGAAACATATTTTAACAGTTTTTATGACAAATTATTGTTTATTCTTATATTTGAATCATTTGGATGATATCAAACTAGACTTGGATTTTAATAAATTATGCCAAGACATTCAGTGCAGGATAGCATTTTGTTAATTTTCCAATGTGATAAGAATATATAACTTTAATTGTACGATTTACAAATACCTCTGCACCAATAAACTTGGTGCACCAGTAATACTTCAAACTCTAGAATTAAAATCTGACTAAATGTAAATCATAACCTATTTTAATTTAGTTAGGGCTTGATAATACAAGTAAAAAACCAGCGTAAAAACATGCAATTGCGACAACGCGAACCTAATAGATTTGATAGCTATGATCTTTGTTTGGACTAAGAAGGTTGACTAAATGAAATCTAACTTACTCTGCATCTAGGCAACGAGCAGATAATCCTTTGCTGTGTTTACAACTCTTTCAAGTTAACGTTTGGTTTAGATTGTTCAACTCAAAGGCGTAGGCACAGCCGGAATATCACATAATTTTCACTTTCAATTTATTATCAACTATCGTAGTCGCTGATTAGTGATCAATACGTTGTGATGTTTTTTTTTTAAAGTATTTATTCTACATAACCTTATTTCCGTGCGGAAAAGGCAATACCTGCCAGTGGTTCCTAAAACGCCGGTGTGATCAATATTATAACAGCACAATATCGCCTTGGCGACAAACGGCGGTAAACAACCAGACTTAACAATTAGTCGGCCTCTATAATTTTCCTGCAATTTATTTTGTGTATAGGTACTATATTTTTGATATTTTATATATCAATGGAGACTCGGAGGTCGATAGCCAACCATCACAAAAATATTAGCCAGTGGCCAACGTTCCAAACATCAGAAAGCGAAACCGCTTACATTAGACAATCATCGACCCACGAGACTTATCAGCGATTTGACGAGCCCAAAGCCCTCGATGACAGAGGTAATAAATTGAATTGGAAAGAGACAAGTTTTATAAATCTGACTTGCTATCTTAAGATCTGTAGATGCTATACATTGACTTAGGTGAAGATTTAAAGCTTCACCTCTCCGGTAGACGTATTATTCAAAATATAATGGATACTACTTTAATTTGTATTCGATAATTTTCAAACAACATTATTTGAATAAATCACACTCAAAGTATTTGAAATATGTATATAATTATTTTAATAAAACACAAAAAACATTACTTTAATAAATTTACAACAAAAGTACCTAATAGAATAATATTAGTGGATTAATTGAATAAATTTATTAAAATAATTAATTATTATTTTAATTAAATAATGTGGAACTAAGCAATATAAGTATATTTTAAATATTTTAACTCCAATTCAAATCTAGGAAAAAACTTGAGCATCACTTGTGGTTTTATATTATAAAATAACTAAATATTTAAATAAACCCTTAACCACAAAAATAATTATCTATAGCGTATACGTATTTCAGAAAAACACTCTTACCACCATCGCGCGCATACAACATACCCCAATTCAAAGTTTACACGTAGATTGTATTATTTTTTTTAATAATTATTTGTCATCAAAATTGTGTTTTTTTTTTTTTTGATTGTTTTGTCAAAGATAAAAAATTAGCGGGCATTGTATGTAATACGTATAGGAATTTATAGCATTTTGTCTACGTATGAAAGTTTTTTTTATCTAAATATTTACCAACATACTTTTTATACAGACTACATCGAACAGACTAATTCTCCTCCATTAAGTCTTGACCCAATTGCGGTAGTTTCTTACTAAAAGTTAGATTAAATAACATGATGTACAATTTTAATACATGTATTAATACTTAGATTGTGGTTCTATGATTTTTTTTTTATACAATTAGAACATATAATAAAGGCATATCATAGATAATAATAATATTAATAGAAAAATTATTTTTACTTATTTCATTGATGGACGCACAAATCAAGAGAAAAAAAGAAAAGAGTTCGAAGAGTATTTGTGGAAAACAGCCACGGAAAAAGTGTTGGGAGAATTGGCCGAAAAAACTAATCAATTCTGCACTCAGCAAAGCCAGTTTGAAACTACATATAGCAGTGCATACCAAAAAGATGGTTTTAAATTAAAAGAAATTGGAAGCGCATTGGATGAAGAAGTACATTTATCGATTTAAATTTAAAGAGCACTACTTATTTAAAATGGGAACTTTTTTTTATAATTTATCATCTCTTTTATGTGGATTAAACGGCCGGTTTTTTTTTTTCAAAATGTGTTACAAGTTGTTTAATTATTTATGGTCTCCTAAATTTTGGTAAGTAATTTGGAACTGAATAAAAAAACAGCTTTTTAGCCTCCACAGAGATAGTTATAATATTTAGATAAATAATAATTTAAAAACCGTTCAATAGATATCTACAACAAAACCAACTTTTTATCAAACTTATTTGCCACAGCTCGAAGAAAAATAAATTTAAAAATAATCTAACAAAACTAAACAGTTATATTTACGGAATTTAAAATATTGCCTATCTTTTGCCCCTTAGAAATACACTTTCCCGTTTCCCTTTAAAAAAATCAATGTATTATAATACATTTTATTTTATTTTTAAATGAAAATAAAAAAAAAGTTTCTTAATATTTTATAACCCATAATATATAAATACATTATATGTTAAATCTTTTTAAAAATATAATTTTATATACAACAGATGAAACCAGCAAGTTCAACTTTGTATAGTTATAGCTTGAATGTAATGTAAAATTGAAAATAACAAAATTCCTCTTAAAATAGGTATAAAATGTGATAGTTATTTTATAAAGTGTCAATGTACCTAAAATGTTTAATAAAGTTGTCACACAAAAAAATGTAGTTTTTGTTATAATTTAGTTCAAACAACTAACTTTGATATTGCATAAAAAAAATTTTGCTCGAGAATAAAATGCGTTTGTTCTAAAACTAACAATATTTCAACAAACTTTTTTTAATTTCTCTTATTATTAAATTTATGTTTTAGTTGTGCGCCAAGTATCCTTTGTATGGTACCGTCGGAATATCTGTACCTGTCAACCGATATAAATTTCAAAAAATGAAACAACCTGTGCACAAACCTTTGGATCAACTCTTTAAGAAAAACACCAGTTTTACAAATTATATGTGCGATGTATAAAATGATTATGTCTCATTTGCACTTTGTACACTTTATTTTATTTTAATTTATCGCATTAAAAAAACATATAATATGTATAACATTGAAATAGTAGGTAGGTATAGTAAAACAGCTTGGTTTTGATGTGTCATTTTTTACACTTCTTAATGAAATAAACGGGTTTCATTCATTTTGAATAGATTTATAAAAATTGTCAAACATAATTGTCTCGAAGTGAAGTTGATGAGTAATTATGCAACCAAATTAAAATGCAATTTTTCAATTCTAAATTTAAACGTTTATTTATTTAATGTACCACTAAATGGAATAGACAATACGTAATAATGTTGTCGAGAGATATAAGATAAAATAATTAATGATGAGTACATTAATGAAAATAGTATAATAGAATATTGTATAATAACTAATACAAATACAAATAATGTTATATAAGATTGAAATATATTTCTAAATGTATATTTCAAGTACCTAACATTAACATTTTCTGTAAATAATTTTTTATTTATTGAGTTAATGAACCGTATTTAACGATAATACAAATATTAGTAGTTTTATGCGTTCCTTGTATTGAATTATTTTCGAGTGAATAATTAAGTGTAATCTTAGCCGATGTTACAAAAATTAATTAAACGATAAATAGACAGTAAGCTTTTTAAGACGGATTAAAAAATGTAATCTTTTTTTATTTTGATCTATTTATATAATAATGATTATTAATGTATTTTAAAAAATACTCAATGGTTATGTCAACAAAGTTAAATTTAACATAATTATAATTGGTAATTATTAGTCTGTGAAATAATAAAAAAAATACGGACGCGCGAATTGATTGTTAAATTTCTGTGAATAAAATACTGACATTAGGTTTAGTAAATATGTGTAAATAGTAAGCTAATCATGTTTAAGAAGCGTACAATGTAAATCTGAAATATAAAATGTACTTTATTAATACATACTATAAAGCGTACACTACACATAATATCATTTAAATAGCAATAGAAGTATTAAATTGTTGTGTATAGGTATTATGAGTGAGTTATACAAATATACCCTAATTAATAATATTTTATTTAACATAATAAAAACTATAATAATAATTTTTTTTTATAAAAGTCTATCTTACTGTAATAAATATTAAAGTAACAATTTTAAAACATAAAATGTATATTACCTAAATCACGTTTTCTTAAGTCTTTAAAGTAAGACTTTATCCATGACGGAACATAGCACCATTTTTAAAAAATTATTTCATATTATGCTCATACAAATCCTACATAATTATATCAAGATCTCAGTAAAAAACGGCAAGCTGGTAGCTACATGAAACAATTAAAATATCAAAAACAATTTCAATGGCATTTGCAATATAATAATTATCTGATAAAAAAAAATTGTATTTAAATTTGAAATAGTTTCTAAAATGTAATTTGAATACATATTATGTTGTAAGTGTAAAATTTAAAGTCGTAATAAATTTAATCAAATGAGTTATAATATTATATAAAATTATGTAACACCAAAAAAACTAGTAGTTATCTCAACTAGTTATTATTGTCATCAAAATCGTCTATGTGGGTTGAATATTAAAATTAAAAGGTTATGTAACTAGATAAACTAAACACAGTATAAAAGTCTAATAATGTTATCAGAACCGTCAAATAACTAAAAACAATTTTAAAAAAAACTTAAATAAATATTATTTGTGGTGATGCTATTCTAATTTGATGTATTATTAAGCGTAGTGGTTTTATTTAATTACACTATTTTGAGCAACGGTTTGCTTTATGATAATTGAAAATAAAAAAATAAAAAATCAATGTTTTATTTATGTAAATATGAACAGTTAGAGTACATTTCTGAATTCTAATTGTATGATATAATATGTGTGTCTAATTTGTTAATACATTGTATACAGTTTCTAGGTGTATAAACTAAAAACAAAACGTTTTAGATTATATTTTATAATAAAAAAGCTGGACTTAAAGGTTACACCACAGTGATAAAAATTGTGGAATAAAGTTATTATTTGGTGCATGAATATTAGATTAATAGTAAATTACAATAATGTTTTTAAAATTAATGTAAAAATAATAATAAATGACTTGTTAATACCCTAACTACAAATTACGACACACATTTTGATAATAACTAAAAATTGTATCTTATTGCGGTTATTATTATATTATTCAAACAAATGCTTAAGTTTATTCTAGAAAGAATAATATTAGTTGTTCTAAATTATAAAATTGATACATAGGTTGACTGTTGAGATGTAAATAAAACTAAGAAAAAAATGTATACAATTGTTAAAAATTAAAATATAAATTATGTTGAACAATAATTAACCAACTGTATACTCGTAAAAAATCTACAGTACATGTACTTGGACGTATAAATATATCACCTAAAGAAAAGCAGAAGATTATCCAAAAAAATGTTGATATCCTTTTCTATATTATTACCCTGCCTTACATAGCCAATTCTATTTAATTTATTCCAAAAACATTTTTATCATTTTTGACACATTCAATATTTAATTCGCAAACATAGATTGATATTTTACTAAGAATGTTTTTATTAGTATAGTAAATATTAAAAATTAGAATGAGTCAAATTTATAATATAAAATATCGAGTTAATATAGTTGCTTTTTTAAATATATTGTTTATTGGTTATATTTAAGGAATAAGCGGTTAAATATTAAAGTCTGTGCTATTTAATAACCGTACAATGTTATGTTGATGACGTTGGAATAAAACATTTCTTTTTTTAATAATTATAATTTTAAATATTATGTGTAAATAGAAAAAGTATACTATTGGGATGGAATATGCAGTCTCGTGTTTAGCGTTTATATGTGCAATTTTCTTACACATAAAAAAGTTTGTATTTATATTTTTATTATTATTTTTGGAACGGAAATATGATCATATATTTGTCATTTTTGCTTAAACTATAAAAAGTAATAGTTTTAAATGCTGTTTAAGAAGTAAGAAATTTAATGATCTATTCAGCAGTGAAAATGGACAGATTAACACTACTTGATATCACATGCTTCGAAATATTATTTTTTAAAACAATTTTTCATTTTAGATTATTATACTTAAAACTATATTGATGCACACTTGTGGATTATAATATTATTAAAATTCTAATCGATAAGCAGAGCAGCTAGTATTATGATCCTGCAGCTTAATAGTGCATCGACTGGCGCTTGGACTTATATCTATCTTTAGTTTAGTCAGAAGTTCCTCGTTTTCAGCTGCCCACTGGTTCATTGTATCCGTATCGTATGTTGGAATGATTGTAACCTCTAAAAATAGCGTTATTCAATTACAGAACAATTATTAAGTATAACATTTTATTGATGCAATAATAATGTAATAAACTACTTACCAAGTTCCTGGTCATCCCATGTTTGTTTACCCTCAATTAATGCGTTTAAAACTTCTTTATTGGGATCAATACCGCTGAAAACATAATTTCTTGCTCTAATACGCTTAAAAAAGTCAGCTGTTACATATTTTGAGTTTCCATGATGAGGCACGTATATCAAATCTAGGTAAGTTGGATTTATTTTTGACATTCGACTTGAAGAACGACTTCTAAGCTTATTCGGAGAGTCCGAACGTCGTAGACGATATGGTGAATCTTTATCTAAAAAATAGCCAACATTTAGCTTATTTAGTCCTAAGATATACAGGGTTATCAATTTAATGTAAGACACTCTATTCTGTCTAAAATAATTATTGTTTTGTAGTTTTTCTTTTTGTAAACATTTTTTTTCTAAATTGAGAATAATGTACTAAAAATGTTTACTAGGTCGATAATCAGTTTTGGATAAAGTTACTAAGGTTTAAAGTTTAGGACTGGATAATGTATGAAGGATAGACTTATTTTTATCTGCGCGCATTACTCAACCGCACTCCCACTCCCGTCCTAAATTTTTAACTTAAACAACTTTAAAAGTAATTATATAAAACTGGTTATCGACAAGTCAACATTTTTAACAAATTATTTTTAATTTAATCATTTACTTAAATATATACGTTCCCATTTAAGTTTCAAAAGTTGTTAGCGCTCTGGAAAATGCTAAAAAAGATCATTTGAAATTGATTGTACAACAATAAAAATAAATACATATGTTTTCAAAAAGAAATAACTATTAGTGATGGGAATCCGAAAATCCGGATTTTCACAAAAAATGCTATTTAAGCTACTTAAAAATCATATAAGTGTTAAATAATTGTACAATACAAAGCTGTGTACCTAAGTAATAAGTAACATTATTTTGATAAATATGTAAAAATAAAACAAAAAGGTTAGCTGCTTTTTGATTTTGGATTTTTTAAAATCCGAAAATCCGGAATCCAAAAGCATTTTTTAGACTAAGTTAAGAGTTTTTTTTTTTTCAATTTTTATCAACAAATTTTACTTAGGTACACATCTTTATATTGTAATAGTATTCATTACTTATAAGATTTTCAAGTGGCTTATATAGCGGGTTTTTGAAATATCCGGATTTTTGGATTCCTATCACTAATAACTATATAATTGTAATTATTTTCCGAAAATAGAAGTGGCTTTCGTCAAATGGATCATTCTGTAGATAATAATTTAAATTATTTTAGATGCATATAGCCAGTTATATATTTATATGTGTTTGTTTTCTAAAAATTGTATATGTTGAAATATCAGAAAAAAGTTTGAACAACATTAAAAAGTTTAAACAAAGGTAAATATGGTAAAATAAAAATAAAATACTTTATTCTTCATATTTTGTCCTATTTTCAAACAATTTTATCAACCACCGACGCTGAAATATTTATAAAAAGGTATTGAAATATTTAAATACTTTCACTCACCGATGACATTAATTATTGGTTTGTTGTCGAACATCTTTTTAGCACTTTTTTTCGGTGAAGCATTACTACTATTATTTGTTGGTTCACTTAAGTCGTGGCCAGGAGTAGTGGGAGACGGAAGACCTAAAGGGTTGCCCCACTCTTGGATAGGATCAAATCCGTTATTGTTAATACTCTGAATTGGTGGTAAACCTAAAGGCTTGCCCCAGTTTATTACTGCATCGGAAATTGTAGACTGATTTTGATTGATATTGTCGTTTTCAGTTAAATTTTTTTCATTCTCTACTTGATTTCCATTTGTTTCCGTTGTTGTAGCTGTAAGGTCTTCACCTCTTGCAATTCTGTGTTCGTGCATTGCTTTATTAAAATCATACTCCAACTGTTGATTATCGAGCTGCGTAGGTGAAGCTATTGGAAAAGAAGATCCACAAAACTCTGAAACATCATCAGCTTTATTCTGCGTTTCATCGTCGTCTGTGTTCATTGCTGAATGAAATACGTCGGATAGTGGAGTAGTAGGTTTTTCATCATCGCTGCTACATTGATTTAAAGCTTTCTGAACATCAATATTTAACTGCAAAATGACGTCTTTTGTTACACCTAAATCAAGATCATTTAAATTAAGACCTAAAGACTGTTTCGAGGCAATTTCCGTATCTGTTAAATTTGTAACATCGAAGTCACCGAAAGTATCATCAGTGAACTTTTTATCTTTATCCTCAATTCGAAGACTTAATATATTATCATTTATAACAACACCATCAGTTTTTATAACACTACTTTTAATAGAAAACCCATCTAAATTATGACAAACAATTCCATGAGCATTAGTTCCGGTTAAATTACAATTTTTATTAATTTCTACTTTGGAATTAACATAATTGTCATGCAATGTAGATTTTGGCTGTTCCTCATTCGTTAAATATTTTTTGCTCAGTATAATATGATCTTGGCTAATAGAACTGTGTCTTCTTAATATTGTAGACAACATAGTATCGCCTTCATGTTGAATATTCTCAGTTAACAATCCTCCTCTGTTAAGTACATTAGGATCGTTGTTGCTTTCTTGCAAGACAGATTTTTGTGATTCCATCAATGCTGAATCATTTCTGCTCGATATTATAGGTTCAATATCGATATTCTGCCCTTCGCTAATGGAACTTTGTCTGCTTTTTGTTGTAGTAAATTTACATTCAGCTTCATGTTGTAGAAATTTTTCTTTATTATCGTTAAATGAAGTTTTTCTACATTGTGTGTTAGACTTGACACCGATTTTCTGCGTTTCGCTAATGGAACTTTGTCTGCTTATTGTTAAAGTAGATTTATTATCATCATCCAGTTGTGGAGATTTTTGTGTGTCATCGTTTATTGAATCTTTTCTGTTTGGTATTTTAGCTTCAATATCTATATTATGTCCTTCGCTAATGGGACTTTGTCTGCTTTTTGTTATAGTAGATTTACATTCTCCTTCATGTTGTGGAGATTTTTGTGTGTCATCGATAAATGAATCTTTTCTGCTTGCTGTTTTAGACTCGACACCGATATTATGTCCTTCGCTAATGGAACTTAAGCTGCTGGAATTTGTAACAGTCATATTATAACCATCAAGTTGTGGAGAACTGTATGTGTCATCATTTAATGAATATTTTCTGCTTGGTATTTTAGCTTCAATATCGATATTATGTCCTTCAGTAATAGAACTGTGTCTGCTAGATGTTGTAACAGATTTATTAATATCATCAAGTTGTGGAGATTTTTGTGTGTCATCGATTAATGAATCTTTTCTGCTTGGTATTTTAGCTTTAATATCGATATTAAGCCCTCCGCTAATGGAACTGTGTCTGCTTGATGTTGTAATAGTCGTATTATCACCATCAAGTGGTTGAATATTGTGTTTGTCAACATTTAACGAGTCTTTGCTGCTTGGTGTTTTAGCTTCAAAATCGATATTATGTCCTTCGCTAATGGAACTCTGTCTGCTAGATGTTGTAACAGATTTGTTATCACATTCAATATGTCCAGATTTTTGTGGATCCCCTTTTATTGAATCTTTTCTGTTTGGTATTTTAGATTCAATGTCGATATTATGTCCTTCGTTAATAGAACTTTGTCTGCTTGATGTTGTCTGCTTGATAGTCGTATTATCGACATCAAGTTGTGGAGACTTTTGTGTGACATCGTTAAATGAATCTTTTCTGCTTGGTGTTATAGACTCGACACCGATATTATGTCCTTCGCTAATAGAACTTTGTCTGCTTGATGTTTTAGTCGATTTGTTATCAACTTCATCATGCCCAGATTTTTGTAGATCCCCTTTTAATGAATCTTTTCTGCTTGGTAATTTAGCATCAAAATCGATATTATGTCCTTCGCTAATGGAACTCTGTCTGCTATATGTTGTAACAGATTTGTTATCACATTCAATATGTCCAGATTTTTGTGGATCCCCTTTTATTGAATCTTTTCTGCTTGGTATTTTAACTTCAATATCGATATTATGTCCTTCGCTAATCAAACTTTGTCTGCTTGATGTTTTAGTCGATTTGTTATCATCTTCATCATGCCCAGATTTTTGTTGATTCCCTTCGATTGAATCTTTTCGGTTTAGTGTTTTAGACTCGACGCCGATATTATGTCCTTCGGTAATAGAACTCTGTCTGGTAGATGTTGTAACAGATTTATTAATATCATCAAGTTGTGGAGATTTTTGTGTGTCATCGATTAATGAATGTTTTCTGCTTGGTATTTTAGCTTCAATATCGATATTATGTCCTTCGCTAATGGAACTTTGTCTGCTTGATGTTGTAATAGTCGTATTATCGACATCAAGTTGTGGAGAATTTTGTGTGTCATCGTTTAATGAATCTTTTCTGCTTGGTATTTTAGCTTCAATATCGATATTATGTCCTTCGCTAATAGAACTTTGTCTGCTTGATGTTTTAGTCGACTTGTTATCATCTTCATCATGTCCAGATTTTTGTGGTTCCTCTTTTATTGAATCTTTTCGGTTTGGTATTTTAGCTTCAATATCGATATTATGTCCTTCGCTAATGGAACTCTTTTTGCTAGATGTTGTAACAGATTTATTTTCATCATCTAGTTGGGGAGACTTTTGTGTGTCATCGTTTAATGAATCTTTTTTGCTTGGTATTTTAACTTTAATATCGATATTATGTCCTTCGCTAATAGAACTTTGTCTGCTTGATGTTTTAGTCGACCTGTTATCATCTTCATCATGCCCAGATTTTTGTGGATTCCCTTCGATTGAATCTTTTCGGTTTAGTGTTTTAGACTCGACGCCGATATTATGTCCTTCAGTAATAGAACTCTGTCTGCTAGATGTTGTAACAGATTTATTAATATCATCAAGTTTTGGAGATTTTTGTGTGTCATCGATTAATGAATGTTTTCTGCTTGGTATTTTAGCTTCAATATCGATATTATGTCCTTCGGTAATGGAACTTTGTCTGCTTGATGTTGTAATAGTCGTATTATCGACATCAAGTTGTGGAGACTTTTGTGTGTCATCGTTTAATGAATCTTTTCTGCTTGGTATTTTAGCTTCAATATCGATATTATGTCCTTCGCTAATAGAACTTTGTCTGCTTGATGTTTTAGTCGACTTGTTATCATCTTCATCATGCTCAGATTTTTGTGGATTCCCTTCGATTGAATCTTTTCGGTTTAGTGTTTTAGACTCGACGCCGATATTATGTCCTTCGGTAATAGAACTCTGTCTGGTAGATGTTGTAACAGATTTATTAATATCATCAAGTTGTGGAGAATTTTGTGTGTCATCGTATAATGAATCTTTTCTGCTTGGTATTTTAGCTTCAATATCGATATTATGTCCTTCGCTAATAGAACTTTGTCTGCTTGATGTTTTAGTCGACTTGTTATCATCTTCATCATGTCCAGATTTTTGTGGTTCCTCTTTTATTGAATCTTTTCGGTTTGGTATTTTAGCTTCAATATCGATATTATGTCTTTCGCTAATGGAACTCTTTCTGCTAGATGTTGTAACAGATTTATTTTCATCATCTAGTTGGGGAGACTTTTGTGTGTCATCGTTTAATGAATCTTTTTTGCTTGGTATTTTAACTTCAATATCGATATTATGTCCTTCGCTAATAGAACTTTGTCTGCTTGATGTTTTAGTCGACCTGTTATCATCTTCATCATGCTCAGATTTTTGTGGATTCCCTTCGATTGAATCTTTTCGGTTTAGTGTTTTAGACTCGACGCCGATATTATGTCCTTCGCTAATGGAACTCTTTTTGCTAGATGTTGTAACAGATTTATTTTCATCATCTAGTTGGGGAGACTTTTGTGTGTCATCGTTTAATGAATCTTTTTTGCTTGGTATTTTAACTTCAATATCGATATTATGTCCTTCGCTAATAGAACTTTGTCTGCTTGATGTTTTAGTCGACCTGTTATCATCTTCATCATGCCCAGATTTTTGTGGATTCCCTTCGATTGAATCTTTTCGGTTTAGTGTTTTAGACTCGACGCCGATATTATGTCCTTCAGTAATAGAACTCTGTCTGCTAGATGTTGTAACAGATTTATTAATATCATCAAGTTTTGGAGATTTTTGTGTGTCATCGATTAATGAATGTTTTCTGCTTGGTATTTTAGCTTCAATATCGATATTATGTCCTTCGGTAATGGAACTTTGTCTGCTTGATGTTGTAATAGTCGTATTATCGACATCAAGTTGTGGAGACTTTTGTGTGTCATCGTTTAATGAATCTTTTCTGCTTGGTATTTTAGCTTCAATATCGATATTATGTCCTTCGCTAATAGAACTTTGTCTGCTTGATGTTTTAGTCGATTTGTTATCATCTTCATCATGCCCAGATTTTTGTGGTTCCCTTCTATTGAATCTTTTCGGTTTAGTGTTTTAGACTCGACGCCGATATTATGTCCTTCAGTAATAGAACTCTGTCTGCTAGATGTTGTAACAGATTTATTAATATCATCAAGTTGTGGAGATTTTTGTGTGTCATCGATTAATGAATGTTTTCTGCTTGGTATTTTAGCTTCAATATCGATATTATGTCCTTTGCTAATGGAACTTTGTCTGCTTGATGTTGTAACAGATTTGTTATCACATTCAATATGTCCAGATTTTTGTGGATCCCCTTTTATTGAATCTTTTCTGTTTGGTATTTTAGATTCAATGTCGATATTATGTCCTTCGTTAATAGAACTTTGTCTGCTTGATGTTGTCTGCTTGATAGTCGTATTATCGACATCAAGTTGTGGAGACTTTTGTGTGACATCGTTAAATGAATCTTTTCTGCTTGGTGTTATAGACTCGACACCGATATTATGTCCTTCGCTAATAGAACTTTGTCTGCTTGATGTTTTAGTCGATTTGTTATCAACTTCATCATGCCCAGATTTTTGTAGATCCCCTTTTAATGAATCTTTTCTGCTTGGTAATTTAGCATCAAAATCGATATTATGTCCTTCGCTAATGGAACTCTGTCTGCTATATGTTGTAACAGATTTGTTATCACATTCAATATGTCGAGATTTTTGTGGATCACCTTTTATTGAATCTTTTCTGCTTGGTATTTTAACTTCAATATCGATATTATGTCCTTCGCTAATCAGAACTTTGTCTGCTTGATGTTTTAGTCGATTTGTTATCATCTTCATCATGCCCAGATTTTTGTTGATTCCCTTCGATTGAATCTTTTCGGTTTAGTGTTTTAGACTCGACGCCGATATTATGTCCTTCGGTAATAGAACTCTGTCTGGTAGATGTTGTAACAGATTTATTAATATCATCAAGTTGTGGAGATTTTTGTGTGTCATCGATTAATGAATGTTTTCTGCTTGGTATTTTAGCTTCAATATCGATATTATGTCCTTCGCTAATGGAACTTTGTCTGCTTGATGTTGTAATAGTCGTATTATCGACATCAAGTTGTGGAGAATTTTGTGTGTCATCGTTTAATGAATCTTTTCTGCTTGGTATTTTAGCTTCAATATCGATATTATGTCCTTCGCTAATAGAACTTTGTCTGCTTGATGTTTTAGTCGACTTGTTATCATCTTCATCATGTCCAGATTTTTGTGGTTCCTCTTTTATTGAATCTTTTCGGTTTGGTATTTTAGCTTCAATATCGATATTATGTCCTTCGCTAATGGAACTCTTTTTGCTAGATGTTGTAACAGATTTATTTTCATCATCTAGTTGGGGAGACTTTTGTGTGTCATCGTTTAATGAATCTTTTTTGCTTGGTATTTTAACTTCAATATCGATATTATGTCCTTCGCTAATAGAACTTTGTCTGCTTGATGTTTTAGTCGACCTGTTATCATCTTCATCATGCCCAGATTTTTGTGGATTCCCTTCGATTGAATCTTTTCGGTTTAGTGTTTTAGACTCGACGCCGATATTATGTCCTTCAGTAATAGAACTCTGTCTGCTAGATGTTGTAACAGATTTATTAATATCATCAAGTTTTGGAGATTTTTGTGTGTCATCGATTAATGAATGTTTTCTGCTTGGTATTTTAGCTTCAATATCGATATTATGTCCTTCGGTAATGGAACTTTGTCTGCTTGATGTTGTAATAGTCGTATTATCGACATCAAGTTGTGGAGACTTTTGTGTGTCATCGTTTAATGAATCTTTTCTGCTTGGTATTTTAGCTTCAATATCGATATTATGTCCTTCGCAAATAGAACTTTGTCTGCTTGATGTTTTAGTCGACTTGTTATCATCTTCATCATGCTCAGATTTTTGTGGATTCCCTTCGATTGAATCTTTTCGGTTTAGTGTTTTAGACTCGACGCCGATATTATGTCCTTCGGTAATAGAACTCTGTCTGGTAGATGTTGTAACAGATTTATTAATATCATCAAGTTGTGGAGAATTTTGTGTGTCATCGTATAATGAATCTTTTCTGCTTGGTATTTTAGCTTCAATATCGATATTATGTCCTTCGCTAATAGAACTTTGTCTGCTTGATGTTTTAGTCGACTTGTTATCATCTTCATCATGTCCAGATTTTTGTGGTTCCTCTTTTATTGAATCTTTTCTGTTTGGTATTTTAGCTTCAATATCGATATTATGTCCTTCGCTAATGGAACTCTTTTTGCTAGATGTTGTAACAGATTTATTTTCATCATCTAGTTGGGGAGACTTTTGTGTGTCATCGTTTAATGAATCTTTTTTGCTTGGTATTTTAACTTCAATATCGATATTATGTCCTTCGCTAATAGAACTTTGTCTGCTTGATGTTTTAGTCGACCTGTTATCATCTTCATCATGCTCAGATTTTTGTGGATTCCCTTCGATTGAATCTTTTCGGTTTAGTGTTTTAGACTCGACGCCGATATTATGTCCTTCGCTAATGGAACTCTTTTGCTAGATGTTGTAACAGATTTATTAATATCATCAAGTTGTGGAGATTTTTGTGTGTCATCGATTAATGAATGTTTTCTGCTTGGTATTTTAGCTTCAATATCGATATTATGTCCTTTGCTAATGGAACTTTGTCTGCTTGATGTTGTAACAGATTTGTTATCACATTCAATATGTCCAGATTTTTGTGGATCCCTTTTATTGAATCTTTTCTGTTTGGTATTTTAGATTCAATGTCGATATTATGTCCTTCGTTAATAGAACTTTGTCTGCTTGATGTTGTCTGCTTGATAGTCGTATTATCGACATCAAGTTGTGGAGACTTTTGTGTGACATCGTTAAATGAATCTTTTCTGCTTGGTGTTATAGACTCGACACCGATATTATGTCCTTCGCTAATAGAACTTTGTCTGCTTGATGTTTTAGTCGATTTGTTATCAACTTCATCATGCCCAGATTTTTGTAGATCCCCTTTTAATGAATCTTTTCTGCTTGGTAATTTAGCATCAAAATCGATATTATGTCCTTCGCTAATGGAACTCTGTCTGCTATATGTTGTAACAGATTTGTTATCACATTCAATATGTCCAGATTTTTGTGGATCCCTTTTATTGAATCTTTTCTGCTTGGTATTTTAACTTCAATATCGATATTATGTCCTTCGCTAATCAAACTTTGTCTGCTTGATGTTTTAGTCGATTTGTTATCATCTTCTTCATGCCCAGATTTTTGTTGATTCCCTTCGATTGAATCTTTTCGGTTTAGTGTTTTAGACTCGACGCCGATATTATGTCCTTCGGTAATAGAACTCTGTCTGGTAGATGTTGTAACAGATTTATTAATATCATCAAGTTGTGGAGATTTTTGTGTGTCATCGATTAATGAATGTTTTCTGCTTGGTATTTTAGCTTCAATATCGATATTATGTCCTTCGCTAATGGAACTTTGTCTGCTTGATGTTGTAATAGTCGTATTATCGACATCAAGTTGTGGAGAATTTTGTGTGTCATCGTTTAATGAATCTTTTCTGCTTGGTATTTTAGCTTCAATATCGATATTATGTCCTTCGCTAATAGAACTTTGTCTGCTTGATGTTTTAGTCGACTTGTTATCATCTTCATCATGTCCAGATTTTTGTGGTTCCTCTTTTATTGAATCTTTTCGGTTTGGTATTTTAGCTTCAATATCGATATTATGTCCTTCGCTAATGGAACTCTGTCTGCTAGATGTTGTAACAGATTTATTTTCATCATCTAGTTGGGGAGACTTTTGTGTGTCATCGTTTAATGAATCTTTTTTGCTTGGTATTTTAACTTCAATATCGATATTATGTCCTTCGCTAATAGAACTTTGTCTGCTTGATGTTTTAGTCGACCTGTTATCATCTTCATCATGCCCAGATTTTTGTGGATTCCCTTCGATTGAATCTTTTCGGTTTAGTGTTTTAGACTCGACGCCGATATTATGTCCTTCAGTAATAGAACTCTGTCTGCTAGATGTTGTAACAGATTTATTAATATCATCAAGTTTTGGAGATTTTTGTGTGTCATCGATTAATGAATGTTTTCTGCTTGGTATTTTAGCTTCAATATCGATATTATGTCCTTCGCTAATGGAACTTTGTCTGCTTGATGTTGTAATAGTCGTATTATCGACATCAAGTTGTGGAGACTTTTGTGTGTCATCGTTTAATGAATCTTTTCTGCTTGGTATTTTAGCTTCAATATCGATATTATGTCCTTCGCTAATAGAACTCTGTCTGCTAGATGTTGTAATCAGATTTGATTTTCATCATCTCAGTTGTGGAGACTTTTGTGGTGTCATCGATTAATGAATGTTTTCTGCTTGGTGTTTTAGCTTCAATATCGATATTATGTCCTTCGCTAATGGAGACACTGTCTGCTAGATGTTGTAACGATTTGATATCTTCTGCAGATGTTGTGATATCTTTATGAATCTTTTCTGTTGGTTTTTAGCTTCAATATCGATATTATGTCCTTCGCTAATGGAACATGTCTGCTAGATGTTGTAACAGATTTTTTCATCATCTGTTGTGGAACTTTGTGTGTCATCGTTTAATGAATCTTTTCTGCTTGGTATTTTAGCTTTAATATCGATATTGAGCCCTTCGCTAATGGAACTGTGTGTGCTTAATGTTGTAATAGTCGTATTATCACCATCAAGTTGTTGAATATTGTGTTTGTCACCATTTAACGAGTCTATTTTGCTTGGTGTTATAAACTCGACACCGATATTATGTCCTTCGCTAATAGAGTTTAGTCTGCTTTTTGTTGTAAATGATTTATTATCACCATCAAGTTGTGGAGATTTTTGTGTGTCATCGTTTAATGAATCTTTTCTGCTTGGTATATTAGCTTCAATATCGATATCATGTCCTCCGCTAATAGAACTTTGTTCGCTTGATGTTGTTAATAGTTGTATTATCGTTCATCAAGTTGTGCGAGATTTTTGTGTGTCATCGCTTAATGAATCTTTTCTGCTTGGTATTTTAGCTTCAATATCGATATTATGTCCTTCGCTAATAGAACTTTGTCTGCTTGATGTTTTAGTCGATTTGTTATCATCTTCATCATATCCAGATTTTTGTGGTTTCTCTTTTATTGAATCGTTTCGGTTTGGTGTTTTAGACTCGACGCCGATATTATGTCCTTCGGTAATAGAACTCTGTCTGCTAGATGTTGTAACAGATTTATTAATATCATCAAGTTGTGGAGATTTTTGTGTGTCATCGATTAATGATTGTTTTCTGCTTGGTATTTTAGCTTCAATATCGATATTATGTCCTTCGCTAATGGAACTTTGTCTGCTTGATGTTGTAATAGTCGTATTATCGACATCAAGTTGTGGAGACTTTTGTGTGTCATCGTTTAATGAATCTTTTCTGCTTGGTATTTTAGCTTCAATATCGATATTATGTCCTTCGCTAATAGAACTTTGTCTGCTTGATGTTTTAGTCGATTTGTTATCATCTTCAGTTGTCGAGATTTTTGTGTGTCATCGTTTAATGAATCTTTTCTGCTTTGGTATTTTAGCTTCAATATCGATATTATGTCCTTCGCTAATGGAACTCTGTCTGCTAGATGTTGTAACAGATTTATTTCATCATCTAGTTGTGGAGACTTTTGTGTGTCATCGATTAATGAATGTTTTCTGCTTGGTGTTTTAGCTTGAAAATCGATATTATGTCCTTCGCTAATGGAACTCTGTCTGCTAGATGTTGTAACAGATTTGATGTCACCTTCAATATGCCCAGATTTTTGTGGATCACTCTTTTATTGAATCTTTTCTGTTTGGTATTTTAGCTTCAATATCGATATTATGTCCTTCGCTAATGGAACTATGTCTGCTAGATGTTGTAACAGATTTATTTTCATCATCTAGTTGTGGAGACTTTTGTGTGTCATCGTTTAATGAATCTTTTCTGCTTGGTATTTTAGCTTTAATATCGATATTGATGCCCTTCGCTAATGGAACTGTGTGTGCTTAATGTTGTAATAGTCGTTTTATCACCATCAAGTTGTTGAATATTGTGTTTGTCACCATTTAACGAGTCTATTTTGCTTGGTGTTATAAACTCGACACCGATATTATGTCCTTCGCTAATAGAGTTTAGTCTGCTTTTTGTTGTAAATGATTTATTATCACCATCAAGTTGTGGAGATTTTTGTGTGTCATCGTTTAATGAATCTTTTCTGCTTGGTATATTAGCTTCAATATCGATATTATGTCCTCCGCTAATAGAACTTTGTTCGCTTGATGTTTTATTTGATTTGTTATCATGTCCAGATTTTTGTGTGTCATCGTTTAATGAATCTTTTCTGCCTGGTGTTTTAGACTCCACACAGATATTATGCCCTTCGCTAACTGAACTGTGTTTGCTTAATGTTGTAATAGTCGTATTATCACCATCAAGTTGAGGAGGCTTTTGTGTGTCATCGCTTAATGAATCTTTTCTGCTTGGTATTTTAGCTTCAATATCGATATTATGTCCTTCGCTAATAGAACTTTGTCTGCTTGATGTTTTAGTCGATTTGTTATCATCTTCATCATATCCAGATTTTTGTGGTTTCTCTTTTATTGAATCGTTTCGGTTTGGTGTTTTAGACTCGACACCGCTATTATGTCCTTCGCTAATAGAACTCTGTCTGCTAGATGTTGAAACAGATTTATTAATATCATCAAGTTGTGGAGATTTTTGTGTGTCATCGATTAATGAATCTTTTCTGTTTGGTATTTTAGCTTCAATATCGATATTATGTCCTTCGCTAATGGAACTGTGTTTCCTTGATGTTGTAATAGTCGTATTATCACCATCAAGTTGTGGAGACTTCTGTGTGTCATCGTTTAATGAATCTTTTTTGCTTGGTATTCTTGGTTCGATATTGATATTCTGTCCTTCTTTAATAGAACTGTGTTTACTTGATGTTATATACTCTTTAGAGATTATGTTTGTAAGATTTTTTTTTCCAGTTTCTTGAAATTGTTCCATATGTAAATGTTTGTTTGTATTTATTTGTTGTTTTAAATCATTGATTTTGTTTGTTATTTCATTCAAATCTTTAGAGGACTCCATTAAATGTTCCATCAATTTGTTATTACTAGCATCGTCTTGTGGTTCATTGGTTATTTGATTTTGGGTATAGTCAATTTCATCTTTTTCTAAATTATTGAAATCTATGTCCGTCACAATTCGTTTTAAGGTTTCAGGGGATGAATCGTTAGATACTAACACGTACTCAGCCTTTTCTACTTGGACTATTTTTTTGGTTTCAACTACTAATTCTCCCACTTTGTCTTTAGTATCTACAGTTTCAACTTCTTCGTGGAATGGCAAATCTGCCACTTCGTCTGGTGTTATTAATGAATTTAAAAATTTGTTAATATTTTTTTGCTTATCGGTTGGGGCGTAATGATCTGTATTGTTTTCTTTTGATATTTTTTCATCTTCTGGTATTGTTGAAACAGTAGTTGCACCAGAATCTGATAATTTATCGACACATTTTTCCTTACATATTATGTTTTTAGCTTTATTTATGATCTTATCTAGTTCATCAACAACAATTTTCTTTTCGTCAGGTGACATTTTTTTTTCAGGTGTTATAGATAATTTTTCAACAATTAGTATATCTTCTCCACTTTTTTCACCACTAACCATACTTGATTTGTAAACAATGCCAGATTTTTTTTTTGGACTCGTATGCTTTGATATGATTTCCTTATTAGTAGATGTTAGCTTTATGTTTAATACAGAATTTTTGTTCAATCCAGAATTTGTTTTTGATGCTACAAGCATTTTACGGTTTGTTTCTTCTTTTTTGCATTTCGAAGGGGTTTCTAATGATGGTTTTGTAGATACAGCATTTAATTTAGGTTTGCTAACTGACCTTATTGCCTTGGATGTATTTTCCTTTGATTTGTCAGATGAATTTGATGTTAGTTTTGATGGGTTCTTTGTATTGATATTTTTTTGTATTATTTTATTAGAGTTTACTTTAGCTGTTACTGAACTATACTTATTATCAATTTTCGATTTTAAGTTTATTTCTTTTCCTTTTATTTTGTTATGTTTCAATTTTTCATTTTCATTTTCTATTTTCGGTTTAAGCTGTGTTTTATTAGGCGCTGTGGGTATTATCGCTGTTTGAATTACATTACTTGCTGTAGGTGCTGATATTTCAAAATTTTCCATAGTTTTTACCGTTTTAGTTTCACCGGGTATCATTTTTTCTAGAACTGTTTTTTTAGTGGCAAATGGTTTTGTTGCCATAGAGTTTGATGAACTCAACGATTTAATTGAACAAGAAGGATTTTTTAAAAACTCCAAGTGTCTGACTCTCTCCAGGGCTTCAAATAGTTTATTTTGTGGACAGCTTCCAGGAAATAATATTCTAGTTATTGTTATGCTTGGATTGGCTGGCTGCCAAACTAGCAAAGTACATATTGATATAATATTAGGTATTGGAAATTGTGATTCCTTTGAAGAATTGAACATTTTTTTATCGCCTTCATTCCATTTAGTTAAAAATTCTTTAACTTCTTTACATTCTTTGGATGGATTTAAAACGTACATGTCTAATTTTCCATGACCGACTTTATGGTATAAATTAATTGGTTCTAAATGAAGGTTTCGATAACATAGATGGGGGCGAAGTTGCAGTTGCTTAAGATCAGATATTACGTTTTGGGCCGTCTCAATCAAACCAATTGAAAGTGGATCATGTTTACTTTCCTCATGTGAAGTTATGCTTTGTTTTCTCGCCTGAAAATGTTAAAACATTAGCTTACATTTTTTTATTGACTTACATGAGAGAACGGAACAAGGCCTAAAAATGATTTAAATTAATATATTATATTTATTTTACAAAATATACATTTATTATGTACCGATTTTGTGTACAACCAAAACTAAAAATTGTCTAGATTTTGATGGTAGGAATAAGCAAATCATAGATCAATGATTTTTTATTGTACTTTCGATAGTTTAAATTATATAAATGGACGGTATGCACAACATATTCTAATAAATTAATTTTGTTTAACCATACATGTGTTAATTAAAATATGTTTACTACCAAAAATTATCATAGTTAAAAATATTTTCTTAGATAATTTATTTATATATATATAAATAAAATCCAATATAAATATTAAGTTGTAAAAATAATTAGGAGTGTTAGAAATTATTTAATAACCATATATATATATTTAAATAATTCTTCTTCTTATAAATTATTTTTTGTTAGTGTATAAAAAAAGTTTGCATGATTGTTCCAGTATAACTATGGGATGTCTGGAGAAATAATAACCAATCTTAGTGCACGTATTACTCACAATCTATAAAAACGGTAGGGGTAAGGCATCCCTGACACTCGCGGGAGTGAAAAAGAGTGAAATGTAAATATGATTTAAAACGACAGGTATAGTGTAGAATCTATAGTTTTCAGTATCACTACGTGGATTGGTGACAGTTCCAATGGCGTTTAAACCCCCGTAGTGGTGAGGGTGGGATAGCCAATATAAGTGTCAAATCCATAAAATTTAGGATAAATTAATACCCGGGTAAGTCGGCTAGTTCATTATAAATCACCTTTGAACATTTTTCTGAATAATTGTAGATTTTGTCCAACCAAATACATATTTCAATTTTTATACAAAAATTAAAATAATATTCTATATGATTAAAATTAACAAAATGAATAATTGCTAAGCTTACCTTAAAGTTACAAAAGAAGTGGCCTATTTGTGGATACAAGGAAGACATGGTCTTTCGTTTTAAAAATGAAGCAACACCTTCTAAATTAGTGTAATTAAGCCGTGTAAGTAATATTGCATCCAATCTATCCAAATGTCTGGCGAAACCCCAAAAACAGGCATTTCTTCCAGCACCTCCGTCTAATAGCATGTTAAATCCATTGATACCAAACAAAGCCGAATCGCCTTGCCCAGCAGGAAATACATAAAGTGTTGGTCTACTAAATCTTATATTTCCAACTACTTGTGAGGCTTCAAGAAGTTTGTCGAGTTCAATAACGTTGATTTTATCACAAAGCCATCTGATAGTAGCATTTATTGATTCACTTTCAATGGCGTTTTCAGTGGGATTTAATATTAAATGGGTTCCTTTAATTCGACATGCTTGACTCCAGTCCCCTTCTACCGAACAGTGGAGATCTACACGAATTTTGTTTTCATTAAGTCTAACAATACGTTGAGCTTCGGCTGTTTTATAAGCATCCAGAAAATCAGCTACGGAGAATACACCATCCTTAAAAAACAATTTTCATTTAAAAAACAAAAACTAATATTTATATGGTAGGTACATACTATAGATTTTTGTGTGAATATTTTTAAATACTTACTACTTAGTTACTTTTAGGTAAATAATCAAATTTTCATTTTAGTATTGTTAACAGAATATTAATTCAAAGATATTTTAAATATTAATATTTTCTGATCTTTTTTTTTGCGTTTATCAAAAATCGTAGTTAATCACAAAAAAAAACTTAGAAACTTTTTACAATAATTAGAAAAACATATTGTTTTTTCATTTTATATTATTAAATTAAAAAAAAAAGTATTAACTTTAAAAAAATGAGTTTGTAAAGTTTAAAACAAATATTTGTTCATCAATAAGTTATTTCTATATTTTAATACACACACAATATTTTTTTAACTTAATCAAATTTACTCAACCTGTATAACCCATGAGCCATTTTCAGTAAATGAATATCCAGCATAGATGATGCATCTATACTTAGTAACGCTTGCAAGTAAATTTCGAACACATTGTACCAATGTAATATGGTGAGGATTAATTAAAATTTCTGCAACTAAATTATCACTAGCATATTGAAACAGTTGTTCGCCTAAAACAATATATTATTTTTTACTATGTTTATTTAATAAAATATGTAAGTTAAAATGTTTAAAAAAATATTTATACTTACCATCTTTACCTTCTTCGCCTTCTATATTCTGATTGACAATATCGTTGAGTTCAGTAGATAAATTCACACCAGATTCTTCAAAACTCCAAGATGAAAGTCCTAAATAAATACAAAATGCATTAATTGTTCCTAATCGATAAGAAGTGAGTGTATAATAAATTAGAAGGCATTAAATACTTAAAAGTTATAGTCAATAATTATTATATTTTAGCATCAATGTCAGACGATAAAATTATTGATTTTAAAACTATTTTTAATATTATTTTATTATTAAATTATATTATTTTTTATTTAAAGAAATATAACCCCATAAAAGGCAAGAGTACAGACATTTTTGATGTACAATTTTTACAAGTATAAATCATAAATAATAATATTACAAAATATGAAAATAGCTACATTAATTAAATCTAAGGAAAGTTAAAAGTTTCCACATTAAGACGCCAACTGCAAAGTTAAAACTTTGATATGAGTACTGTAATAATTGACCATAATTAGGAAGATATATAAAGTTATTCCACAAACCAAGTAAGTATACAAATGCATAAATATTAAAATACTTATTTACATTATGTCTTATAAAAGCTGATGTTATTTCTATATTTATTATTTATAATTAGAATTTATCAATAATTAGAAAGACATTTATCCGAGAAATATGAGTTATATTCAAATGCTCTACTAATTTCTTAGCTGTATATACTATGTGTGTGTGTGTGTATTTTTAAAGCGCTCAACCAAAATCCATACCCAGAGTATCTATAATTCGGGTGTAAAGCCCTGCAAAAAAATGTAAAGCACATTTGAAAATGAATCAGTATAGTAGTAACACAGTGAATGCCAAATAGGATAAAGATAGTTCAGAACATGAGCTTTGAGCGATAGGTAATCTAATAAGGTTAATTGATGTTAAGACACATATATATATATATATATATATATATATATGTGCTTATTGCTTATTTCGTCATTTGCGATTTATTCGTTAAGAAGGCAAAAACAACAACACATTTTAATATGTCTAGAATAGGAAAAACCTGTAAGATTACATTTTTTTCACAAGAGGCTATTAAGCCATCCTATTGTTTATTAAAGTATAAAGTACATACAAATTATCGACAAAACGCTACAAGGTAAAATGATTGATACTTTGGTGGACGCTAAGCACACGTAATTTATCCACAAAAAATGTTTTTACTGGTGACAAGTATTTGAGAGCGGTATTTAGAGTAACATATAAATGTATGAGTAACATGATGTATACAATTTTTACAATGGACAGAGAAGCAATTTATCTATGTCGTAGCGTTTTTCAATAACTGTTAAAACAGATTTGACATTTTTATAATTACTTTTGTACACTGAAACAATACGCTACGAAATTCAGCTCATCGAAAAAGTGCATCTCTTATGACATGATTTACCCGACAAAAATGTGATGCGACGTGGTGCCCTCTTGAGTATCTTTAGTATTCTTAATCAAAATCGTTTACGTTTTTCATGTGATTTTTAATTTTTGGACATGTCAAATCTATGATGTTTTGACTTTTATTAATAGTCATCAAATATTATTTTTAAACTCTGTTAGTCAAACTACTATTGTTAACTTCCAATCAATCACCACCATCCCAAATATTTTCAATAGTGCGTTTTTACCTGTCAGTCAATAGTGTTGTACAAGTGAATTGTGGGCTACTAACTATTTTTGTAAAATGTTTGTAATAAATCGATGCGTAGGAATAATGTCTATGAAAAATAATAATTGCGTACCTCAATGTTTGGACCCAATAAGGTACAAGGTACAAGCCAAAAATGTCTAAAACTCTATACAAATATAATGGGCAGGCAATATGTTTACATAAATTTTGATTAAAAATATAATAATACAAATTGATCATTTTTATTTATGAATGTTTAATTAAGATAAAATTCAATACATTTTGTTAAAATAATGCAAATAAAATTACATGTAGGACAATTAGACTTTATATTTTCATAGCATTTAGTGAGGCCATCGTATTTTTAAGTTTAGACCATTAGACCTGACCTTTGCACAATTATTGTGTAATGTTAAACTCATGGACATCAGCTGATTCCGTTGAACCTATATGTGGGGTGGTGGTTAGGTAGACCACGCCCGGCGATTCAGTAACGTCACTACCGAGTCCGCAACCTAATCGATACCTGACCTACTCCATCTCTTCTCGAAAATTCTACTAAAAAAATTGCCTTAAGAGAAAAAAAATACATATTTATAGGTCTTTAAAAGAATAATAAAATAATACAATTGAACTACAGCAAAAAAGAACGTTACTACATCCATAAGCGTAAAGTTTAGTAAATGGAGATTGTTAATAGAATTAATGTATTTTGTCACGACATAATTTATGAAAAACACAACATAATATATCTTTTCACTTTTATGAGTTCTTAACTGTCTGAAATAATATATATATTTTTTATTATTAATACCCTCGCCATAAATAATAGTTAAATAGGCATTAAAAACTAACAAAAATGATGGGTGTAAAATACGTTTCACAGATAAACGATTAATAAATTACCACTAATGACTTACCCTAATGATAGAATATAGATGAACAAAAAATATAAGTTGATTATCGAATACAAAAACTACCATAGTTTTTTCTTCCCACAAACTTTTAAAATATCTCGTAAAAATTATGCTAATTTGTATACTTAAGTTATTACGGGTAATTTAAAATATACTCATCATACAGTTATATTTTGATAAATCATTCAATTTTCATAAAAGCTCGCAATTTTAGTTAATTTTGATGTTATTATTGTTATTTATTAATATAAGAATTAAAAATGTATATAAGTAAAATTATAAAATGCCATAACCGATGTAAAAGTCGAGACTTATTTTTATTAAATATAAACAAAAGTAAGGTTTGATTTTATTTTTTATAAAAAAAATTGTATACTTCATAATTTTATATTAGAGATAACTATTATTTTTTGATAGCTATATATAATAGTATGATACCTTATTTTAACCTTTCAACCGATAGTCTTCGAATAAAAATTTCTACAAAATTGCAGTTCCCTGGTTCAACTCTAACTTCTATATACTTCCTCATACATTTTTTTTTGCATTTGATTAACATGGAATTTGAAAACTATCATAATTTTTTCAATCTAAAAAAAAAATTTTGAAGCTAAAATATGGCACTTGGAAATTTTTTTGATGTTTCGCGATATCATTTTCTTAGCAAATTATGAAGTTATATCAATTTTAACTTCTAATGGACTTTAACTTGAAAAAAAAAACAATTTTCATCATGAAAAATCGAGAGTAATTTTGAAGTTTCATAGTTCAACTTTTAAAATTTTATTTTTACTAAATTAAAAATTAAATTTTTCCATATAATTCAAATAAAAAACCAAAAAAAAACACGAGAGAGTAGTTAAAGTTAAGATAGGAATCTGAATTTTTTAAGATTTCTTATTTAAATAGGCTAGTATCGAGGGGAGGGGGTGTAAGTAAAAAATATACAATTTAGTATATGCGTGTGCGTTAAATGGTATATGCTGAATTATCAAGTTTAAAGACTAATTTGACATTTACCCTGGTGGAGGATTTTTTTTAGAGAATACTGGAGCAAAAACACCAGACCACCCTTATAGGTAATGTTTTTCTTAAGTTTGTTATTCGTCGTTAAAACATTTAGTTTTAACTGTGAACAATAAATATAAAAAAAATAGTTATATATTAACAAAATTGTATGACTTTGAGGATGATCTAAAATTACCTAACATACAAAATCATTTTCGTTTAAAAAAATTATTTTAAAAATCTAGTAACTATTAAATGTTTTTTTAAATTTATCAACAAAATTTAGTTTTTAATTAATAGTTTTCCAAAAATTTTTAAATATTCAACTTAAACCTAAAAATAATATAGTATTACTTAAATGTTCTTACATTTTAATAGTAATGGCGTAATCAAAATTTCTGTACACAATTAGGAAAAATAGATACTACAAAGTGAGAGCATAGTACAAGAAACTATTAAAGTGGGTTGGATTCCACAAATGTAAAGTAAGTAAACAATTGATAGTAGCTATTACGTATTATCACTCCAATGTTTAAGTTAGGTTTTATTTTATTTTTGAAAGTTTAACTGAAATTATTAATTAATAAAATCAATAACCTACTTATAAGTAATACCTACTCTTTTAATAAATAGAATATTTATAATTATAATCTAATGTAATAATTACCCATTTAAATGTATTTGATCCTAATAAAGATTTATGTAAACAATGTAAATTAAATTATTTCAAAATATTTATAACCTTAAGGAGAAATGGAGTAATATTACTGAACGAATATTTCATTAACTGTGTCTTATTATTTTAGAATTTCAAATAACTTGTCAACCGAAAAGTTCTAAAAAAGTAAATGACGGTCTAAACAATACATTTTAGGAAACTATAAAGATTTAACTAGATTCGTATATAGTAAAAACATACGTTCTAGTTTTAAATTATTACAAGAAGAAAATATTTAAATTGTTACTATGCTGATGAGGTTTATTATTATTTTATTTACCTACGCCCAAAAGGGCGTGATTCCAATCAATTCAAATACTATTTTTACATTTTTTTTGCTTTAGGTACTTGTGTAATGATTGCGCGTTTTTAATTCTTTTTTTTTTTTGTTCACCCATTTAGTATTAATTTAACTATCCCCTCCCCCCATCATAGGTATGCATTAGGTATTAGTCCGCTAATATAATATAATGATTTTAATGGATTTTTCTTCTAAATTAGTATATAACCTTAGGTTTTGCGCAGTGCATTTTTGGGAAAACCCTTTAAAACACATTCCTGTTTTTCAATGAGTATTGTTAATTTTAAATGTATGTCATCCTGATTTCATTTATAAAAGCAGCTAACCCGTATATTACATGACGTTATAATGTAAAAAATTAAAGAAACTATACATAATATATTTGTTCACTATACTTATATCAAAAAACTAGAACGCTCATACATACAAATACATTTTTGGTAGTATACATAATTTTTAGCACTATAATAAAATTACGGGCTCTCATAGTTAAAATTAAAAACACTTCACATTTTTTTTTTTACCATCCACTTAAATTTTTTGTTACAACACTTGTGAACAATAACATAAACCATTTTTTTACAAATATTGAAACGATTTTCAAAATCTTTTAAAAAAAAGTTCATAGTGCTACATAAAATCTTAAACCAAAATTTAATTCAGCGAGAAAATTCCCAAAAAATCAAAGTGTAATGGTTTTTGCTTCCAAAAAATGTCGAACTTTATTATATATTATTGTAATTACTGTTACTCGTAATTTACTAAAATTGTGTTTAAGTATTGCGGTTGTCGCATTTTTAGGACAAGCGTTGCGTGTTAAGGGTATGGGGGTAACCCCATGTACTTAATACTTTATCTCAGTTTTCCAAAATTAAATTACTGTTTGAAAATCTAATCAACGCAACGCTTTAAACTCTATGAATGTGTATGTTAGTACCTATATATTCATAAATAAAAGCTAGTAGGTCGTTCTTATGCACAATGATTATAACTAAGTTATTTGATATATTCTTCACAAAACTTCTTATTACCCAGTTTGAATTGATACGATAGTTTAAAAAACCTATTTAACTATCTAATTCCAATTCATACGGTATTTCTGTAATACATAATTACATATTTGTGTATTATACAATATAGCTGTTGTCCTTTAGGTTACCTATCCATGTTCTTTTTTTTACTCACAAACGTACAATGGTTTTACATTTTTACAACTATTTTTGACAGACACATTTTGTTGTCTCCGGCTCATATACATCTTTAAAATTACAACCAAAAGGGTCTTATGTAACTTGGGTTTATATTTGGACGAATTGCCGTAGTTACTGCAGCAACTCCGTGAGACACGTGTTCCTGTTTTATATAATGATCGCTAGCCAGACGGGGGTAGTCATTTACTGTACAGGATATGTTGTTATCTAGCAAAAAGGAAACGAGCACTAATTTTATGTTAAACTTGTGACATTCAAACGTGTTCAAAAATTGAGCACCTATTCAAATTAATTGGATACTTAGTAAAACATATAATTCAAAAAACAACTATAGTAAATATTTTGGTAAATTCAATTTAGTCGAAAAAATTACTAGATATTATAAAAAAAATATTAGGATAATTATGTATAATATATAACATTGTAATCATACATATATATATATTACATAACATCATAATTAAAATACTATTGCGTTGGACAACAAATGAAAAATTAATGCATAAAAAACATTTTTCTTTTAAGAAATTAAGATTTGTAATGATATGTAGGTACTATTTTATAATTAAAATTAGTTACTTATAATTAGGTCTGTTTTAATTAGTTTTCACATTGGGTGTGTATAACTCAGAATCCTTTTAAACATTTATCCTCACATATCCCACAATGAAATTTTAATTTTCACAGAACTAATAATTAGCTTGCTTAGTCACTTTACTGCGGAAACTCATTAATTTGGTTGTTCATAATTCACAAAATAATAATTACTTTTGTTGGTGTACCTACGCCGGGCCATTTCTGTTTTAATGGATTATTCATTAAAATATTAATATACACGAGTGCGTTAATAGCTAGTACAGATGATATGAATATTATCTGCATTCATTCGAAGTTTGTAACTGGTACATCTGAGTGATTTGGCAACAGTTTGTTTTTAAATAGACACCATACGTAGACAAACAGTGACACCCCTACGTTGACATACACATGCTACAATCTCTCAAAATACATCTAGAGGTTACTAAACTGCCTGTAATAAAACTGGTAGGGATTTCTTTTATTATAACTCATTCATAAATTACCTTTAGTGAGCCTTTTTAATATGGCCAACTTGTGTTCAGCACTTCTCGGCTCAGCCAACACGATCAAAAGATATCCGCCTGCTAGCAGGGATTCGACATGACCCGATGGTGTAGCCATTTTTTTAAAGTGATGCTTAGTTCTTCATTTGATAAAGCGCTGGTTACACCTGAAACTGATGATAATATACGACCAAAGATTAATAAACAACACTATACTCTATCCCATATAAAAAAGGTAGTCCGCAAAAACAACAACTCGTCACCCCTGGCTGCGCAGTCACATAGAGAGTATGTCGCCTATTGGTGCTGCGCACTACCTTTCTTCTATGGGATAAAATAAAAGTAGTATCATGGGTTTATTTTTTTTGGTAGTTTTGTACCCACATTAGACGTATAGCAAAAAACACATTGATTCTAATTTTAATTTTAATCAACATCTACAATTAGCTATGGGCAACATTAAGATCGTTTATTAAAAAAAAAGTAAATGTAGATTAATGTAGTTAATTTAAAAATACTATTTTCTGTTTTTGCATTATAACTAATATTATAAAGATTTTTTGTTGATGTAGTATACTGATTAACCCTATGCGATTAATTCTTTACAAGGATAGGTAAATGTTGTAAGAATTAAGAAAATACATTGATAAGTCCTCAAGTTTAACATACAATAAGATCAGAAAAATAATAAATGGTCAAAATAAATCCACTTTTTTCCTAATAGCCATTAGGGAACCTCTTAAAAATAATAAAAAAACAATTTATATTTTCACGTGAAATGTTCGTGTTTTCTTCCCATTTTAAATGCATTTAATATAATTTAGTTAATTTTTTAAGTTAATTTAAATCTTTAAAAATTACTCAAATCATGATCTACAAATTATAGTGGCTGTCGCCTGTCCCAACCTTATAGTTATTGTGTTTAGTACATTGCATGCTAACTTCTTTTGAAGAAACATATTATGGAAATACAAAAAATATACATATATTTATATATTTTGTATTCATACATTGTTTTGCTATACTGTATATATGTATATGAATACAATATATTTGTATAACAATAATATATTAATAAAAAATGATAATAATGTCACAATACATTATTATAAACTATAGACTTGTAATGTTTTCCACCAAATATAAACAAAACTTTTAAAATACTAATATTTGAATTGATGTATGGAATTCAGAACCAAATAAATAATTGGATACATTTTTAAACCCTGACATTCGAGATAAACAATAAAATAAACAATTATTCTTTTAACATTTTAAACTTTCTATAATTTAATTATACCTACTCAGACCTCAGTTATTTCATATTTGGAAACAATTCGCATGACATTCTACAAGAATGATAAAAATAAAGTTACTTTACGAAATTATATAGGTACTTGTTTAGACAGTTCATATACAACACCACTTATAGTGAAAAAACGAATATAACACGCAAATGAAAATAATATGTTAAATTCTTATGAACTCTAAAATTAATTACAAAAGTAGTATAAAAATAATTATATTTAAATAACAACAATTTATTAATACTATAGAAAACAAATCATAAAGACCGCTATAAAATAAAATAACATTGTTTCTAAAATACTAATGTTTTAATATAATTGTCATATAGTAAATTGTCCAACCGAAAAATAAAATGGAGGACTATTAATTATGCTCGGAAACTGTTAAAAAATGTTCAGTCAATAAAATTAATTTTATTTTTCAGTTTGAAATTTGTAAAGTATCCTTGGAAAATTGAACTCCTTAATGACAAGGATGTTACTGAAACGGAGAAACCATATGGCTGAATAAATCCAAATCCCAATAAACTAGAAAATCGATTTCAAGATAAAATCAATCATTTGGAACGACAGGCGAAATGTCTCTTAGGGGTTTTCGCATTATGTAATCGATTTTGTTTAATAAATGAGACAAAAAAATTGATAAAATTTACAAATATAAAAATGAGTACTTAGACTTCACAACTATAGTTTTTGTTTCTAGCTAAGTCGGCTGTTAAAATACATTTTAATATTTTTCCGAAAAATCGTGTGTACCTATATTTATTGTAGAAACTTACCTTTTCGATGCACCTACGCTCAGGAAAGACTCTAAAATTTGTAAGAGCGACCGTTGTGTAAGATCCGTGTCTGCAGTGTGGCAGGGACTGCGGATTCGAGCACAGCGTATAGGAAAGCTACGGCCGGATAATGTACGGGACCATTGGTCGGCACCGCAGTGTAGCCAAATGAACGGTGTGATATTTCCTACCGGCTAAGGGTTGAAGTGGTGTTTGGGCATGATTCAACCTACACTGTTACGATGAGTGGGGTGCCGGTCTCCGTAGCCGCCGGTCGTCTACAGGATATATACATATATTATTTTCCTGGGCCATTCAAACGGTTATGCATCCCGGCTGAAGAGGGCAGGGAAGTCGACGATGGGCTTTCTTATGTATTTTAAGAAAATTCGTTGAGCGCAATATAGGTCCAACATATGATGTTTAATAAAAAAAAATACCCTTTCAGCTTGGCATCAAAATCAAAAATATACAAAATATATTTTAATAATCCAACGTTTTAAAGAAAAGAAATCTTAATATGCTTCCAGTGGAACAATATGATATTTTATATAAATATATATTATAGCCTAACCTAACAGAGTCGGACTGGCTCAGTCACGTTATTGGAAAGCTGTAAAATGATATCAAATATTATATGCAGGGTGGTTTTTTTAAAGTGATCCACTCAAAATCTAATAGGATTAATCAATAATTAATTTTGTTTTGTTTTTTGATCTCCCAAATAGTTTTAGTTTTATAAAATCGTTTGAAACTTAAATGGTAACGTGCATTTTGATTAAGCTTTTAAATTAAAAATATATATACTAATTATTTTGAGGGGTAAATACCAGTTATTAAATAACTATTAGGTTATTATAGTATAAAAGTTAGGACAGAAGGAGAAATTCAGTTGATTAATGCACGCATATAACAATTATACTTCACTCCACCCTTCCCATGTCCTAGACATTAAACTTTAATAACATTTGAAAAGTTATAAAATATATGCGGTACCATTTAAGAGGGCGTCAACCCACTTTTTTTCGACACGTAAACATTTCCAAGTCAAGACACTTTTTTGAGGAACTGAGCAGGTTTAGCATAAAAGTACATCTATACCAAATTAAAGATCTAGACCTTATCTAACTTTTGACAAGGGCGATTTTTGATAACAACATTTTTAGCAAAGTTATAAGCTTTCAAAAAACTAAAAGCTCAACTCAACTCAGTTTCTAAAAACTTTATCGAAAATTGCACATGTCAAAAGTTAGATAATGTGTTGACCTTTAATTTTGTATAGATGTACTTTTACGCTAAACCCGCTCAGTTCCCCAGAAAAGTGTCTTGACTTTGACATGTTTTACTTAAGTTTCAATATTTTTTATGCCAGCTGCTACTAATTTTTGAAGCTATTACCAAACACTATTAAAAGTACTAGGAGTTCATAAGAAGCAACCTAAAGAAACAAAATATGGTGTAATAGCGTAATAAGTCATTGTGACAGTTTATACTGTAGGCAATCCTATGCCGGTGCTCTTGACGTTGGTTAGCCTTATATTAATCATTTTATTAACCATTCTTCTCATAAGCTCCTGATACAAGTTTTGCTTTAACATGACCAATAATCAATGTTAACCCGAGAAGAACGTAATGTAATGATTGAAAATAAATGTTGTTTATAACAATATATTTGTTATACATTATTAAAAAATTGTCGTGTAATATTGTATTTTGTGTCTAATCAAAACAGTTTATTATATTGTTTGATTGACAAATGTAATTTAAGCAAAATAAAATTACTTAACAAATAATTGATATTGATATTTGATAACAATTTTACCGTTAAATACAATAATTAAAAAACACAATATTGTTGTTTAAGTAATGTACTATATTATTCGTTGCCCTTTAAAACTTTTTAAAACTATTTTTCACAATTTATGCAGATTTTGAGGTGGCCTTTAGTCTTTAGAGACTATAATATTTTGTGTTAAAATACAAAGCACTCAGTTTTGTTACAGCAGACAAACTGTGACCATACGGCTAAATTATACTTATGAATATTTCAGTAACTTAAAATATTTAATGAATTTTAAATTCTCCTATATCGTTTAAACACAACATAAGATGTCATTGTAAAATGTACTAGTATTACATGCAATTTATACTTTGTAAAGTATACTTAAGAACAGTCAGATAAAATATTTACACAATACGTATATTAACATTATAAAATCGCTTTCTAGATGCACTAATAACTATTTAAAAACTAAAATACGAGGACTATGTGTTTAAAATGACTACTTAATATATATTTTCTTATAATAAGTACAGCATTTTAACGACTTTCCATTCTGCACGGAAAAAATACATAGTTCAACTAACTAAAATTATGGTTAATATAGTATAACACAATAGATTTATAATTGAAATAACTAAATACATATTTCGGCCAATTTAATTTTTAGTTAATGAACTAAACATTTAATAATTTATTTCAATTATAAATTTATTGTGTTCCTACCTATATTAATCATAATTTTAGTGTAGCATCAAGCATGGATTTAATTTGTAGGATAATTTTAGATAAAAAAAACGTTAACGAAAAAATCCGAATGCGCTACCTCGTGGGTAGTACGAGTCTTACTGTACGACGTAGATTTATTAAACAAATATTTTGAGCTTTGAATTTTATAAAAAATGTGTGGTTATCTTTTAGATTGATGTGATTGACTATTGCTATCATTAACCTTATTTTTTAACTCTTTACTACTAACATATAAATCTACTACCTTAGCCATACAAAATCGTTTTTCAAAAATTTCTGTTTGAAATAGTTTACAAAAAGTAATCTCATCAAATTAAAATTCTATATTTATAGCTCAATACTACTGACATCATTTATAATACAATTAATGGTTCAATATTGTAAATTAAAAATTATAATATTGCATTATATGCGTAGTATGTGTAATTTAAATAATAAATATTAGTACAAATTTTAATTTAAAAAAAAATTAATTATCTTAAAAATAAAAATAAGATTTTTAAAATGACTATTGCTTTTAGTTCTTTATTACTCCTTTACTACTTAGAAAGTTTGAAGTTTGTAGCATGTAACGTCGCGATTACAGAGAAAACCCTAACAAAATTAGTTTATTTTACAACCAACATTCGGTAAGTTGAAACACATCATAAATCATAATTAATACTTCTTCTTTGTTTAATCACTATTCACTGTTCACGTTAATTACTGTTTCGGTCAGCTGGGTTATATTTTATTCAATACCTATCCTTATTATTGTTAATTTGTATTTTTACGTAAGTATGTAAAAATGTTTGGGTGAAGAGTATGTTGGTTGTGTATTTCAATATTGACGTTGGTGGCTTTTTCCATGTAAGTATAATTTTGGAATTTGGCTGATGCCCAAATTTAAAGTAATACTTGTATTGTGGGCAAATATTATTTGTGAGCGAAAAAGTGAAATTGTGGATAATATGCGATCGTTGATAACAATTAACAAGAAATTTGTTGTCTCCCTGGTGACGTTGTCTTCTAGTATACGATACCTGAATATGTTTTGTGTTGTCTTGCAGGTATCTCAATGTTTTTTTTTTTAGTTATGACAAAAATTAAAAATCAATATAATGACTCTCAAAACTGATAATACAATAATAATACGATAATATGATAATATGCACGGGCAGACTTAAGGGACTTTTGAGCAAAAGTCCCTTTAGTCTGCCCGTGCGTATACGATCCTGATTGGACTCGCGTCCAAACTGTTCAATCACAGTCATCTTAAGTCACATACTTTTGGGGTCGTGTGCGATTGCAAATCCGGTTCCCCCTGAAGTGATCGCCCGGGCGCCCACCCGGCTATCCCCTCGCCCCGCCCGAGATCGCGCCCCCGTGTCTTGCTTCTGTCGCGACCTTTCGACGGTGCCGAGGGACGCGTCCTCTCGTAACGCCTACACAGGCGTGTCGGAAGACCAGGGCGGATGGACCGGGCGTGGCGTGGCCGGCGTACGGGCCCAGGACCGCCTCGGAGGCTTCGCCGGCAACCAGGAGCCCAGGCTGCCGGTGCTGCTTTGGTGCCGGCGCGGCGGCCGCCACGAGCTGCAAGAGCCGCACGACCGGCGACGGTACAAGCGAAGCACTGCACCGCATGGGACCCTGGTCCTTCACATACGAACATTCCGTTACATTGGCCGTGTTCACATTCCGTAGGTCATGTACGCGAGTGTGGCTGTTATCAGCAAGTGCAATTATTACAATATTGTTAAATCATATTGGTAAATATGATTTATATTCAAGCCCAATTTTTATATTAATTTTACAAAAATATGTTTTGAAAGATGCACGTTTCTAGAATATTGAACAGTTTAGGCGGATATTTACAGATTTTATATTTTATATTATATTATATTTTTGGTTAATTCGGTTTTTTCTAAAAAAATTTCTCCTAAGAGGATTACCCATTTTTAGATGAAAACCCAGCGAGTTTTTAAATTATCTAATTATATTTTAGAATTGGTTGGGTTTAGTTTTGAAATTTTGAAACATAGAAAACAATATTATATACAGTAGATTTACTAAAAAAAGACGCTATAATTATTCAGATGCTAGTCTTATTGATTAGTTTTAAAAAAAATTAATTTCCAGTCTTATAAAGGCACAATTGACAATTTTTCAGGGAGCAAAAACTAAGTTAGTTTATGTGTGCCTCAAACAATTCTATGCCTCAACCATTTTAAAGCGCTAAGTTGGCCCGGCTATTACCTTTTTTCACCAAATGAATCTCTATAATTGATAATGGTCACAATGTACCATTTAAATATTGAATGATATCATTGAGGGTGACGTTTTATTGACGTTTTAGACCAAAAATCCTGACAACATTTCAAATACTTAGGGTGGTCCGATTTTAATTGTGTAAAGATTTACTTTGTTCTTTGGCTACTTTACTAGACTATATTATGTAGGAAACTGTTTTTTTAATATTTTTCTTTCTTTATGTAAAAAAATTGTTTATTAAAATTGAAAATTTTTCTAATTTAATTACAAGAAACCGAATTTTTTAAATGAAAATCAGTTTCCTATATTATTTAGTAAACTAGTAAAAAAGCTCGAATTTTTTTTCAGAATTGAGATTGGATCATTTAAAGAAGACGTAATTTTGTCAGACTTTTAGATCCAGAATACCATCAAAATGGCGTTTACTCATTTAAAAAAATGTAGTATTTATACTTTGAAGCTTATACAAATTAATCTCTTAATAAATTGACATAGTCGAAATAAATTAAAACAATTTTTTTCTTGAATATAGTCTGTATGACGCCTGATAAAGCTCGTCAGCTTTTGATCCCCTTAACTTAATGGGGATTATGTGATGTTTAAGGATTGTGTTGTGATACTACTACAGCAAATACAGTCATACACACCGTTTAAGCGGAGCATATTATACTCGTAAATAAAGATGTGTGTATTTATTACTAATTTTTACGTTAAAGCATGGATTTAACCAACTGTCAGCTGTCCTCTGCCAAACAAAGCACTTTATATAAATGTACAATTTATTAAAGATTTGAAATTGTATGAAACAATTTATAAAGACGTAATATCTAGAGTAACAATGACAATTTCTCTTAAAATGTGTTCAAGAACATACAAATCATCTGGATTGTTATAAAAAGAGATTGAAGGATCCATGTTACATAATATAAATTTAAAACATTTTTTTTTTTTTACACTTTTTAATTATTATGAAATACATTTTATTTTTAGATAAAATGTCATGTGGTTGTATGGAAATATGACGCAGTAAAGAACTTACACATTTTATACCGTGCCGCATTGTCGTTTGTCGTTAGTCGACAAAAAAATTAACTATACCTACTGTACATAGAACAATAATTATTTTATAATATGTAAGTAATTTAACTTACATTAAGGGTATATTTTTAACTTACGGATATGAAGTATATCTGTTTAACATAGTCAAAGTGTAATAGGAAAGTAGGTACCGATTACCTATTTAGCTAAATGTTAAGTGTGCCATTTATTGTATTTTTAGTTATATAACTTTATACAATCTCTTCTACGTAGTTTTAAAAAAGCGACTTTTTAAGTCTTAACCCATTGTGTGCGACATGTTTGAATAACGATTTCAAACCATAGACACATTAAGTAAACGTGAATTATAAGACCAAACCGTAGGTTATAGTTTGGCGAGTTGAGACGTCCAGTGATGGAACTCAGATGGATGTTTTAGAGTATGGGAAAAAGCATGTAATTACTTTAATTCGCAAAGCAGTACATGTACTTAACGGCAATGGAGGGATGATGCAAAGGAAAAGCGTGTGGTATTATATGTCAAATAATAATAATTAATTAACAATCGGATACGGACAAAGCGGTGGGGAGGTGATTGGCACCGAATTACATGCGGCACGTGACGCGCATCGGTTAGCGGCTTGCCCGTAGGTTGTTGGCGTCGGCCTATGCGGTGTAATGCGTTTTCATGCGGCGGCGTGGAAAACTGCGGAAAATCGTGTACCGCCGGCGGCAATGCCGGTAGGAGAGGTCGTCGGGTGGCTTTCCCGAGCGCGCCGACTCTGGTGGCGTCACAGTCGCAGCACGCTACATACGCATGGGTTCCTGATAGTGAGTTTAAAAAAATTGCGGAAAACGCACGAAAACGGCGATTCCAATTTCCCGAAAATCGTGGTAATAACGCGGTTGCGGTGTGAAAAAAAATCGTACCGACGGTGGTACGTTGAGACGCGGCGGCCGCCCGTCACCCGATACATTGTTCTGGTATCGACGCGATTATTATTATTATTATTATTATAACGGTTCACTTTTTCTCTCTCGCCCGCGACCCGCGAGTCGACGCCCGACGCCGGCTGGTACCCTGGTACAATCGCTCGCATTTCTTCAGCCAAGTGTGACCCGGGACGGATGGCCAGCTCTCGCGGCCAGGAACCGTTCACACCCGTCGCGTGCACGATGCCATGTTATTTAATCGCGTCAACATTATATTAAATATTACAAATTTATTGATCGTTTGAACTTTGATACGAGTTGTCACGAGGAACATTATCATGATGTGTTATTTTTAAATATTAATTTACAAACACTACGCAAAAAATTGATTTATGTATATTGAATTTTAAATAAGAATAATTATATTGACCAACAAAAATTTGCGCGCTGCATAAATTATTTGAGAAGAAACTGAGCAAATCATGGGATTATAATATTTATACAATGAAATAATTTAAAAATACCCTTAACTACGAAAAATAATACACTTTTCAGTGGAATTGTAATTCGGTATCAATAGTATGATAGGCGCTCACAACAGACTGAGCCTCAGTCTACTACTAAAGTGGTTTACTGAATTATTTTTCATATAATTATAGTGAAGGATAGTATGTAGTGTTATAAACAAGGGTGTTTTCCAATATTTTGTTAGTTTTTTCACAGAATATCCCTAAAACTTTTTCTGTGAATGATAATCTTTATATTCTCATGTGATTACCGCCTTCCAATAAGTGATTAAGGTATTGTGAAACTAATAATTTATATGATTTGTACAACGTTGTAGTATCGATTAATTAAAAAAACAACATGAATCAGAATCAGCGATAAAAACTGACGTCGTAACGATGGGGTCATATTGAATCGATAACACAATGTCATCACACGACTGGGACGCGTTTGGTGTAAACGCGGCAATGCCGTTGTCTCACATACGCCGTTGCCGTCCGCCGCGTCGGCCTTGACATACGGCCCGCACATTGCGGCGATTGTGGCGGCGGCTGGCAGCGCTCATTGTGCCGCCTCGAGCGGCTGAGGCCCTGGTACTCGGTGATCTCATTGGAGGTGAATATGGCTGCGACAAAGGGCAGACGACACGCGCGGATGAGTCGCGGCCGCCGTCGCACTTCCCCGCCCTCGAGCCGTGCCGGCCGTAGGACCACCAGTGCGGGCAACTGGCAGAGGCTACAGCTGCCGCTGTCGAGCCGCGGCCGCCGCTGTTATTACCGTTGGCCGTGTTTCGGTTGCCGCGGTTACGGTTTGTTATCGTTACCGCTGGCCACGCCGCGCCGTGCCGTGCCGTTTTCATAGAGCATTTATATTCAATTTTAAAATACCGCGTTCGGATCATAATTTGTGTTTTTTTTTTTCATAATAATAAAAGGTCGGCGTTTACATTGATAACCCGTCGCATCGCTGGCATGCTAAAAAGATAATAGAAAAAAATGTTTTGACGGCTCGTGGTTATGGGCAACGTCTTGCGATTTAAATGTGTCAACTGTGCAAACGCAGACCAACGGCAACGCAGGTAACAGATATTGCATATTGCATATTGATAAGGCGCTACTTATGATAAATACGTTATTATGATGCTTGTTATAGTTTTATAACAAAATTATGTAATTTATATACATTTGTTTTCATCGACATTTCATTTTGACAATATTAAATGCCACGTAATTATTAAAAAGTACGGGTAATTCGAAAAATATCCAACTAATTAGAAATAGGTTGTAGAACTATACTAATAATGCTTATTTTTATTATATTGATTTGATATTGACTTTTCACGTGTACATATTTTGAAGAAAAAAAATGTTTTCCTAGATCAATAACAATAAGTTAAAAAAATACAAAATCAATGTTCAGTATTTTAAAGGGGTAAACTTTCACAATAACTATTATTGTGAAAAACTTATTTTCTTTTTATTAACCTCTCTCAGTATAATTATAAAATTTACTTTTTCAATAAATTAACCATGCTAAATAATAGGTATTTTTATTGTCTAATATTTAAAAAACTGAATAGCAAAAATACCCTAGGCTTTCATATTATTATTTCTGGCAAGTGTCAAATATTAACAATTCACCATGACCTTCTAACGATAGCACAACATGCCTATTATCAACTTCGCTTATTTTTAACGACATACTACCTCAATTTTTACAATGCACAATACTATAATTAAGTCTTCAGTTATGTTTTTTAAAATCGACATTATATGCTCCCAAGTATTTTGTTCCCACAACATCACAGGTCAAATAACTCTCTAAGAGATCATAACACTAATTTTAAGATCCTTTTCATAATTAGTCGTATAATTAGACATATATAGATATACTAACATTACAGAACACTTCCCAGCTTAAAGTAATTTGTGCAAAATTATTACTGACAATATTCAATATATTCTTTTGAAAGTAATAATGCTATTTTTTTTAAATAATTAAATGTGTATCTATATTTTTTTTATATTAGAAAAATGACTGTTTTGCTGATCGGTCTAGATAACGCCGGAAAGACTTGCATTCTCAAAAGTATATTACGAGGTAAAGCCTAAATTTAAAATAAACTATACAAAAAATCAGTGTTTGGAATATTTATTTGGAGATAAATAATACATTTGCATTTTTTTTTCAATTGCATTCTATTTAAATAATATTGGTGATAAAGCTTTTTCATTTTATGGTGCTTTTATTCGATTGATGTCAAATTAAAACGTTCTAAAGCCTAAGAAAAAAAAATGTTAAATGTGGTCAACGTACTTATTTAGCCAAGTAGATCCAATAATTTTACCTAAATTGGAGATTGAACACTGTCTAGATTGTCGTGCCTATTAGAAAGTATATCATTTATTAATGTTTAAGAATACAATTTTGGAATTGGGTTAATTTTTCAAATTTGCATTCACATTTATTAGATACCCAAAATAGAATACATTCCTCTCTATTCAAAGTTCAAACACTCAAAGAAAATATGGTGAAATGGGGTAACTGCAATTAATTGGGGTATGGGGCAAACGCAACTACAAAAATTTCACTCAAAAATGCCTAGATTTTTTTTTAATTTAACGTTAAAACGTTTCAACATTGGATAGGCAAATAGTTCAATTAAAAGTTGCAGTTACCCGACTTCACTGTACTATATACGTGTTCGTTTATAATGTCGTTCATAATGTAGTCTCATTGCATGTTTTAGAAAAACAAAAAAATGTTCTTCCTACAATCGGATTTTCGTCTTCCTCGTTCCGTCACCGGGACAACGACATTACCATTTACGACCTAGGCGGTCACAAACAGATACGTGATATATGGAACCAATATTTTGCCGACGTACATAATGGCGGGCTTACATAAAACGATATAATATTATGTTATCTAACGACAAAATCTGTGTGATTTTACAGGTGCACGGCGTCGTCTTCGTGGTGGATTCGACGGATCACCGGCGGCTAGACGAGTGCAGGGATGTGTTCACAAATGTGTTGAAGCACGACAAAATAGCCGGAAAACCCGTGCTGCTGTAAGTGCGCATTTTACCGACCTCGAATTTGGAGCATTAAAAAAAACCACCATATTGTCCGCGATTAGATTAGGCAACAAACAAGACAAGCACGGGGCTTTGGACGAATTGGATATTGTCGACCGGTTGAACGTGGAAGCCGTGGTGAACATAAACAAATGTCCAACTCTAGTGGAAACGTGCACTGCTCTACACATGGCACCGATCCACTATTGCAGTGCCGCTTTCGTCGATCCCTGCATCGATAGTGGTTTTAAGTAAATAGTCCACGATATTCGTCAAAAGTATATTATGTGTATTTAATACCCAGTTAAACGCGTGTGTCTCTGTCGATAAAGCTGGCTGGTATCGCAAATAGTTAAACAATACAGCGCTTTAAACGCTCGCGTGACGCAAGACGTGGCCCATTACAAGGCGGACGTGGATAGGAAAATACAGGAATGGAAAAAAAAACAAGAGACTTCGAACGACTCTTATTTGCTATCGTTTAACGCTCCTCATCGGAGGTCGACTAAACGAAATCCTTTCAGACATATAACCAGAGTCATAGTAAGTTGTGTGTTATTACATTTTACACAAAACCCTTTTAACAACATTATGATATTATGCAATTGGTGGCTGGCTTTGTTGATATGATTTCAAATTTTACCAGCAGTCAGCATTCCGGCGCTGTAGTACTTTTTTTTTAAAAAATTAAATAAATGGCAGATCGCAGATTCAACAAGAGCATGTAAAGAGAATTTGCTGACTATTAGTTTTCACATAAAAACTACTTGTAGTCTATATGAGCAGTCTTTTATTTTTTTGATTTCGTGATTGCAATAAAGTTGGTAGGCGAATACCTAAAAAATTACTTAAACGCTTAGGTAAATAACCCAGTTTTTTAACTACACGCGTGCTTGAATAAGATGATAATTAAAAAAAAAAAAAGAGTTTGAAACCAAAATTTAGCTAAATTTAATAAAAACAAATAAAAGGAATAAAGTATTTAGTCAATTGAATTATAAAGATATTATATAATTATATTATTACATATTTCATTCGAATAGATTTATGTTAATATTTTTAGCACGTCCAACTAATAGTTTCAAATTGTGCCTATAAATGTTTTTTGGTCAAATCACATTCAGATAAATAGCTTAGTTTAGGGTTAATGTAAATATACACATTTTGCAGTGCAGAAACTGACCGCAGACATTTTAAAACATTAGGTACTTAAACTACAAATAACCATCGATTCGAATCATGTATTATTTAATCATTAGAAAAATGCTCAACTTTGTTTGAAACAAAAAAAAATTCTCATTAGTATATAACAACGCATAATGCGTGTGTCTAGGATAGTTTTGAATCGAAAACACAAAACCCCGCTGAAGACATGGGGAGTACTTCTTTCATCATCCCTCTAAGAGAAGAAACACCCGAACCGGCACCTGTTGCTTTCCGAAACAAAGTCAAACCAGCTGTCGTTCAATCAGCTTCTGCCCGTAGTCCAGAACCGGGACCGCGGCCGGGCCGTTCGAGGTCGCCGCTATTTAGGGCTCTTTCCAAAGAAAGCGAACGCGGACAAGGAGAAGCCAGCACGTCGTCTTTACACGTGGCACCAGCTGTGGTCGGAAGCGACAGGTTGCCAAAGGAGGAATCGTTCACTGCTAAAATGAAAAGGTCCGTCTTTAGCAGGTCGAATTCGGCAGGTGGGAAGTCGTCGACTTCGGTGCACAGACGACCGTCAAGTGCACGGTCTTTAAAAAAAAGTAAGTCGACCAAAAACTGAGTCGTGCTTTACGGTAATAAATTGTTGTTGGTTTTCTGTAGATTTTAAAGGTCCGGGGGCTGGAACAACCCTCGAAAAAACTCTTAATGAGCCTGAAGTCGTAGTCCGTCGGCAGAATCTTCAAATGACTGAAACGGCCACTCGACTACCAGAAATTTCCAGTCACATGTGAGAACACTGATGAATGTTGTACTGTAATTATGCCCGATTGAGTGATTTATTGTTTTGATTATTTTATATTTTAAATGATATTGGTATGTTTTATGTCGTTTTTATACTATCTATATGATATATTTTACTATGTAAATACAAACATATTTCGCACTTGGCTATTGAAACTGAATTGATTTAATTTAGCATTTTTTTAATTTATCAATCGTTACTTATCTACGGTGTAACCAATATTAGGCTTCAGGAAAAGTATCTATTTCTTTATTATTAGTACACGATACATATATACCTATTAAATAACAATGTTTATTTGATCAACACAAAATGCCATGAAGTCTACGGTTAATTACTGTAAAATTCTTTGCCACAATTATGTTTTATGTTAAAACGAGGTGAAGTTTTGCATCGTTAAATTTCTTAAAAACAAATTAATAACAATTTTCACACATCTAGTCGTTTGAACTCACGTTAAATTACAGTAAATGCACAACAAATTATAGGTTTTTTCTAAACGTTTCAACGTAAAATAATTGTAAACAGCTAATTTCATAAATGCTTTGAAATTAAAAAGAATTCAGAAATGATTTAATGACTTCAACATTTTTGTGAACATTAACTTTTTTTGTGTAAAACAAGCCTAGAGGTAAGCTTTTAATGCAAAATTAAGCACTTTTAACGAGAGTGCATCTATAATAATAATGATCTGCATTCTAACATAGTTGAATTATAAAAACAATTTGTAGCAAACAAAACAATGTCTTTTTAACTTCAAATTATATTTAAGTTAAGTACATTCTTATTTAAATAAAAAATTATTTAGTTGAAGTTAAATATTATGTATTATACCTAATGCAAATCGTACTTAAATAATTTTTTTTGGTTAAAATAAAAATAAAATATGTCATATTTGTTTTATTAAATTATATTTTTATTTAATGTCCAGATTTGTATATAGATGGGCAAAAACAAATAAAATATATGCAATTTTAACTTATATTCATATAATTAATAATAATAATATTATCAAGTTACATTAATAAATAAAATATTACCTAATAAACATAATACATAATAATAATAAAATTATAACCCGCTGGTGCGGGGAAAAATAAGAATAAGTCAATAAACACAACTCTAAACATCTATACAACAACAAGTCATTTAAATATGCCAGAAATTAATCTACTTCTGTATAACAAAAAAAAAAAAATGATATTTAATATTACAATATACTGATAAGGTATAAATAGTTTTGGTATAAATAGTGAAAAGTTTCTAATGGACAACTTATCTACTAATATTATTTTAATTGCGAACGTGAGTTTGAGGGATTGAAATGAATGTACTGGATCCGATTGAGTATTGGTAACAAAATAATCGTGGACGGCAAAATAATTGAATGTCTTATAGATTATAGATCTTATAATAATTACTAATGGAAAATAAATAATGAATAATATAAAAAAAAATAAATAAATAATGAACTACGTTAATAATTTATGAAAAACTTAAACGCATGGCTGGACGAGTGCAAGCTTATACTTATAATATTTGTTTAGATCGTACCAACGGCCAACATGTTTGACATTTGGAAACCATTATGTAATTACAAGTCAATCCAGTGCTTTGGTTGGCCGTTCGTGCGTTAATAAATAATATATTATCTACAAAAAACAATTAAATCCCTAATGTTTATACTATTATTATGTTGCTTACAGAACATACGTAAACATTAAACATATAGAAGTGCGATACACTACAGTAGTTTAGTTGTACAATTTAAACATAAAATATAATGTATAAAAACGAATATAAAATAAATATAATAATATAACCTACTTAAAGTAAGTACATAACACAATTATAGGAGGATGAAGTTTGGCGGAAAACACAAAATGGCACGAAAGGGAGTAGAGTTCAATAATTTGTCATCCAACTAATTTCTTTTCGATTACTTTAATAAAACAAATTGGAATACATACACACAACCGCAAGTTCAGTTTAGTTTTAGGGTAATAATAGTAATAAGTAGTAGTAGTAGTAGTAGTAGTAGTAATAATAATAATAATAATGTTGATATATGTATATATATATATATATGCAAAATCCTTTTAGTACAAATATAGTTAAACCTATTGAGAAAAAGATGTTTTTGTTTTTTTTGTTAATTTTAGAACACATACACAACATACAATCTAAACTATCATTCTAATAAATGTTATTTAAACAAAAAAGCTTTGTATCTAAAAATTGCACTATAATTAATAAGGGTTCCAATAGTTGTGAATTTTGGACGAATTTTGAAAATTCCGTTCGCTTTTCACTCTTTGGAAAAATAATATAACTATTCAGTAGTTGTTCTGTAACAAAAAAACGTATACACCTAGTATTAATACAAATTTTTATAATACATAAATAATAAGAGAACAAATTAAATTTTTCGTTTAAAAAAAAAAAAGGTCTCACTGGAAAAATAGTTATGCTTCGTTTAGTGATAAATTTGTAGAGTGATTATTGAAGACTAATAATAATTTATTTCTAAAATAGGTTTTAACGAAAAAAACGCCTATACTGATCTACCCTATTGCAACTGTACATTAACGGATTAAGGAGTGTTATTGTTAACACATTTCAGAACCTTTGATTACGTTATACACGATCAAACATTTGAACTATGCATTAATAATAATATGTAGATATAATTTTAATAATTTTTATTTTACTGATAAGTGTAAGAAATAATATCCATATTTTACCATTGGGATGACAGTCTTCAAAACTCTAACGACTGATCTGCACTGCCTTCGACCTCCGAATCGCCTTCCTCATCGTCCACATCCGTATCACTGTCTAATACACCGTTGTCTATAGATTTGTCTTTTTGGTTGTCTTCTTTTCCGTACCACAAGGCTGCTGTAAATTGAAAATAATAGTTATCTATATAATATTTTATCGGTTGACTTTTACATAATTAATAAGTCTGAATTAATGCAACTTACAGCAATTGGGTTTTCCTCGGACACGAGAGTTAGGTACTTCTACGCCGTGTTTGTCCACACACCAGCACATGCCCACAGAGGAGTGACACTGAGTGTGCTCGTAATAACCTTCAGCATCGCACACGGGCACGTATACACCTAAAAACCAAAGAAATTGTTAATTTAGAATTCAGATTTTTATTGCTATATTTTCTAAATAATCTTCCGTTTTTCCCTATTTGATTTATTTTTCAATGTTTAAGAGGGTGTCAATCCACCTTTTTTTTAAGGAGTATCGGCAACTTTTCGATATAACTTTACATAAAAATTACATTTGTACATTAATATAATAATAAAAGAAGCAAATAAGTATCTATAATATATTCATATCTTAGTACTTTTTTTCAACTTTTATATCGTTACATACATACTACAATTATCATTAACACTGTTTTTCTGTAGTTAACACAAAAAAAAAACACTATACTTGACTATATTTTAGTGAGAAGTGTAATGAGGACTGTCGAGAGAAAACTAATTAAAAGGTAACAGAAGCAGTAATAAGCAAGATTCCAATTAATATTTAAAGTTTTCCAAGTAGCAAAGACATCTTTTTAAACATCAGAAAAACGTTTTGTTATGTTATTGTAAATTCATTAACGTTTTGATGAAAGCTTTTTGCTTGCAAAAGGTATATTTTTTAAACGTTTTTGTTACTTGTTAATCAAGAAAATAATTTGTTAAAATTTAAATGTTTTAAAATAAAATGGTATAGAAACAGTTTGAAAAATATTGAGAATAATCCTAAACAGCAAGTATTAAATGAATGTTTTAAAAATATCGTGAAAACATTCTTCTTTTTAGAGTTTGGTGTTTTTCTTTTAATAAGTTACCTAAAGCATTTGGAGAAATCCTTCGTTTGATAGCTGTGCATGGCCGATCAGTTTTATCGAAACAGCGACACCATTCATACGGGCTCACAAAAATGTCTCTGTAAAAATAATATTTTAAATTTAAGCATGTTATTATTAATCAATACAAAATCATAACAATAATAATACAACTTAATTTGTAATGATTTTTCTAAAATAAGTTATAATATTGCTATTTCATTGGAGATTGAATTTACATATAACGTACCCATCGGTGTCGCATGTGTCTAGGAACGGTTTAATGCACATTTCGTTCTTGTCGTGTTCCAAATCGTAGAGCTCTTGCAATGAAAGCTTACCGTCCGAGTCCAAATCCAGGTGCTGGTACATCCAGCGAACTTCCCACTTGCATCCGTTAATGAACTTAACGGCTAGAACATTTATATAAATACCAGAATTAAATACATTTTCCTTCGAGTAAGATACCTAATAAATTCTACTACTCACCTTTTCCCTTATTCTTTGTACGCCTACGCTTGGCGTCGGCCATAATCACGGAAAACCAATCCAACAAACGGTCGCCCATCGATTGTAAAGCAGATGGCGGACAATCTTTGTTCCAAGACGGATGAGATATTTCATTAGTCGAGATCACTTCGTTGTCCATTGTCTCGTGGCGTTTGTCTTTCTTGGCCCGTAACTCAGAATTCTAAAAAACAAATTTAAAAGCCACGTTAAATAATTATAATCAGCATAGTGATGGCAGGAGGGCAAAGCAATGTGGCGTCGGGCACTTTACAGGTCTCATAAAATCGTCGCTTTCAATAAAACTCTTTGACGCGAATCTGCGGATAGTAAAAACTATTAAATCGCCTAACGCTAGGCGTTTACCACCTGGCAAAAAATTAAACATCAATAAAAATTGCGACAATCAAATGTTAACACGTATTACATTTGAATAAGAAATATGTGTTTGTAATCGTGTTTTTAGTGTTTCCGTAATAAAAATAAAGTTAAACTATAGACTTTTGAATGTTTGCACGTATTATAGGCAAAAATGTGTACCCCTTAAATACGGTCATACCTTCTTGTTGGCTATTTGGTTGTCGTTTTTGATGTACTTTATGTATTTATAATGTTTGTTTTCGTATTTGAAGTCTTCGGGAGCGAAAATGTACTTTTCTGCGTATTTCGACACCGGAGACGCAGTACTGGTTTTCATTTTTTCACTTTCCAAAGTCGCTTTGTACTTGTTCATAAAGCTTGTCATTCTCTCCGCTTGTTTTTGCTTCTTTCGCTCGACGTCTTCTTGATCTACAACAAGTGTCAAAACTAGATGTATTATAAAATATGTACATAGCAGCAGCAGCTAACATAATATCGTGTTGTCCAGTCGTCGGTCGAGATTAAACCACCACTATAAATGTTAGTACCTTTACACGGGCAGAATCCTTTGCAGTTCACTTTGATGTTGGTGGTGTGAAGGCAATTGTGATAGTCCAAGCGACACAATGAGCTGTATGTACGATTATCGGAGCCGCACAGGAATGTCGGTTTCATTACAGGACACGGGTTGCACCTGCTGTAAATTATTTAATTTGGTTACACTCAATAAAACTCTCATTGCGCTTCATTGTTCAGCATGGTATTGTATGGCAGCCGTTTTTTATTTAGAGAGACAATGATACAATAGCTTTAAAGTTTATACGCGTATTCAATATGTACAATTTTTAATTGTACGATACTACTTAAAAATCAACACGAGCCATTTCTTAAATTTCTTTGTTGATTACTGTGGTAGTGTTCCTGAAGAAAGCCGTACAATTCAGTTTAGAAATAATTGTATTTAATAATTATTATAGTTTCTTCGTAAAAACCATACAAAATATTATACTAGTATTAGAAGTATAAAATAAATTACTATGTTCCGTTACTAAAAAAAATATGTATTAGCGTTACGCAGCTAAAATATAATATGAGAATTAAGATTGTTTTAACAGATTTTGTATACTTAAACGATAGTTATACAGGGGCATGCCTAATGACCTTTATGGCTGATAAGGAAAAAAACCCGTTAAGACGGTTTTATAATGTCATATTATGCGGAGAAAAGATAAAGATGCGACACCGTTAAGTGTAAACGATCAATTTGAAGATAATATACATATAGAGTTAAATAATAGAAAATAATATGTGATATAATTTAGATGAAGACGGAAAAGTGACTACTTGGGTAAAAGGATACAATTATAGGACATGTTTTGTTTAAAGAGTTTGCAAACTACGATGGCTAATAAATCTCACGTGTAAAGTAGAAAACGAAATAGACCATAAGGTACATCAACTTGATTTTAACATTGCATAACAAATTACCATATTTTTCACAAATATTAAAATTATTCTTGCGCAATTTCTTAATATTTAAAAACATCTTTATTGAAATGTTACATTATTTGGTAAAAACTGTTTAAAACAAAAGTCTCTCTCTCGCTCTCTCTCGCATGTTTGATGAAACATTTGATTTGTACAAAAAACAACAATAACTAATTTAAAAACATTCTATGGTAATAATTGGACGGAAAAAAACACTCCTTAATAGTTGGGTACCTACTCTAAAATGATTGATAAAGACTAATACTTAAATTCCCATCCATAGAAAAGCGGATAACATTGAATTAAAATTCTTCAAACAATTCGACCATTACTTGTCGTCATAATTCCCATAGGTACGAGAAAGTTAATATTATTTAAATTTACAATCACCGGTGGGATGTGTTATACACGCATATAATATGTTTTACTTTTTACCTCATGCATCCCACTATATCAACATTCATGAATTCAACGTTTTTATTTACCCATCTATTTAACGGGTATCCATTTAAGGTCACTAGGTACGTTATCGGTTTGTGTATTATAATAATTTACAGATTTTTCATAATATATGCTTACATAAAGATATACGTTGCGTTTCGTCAAGATAGAAATAGTGAATTTTTACTTATATTTGACAATTAATAGTCTACACGGAACTCCTTATAAAAACTGACGTGTCAGATCCTCTTTAAATTCTACAAACGTCAGACAATTATAATGAAGTGTTTTTTGTTTGTTTCCTCTTCGAAATATTCAATTAAAACATATAATAATACGTTACCACTGATAAAAATTATTATTGATTATAATAAATAACAATTATCTTAATAGCATAATATATTTATATTATGTTATTATAACGATTTAAGCGGGAAATCAGAAAATCAAATTAAAATGTTATCGAATCCTTTTCAATTATAAAATTACCAATATATTAAAAATGACACAATATAAGATAAATTTTAAATTAGTTTTACTTGTTAATGGATGATAAACTGCTGATTCCACTATCGTAGAAAATGTCATCGTCGACGTCTTCGTCTTCGTAATTATCATCGTCGTCGTCCTCTTCTTCGTCTTCGGCTAAAGCTTCTTCCAAAGCCTTTTTCCTGGCTGCTTTCTCGGCCATGTATTTCTCTCGGCTGATAACTACATCGCCATTCTTGTGGATTTCTTTTTTACTAACGCACACCGCCGTGTAAGTATCCTCTAGCAAACATAGTTCTTTTTTCTTGCAACGCAAAGGCGTGCAAAGGTCACCTAAAAAAAAGTTAATTTTTAACATTATGATTTCAAAAAAGAAAAATCGTTTACCACGTGGAAAATAGAGTATTGGAAAAATATACATATAACCAGTGTATACCATACATCCAACATACACTTAACCAACTAGAATTAGCTACTGGAATATTTTAGATAGCTATTATTACACATTTATACGAAAAATATACAACCATTTTGTAATTTAAAACACTGAGATTTCAGTTTCATGGAGACATTCTTTTTTTATTATGTTATTATATAAAACAATACTTCTTCAGAAGCCACGAAAACCAGCCCACTTTCCGTCTAGTCTTCTTCAGACCAATAATAATTTTTTACTAACTTTTTAAAAAATTCTTGAAAACATTTTACTTAAACCAATCTATTCAATTAAAAATTATTCGTGACAAAAATATTGTCCCAAATGTCACATTTAGATTTAGAACCAAATATTCTTCTTACCACCAAATACATATTCTATAAAATTAACTCATCTCTTGAACAAGTACATTTCTTCACAGCATCCTTTGATCGGGATCGGATCTGGCACGGAGGCCTTATGTACAAAATTCGTTTATTATCTTCTCCTCCATATCTCATTATTATATCGTTTCTCACTCACCATACATTTATGGTTTGCACAAGGTAGCATTCTTGCACTAACAATATATAATATTTATACTGCTGACATTTTCTCAAACCAATAACACAAGCTCAACTACTTTTGCAGACGACAAAGATGTAGCCGCCTTTAACTTAAACAAAGGCCATAGCTAAAACAAACATCCAAGATCATTGAGTAAAACTATAATACTGATTTAGGCTATGGAGGATAAAAATCAATGAAAACGAGTCAACATAAACGATAATCTGAATTAGTGATAAATGATAATGGACAACTTCTTTCACATACCATTTGAGTAGAAGAGACTAAGAATGTGTTATTCTAAAAACTTCCGACAAGAAAAGGGTTTTTTTTTTTAAATAATTAGCATTTATGTAATATATATCTCAATTGTGTATGGTAGCTCGATTACACGGAATGCAATGATCTCGAGGTTAAAATCTATTTTTTGGAAAGAAATGTTATTTTATATAGGCGCGGTCGGTAACTCAATTTCGAACTTTAACCAAAACAATTGTAAGATAATAAGTTAAATTTCAACTGAACAAAAACAATGCGTATGTCTTAGTTAAGCACTTCAACAGTAGTTTTGGGATGTACCTACCTGTATTGTATTTAATAGTATGCGGTTAATAAATATTAAAAAACCCTATTTATGCGATGGTAACGTTATATTGCCTACTTTTGTCCCTAGATATTTGCCCAATTAAAATTTGCTGGGTCTTTGCCAAATCAATACAAACGCTTATATGTTTCAATGCGTTTGAAGCAGTAAATAAACTCTTGGTTAACTGTAAATTAGTGCGTCACACTAAATCGAACGGGCTCCAGGATATTATCTCTTTACCGCAATATTCACTGTACCCAGTAGGTACTTAAACAAAAACTAATTTCTATTCCTATATATATAGAACTTAGAACCCCAATAAACTTTACACCTAAATAGTATACTTGATAAACAGGAGTAAAAACAATTCGAAACGGATAATATTCGTTGGTTCCATCGCGGAAGCAACCCTCAGAAAAAAGCTGCAAATGTGGTTATCTCTCTGTATTAGTCCACACTATTAAACTTTACAGTTCACATGCCTCTGTTGATGGCACTATTTCTAGTATTTTCCTTTTATTTGAAAGTTTTTCTTTCATTTGAGGCGAATAATAATTGACTGAATCCGACCATTTTTCGCCAAGTTCTATACCTTATGCTATAGGCTAAAGTATGTTAAATTTGTGAAAGTTAAAAAACAGGCAATTTTTTACGGTTTTCCCGGGCGAAGGAATTTACTTTTCAACTTTTGACCTACCAAACTACCAATCGCATACGATTTTGCATGTACAGACGTGCTATCCCAATTCCCAGTAAATTGGTCCAGAGGTAAAAAAGCTTACTGTGTTTAGCGTCGCAAAAAAAAACCACATCATTATAAAAACAGTTTTCAATAAAGTACCTACAGAGTACAGACAAAAGGGGCGGATAGTTTTCCAAGAAAAAAAATCTATTAATTTAATGAGTATGCAAGTTATTTAATATAACTAATGATTAATATATTTAAGTTGCATTATTTTAATTATGAACTAATTTAAGATACATGCTAATTTACTTGTGTAAAATATTAGTGTAAGCAAATTAATTAGTGCAAATTAAATTTGCATTTTAAAACCAAAATGCTATAATCATGAAAAAAAGTTTTTTTTTAAGCTTTTAACAAGTAGTAATGTTTTTGATTTTCTTACACCTGTTAATCATTATATGTATGGTTTTATTATTTTATCATAATATACACAACTACAGGCTCTATCGGTAAGACCAATTATACCAATAAATTAATACGGTCGACTGTTTACCTAATGTACATTTAATCCCTGGTGTCGTTTAAGTTGTTAAACAACGGGGGTCGAATATTTACATTTCCTAATTGGAAACTAAGGAGCGGATGTTGATACACAATCATTCAACCATAATATGGCATATGTATATATTGTATCTCGGACAAAGTAATCAAACACATTTTATTTGGTCGATACTAGACAGCCAAAGTACAAGCCGTGTTTTGGGAACATATAATAATATACTCTTTGTTTAATATTTAACCTGTCAAAATTGGAAGACATATTAGAACCGCACCCATTTTTTTATATAAATAAAATAAAAACGACTTCGTCCCGATAATATGCCACGCCCTAAGCCGTATACATACAAATTCAATAACTTGAAGACTTTTAAAAAGACTTACAATTAATATTTAAATCCCAAGAAACGCCGTTTCAAATTCATTGGCACGGAAAAGGAAAGTTACATTCACCCTATTATGTATTTATGTACCTGCTGGCCGTGATATAAAAAATAAAATTTATGACACTCTAGAGATCATTTTTGTATACGTATATATATGAACAAAGAATTCTATTTAAATGTAAATTTTAAAACGTATGAATGTATATAGTTAAAAACTACAAAACAGGCATTAGTTTCGAAATGTATAATATTTCATTTTAAACATTTTAAGTTTTTATTTCTTTAAACCCACTTACATATGTTGATAAATTATAAAATCAAAAATGTTTTTTTTATGCCGCTGTTCATAAAAATGTTTAAACAAACCGTTTATCGTTTATCTAGCTTTCATACTTGCTGCTTAACATGCGTTACATCCTGTGAAATGTATTTTCGAGAGTATTTAAACAAAACCATAAAGCCATTTTTATGTAATAAACTTGTCAGTTTATGGTCATAGGTACAGTAGGTTGCTCATTTTATTTTTGATATATTTTAAAGCTTATGCCTATTTTTTTTATGGTGACACTAATATTATAGATATTCAAATTCGAAAGAAATGTAGGAAAATCAAAGCATCGCACGATGTCATCTTAAAAACAATAATAAGTACCTATCATATAAGTCTAAACGATTATTAGTACAATCATAGAATAAATAAACAAGTATTAAAAACGTTAATGTAATAACCATCAACATTATTTTACCTGCATTTCTGGATTTGACTAAATTATAACTATTATGAGATTTTAAAAAATATCCATACACAGGGGTAGTCCATCTATACTACACCCAATCTATATGATACTATTCATTATTAATATAAATGTCCGTTATAAAACTAGTTAAAAATATTTTACAAATTAATTAAAATTTAGTTGCAAATTTGAAATTAACAATTAACAAATGCATAATAAATTTTTAAATATAGTGGCACTGGACAATAAGATAATAAATAACAAATTAACAAAAAACAATTGTCTTTAGTTATGCGTTCATAACCATAACATAATTATCCACTATGTAATATAATTTTACAACTATTATAATGAATTATAATTTTCCCCCAAAATCATAATGACGTCTGTAATAATCCCACTAATTATATTTAGTTTAGTATTTAATGGGCTTATTGGTTTGTAAATTATAAAATCAGAAGTAAAATTAACTTGTACTTACTGTTTGGATCATGAATCCATCTTTTCTTTTCTCCAAATTTTCCAACGTCATTCGGCTTTGAGTTCTCCTGAAACAAAAATCAGACCATATTAAAATAAGCCTTAATAGTTGTTGTATGAGTTTCTGGCTAACGATTCGGGATTAGACATTATTAGACTGTCCGTACTCTAATTAAAAAACGTGGATTTAAACAAAGTGGTAATTACACAACAACGCGAAAGGTAAAACACAAAAAGTAAAGGTTATTCTAGCCACATCTTTATAATTCGGTACTCATTTTATTCATAATTTTTAGATATCATTTATCTAGACTAAAAAATACATTGAAAAGTTATTAAAAAGGCAAACCCGAATGAAAAAATCAATAAGGAGTCAGTAAGATGTATGCCAAATGTTCATACTTGGTACATATGTGTGTACATACGTATCCAACCATGATACATTTGACGGGTATTACTAATGGCTTCTTATTAGATGACGGGAATCTAAAGAAAATCTCCAATACCTTCCCAACTTTCCAACGCTATTAGAGATGATTAGAATTTTTCGAATTTTCGTTCGGTATTATTTTTAAACATATTTTTTGAGATAATGATTCGTTAACATTGAACTTTTTTTTAACTTGAAAGTAGTAATATTTATCTTCTAGTAATTGTAAATCTAGATTTTTTAAGCCGTATCATAATAAAATTTAATAAGTAATTTTTTTTTTTAACGACCCACTTATACGTATTATAATTACATAAAAACGCAACCGGGTAACTTTGAGTACATATATGTAAGTGGATAAAAGCGGCGACATGAGGGGGGGGGGAGAAGGGGCACATCGCACGTTAAACGGCCGAAGGGGCTGTGCAAGCTGTATAGCTAGCGAGAGAGAGAGAAAGGGGTGGACAAAAGTAAAAGCGAAGGATGTTGTTGTTGATTATGAAAATATATATGTGTGAAATCGGTAGCTGTAAAAACGGGAGGAAGGTTCTCCCGCCTCGGGACTTTAGTTCGCTAGCTCGACGGGCGGCGGCGTTACGCTGTGGACGCCCGCCCGTGTGGAAAATACACGCACTACCCCTTCGCCGCAGACGTCGTCCGAGGTATTGATTTTTATACGGCGACGTAGCCGCACGCTTCCTACGCCACCGTCGACACGGCTGTTGGTCTAGGCGTATGCCATTGCTACTGCATGCCTGCGTGCCTGCCAGCCATCGACGGCCGCCGCGACCTCGTCCTCGTCCTTCTCTTCTCCTCTTTAAACTACCCTACTTCCCTTTTACCTCTCCCATTTGGCCACCAAACGTATTTCACACGTATATCGCGACACTTTTCACCGCCCGCGTGACCCCCGGTCGGCCGGTGCGGCGTGTAAAATAATTACGCCGTTTATACTACCCAAAGCATGGTGTTTTTGAGTGGACGCACCGGAAACGGGCGCTCAACAAGAATCAATAGTATAAGAGTATATATTATAATAATAATAACAATAACAGAAATGACATAGGTATGCGTGCGCGTAGTTTCAACCGTCAATAGAAATCTAATAACGTAATACGTCATGACGTTTGCCGTACCTTAATAGATAATTAAGTCAAGGAGACGCGACTGTACGAGTGGCGATACAGTCCAATAACACGCGCACCGCCTACGTGCGGATGTCATATACAGCCGCCACTAAGTGGGCGGACGGTTGGGTCTATTGAACGAGCCAAGCGTACACACGCATACACCTTGGAAGTCCTGGCCAAGTAAGCCTGTATAGATGTCCAATCATTTTTTAATAAAAAATATACGACACCAAAGTAGAATTTTGTAATGAGAAAAGAGGGGCCATCTTAAGTCCGAATAAGCCTCTATCTTATTTTCATTAACAGGACACATTTGAACAGTAACAAAACATTTTTTATTGTTGCATAGTCGAAAATCAGTTTTAAGTAAATAATTGTAGAGTTATTTCCATTTTAAAGTATAGTTACAGCCGGTTCCATTTTAATAAGTAATCTAAAAATATAAACCACGTCAGTAAAGAGATATGATTTTAAAAACAAACAGCACTAAAATATTTACAATATACCTTAAATTAAAACTACCCACTTTCTAATTAATTAACACACAGCATAACGAACACAGGCAATGGGGCGAATTTTAGCCCCTTTAGCTACCCCTGCGTACACCACTGTTTTATACAAAAATACTTATCGACCGGCAGTTCTGCTAAAAGTCGAGTTCTTATTAGGACACCGAGGGTAGGTATACAAGGGACGAGAGGGGCAACATAAATACATATTTTAAGATGCCATTAATTTTAACTCTCAGCAAGGTAAAACATAATAAAAACGACGCTTGTTATGATACAAATTATAAGAATTCAAATAATGTTATTTATGAAAAGAACGCATAACGATAAATCGTATTTTTTTTTTGTCAGATGCTGAAGTGGTAATTATATTTAGTAGGGTTGTTTTTCATTTTGTAATTCAGAAATACAAACGAATACAGCGTCAGTACTCCGCGCTATAGTGTATTAATGTGTCAACTGTAGACCCTTGTATACATCGTATACTTGTCAAACTATATTAAATGCGAGAAAATTATAATTGCTATTCCGTTTCACAAAGATTAGAAATTATGAAACGAAAAAAAAAACTGAATTTAAAAAGAGCAACAATACAAATACTCCATAAAATGTAGATTTATTTTTATTTACATAAACTCCTTATCTATCGAGATAATTAAAAGTATTAATGTAAAAAAAAATCAATAAAATTCCTCTCTAATTTTAACAGTTAAGTTTTTTAAGTTAATAAAATTATCATAACTGCATCTCGTTTTACATATATTAGCAGACCTAGTACAGTGATGAATTATCTATTAGTTGCGACTTACAGGTACAGACTGAGCAAATATAATCATTGAGCACCTGAGAAATGAGTCGTTGTAATTTAAATACAAATCCGGTGTCATAGTTTTATACACAATTGCAATTAATAAATAATAAAAAAATAGTCAAACAAATCTAAGTTCAAATAACTCTACAACTAGTGTAACTGTCTACTCAACGTTGTCTACGGACTAAATGCGTCCGCGTAAATTTTATAGAAAACAGAAGTTCTTAATAGTTAATTTTTTTTTGACAAAAAAACTTGACTATAATACAGCTGAAACAAACAGTAGGTAATTTACTATACTATATATTAAACTATAACTATATGTCATCAAATGTAAGGTTGAAAGTTACGAGTATCGTTTTACTTAAGAACTTTTAAGAATGTATTTTTATAAAATACAATTAAATTTTATAATTAATTCGCAGCTGAAATGTATAGGGTCATATTATTCTCATGACGGTTTTCAAAAATAAATGGAACTATTAAAATACTGAGCATAAGACTGGTATAGAATTTCATTCATTCGGATTGTGTCATTCGAAACCGGGCAATTAAAGTGTTACATTATTAATTCATTACCTATGGAATTAAATAAGTACATGAATTTTCATGCTATGTGCGTGCGATCAAACAAAAAGGAAAAGAGACGTTATTTTATAATTCCAGTGATACACTTTACACGCGGATGTAATTGTATTCATCAAAGGGTTTATTGCGGAATAATTACATTTTTAATAGCACTCAACGCGTTAAAAACTGCGCCGTAATTGATTGTATGCTCTTTTTCCTTTTCTGCTCGTATACCAACGCGATACACACATGATTTAATGCAAAACGAGTAAAACCAAAAATAAAAATAAAAACCGAAGTGCAAGTAGGAAAATAACATCATTTACCATGATATTTCCGAAGACTAGTCGCAAAAATTGTTTCCCCATATCGGTCAATGTGTTATCAAAGTTAATATTTTGTTTGACGACCTAAAATAATAAAAATAACAATAATCAATATAAATCATTCGTGTAATTCGTCGTTGTTGTGTACATTTACATAATAGTATTCTAATCGAAAAAATTAGCCTTTCCGGGAGTCGAGACGAGCATAGCTGTAATACTTAATGGAAAACATCATATATCTTTACCTTATAAATAAGTTATTATGTTGTTGACAAATTCTATACTTAACATTTTTCATTTTAAACAAATGAAAAATAATAAATCTTTACAAATGAATAATTTTGATTGTGTATAAGCTATAAAAAAATTAAAAACGCAACGTCATAGATAGTTCTTCTCTATCCATTGTAAAAATGTTATACAATTATTGTAAATCCCTGTGTTTAATGTTTATTAAACATACATAAACCATAAGGTATAAGGTATAAAACAGATATTTATAGGATTCTGGAACGTCTCCTAGATTTTCTTTGATCACTATAGCTAGATTTCGTCAAATCCGTCAAGCGTCGCGCTCGAGTAAAAAAAAAATGCTATCTATTTTTTATTTAGTTCAAATTGATTACAAATTTGGCTGGCCATTTTCTCATTCGAAACTGCGCTAACTGTATTTGCTTACCTCTCCGAAGGCCGTGTTTAGCCAGGAAAGCAAATTCGCCGTCTGTAATCTCAAGAGATGTAATTCAGCACGAACTACCCGCACAAGTGTATATATGCCGTGCGACCCATGTAATCGATAGAACGCGTATCGCAAATTCCTGGCCGTATGCGAATATCTCGGTCAAACCGGCGCAAGGAATAATAAACATATTACATTATAAATAAAATATAATGTACTTTTCAGCTTTCAAAATTAAAATTTTTTTTTAAAAAAATACGAATTTAAAAACGTGTTTGTCTTGACACCAGCGTTAAAATAAAATATCAATTATTAAAGTATCATAGTAAAGCGAACACTTTGTAAGAGTTTTCAAACATCAGAAGTTAATCGTGTCATATAATACGTTCATAAGTGTTAACTATTTACAATCCGTTTGATGTCAAGTAGGTATACGAGCACATCCTCTTAAATGAAGGACAAACGCGTTTGTTGAAGTTAGCGCAAAACAAAAGGACGTCAAGTTAAGGAATGTCTTTGCCAATATAACGGTTGGTTTAACCTAGTTTTGAAATTAAATGTAAACAATTAAAATAATATTGACATTAAATGTTTAACATTTCAAACATTAATTCTTCAGTTAGTTTGGTAAGTCGAAATAGAACTCTGAACTGATAAAAAAATGGTTATTTTATTCATATTAAATCAAAATGAGTAATTTTTTTTTAAATGCAGTGTTGACAGTATAATATAATTTGTTAAAACGGATAATTGACATTAGTTATGATTTAACATATTTTATTTGCCATGGAATTTAATGACATAGTATCATGGCTCTGTATTGTTGAATATAAATAACTAAAGCAGTTTTGATTAAATTACACGAATTAAATAAAACAAGATACAAGTATTTTGTAAAAAAAAATCCTTTCTTTATCATTTTAGTAGTGTCATTTAATCATACGCCCATTAGGAATAATGACCGCATAATTGGGCAATTGAGAACAAATGACGGGTAACATAAAATTATACAGTATTATTCAATTTTCTTCAAACCATTAATGTTTTATACTTTTTATAGCGTCAGTTTTCTGAATATTTGATCCTTTCGGTAAGTGCTGGTAGTTAACAAAATCTCTCTTGTAGAGAAATAACTCCCATCTCTAAATAGCTAAGTATATTAAAAAACAACCATGTAATACATTTTCTGATCATTTTTCAGAAACGGAACACTTACAACAGTTTGATCGTAGTATATAACAAAGTTTCTGAACACGATTTAAGGTAGGACCTTTACAATAGTAAAATATAATGGCGTACGATCGACAGACAATATTTTGCAAATACTAAGAAACAATATAAATTACTTTGTGCAAAAAATCGTGATTAGGCCAATAACGTTGTACATGTTAAGGAAGTCACTCTCGCTCACGTCATAGCATTGTACACGTGAAATTATTTATAAAAAAGTTCGACGTTACATTATTAAAATACATGTACATTGTTTGGATATAAAATAGAACAGGGAAAAATATAAACGTATTATTCTTCAGGCAACTCAAAGACATTACCGTGAGGTCGTTTCGTACGTTTTACTTAAGCTTCACCGCTTTCAAAGACATACTTTTCCATATCCTAATAAAACACTATAACGTTGTATATAGTTATGGCTAAAAGACGAACATTTCAAAAACTATACTTTAATTCAATAGTCCCATAGTGCTAAGAGACTACATCATTATTATACCAACTGCTAATATAAAATATTTATGAATTAATTTCTTCACTGTTTGCGATCAGCTAGTATTCATTTTTCCACGTTTGTATTGAAGAATCTCACGGAGGGGTGACTGCTTTCCTTCAATGACATTTCTGTTATCGATAACGACCAATCACAAGTGATGTGTTACATGATTAATTGAGTTGAAAAAGCACACAAATACGTACTACGCAGTACGCATTTATTAACAGTATAAGTGGCGCAATGAAAATCTATGGTACTGGCATTTAGTCAGATATAAAGATTAATGATTTCTATACGATATAGAATAACAATATCTAAATAAATAATTACGAATAATGATATTCTATTTTATATAGGTACCTACACGTCTTAGTTCTTACACACTAAGGTCATGATGTATAAGTGAAGTAAAATTAGGAGCACGGTAACGTTGTAAAGACATTTAGTATATTCACAAATATACGCAAGCTAAAAAGATGAAAGGTTGTATCTGAAGTGTTGTCGATCTAATCGGCAAATGGATTGCAGCAGCAATGTTTAAAAGACACAGACGTGTAACATTTATATGTGTGGAGCATTAGGTTAGGTTATATTTTGGTAATTTTATTACACTTCTATTGTAAAAATATCTCACATAATACAGAACATAAATGTGCAATGCACCGTGCCCACGGCACAACGTGTCAAACATCCCGAAGAATGAGTAACAACGACGGACATTAGGACTCCAGTCACGTCCACGTCGAGGGCAGACGACAGCCGACGTCTGTGTATCAGACGTTCAATTTTTTTCCTGTTTTCATGCATATAGATTAAACGTGTGACCGGGAAAAGAATGACGAAAATCGTTCACCTTTCAGAATTATCATCCATCATCCATCTATTAATACGAAGTTTTTTATATTTTTCCCCATCAAGTATTTTATTAAAAATCACTATTGTTGTGTACTAACCTATTATTATAAAGTTTAACGTTAGCGCAAATTGCAATTTTTAAACCTAGATTACAAAAATAAGTTTTATAATTTATTAGATAATAATAAAGAAAACCGGTAAGTTTAATGTTATTCAAGTAAAAAATTAAACTTTTTAAAAATATTGTTTTTAAATATTTATAAGAGTAGATAATATATTATTTGCTACATTAATACCATTAGTAAATAAACAAGTAGAAATTACAATAAGATTATTATTTTTGATTCGTAAAAATAACTTGTCTAAAAAACACATGTCCTAAAAAATATAAGTACTACGCTATGATAAAATTGACTAAATATAATTTAGTGTTTTCCGTTCGGATTTTAACATAAGGACAAGTCACTTATCCCCGGTTTTCAAGGTAGTCTACAGAAACATTAATAACTTTTTAATGTATATATAATATTGTTTATTTTAAACAAGTGTTAACGTACGTAATCATAATTAAATTAAAAATACAACCTATTTGAAAAAAAAAATAATCGGCATTCCTTTCTCTTGGAATCGCAACAGGACAATGAAATAAGGAAAATATACACACATTATACAATACGTAAAAAATAAAATAATTTAAAAAAATCAAAAAATGAAATTAAAAAACAATAATGCTATTTAATTATTGTAGTGCCCAAGCTAAGAGATCAAAGCGTGTACAAATAAATGTTCACCTAAATGCGCTTGTGGAAAGTCATTTGTTGTAGATATCGACCAACGACAAAATCTATAATGCCAACTAATACAAGCCATTGCAACGGATATAGATGCTTAGCGTCGCTGTTTCCGGAGAGCATCGTTATTGTTATCTGTATCTATAAATGTTCAGATGGTCGCCGTCAAGGGGCAAATGATCCGGACGGACGCCGCCGCAGAGGACGACCGACAGGCGGCAGCCGAGATGAGACAACGGCTCGGACAGGCGTCACCCGTCTTACAAACAGTAAACACTATACGGCGATGCTAGACGTGCATATTATACATTAATATATATATATATAATATAATAGACATATAGTGTGTACACTTATGTATGACTTGACGTGTATAACGCACTAAATCATGTTCCTACCATCGACCCCGATCGGGGACCAAAAGTCGATAAAGCGGGTAAAAGAAAGTAAATAGCTGGAGCAACAAACGCATGTCGCAGACCGACGATGCACGGTTTACTTACAGTCGGCCAATACTCGTTGTAGATGACATTACTTACAACATGATATATATCTTCTATCTATCCATATAACGTAATAAATCGCGAAAAACGCATACATAATATTAAACGAAACTAGTATCCATAGTATACTATACATATTTATCATGATTCTGACTCTAATAGTGTACTGTATTATATCTGATTGTTTAGAATTCATATTGTTTTGTTATTGTTGTTGTTACAATATGATTATTATGACACGCGGTTCGCTGTGCAGCAACCGACGACTGCGACGTTTCTGCTGCCGCCACTGCCCACTGCAGCAGTTCAGAAATTACCATCGACGAGACCCCGTCGCCGTACACAGCAGACGACGTCGGGCGGTAAGTGGCGCCACTGCTGCGGGGTTACAATAATATCATGATCGTCTCTAGCCGCCGTTGCCGTTGACTCCACACCTCCACGTCTGACTCCGCACATCGAGAAGCACTAAGACGGTTTTTTTAGTATTTTTATTGAGCTTCGTCTAAAAAAAATAACCTACCACCGCCCTT